CATATTGACTAATAAAACTTATATAAAGGTCTAAATCAAAATCCCATAAATCTCAATCCATGGAGAGCATTCTCCTGAAGGTTATGTTCTGTACCAGGAGTCTCTACCTCAAAAACTTTGATCTGAACCTTGCGTACAGTGTCAAAATGCTAAAATAAGCTGTTTCTAGAACTATATAAATAAGGCTTATTTTACAACTTTTTACACTTTTTTTAGGGCTCGAAGATGTCAATTTGATGTTTAAAATGTAAATTGACATAGAGGAGTCAATTGGTGCATGACTCCCCTTAAATAAGCATTTTATTTGTGCCTGTAGCGCCCTTGCCCGCTTGTGTAGTAAGCTTGCGATCAAGTATCTGCGCGGGCAGTACGAGTGTAGCAACCAATAAAGTCCCAACGACGACGAGCTGAACCCCAATCACGTTCCACGTGACGCAATTCAGAATTTACGTAGAAAATATAAAAACGTAAAATATATAATAATGTTTGAGCAAGTTCATAAAATATTTCCTTTTTGTTTCAGCTGATCATAATTCACCATCTATAATTCATACTGTAATGGGGATCTCGAATATTGGAAACTTTTTGGTACTAGGCATGACAATCATAAAGATGAGAAAGTTTCAACAACTTTTAGATTTTTATTACCTCTCAAGAAATAATGAATTTGATAGATCTAGAAGATATTCATTTGAATGGGCCAGAGCATTTGTTACCCGCTTTTTTTGTCTTTCATTTTTATTAAGTGTAAATTGGATTGTCGAAATGGTATATCTGTTAGATAATTCTGTAATTTGGTTATCATTCGATTTAGTGTTTTCTCTTCAAGGTATTCTCATATTTGGAATTTTTGTGCTAATGAAACCAATTAAGCACATGATTCATTTGAAAATTCAGAAATTTAAAATAATCGCGAATACACATTTTGATAGAATAAAGTTGAATTCGATTTCTCATTTTGATGGATTAATATAACGATAAATATAAACTTCTAAATAACTGTTCAAACATAAAATAATAAGGAGAATAATAAATTATGTACTACTTCAGCTGAACGAAGCGATCACAGAACGGCCTTGTTAATTCGATATCTCAATAATCGTTCAACTGATTGCGTCCAAATTTTTATTATACCTTTTTAGCGACCCAAAGATGTGCTGTATAAATTTTGTAATCGATACGATCATTTTTCACCCCTCTGCCAATCCTTAACTTTTCGTAGGGCATGCTCCTCGCGGTATATTCATCAGAATTTTTGTATTTATACATTGAACTCACAACCTTCTTTAATTCTATTGGATGATATAGATCGAGTTGGAGGGACTTAAATGTAATAATGCAAAGAAATCCTACATAGATGCAGTTCATGCTCGTAGAAAACCTAAAAAGCAAAAGATTAGCTAGAGACGTATTTGGCAATAATTTTGGATATTCATTCACATAAATATCATTCAATTTTTTTTTTTTTAAATAAAGTATTTCAAACTGTTATTAATTTCTTCGCTATTGTGAAAATGCTTATGGGTTATTTGTTTATAGGTTATTTGGAAAATAATAATCATACCTGTATCAAATGTATTCAATCTTTAACACGTGCTAAATATTGAATTTAATATCGTAAACACTTATGTTTGAATCGTATAAAATCTTTCGCGATAAACAATCAAAAATGATAATACTGAAAAATTCAAAGAATAATTATTTGTATAGTTATTACTTATCGATTGAAATTTACTAATTTATTTAAATTAATTAATAATATTATAATTCATTAAGCAATTATTTGGAATTATTATGTTTTAATAAATTTGTTCGGTTCTCTCCGAGATATATACTTACACCATGGCTTACAGCAACGGCTAGTGAGAGGCGCATGATTTGGGTTCGCATTATAAATATTTTAATATCGATATTCTACGAGACGCCGGCTGGCACGCAATGTAGTGTTCTTTTGTTTGCGCTTGCTAACTTGACTTATACGTCGTAAATTGTCCACGCGGTGCGCCTTTATCTCATAGCTGTGTAATTCAGATTAATTCTGAATTCTCGACGAAACAAAATTTGATTATAAAAATTGTCGATAAGATGAAAGTGTTGTTTTTCTATATGCTTTAAATAATATACGCAAGTTGATTAAATTATTTTATCATTTGATATATATGTATACTCTGAAAAAAATGTTATTTGCAAGTCCAGCAAAAAAGGACAGCTGCTGAAGATGTTTTGCTTACACGGCAAACTTATTTTCACAAGTTTTGCAAGAGGTTTTGTCGTAGCAGCAACATATATTTTGCTTTCCACGATGACTATTTTGAACAAATGCACTCACCCAGAAGAATCAAGTAATTACACGAACACTACACAACACTGACAACAATTTAAACCGAGTTCTAAATGCGAAAGTTGAACTCGGTCGGCTGCCGCATAATCGCACACAAAACTGTGTTTCTGCATTTTGGAAGTAACAACGGACACCTCGTTGCACTATCAAATTTTAATACTGGCAATTCGGTTGCTCGCTTGCGCGTTGATTCGGGTGTGCGTGTGTGTGCCCTTTCGAGTAGCAGATCGTCATCTCGCATGTGTTTGTTTGTGCAGTATGGTGCCGTGGGCGATGTGATGATTTCAAATCCAGCCAGTCGAGATTCGTTTTGTAACGGTTATTCTAATCGTTGAAATTCGTATAAATATGTGATTATTCGCGTATGTATGTAAGAATGATATCCTCCAGTATTTTAAATCTACCGCGGTTATAGAACGACGGTAGATTAGTTAACTATATAATTATGAATTTGTGAGTCTCCGTATACATTATGTAAATAGTTGTTTCAGAGTGTGTTGAACTACGGAGGTGAGAGTTATAACATTGAATGTTTTTTCTCTTTTATTACAGGTATAATTATAATAAGGATTTTTTGGTTTATATTGTAAATAAAGTTAATTTAATAAAATTATTACTCTTTTATTATAGAAACTATTTTTTACATTACATTACATTTTTAACGGTTACAAAGTCATTTCTTAATTTTCCTTTACTGGTCTTCATTTTTCTTTGTCTTCTGGCCTTGAAAAAGCTCTTGGGGTTGCAGGTACTTAGTGTTTCTACAGGAGGCGGGGTATGAGAATCGAACCCCGTCCTCCCGGGCAGAGGACAGAGCCTAGCTACCCAATGGGCTACTGCGGGCCCACCCTGTAATAATTTTTTTTTTTTTTAAATCTTTTATTGGCTTTGGTCACCCTGTAATAAGCTGGCCTCCGTGCAGCGCCGCCATCTGCCAGAGCGCCCGGGAAGTGTGGCGAGCGCTTGGATGGACGATGCTCAGCTCCGTTCTCGGAGCAGCGCGACGCACAGCTCCCTCGAGGTGAAGGAAATCCCTCATGTCGAGCAACGAAATTCTCAGCAAAAGATAACGAGGTTGAGCGACGCACAGCTCCCTCGAGGCGACGGAAAGCCCTCATGTAGAGCGACGCGCTGCTCGTCGGAAATGATGAAGTCGAGCAACGCACAGCTTCTTTGAAACAACAACAACAACAACAACAACAACAACGCAGGTTCAGACCTGCGAAACGGGCCACGGCCACGACCTGCCCCTGCTATCCCAGAAATCGGCTGACCCGCGAGTCAGAAATCAAAGCAGTAGGACCGACAATCAGACTCGCAGCGACACGTGCCCTTAAAGATCGGCTGACCGGCAAGTCAGAGATCGAAGCGGTAAAGCCGATAATCGGATTCACGGTAACGCGGGTCGACAAGCAAGCTAAAGATCAGCTGACCGGCAAGATCAAAGCAGCAGAGCCGCCGATCAGCCACGCCAACACGTGCTGACCGCCCCGCTTTTGTTTCCTCTCTCTCGCTTTCGCTTTTTCTCCCACCTTTCTCCCTCACACCGCGAGTATAAAAAGAGAGGAGCATCCGAGCCGCGCTTGCATTCGTTTCGAACGACCGACCGAGCACCACCAAAGCTCTGCCCAACCGAAGTAATAATTGAACTTAGTCTCAGAAGCGATAATCGAACTTAGTTTTGGAGTGTTAACTGAACTTAGTCTCTGAGTTAACTATCGGACTAAGTCCCTGAACTAACTACGGGACATAGTCCTTCGAACAAGATTATCACAGCCACTCGTCGCCATTGGATCGTGCACGAGAGAATATCCCGGTGCGAGACTCTGGCGGTTGAGTGCCGATAATCCCTCTTCTTCTCTTTTCAGTCGACCTCGTACATGCGGATGTCAACTTGGGTGGATGTCCTTTTGAATTGGCACGAGCAAGATCATCTACAGGAAAGAGTTGCGCCACCGGAGTCTCACGACCCGCCCTCGCAAGTTCCGACTTGCAATTTGAACGAGTAGCAACGAAGCCAATTGTAACTCGTTGACGTGACCTCCCCCGACGTAAGCCCTCCTCGCGAGAGTCGAGGCAACGTCGGCCCACCTCATTGAGGTCATTATTTTCCACCTTTAGAAGCGACACCATCACCAGGGAGAGACGCCTCGGCTTCTTTGCGTTCTACGCATTCATCGAAGAGCGACCCCACCCGAGGAATAGCCAACTGCGCATACTCGCAGGGAACGCAGCACGCGCGACTCCGTTTTCGTGACTTGCCATAACAACCCATCCGATTAATGTGGAAGAAAATATTAACCGCTAAGTATTCGCATCGCATAGTTGAACCCTGATTGCGCACAGTCGCGTCGCAGCGCGTACGAGCTATGTACAAACGCCCTCATCGAGGAGCAACCCTACCTCTACGAATCGAGCGACCTCACTTACCGACTCCGGAACGCGAGCCGAGGAACGCAGCGCGCCCAACTTTGTTTCGTGAGCGGGGTCATAACGTCTTGACATTTCAACAACTCTATCGAGGAAGTCCTAAAAGAGAGAGCATACTTACCGACCTCGGGACGTGAGCGATAAGGAACGCCTCGCGTGACCGACTCCGTTTATGTGACTGAGTCATAATGGCTTAAGAATAGACCTGTATTTTTAACGTTAGGTTCGTTCACAGACGATAAAGCAGTAAAACGCGGTGCTGCTCCGATTGACAGATTGTCCATAGCAGCTAGCAGTACAACAAAGGATATTTTGGGCCCTGCTCACAGTAATATCGGTATCGTTTATTATAACTTACTCTGATTGTGCACTAATATTTTTTTTTATAACATATTATGTTTTTGATTTCGTTCTTATTATTAAGTTTACAACTTTTTCAATTTGGTTAAAAAAAATCAAATGTCTACCGATTTAAAAAAAAAAACAAAAAAGAACTTTGCGATTTTTTTAAATTAACAAAAATGCATTTGCCGTTCTTATTAGACTTATGGAATCAGCTACAGGCGCGAAGATAAAACAAAAGAATCGAATTACTGGACATATTTTGATAAATTACATATTCTTACGTATACACGTATAACGGAATATATACTGGACAATAATATAATACTCATACATAACGGAATATACATTTGATAATGGTGAAAAATGTGACATAGTCTGGTACCTATATGTGTACATATATAGTTCAGTAAAAGAGCGTAATATCTTATGGTGGCGTGTTTACAGTAATCAACCTTTGTAGATCAAACCAGTTTAATTTTTCAATAAGCTCATTCTTATTGACTATTTTTTACATGCAAAAGAAAGTGCTAATAGAAGAAATTTCTATCTCCACAAATGTACTTATGAATGCGCATGTTTTCGGTAAAAGTCGGATCAGAAATTCCGTTCCAGTACACGATTTATTTTCCTGATTGCGGAATCTTATGATAATACGCAAAAACTTTAGTGACATGTCCATATGGTGTGATGTTGTGACAAGCTACCGAATGCCGAATTTTTTCAGCTAAATCATCAAGTAAAAAATAATTTGTCTTGCATATTACTGAAAAGTGACATACATGTATAATAGTAAACTATGTTTTTTTTTCATAAATAAATGATATTCAGTTAATTCATTATTTAAAACTTGTTAAAAAAAAGTTCCATTGGTTCAATTTAGTTACAATTCAACACTAATAATTTTCATTTATTGACACTATTTTCGACTAAAACTTTTTTTTGGGTCTAAATTTCAGAAAAATAAAATTTTAATTAAAATTCAGAAACAAAATTATTTGAAATATATTTCACTACTGATCTACCATTTGAGTAAGACTTGAGCAAAATTGCAAATGCACAATAACATTAATGAATTTTTTTATTTTATAATAATTATTTTGCCTATTTTTAATTGAATTCTATCTTGTCTCCTCGTGATCATTTGTTTTTTCAATAATTTTAAAAAATCAAGGTTTATTTCTAAGGAAAACCTTCTTGGAAACATTAAGGATTACCCTTACTATTGTTAAAAATTATTGTGGAAAAAATATATTCTATTTTTTTAGTATGATCTTCTTAATCATCAATTTATATTTTTCATAGGATTTTTGCATTCAAATTCATGTTGGAGTATCCTGAATCTAACTATACTACATACATACAATTTTAAAGAAGCATATTATAAATAAATAATATGGTTACAGAACGAAAAAAAACAAAAAAACGTAAAGATGTAAGTCCAATTTAAATATAGAAATTAATTTTTGTTAAAAAAAAAAAATATGCTCATATTTTCACTGCTATAAATTTTGTATCAATCCATTTTTTTTCAAGGATGCACTTGATTCTTCTGCTAATGATAAAAATCCCACTAAAGAAGAATATTTAGTTGCTAAGTGGATTCGAGCCAATGTACCTTCTAAAAAAACCAAATTTGATCGCAACCATATGGTGGAATATTTTACTGGAACACGAGCAGTTGATGCTCTTTTGGAAAGATCGCCATGGAATAAAACAATATTTGAAACTAGACAACAAGTTGTAGATTATCTTGAAATAATGCTTCGACACAAGTTCTTTCACAGAGCAAAAAAAATTATTATCTCCGAAGATGAATTAAAACAAATTAAAAATTTAAAAAAAAGAAAAAATGTGAAAAATGTAAAAGATGAGACTTGTTCAGAAAAGAATGATGATGCTAATGCTGCAGAAACCATAAATGATAATGTTTCCAAAGTTAATGAAGGAAAAGATAATAGAAAATTTGAAAATGCATCAAAGAAAAAGCCTAAAGTGAGTTTTATTGATAAATTTTTTTATGATAAAATTTGTTTCCATTTTATGAATAAAATATAATCAATACACTTTTTTTCAGGTCCGATTGGAAATGCATATGGATCAATATTTTGTTGATTGTAATGATGCTTATGTTTGGATATATGATCCTATTCCATTTTATTATTGGTTTTTTGGAACTTTATTAGTGTTGGGTGCTATTGGTGTTTGTTTATTTCCATTGTGGCCATTGACAGTAAGACATGGAGTTTGGTATCTAAGTGTTGCTGCTGCTGGATTTCTCGTCTTTATTTTATCACTTTTAATTGTGAGATCTGTTGTTTTTTGTCTTTTGTGGGTTTTGACATTGGGAAGACATCATTTATGGTTGTTTCCTAATTTAATAGAAGATGTAGGATTTTTTGCATCTTTTTGGCCTATATATGATGTAAGTAACTAATTTAAATATACACAATTTATATTCATCTATAATTTATTGTTGGTTTCTACTAAAACTTGCAATTGTAGTTCACTTAAGATTATATTTAGATATAATCAATCAAATATATATTTAACTTTTCATAACTGAGCTTCACAAACATGCTAGGACATTAATAATTGGTTTATTTCAAGTAATGCACAAGTCACTCATTCAATTATTGGAAAAAGACATAAACTTTAATTTCTTACTTTCGTTAGATATAGAACACTGTAGCATAATGCCAACAGTATTCATGAATGGGTCACTTACGCTCCAATTTATAAAATTATATTGAAAAATATTAACAATAACTAATAAGTGAATATTTCAATGAGCTTAGCTGTCATTTCCAAAAAATTTACCAAATTCTTCATGAATTGATTGATGTTTACCAATTTATCTGGCCCATACTCCAGAAAGTATCAATAACAGTGATGGTGAACTTATTGTATATTGTATGAAGTTAAATGCCATGCAGTGTTACTTAAGGTCAATCTTACTCACCTATTTCAGTCAGTTCTTCAATCTATCCCCCTTTATCTATCTACAAGTGGTAGTTTATCTGTGGACAGTTGATTTTAAATTTCTTTTTAGTATTTTTCTGCTGTAAGTGTCAACTGTTTTGGTACCAATATGGAGATTACTTAATCTCTTATTCCAAAGATTTATCAAAACTTTAAAATGTAGTGAAGTAATTTGAATATGCATTTAACCCTTGAATCAATTACTAACAATCAACAATTGCAACAGGTAATTTTATTTCACCCTTTGCTTCCAAAGTTAACAGCTTAACACTTTGTTGAAATACTCTAAATGTTTTAAATTTATAGGTAAAAAATGTAGCTGGATAATTTTAAATCAAGCTAGATTTTCAGTCAATTACAGCTAGATTTTTCACCTAGAAATTTAGCAATATTTTTTCAACATGATATGTCTTTTGACTTAATACTGAGTCAGTATTATTAATTAATATTGTCAGTTTTAAATTGCTGTCACATATGGAAAAGAGGCACAGTACTGTATTTTCATTATTGCATTATCTTATTGCTAAACAACTTAAATTAAGCTTAAATATTTTGCATTTATCTTCAAATTTAACATAATAACAAATTTCCTCTTTGATTTCTTACTATGCCACTGTCTACTCCTAGATCTTGCCCTTTTTCTGCGTCTGCCTTGTTGCGTATATTTGTCAGTCTTCATACTTCAAACGCTGCCAAATTTACTAAATATTCTAATTTTTCTATTTTGATTGAAGTGGCGGAATTCCGTGATTATTTTTTATGATTATTCTTTTATTTAAAAGAATGAAAGTTGGCCGAAAGTACGCTTTAAAATTCCTTTAATTTTGTTAGTTCTTTTTGCTTCTTGTCTTACATTTACTACGAAATACTAAAGAGTGTCTTTATAAATAGAGTATTGTCGACGTTACATCATATCGATTCTCTCAAGAGCTCTAATGTACTTTAAAATCGGCAAAAATGTACTCAACTCACTCTTTTTAAAAGAATTTTTTTACTCTTTTTATTGCATTTTCTAAAACCGTTTAGCTTTAACCTCATGCTTTACACTTCTCCAGAACAAATATGGTTACGGATGCAATTGCTTTGAGGTATTCAAAAACTAGATAAGATGAAACGACTCTCTTCTGTCTTCTCTAATTTTCTCTAATTTGTAATATTTAAAATAGAAAAATATAATAAGAGAAGATTATTTATAAAAGATTGCTCATATACAAAATGAACCGATTTTTTCGAACTAACACGCCTTTTAGAAAATCAATTGAAATCAGTCTCAATAGATTAATATGACACACATTCCATTTACTAAAAAACTCGTACTTACACGCTACTAAACATAGTGAACGACCTATCATAACGCTTACAACTCTCGCTAAAAATCTCACCAGTTTTATTGAATATAATTGAATACCATAGATCAACTTCATTGAATGAAGGATAAGATTCTTATCCATCTCTCTAATCCTTATTTACGTCTGAAAACCTCAAATCTTGTTCAAATAATATTTTTTATGAAAAGTTGAATATTATTAAAAATTCAGATAAACTTATTTTCACTACTATTAGTGAATTTGAAATAAATTCTTTTTTTTTTCATTTTTAGCACCAATGCTTCAGTTCAAATGATGGTGATACGATGTTTGATAAGTCGAAACAAACAACTCACAATAAGTTAGAAGCTGAGAATGTAAAAACGTAAGTATTCAAAATCTATGCATAATTACATAAATCGGAAAAAGTTTTATCTATTTAGGGGAGAACCGCCTATTATGGCGCACTTGAGTAACTTTTGGCTATGATGAAAATGTACTGTTTGAAACACGATACCCAATGAGCCAAATGCTAGTTAGAGTTTTTATCTTTACGTGTTAGATTTTTGGTATTATCCACAGCTTAAAATTTGAGGATGGTTTTATTCAAAAAAACGTGATTTCGAAAAAAAAGTTTTTTCTTTTCGAATTTTCACATAAAAATCGTTCAAGTCTTGGCATTTTAGATACAAATAAAGTGTCCAAGGACCCTTATCTTGGAGTTATGACGTATCCAAATAATGAAATAGTATTTTAGGTAAATGGCGACTAGAAAACGAAAATATATAAGAAACCTTCTGAAATTTTTAACTCAAAGACGATAGACTTGAGAAAAAATTTTTATTGATGAAGTTCTTTGATCAATTCTAAGAATCCATCGTTTCTGAGGCTTTCTAGATCTTTGCTCCCTATGGCCGTAATTGACTATTTCGGGCCAGAGGGTATGAAAAATTGTACACCGACCCAATTCAGAATCGGCATTTTTTTCGCAGTTTATACTGAATCGGCATTTTCTTTCGCGGCATATTCTGAATCGAAATTTTTTTCGCAGCATATTTTGAATCTGTACTTTTTTTCGTTACATATTCTGAATCGACATTTTTTATGTGTCATATTCTGAAATGGAATTTTCTTCGCGGACAGTGTCGTGAAATGGCGTCATTTTCGTAACCACCATCGATATATTGATTATACAAATTCAATTTTGACATATTTAGATATATTAAATTTGAAATAATTAAATTTTTATTCAGATTGAAGGAATCAACACAAGAATCAAATTCTTCAAAACCAAGCCAAATGTTGGATGAAAAGTCATATGATGCACCTGAATCATCCGATGGTCAAGGTGCCAATGAAGAAAATATGGAAAGTGACCGTTCAAACTCAGAAGACTTTGAAATGTTGTAATTTTATAAAGTAAAATTTTCAGTTTATTAATAAAATTATTATTAAAATATTGAAATATTGTGAAGTTCACTGGCAAAACTATTATATATTTTAGCCCTTAATATTAAGTTTTAAAGGTCGTTCAACGAGCTTTTTGATTTCTGATTTAAATAAGATTGGACAATCTATTTTTTCTCTTTAAATGTCTGAATTTTCCCTCAAAATATTTGACAACTATGAGAACACGATTTTGATGCTAAATTATATTATCTTTCAGAATCCAGCGTCAAAATTTAGATTAATTAATTATTTCAGATTCTGTAAGCAATTTTGTGACGGAAAACGTGGCTTTTGTGTAAATCAAGAAAAGTGTATTTGTTTATTCAAAAAAAGCGGCTGAACACAATAACCTATGGAAAAAATGTCAATGTATTTTTTGGTTGGTTTTTGTTTTACCTTTCCAATGCCATATTAAGATTCAAAAACAGCCTTAATAACACTGAGACAGCTATTTTTGTGGAATGCATTTTTTAGCTGAAAATTTAGTAATTCGGCTTCAAAATCTCGAAAAATAACGTTTTTCCTCAGTCTTTACAACATTCTGAGAAATCTGTAGGAGAGAAATGTGTAGGAGCTACTGAAATGAAATTGAAGCTAAAATTTGGCCGAAGTTACTTCAAAAAAGTTGTTTCTTATAGTTACGAAAGTAAAAGACTTATTTTACTCTTATTTTTTCAAGTGATTTGCCTTAAAATGCTAGAGGAAAATAAAATAAACACAATTTATACGAAAAAAACTCGCGAAAAGAACTGTATTTTAGTGGAGAATCAATATTTTGACATTTAAAAAATACAATACAAAAAAGAAGGAAAATCTTATTAAAAAATTATAGGTGCTTCATTAATACTTTTCCCGTCAATTATTAAAGCTTAGAATATAGAGACGTACATGCGTGAAGCGTGAGCCATAATCTATTAGAAAGTAACGTAAACCTGTGGTGGTGGTAAACATGGTCGTCGTAAACGAGGAACTCTTATACTAAAAGCATTGGATCCTCGGTTAAGACGGCCATGTGTACCCCCGCCATAAGCTTATATTAGTACTTCCCAATAAAGACCTATAATGGGCTGTTGATGGCGTTACACGACGCCGCAGAGACGTTACAAAGGCATGAGGGTCGAACACACTCGTTTATGTGACGTGCCGCTGTTGAGGGGGAGACTAACAGGGTTTCAACACAGCTGAAAGTTGGCCAATCACATGCTACTGAGACTAAAAGCAAAGAAGATAGATACTACATATAGAAGTCCGTTTCCCTATAGTCTGGTGAGGACAATTTTCGAACCCGACTTGTGAGTACTGAACCCACAAGATGGATGGCGCCACAGGCGGATGTCGGTAATTAAAGAAAAAAAATTTTTTTCCGATGCCGGGATTTGAACCCGAGGCCTCTGCGCGGAAGTCGAGCGGGCTAGCCACTCGGCCAAACGGCCATGTTACCACTGACAACTCAAATTTCTTATTTGAATTATGCATGGTCGTGAACTGTGGATATATGATTGCCGCAGACAATTTCATGAAAATAAAATACATTTTTACTATAAAAAATTATTTTATACTTATCTCGACCTACGACGTACATATTTTGGTATGTAAAATTATTCTCTTTTTAATAAGATGTTTTTTGTAAGATATATATACATTTACCAACTGTTTTTAACTTATTGAATATAATTGCAATACTTATTTTATTTAATATTATCATTTTTATTCATACTTAAAATTACATCTCGCATCGATTAAACTCGATGAGTATCAAAGATCTATATTTAATGAATATAGATCAACACCGATGTGCAAGAAACAACATCGATTCGTTTCGTGGAAACGTGTATCGTGCGAGAGCCGGCGAGCGGGTGCGTGCGTTTTCGCGCGCGAAAAATTCGCACACTGCCTGCATCATAACATTGACGATCTTAAAAGGCTTTAAACTGTCGATGTGTTTGCACACGACTAGTCCTGTGTCGTTCGCATGTCGCATCGTTTAAACGTCTTGTTCGCAGAGAATAAACGATATCAGTGCAGTTTAACTTTCTTTTATTAGTTTAAAGTCTGTGATTAGTTTTTGCGAGTGATCAGTGCATTTGTGTGTAACAATTGTTTATCAGTGCATTAGTTCTGTGTTAAAATGCCGAGGTCAAGGGCTAAGTGTGTTTTTCAAGGATGTAGCAACAGTTCACAAGATGACAATGTTACGCTACATCGGTTTAAAACAAAACCTCAGAACCTGTAAGTGAATTCTAATGAATATAAAACGTTATTTAATGTTTTGTCCATTTAAATTAATTATCATGTGTACGATCAACGCGTGTCTTATAGTTTTTAAATTGTGCGACGAAATTAGTGCGACGGAATTTGTGCGACGAAATAAAAAATTATTACGACTCAGTTTTTTCTTTAAAATCAAAAAATTTACGTCGAGCCAAATATTCTAGGAGCCGCACAGGTGCCCGCTTCAAAATAAATCCCAAAAGCTAAACGAATGTGTTTTTCTCGTATTTTTTTCCGCTGAACACGAATTTCGGAGGTGTACATCGATCCGAGTGGTCGTTTTTTTGTTATAGCTATATATGCGTAATACGTGCGCGTGTCTCTACTCTCGGTACGCGTACACGTCCTGGGCACACTCCGCACTTGATGGATATAAGACCTGAGGTTGTTGAGAATGTATAAGAGCTGCTTGCGTGGATCGAGTCGCAGAAAAACTCGAGGCATATCGCGCAAAGCAGCCGTTGAAAGCTCAGCTTCTCAATGGTTGTAGATCGTTCGTAACGTTCGTAATGTACAAAATGATGTCCCTGAAGTTCGTAACGTTATCAAATAACGAAAAAATTTACCACAGTATATCTTTGGAAAAGTGATTTTTCGTCCCAGATCATGCATAAAATGAGTATCCACATTTAAACAAATAAATACCCATGAGATATATGTATAAAAAAAAGTAATACCAACGAATTCGCCGGATCGATTGTGAACAAAATATGGACATATTTTACCACACAAAGTCTTGAAGTAAAATTACGCAAAATAAAGTAGAACCAAAATATTATTGTTTTTTAATGTTGTTTAACTCCTAAAGAAACTACAAAAAAAGTTTCAGAGCCCTAGCTATCCCGGAACATAGCAAAAATTTAATTCGAGACTGGCGAAAAACGGAATTATTCGAGAAATCGCACAAGTCTTGAAGTTAAATTACGCAAAATAAAGTAGAACCAAAATATTATCGTTTTTTATTGTTGTTTAACTCCTAAAGAAACTACAAAAAAAGTTTCAGAGCCCTAGCTATCCCGGAACATAGCAAAAATTTAATTCGAGACTGGCGAAAAACGGAATTATTCGAGAAATCGCACAAGTCTTGAAGTTAAATTACGCAAAATAAAGTAGAACCAAAATATTATCGTTTTTTATTGTTGTTTAACTCCTAAAGAAACTACAAAAAAAGTTTCAGAGCCCTAGCTATCCCGGAACATAGAAAAAATTTAATTCGAGACTGGCGAAAAACGGAATTATTCGAGAAATCGCACAAGTCTTGAAGTTAAATTACGCAAAATAAAGTAGAACCAAAATATTATCGTTTTTTATTGTTGTTTAACTCCTAAAGAAACTACAAAAAAAGTTTCAGAGCCCTAGCTATCCCGGAACATAGAAAAAATTTAATTCGAGACTGGCGAAAAACGGAATTATTCGAGAAATCGCACAAGTCTTGAAGTTAAATTACGCAAAATAAAGTAGAACCAAAATATTATCGTTTTTTATTGTTGTTTAACTCCTAAAGAAACTACAAAAAAAGTTTCAGAGCCCTAGCTATCCCGGAACATAAAAAAAATGAATTTATAATTAGTAAAATTCGGCACTTTTCGAGAATTCGAACTAAGTCTTGCAGTAAAATTACTCAAAACAAAAGAGAACCAAAATATTATTGTTTTTTATAGTTATTTACCTTGGTGCGATTTCTTGAAAAATTCGCTTTTTCGCAAGTCTCGAATTAAATTTTTCCTATGTTCCGGGATAGCTAGGGCTTTGAAACTTTTTTTGTAGTTTCTTTAGGAGTTAAACAACAATAAAAAACGATAATATTTTGGTTCTACTTTATTTTGCGTAATTTAACTTCAAGACTTGTGCGATTTCTCGAATAATTCCGTTTTTCGCCAGTCTCGAATTAAATTTTTGCTATGTTCCGGGATAGCTAGGGCTCTGAAACTTTTTTTGTAGTTTCTTTAGGAGTTAAACAACATTAAAAAACAATAATATTTTGGTTCTACTTTATTTTGCGTAATTTAACTTCAAGACTTGTGCGATTTCTCGAATAATTCCGTTTTTCGCCAGTCTCGAATTAAATTTTTGCTATGTTCCGGGATAGCTAGGGCTCTGAAACTTTTTTTGTAGTTTCTTTAGGAGTTAAACAACATTAAAAAACAATAATATTTTGGTTCTACTTTATTTTGCGTAATTTAACTTCAAGACTTGTGCGATTTCTCGAATAATTCCGTTTTTCGCCAGTCTCGAATTAAATTTTTGCTATGTTCCGGGATAGCTAGGGCTCTGAAACTTTTTTTGTAGTTTCTTTAGGAGTTAAACAACATTAAAAAACAATAATATTTTGGTTCTACTTTATTTTGCGTAATTTTACTTCAAGACTTTGTGTGGTAAAATATGTCCATATTTTGTTCACAATCGATCCGGCGAATTCGTTGGTATTACTTTTTTTTATACATATATCTCATGGGTATTTATTTGTTTAGATGTGGATACTCATTTTATGCATGATCTGGGACGAAAAATCACTTTTCCAAAGATATACTGTGGTAAATTTTTTCGTTATTTGATAACGTTACGAACTTCAGGGACATTATTTTGTACATTACGAACGTTACGAACGATCTACAACCATTGAGAAGCTGAGCTTTCAACGGCTGCTTTGCGCGATATGCCTCGAGTTTTTCTGCGACTCGATCCACGCAAGCAGCTCTTATACATTCTCAACAACCTCAGGTCTTATATCCATCAAGTGCGGAGTGTGCCCAGGACGTGTACGCGTACCGAGAGTAGAGACACGCGCACGTATTACGCATATATAGCTATAACAAAAAAACGACCACTCGGATCGATGTACACCTCCGAAATTCGTGTTCAGCGGAAAAAAATACGAGAAAAACACATTCGTTTAGCTTTTGGGATTTATTTTGAAGCGGGCACCTGTGCGGCTCCTAGAATATTTGGCTCGACGTAAATTTTTTGATTTTAAAGAAAAAACTGAGTCGTAATAATTTTTTATTTCGTCGCACAAATTCCGTCGCACTAATTTCGTCGCACAATTTAAAAACTATAAGACACGCGTTGATCGTACACATGATAATTAATTTAAATGGACAAAACATTAAATAACGTTTTATATTCATTAGAATTCACTTACAGGTTCTGAGGTTTTGTTTTAAACCGATGTAGCGTAACATTGTCATCTTGTGAACTGTTGCTACATCCTTGAAAAACACACTTAGCCCTTGACCTCGGCATTTTAACACAGAACTAATGCACTGATAAACAATTGTTACACACAAATGCACTGATCACTCGCAAAAACTAATCACAGACTTTAAACTAATAAAAGAAAGTTAAACTGCACTGATATCGTTTATTCTCTGCGAACAAGACGTTTAAACGATGCGACATGCGAACGACACAGGACTAGTCGTGTGCAAACACATCGACAGTTTAAAGCCTTTTAAGATCGTCAATGTTATGATGCAGGCAGTGTGCGAATTTTTCGCGCGCGAAAACGCACGCACCCGCTCGCCGGCTCTCGCACGATACACGTTTCCACGAAACGAATCGATGTTGTTTCTTGCACATCGGTGTTGATCTATATTCATTAAATATAGATCTTTGATACTCATCGAGTTTAATCGATGCGAGATGTAATTTTAAGTATGAATAAAAATGATAATATTAAATAAAATAAGTATTGCAATTATATTCAATAAGTTAAAAACAGTTGGTAAATATATATATATCTTACAAAAAACATCTTATTAAAAAGAGAATAATTTTACATACCAAAATATGTACGTCGTAGGTCGAGATAAGTATAAAATAATTTTTTATAGTAAAAATGTATTTTATTTTCATGAAATTGTCTGCGGCAATCATATATCCACAGTTCACGACCATGCATAATTCAAATAAGAAATTTGAGTTGTCAGTGGTAACATGGCCGTTTGGCCGAGTGGCTAGCCCGCTCGACTTCCGCGCAGAGGCCTCGGGTTCAAATCCCGGCATCGGAAAAAAATTTTTTTTCTTTAATTACCGACATCCGCCTGTGGCGCCATCCATCTTGTGGGTTCAGTACTCACAAGTCGGGTTCGAAAATTGTCCTCACCAGACTATAGGGAAACGGACTTCTATATGTAGTATCTATCTTCTTTGCTAAAAGCTACGATCCGTAAGTACGGACGCCCGTTTTTCACGGCTTCACCTCTCATACTTAACGCGCTTAAAGAAGTTTCACTTCAAAAAAGAATAAAAAAAAATAAAATATCAAGGTTTAGGTGTCCCCTGAAGAATTTTCTACATTATTCTCAATATTATGATATTTTATGCTTACTGAGTGAAATAAAAGTTATACGGTTATTAAAATTTATTATTCGGAGTATATGCAATTTTAAAAATAATTTTTCAAACCTATTTTTTTTCTTTCTCATTTACCCTTCTTGCGAAGGCCTGCAGAAGCTATTTACAAATTAAAACCTCTTTTTTAAAAAGTTTCTAATGCAAAGAAATTTCATAATATCATCTTGAAAAACACCGAGGACAAAATAAAATTTATTATAATTTTTGAACGTTAATATTTTACTAAAACATAAAAATAATTAGGTCAAAGTTAAAATTCTTTTTCAATATTTGAGCTCTGACAAGTAATTGAGAATTGAAGTATCTATACACTTGGTAATAGCCATGATAAAGTTAGTCCACAAATCAAATTTTTTATCGTTTTTTGAAAATTTTACTAAATATTTCTTCAAAAGGCCCTAGGTGATTTTCATTTTAAGCGTTCAGTAGATCCTTTAAAAAACGATTAAACGTTTTTTTTAGCTGGTTTTGTAATCTCTTTGAAGGTCCAAAAATTATATTTACCCTACATGATAATTTTAACATTTATAAATGGTATATTACAAGCTTGGATTTTTTTTAACTCTGAAAAATTAATAAAGTCCCAGGGCATGTGCAATTAACGACCGAGTTAACGAAGCAGAGACTGATTAGCACATGCCTTGGGACTTTACTGTTTTACGCGACCTATGTCAGTAATACATTACTTTTCAGGAAAAAAAATAGGATGTGTTTGTGCACTATGATAATTACTATTTTTCTGTGCACTTACAATAAAAACTTCGGAACACTTCGTTAGCATGATTGTAAAATATATTTAAATTATATTTTTATTATAATACATTCATGTATTCAACGTAAATATTTTAAATATTACACAATTCAAGCAAGTACTGTAATCAATATATTCTTTTTTTGTAGATATTCAATAAAATTTTTAAAATTGCACTTATCGTAAGATAGATTAAAATAATTCCTTGTTTACAGAAATTAAATAATATAACCTAAGTTAATAAATTACATGGGGATACCAGTTTTTTTTTATAAAAATCATAAAAAAATCATGATAGTTCACTATATTTTTTATTAATGCTTTGTGATTTCAAATAAATCATTTTAAAGACTCAAAATGTACAATAACAAATATTGCATAAAAAGAAAGTATAGAATTTTGCACTCAAAACTAATCCAACTTCTAGCATTCAGTTCACAACATTGATAAAAATTATAATATTTTATTCAATTTATGAACTTTTGGAGCATCTTTTATTTTGATTACATAACTTTGCATCAAGACTGTAAGTCAATGAAGTAATAGAAGTAATGAGAAGCCAATAATTACATTGATCATTACTAAAAAAAATAATTTACAATATGTTCCTCAACAAAGAACAGTTGATGGATCACATGCAAAAAAGTGAATAGCTATGTTAGAAAGATTGTTGGTAACTGCAGCAAAAATTTTGTGTATGAAAATGATAATCAAGGTTACCAAAATCCACATTTTTACTAATTAAAATTCTGATTTTTTTTAAAGATATTCTCTATTCAAATTATTTTGAAAGATCCTGCGTAGTCGTTTAATATTAATATGATAGACAATAAAAATTTCTTAGATTCCGACGTAATGAAATTGCATTATATGAACCATAAAGCATAGAATTCGCGTGTTTAATATCAATGAAAATAGTGATTTAAAAAACTTCTTAGTTAACGAATCATATCAATCAATAAAAATGTTAACTTTAGCACCCTCTCAAAACATAGATTTCACTGTATATATAACGCAGGTTCTTTTATGTGGCTGGAGCACTATGCTTTTATATTGAACCTTTATATATCATAATGGGCAAAGCAATCGTTCAGTGCTGCAGGTGAATAGCTATTTAGCTTATAAGCTCATAACATTTAGAGGTAGAAATAATGCCGACAAATATCAACTGACTAGCGACATTCCCATATCTTGGCAGTTTGATCAACGCTACCTGTGACAACATAAGGATGACTCCTATGGAAATCTGAAAGAAAAAGTGTCAAAAATCAATAACTATATAACTTTATTAAAAATTATCACTAATCATTTTCTGATGTGTAAGGAACAAGTGAACTAACCAAGTGAAGTGCAGAAGTGAGCGTGAGCTTCGAGAGTTTTCATATTACGTTTGTTGCGTATGTCCCAAACACGAAGCGTTTTATCGTCAGAAGCGCTAACGACAAACTTTCCACTTGGATGAAAAACTACGCCCCGTATCCAATTGTCATGTCCAATGAAGGCAAACAGACAAATACCATTTACAGTATCCCAAATACGAATTGTTTTATCGCGAGAACCAGAAGCAAGAAAAGGGCCTTCGTGAGCAACTTTATTATCAGCTCCAGCTGCCGAATTAAGAGATCCACGGGCACTATCAGGTGCCCAAGCTAAGCACTCAACTACATGCTCATGACCACGTAATTCAAGCTTGGATTCTTTGTTTGATAGTTGCCATATACGCAGAGATTGGTCATTTGAGCAACTAGCAATGAATTCACCGCAAGGGCTAACACGTACCATGCGCACCCACTCTCTATGACCAGTCAATGTTTTAACGCAGTAACCCGTGGCAATTTCCCAAAGTTTTATAGTTTTATCTCGTGAAGCACTTATAAGCAGGTCACCCTGAGGAACAAATGCTACTGAGCTTACATTATGATCATGACCATGCATTGTTTTAATACATGAAAACGACTGGCTAAAATCCCACAGTTTTATTGACAAGTCAGAACTACAGCTGGCAAGAAGTTTGCCACTTGCGTCAAAGCCAATATCTTGCACACTATCTGTATGGCCTTTTAGTGTACGTTCAAATTCTCCACTTTCAAAATCCCAAACCTTGATACTAGCATCCTCACTAGCAGACACCACTAGGCTAAACACTGGATGAAATATAACTCGATTAATACTAGCTCGATGGCCGGTTAAACAAAATTTTTCTGGTGGCCTTGGAATCCATTCTGATGGTGAACGCTTTCCACGCGTGGGTGCACCTTCAATAAATTCTTTTTCTGCTTCAGACAATTTTGATTCCAATTCCATCACCTTAGCAGGAAAATAAAGTTTTACTTCAGTACTATGGATTTTGGTAAAAAATGATAAAAATAATGTTTAACTATACCTTTTTTTGTAATCGAATAACAGAAGTCCATTTTTTTTCTAGCAAGCCACTATATTTACGCTCTACTTCCCCAGGCATATCAGCCTCTTTTTTAAATGATTCTAATGCATCCTGGTATCCATTTGCACTTAAGTAGTCTGCAATAGCTTTGTTTCTAAAAAAATTGATTTATCAAAATTAATTATAGAAATATAACTTTTATTTTGCTAACTTATGTAATTTTGAAGAGAAAATATTGTATTAATAATGTAATATAAAGTAATTCAACAAATAAAAAAAACATAATTTGGAATGAAGTGTAAAATAATTAGGCAAGTTTTAAAATAAACCATTTTAATAAAATACAGTAAGATTGTAAAATTAACTTTATCAAAAAATATCAAATTTGGTACATTTTATGAACACTTAGCGAACATTAATTCTGTCAGGTGGAATGCCAGAATTTCTTTTGCTTATATACATTTCACCACTCTATTCTATCTAACAGAATTGATGTTCACTTAGGGAACATTTCAAGATCTACTTCAAAATAATTAAACATAATCAAAATTTTTAGCACATAATAAGGTTATGAAATCTGATATCAGCATTTTAATACTTACAACTCCTCCCTCTGACGTTGAGACAGCACCATTTTCATGATCTTTAATTTTGCCTTAGAATGAGCTCAAAAGTTCAAATAGAAACTGTGGAGAGAATCAACAATTCACCTGCAAGGTTTTCTTACTGAGCATTAGATGGCCATTGATGTTTAGCTACAAAAAAAAACATTTATCAGAGAGTGTTTAATGAGCAGTTCTAAGTGACAATTTAACAGCACAAAAACGACGACGATTTGTTCAATATTCGGTGATGGGTAACCGACTGAATAATCTAATGGAAATGCTCAAAGTAGATGTTTTAATTTTGGAAAATATTCAGAGTAAATAAATATGTCGAGCTTTACCAGCAGACGTCACGGTAACTCACCGCAGACATTGATTGTTTTTAAACGCACCCATACACATGTGCAATGAAGGTGCAAAAAAATCAAGCCATCACCGACGATCAATCGTGCTGGTTAATGGTATTTCAAAAAGGCGTCACAGAGATTTCATTGAGAAATTGGCGAAATGTATGTTTCGTAGGGAGACAGCATCATTGATCGAGTAAAGAGGAGTTCGCACGACAGCTGATTCGAACAAAAGATAGCTCTCATTGCCAATGTCTTTATGACTCGGCCATTTTGCTAAGAGCATTTCCTATATCAGTATCGTAGAATTTGCGTAATAGATAGCCGACTACTCACGTCCAGCTGTCGTCGCTATTGTTGCGACTGCCGTTGTCAACGGGAATAAGCCTCGACGCGGGCTGCCAGACCAAGCCAGGCGCCCGCGGCGCGCTCCTACTGCTACCGCTCGACGTCCGACGCTCGTCCTGCAAGTGGTAGGCCTATCGCTAACACCACCTTCGTACGCCACCAGTAGCCCAAAAGCTTGAATGACAAAAACCTACTGGATGTGTCAATGCGACGATGTTTGGCGTTACTTGTAAATACAAAACAGACGTTCTCGGTAATTACATATCATGCATAATGTAAGCTCACTCGATTCAAGGCAATTACACGAAATTCACGGATAATAAATGCACTGTGCACACGACTACATCAGCAAACTTTCTACGTCATATTGTCGGTGGCGTCGCTGCTGTACCTTATTACTACAACGTTATATATATATATATCAGTCTACAACATAGATGATATACATGCTATATGAATACCTGCGCTTGAAGATTCTCTTCATTACATCAGTATGTTACACACCATGCTGCACATAGATTTTCTAAGCGCGCTTCGCTTTCTTATAGGCGTGTGGGGTGAAATGTACAAATAAAAAAATGAAATTTCTTGAAAAAAATTCTGATGTTTGAATTTTGCAATTTAATGTGTTTTTGCGATACTGTTCTGCTCGATAAAGCGTCATATATTTTACTGTGAAAAGTCTATTTTGAACGGCCGACCAAATTGAAAAATACGTTACATTGAAAACGATTTTAAATGATTTTCTTTTAGGCCAATGACGATGTTTATCATATAATTTAAAATTTAAAAAAAAATTCCATTGCAATTACACTCGATCCTTTTTCGACTATCTCTTTTGACTGAGGATTCAGTATTAATCTACAATGTTTTGCCAAAAGAAAATCGGGGCAAGTTTTCAATTGTAGAATTTTTAATTAGAACGCAGTAAAATTCCTTAATATTCGAAAAAGTTGCAGGTTCTTCTCAAGTACAAAATAAAGACAGATATTCAAATCAATAGCTCGATAAACTTGTGATCTAATTCGTAGTGAAGGGACAATTTTGTATTCTGTGAACGTGAAAAGTGCGTTTCTGTATAATTATTTCAATAAGTAGGTATATAACAAAATTACTTTCAAGTACCTAATTCTTTTACCTAAAGTGTCCACGAAAAATATTAAAAAACTTTATTTTGGTACAAGAAGTATGATAATTATTATCGTAAAACCTAACCTGAACTATATGTACTAATATTTAATATCAACAGTTCGTTTTCAATAGATAGATTAGTGCTATTAGCATTTTCAAGTGACCTTTCACCAGATCTATAAGTTTGTGTTGATTAATTTAATAAGATGACTTCAAGTTCAACTGACATCACATACACAGCAAGTGGTTTTTATGATGATTGTATTTTACTCTTAGATTCATTCAAAAACAAAGAAAGTATTAGATACGATGAGTTTTGTAAAACATGGTGCGAATTAAAGTTCTCATTGATTTTCCTGTAAGTCATTATTATTATTAAATTTAATTATGTTTAGAATTATAACTCTAGTGATGAATTTTTCAATTTGCAGAGGTCGAAGATCTTATGCTGACATGTTGGAATTTTGTGAAGAAGTGTTAATCATAGCTAAACACTTTATTACTTCTTCTTCAGATCTTCCTACTCAACTGAGTGGGCTTTATCTGTTGTACAGTTTATATTATAAAATACCAATTGAAAATATAAAAATTCGTGTAACTTACAATGAATGGCAACAATTTTTAGATCTTCATGAAGAAATAAAGGATAAACAGTTACATGATGCCAGCTTTATTTTTGTAAAATTAATAGTTGATGATGCATATTATTTCTGCATTTTTTCCAATGAGGTATTTAATTTTCTTTTAGATCTTTTATTAAGTATTTCTTTTTATAAATATCATAAAATTATTTTAGTACGGTCTAGAACGGTGCTTCATTAAATCTTACACAGAGTATGCTAATAACAATCCATTTTCAAATTTAAATAACATGATAAATGAAATTGAAAATGGAGAATTTTCAAAGATACAACAACTCAGTGAATTGTATAATAAAAACAAAGTCAAACTATCTAATGTGCTTTCATTGAAAAAATTGCAACTATTTGATAAAAATTTGGTGCATGAAGTAATAAATGAAGTTGAACAATTACAAGATAAAAGACAAGAATTTACTGGAACTAAGAGTAAAAAAAAATTGCGAGATCTTGCATTTGATAATAAATTAGAAAAGTCAAAGTAAGTTGAATTTACTAAATACACCTGAAGCTATAGGAACAAAAACTAGAACTTTCATGAAATTGTACAAATAGAAGCGTTTCTATAAGTTTATAAATAGTTTGCCAACTTTTTCCACAATTTCTCATGAGTTGTAGTTTTTGCATCAAGCATCTAATAGAATACATTCAACATTGATTTTTTTTAATTGTTATATAAAAATTTAGGTATACCGATGATAAAATTAGAGCAAAATTGGGTCATGGTTTTGATACAGATTCATCTGATGATGAAAATGTAAGTCTGCAATCTGTGCTAGAGGAGACTGAAAATGGAAGAAATAAAACTAATTTTGACATTAAAAATATTCTTAATGATGATCGAAGTGAAGAATCTGATACTTGAAGACTGACTGTATTATATTTCATAATTTCATTATTTTTGTAATAAAATATTCCAATAAGATTTTAGCTTTAAACAATTTCATGAAACTAGATTTATTTACTTAATTCTTAACAAGTAATTGATACTAAATATTTTCAACGTGAAAATTAGATAAATTTATCAACTATGAAAAATGTAAAAAAATATTTAGTGAAATTTTTAATAAACATTCAATTGATTGCTATTGTCAAATCCAGCGCTATGTCCAGCATTTCTTACTATGAAACTTGTTCCATCATAATGCATTCGCCTTTCTCCTCTCCTAACAAATAAATGTGAAGTTTGACCCAAAGAAGCTGTACAATGTAGAAATGGAGTGGTTAATGATGCTGTTCCATTACTTGGTGATGTTCGCAACTGATATTTGTTACTGTTACGGGCAATTCTGTAAAAATCAAGTTTTACCTTCGTAAGTAAAAAAATTTGGAATTTTGTTATACATTTATGCTAACTTTATTTCAAAGTATGATTACCTGACTAGTCCATCAGGAGTTTGTGAAATTCGAACATTATTGATTATCCAATTTTCAATACCCTCATTAGTTTGCCAGTACTGAGAATTAGATAAGACTTGTGCAGCCTGTTGATAATAAGCTGGTCCATGTCTTGATTCAGCATAAAATATTGGCAAGGAGAAGTCCTTCATAATACAAAGTTTGAATTTTGTAAACATTGGTGATTTTATATTAGATAAATTTACTTACGTCTCTCATGTCAGAAAATGTATCTGTTGTTGTTCTTGTACCAGCAGCATCAACCAAGTAAACTAGTGCACATTGCTCTGATGAGAAGCTCACACCTTTATACCACATTTTGGCATATCTATTAAAAATAATATTAATTGAAAATTAGAAGTCAAGTTGAATGAAAGTATATTTTATAAAATAGTATAATAACAAACTTGTCATTTCCATGAAAGTCATGAGCCAGAATCTCAACCCTTGAACCATATTGGTATATGCGGCCATTTGGATGAAGGAGAGCAGAAGCAGTACCAGAACCACTCAAGGCCAAAACAATATTGTTCTGTGAATGTTAAGAAATGTTAAAAACATATAAGAATAGAAAAAAGGCCCTACTCTGACGTATTTATGTTTTACCTTCCAATTAATGAGACGTACGGCACGATCGACGGTGAGGTCGACGCGAATTTTGTTCCGGAGCCGGAGTGATATAGTCCCATGAGGTGTTGCAAGTAAGCCGGCCTCGGCGTCAGACCAATTGTCCAAGCCAGAAAAAAATTGGGACTCTTTCGAGATTAAGGCTTTGCGTCGCCATTGCGAGCCCAAGTGCGATTCGATGCCGTAGGCGGAATTTTCTTCTAGCTGTTTGCCGAGCTCTGGATAAGCCTGGGGCGCGATGTGTTGCTGTTGATCTTCGGGACATGTTAACGTTGTATAGAGAGAGCGAGGTCGCGCATTTAATACGGACTGCTTGCTCTTGACTTTGTTGTGACGCTGATTGTATTTATGTCTCACGGAGAGCACTGCCGCATTAGCGGCTCCCTCACTCGGACGATCCACGTCTGATTTTAATTTTACCGGTCAAGATCGATTCACCACCCGCAATTGATTGATAAGTTACCCGTATTTTACGAACGTTGCACAATTCTATGATGCTTGCAGCTCGATATTTTTCTTTTTCACATGAGATTCAATGGGTTGCCTTAGAGATATTAATAAACAAAAGAATAACGTACTTTATTTATTACTTGAACGATTGCCTCTATCAAGAAGAAATGTACAACAATGAATTCAACAAACTATATAAGTACTATATAATTCATTCGTTTGCTAAAAAAAATATCATTATTAAAATTTTTACAACAAGAATATTGAAAAACATTTTCCAACAATTTTTTTTAAATATGCTTAAAATTTTGGATTTTTTTTCATAAAAAAATTTTTACAAATGTATAACATGATTGTCTATATATAGGTTTAAACATATACACTAAAAAGAAGCAAATCCTGCTGCATAACTTGAATTTATTCCCTTTGAATTCAATTGAATTCAATCAACAAATTTATTACTTTTGATGATCGTCATTAATTTTCTGATTGATACACAATTTTTGTAGCAACTTACTTTGTTCAAAATGACATTTTTGTTTTGGTAGTTTATAAAAACTATCTTAACTCTGATAATTGAGGCGAAAAAATGAATCTAAGTTTTGACAACTAGTCAATTGTGCTAATAATGATTTTCATTGAGTAATTCATGACAAAACACGTTTTCTAATCTAATAATTCTAAAAATACTAACACTAAAACTAAAATCTAAAATGAAGTTGTTCTACATTTTTTAATCACCAACAAATAAAAAGAGATAATTATGTTTTTTTTTAATATATGAAAATATATCTTTATTTATACATTTATCATATCAGTTAGATTAATTATAATAAAGTTTAGTTTGATATTTTTATACTCAAATGTATACATTTTTGATGTTTGAGTCTTCTTATGATTTGGTCATGGTTCAGGAATTTTTTATGAAATAAATTCACAAAATTACTTTATTTCAATTAGTTTATCAAAAAAGAAAAAAAGACAATTTCAATGTAATCATTAACATTAGGAAAATCAAGCAATAATGAATTTTAACTGGACTATAGAAATGAATTAATATAAATTCTAGGAATTTTCAAATAAAGCTAAATCTAATTGTTAATAATTAAGATTAATCAATGGTTTCATCATTTATGATCGATTGAATAACATTTAGTCTAACTATATAGCGTTTAATATATTTTTTTTTTTTTTTGAAGATTTCTAAAATAACATTATCAACATTATTAACGCATTAAATATAAATAATTAAAAGATAATTAGAAAAATTAGTTATTATGATTGGTGAACTAAGCATCTTGGATCTCAGTCTCTAATCAATTGTCAAATTATGAATACTGACTCTGCCTTATATGAATAGATAGTTTTAAAGTATCTGGAATGCTCATAGCATTTATTCTAATCGAGCTCTTTTTAGTTTTGTTGAGCTTGCTGCAATATTCTCATTTATTGGTCTTCTTGGTAAAGCATTTTCATTATTTGTAAAACCTAATAGCTTATTCACTTTATTCAACATCACATCATCATCCATCCAAGGATGTCTCAGAACTTCTTTGATGGTAATACGTTTTTTTGGGTCAACTGTCATCATTCGTTTGATCTGAAATAAAAATATAAGGAAATTATATTACACCTTATCTTTCATCTTTAAAGCAGTTACAAATTTGAGTCTTACAAGATCTTTGGCATTAGCTGATACATCAAAAAATTTAGAAAAATGAAACTTATAAAGTCCTTTGACTATTTGATCAGATAGAGTATTGGCTTTGTCATTGACCTTGAATGGAGTCAAACCACTCAAGCAACAATACAAAATCACACCCAAACTCCAAACATCAACTTGACTTGTATAAGAACCTCTGCCACCAGTTAATAAAATTTCTGGAGCAACATACATAGGAGTTCCACAAAAAGTCTTCATCATTGTTTGAGAATCCACAAACTTGGATAAACCAAAGTCAGAAACTTTCACTATGGTTTCTTCTTCATGGCTAGCCAGAAGAATGTTGTCAGGCTAAAATATAAAGAAATGAATGTATTGTTTAACATTGAAATAAGAATCAAAAAAATTAATTACCTTTAAATCTCTATGAGTTATACCATGCTCGTGCAAATAATTTACTGCCAAAACTACTTGATAAAAAATAAATTTGGAATTTTCTTCTGATAGCCCGTTAGCTTTTTTTATTCTCTCAAGCAACTCTCCACCTTCCATCAATTCTAATATGATATAAACCATAGAAGGACTATCAAAAAATTCTTCTACTTTTATAATGCATGGCTAAAATAAGAAAATAAAGTAATAATAAAATAATAATAGATGATTAAGTAATAAGATTTGTAATAATGAAGTTATCATTTTTTAAACATACATGTTTTAGACTTTTGCAGATAGCAACCTCATTCATAATGTGTTTTTCATCATTTAAAGGATTTTTGTGTCCTGTAATACTAATTCTTGCTTTGGATATCATTTTCATAGCATATTTTTTGCCTGCTAAACCAGATTTGGAAAAACATAACTTTACTTCTCCGCATGCCCCAGCCCCCAATGTTCTTGAGACTGCATATTTTCCCCTTAATTCTTCAGGTAAAAATGAATCATCATATCCACTAGTGCTCATATACACAAAAACTAAAAAATAAAAAACAATTTTTTAAATTACTCCAAAATACAGTGATAAAATTTTATAATTTTATAAAAATTTAAAAAAATAATAAGTACCATGGAAATGTTGCTTGGCAACAGCAATTAAATCATTATTTACGAGTACCACCCTGTTATTTTTTCCAACAAGATTATTATTGACAAATGTTCCATTTTGACTTTCATCATACAAATATACAACATCATCTTCAACGCCATTTGATGTACCACATTTTTCTCTATAGATTCTAAAGTGAGTCTTACTTATAACTTGTTCTTTTTTCATGGGGATTTTGTCCTTAATGCAAATATCACAGCTTTTTAATCGCCCAAAAGTATATTCATCTTTGGTCAGAACTGAAAAATAAATTTTATAAAATAAGACAGATTTTCTGTATATTTTTTAAGGCAGAATATGCAATATTAAAATGGACATTTTGTGAATATTAAATTCAAGATTAAGAATAAAATCTAATACATAATAGTAGGAACATGAATTTTGTTTTAGATAAATGTTAGTTTATTTATTGATAGGATAAAAGTAAATTTAACAACTGGATGTAGTAGCAGATTTTTTAATGAATAATTCATCTATCGCAAGTAAAGAACCAATCAAACATTGAAACAAGATAAAATTAATAATATTTATAGTTGTAATTTTATAATGAAATTTCATACCAACAGTATGCAGACTTATTTCTCCATGAGGACACAATCTACCCCAAACTTTAGGTTGAGTTTCCGTTGCTACGAGGGTATCTTGGGATTGTGTAAAACACTGAGAATCAGCATTTTGAGTGTCTGGTAAACTCAATGGTGTGTTGATTTCGTCAGTTTCCATGGTGTATCCAAAAAATTAATACCAGTGCTTCTTGATAACACGTTTGAACGTTATAAAATTTAACTAGAAAAACTAATGACAAAGATATTCAATGGATGCTTAAGAAAATTTCGATCGCGGTTGAAGGAGCTCTTCTATTATTAAAAACTTATTCGAACAAGAAATCACAATTTTTGTATAATTAAGACTGAAATATTTATGCGGTAGAAAAAGTAAAAAGGTTGAATAATACTTGATCTTAATGTTAACCGAACAATTTAACGATAATACAAACAACTACTTAAATCAGTACCATTATGATGTAAAACTACTGATTAAAATAACCCCGATGAAAAACGTAAGTTTTTCATTGCTACTAATTGTTCGTTGCGATTAATTCGTTAGACCGAGATTTATAGAGACAAGGTTAATACAAATCTTTTCGCATACCGCACAACAAACAGAAACATTAACCCGGGAATCAGTCAGGAGCGCGCGCCGGTCAATGGATTGGTGTAGTACTGTGTATCAATATAAGCCAACTGCGAAAACAAAAGTAAGTGAAAACTTTTTGATGATGGCTGGCTCGAACTCTGTTGGCATGAGATAATAATCTTCTAATACAAGATTACTTTCAAGAGACTGCAAGACAATATTATATTCTATGTAAGTTTCTAAGATTTGCCAAATAATTTAACATTTTCCGATTTTCGATTGTTTTGAGCTATCTTGATTTTATTTGTTCCACTAAAAGGGCGCGCGCCAGCGCCCCTGTTGACAAGTACTATAGTCTATAGTCTATACACATTATAAACCAAACCTGGGCGATATTCCTTATAAATTTTAAAGTCTGTTTTGCGTGAGATTTCTGATACTTATACGAAAAGTTAATTCTGTTCGTTTTATTTAGGATATTAATTTTATTTTTTCAGACGTACCAAAAGGTAAACTTAAGTTTTACATACAATGATTAATTCGCACATATTCTCTTAGTAGTTTAAACATATTCCACCAAGTGACGCTTAGCACTTCATTTGAAACAAGAAAAAAAGATCTCTACCGTATTTTCGTTACGTGAGCGGCTTTTAATATGAATACTTAAAAAAACATTCATGATGTTAGTGTAACATTGAAGGCAAACAAATCGTCTTGATGCTATTTTTCTTCTTGAAAAAATTAATATCATTAGTAAATGGGTTTCCAAATGAATTTTAAAAAAAGCTGCAGAAATATCGTACTTTATTATTGAAGTTGCTTCTGTTCATTTAATTTTATTCATTTACTTCAACCTTGGTGCATTGAACAATAATTGTTAATTAGTTACATCTTGATACCCTTTTCAATCCATTATATTTCAAATTATCGATAAAGATCATGGCAAACTTTCTTGATTTGCTGAAGTAAGTTTTTTTATTACTAGACATTACATTTTAAACAAAGCAGTAATTGTAATATTCCATAGTTGAATTTAAAAATATTTTTCTTGAGCCTAAATTGGTTTGAATGATTTTAGATTCAGATTTTTACAATATATTTTGGGTAAATTGATGTCAAGAGAAACACAAATGTATTGTAGTAGTATACCATTTCCAATTCTTAAAAGCTAATGATTTTTTTATTGAGAGTTGTACAGTGTAAACTATTTTAATGAAAAAATCAAAAAAATTAATCAGTGCTTAAGATTATTATAACATTTGTGGTTGATAATTCTATGATATACTTCATACATTCTAGAAAAATCACCAATGCTTTATGAATAATTGTTGATACCTATAAGAATAAAAGTCATAATCAAAGCACAATGTTATAAGATAGTATTTAAATGACAAAAGGCAAAGATATGCGATTGAACGTATTTGCATAGATGGTAACAATATAAGTAGCCAAAAATTCAACTTTGCTTAAATTAATATAATGCCAAAACAACCATTAATATAATAATCCTTCTTAAACGTGTATATGATGATATCTTTATTGAATACTATTCTCGAGTTGTTCTTGCATGGTTTTACTTTAAAAATACTATAACAATAATCTCAAAAATCAAACTGTAATTTCTTCCATAAACTTGTATAAGACAAACCAAAATTTAATAATTGATAGTAACATTTTTGATTAATTGAAATTTAAAAAAAAATTATATACAGGAAGTTGATTTCAATTTAGATCCAAAAAGCCCCCTAAAAACATTTGAGTTCATACAAAGTATAATTTTAAAAGACATCTATTTATTTTTTACTTTTTTCTATAAAATGAAAAGTTTCATGCTATCACCTTTAAACTCCAAAATTAAAACTCATGAAACAACCAAAATTTGATTGACTTGAAATGTACCCACTATACCCACAAGACTAGTGCGATTAGAGTGTTAAAAAATTTATTGAATGGGATGTTCAATACCGTCTTTCCACAGAATTGCATTGAATGATTCAAGGCGTGCGGAAAACCGTGCTTTTCACGAATGACTGGACATTTTAATATCAACTTTCCGCGTGATGATAAATATAGACCATTTTATAAAATATTGTATAAAACGAAGCCGAAGATTGCAGGCTGTAACTGTCATTTTACAGAAAAAAAGTATTACACCTGTTTCAAAATAGTAGATTACGCAACGGGAGCGGGAGGTTGTCGATCTGCACGAGTGTCAAGTTTGACAACCACCCCAGTTGTGTACACTAATTTTCATTACAACGTGCGGAAAATCGATTTTGAGATCGCCAGCCGTGCGCGAAAGTAGCACTTTCCGCAAGCAGTGATGAAAAGTACTATTATGCCACAAGTGCCCAAAGGGCGTTATTGCGCACAGTATATACACGAGAGCCGTGAACGCCAATTGAATCCTCAGTCCTCACGCATTGGAAAGTATTCCATACCGCGCCTCTCAGTATTCAATGCGAGTGATCCGAAAAATCTAAAGGAATAGGAAAATCTAAAGTAACATTGAATGCATGGAGGCACTGCGGTATCATATACTCCTCAATATTGGCCCCAAAATGTTTCAATGTCAGTTTAAGTAAAAGTCAATATTAAGAGACATAAACTAGACGTTTTATAAATAATAGTAGTAGCAGGTTTATTAAGAAATCTACAAAGCCATAATACAACCGTATGTTTGCCGTAAGAGTAAGCGCGAAATACAATTAAAGTGAATTGGCTTATACTAGACTTAAATTAAATAACAATAAATCTAATTGCTATTTAATTGTAAACTTGGTTCAAAAGTTAATTTAGTCGTGAATGTAAACTCGAAAATATATTCGAGTACATTTTAATTTTTTGATGCTAATTGAGCTATCACAGAGTAATTATGACCATATTTATGATTTTTTAAGTTTCTTACAAGGTTTTGTCCTAGTTCTGTAATTAGTTCGCACTCCTAAAATATATGGGTCAAAATAATACTTTTTAAAATTTTTTAAAGCATCAAAATAGTTTTATCATTTCTTAATGTGTTTTCAGAAACGTATTCAGACTTTTGCATTAATCTTTGTCCTGCTCTAGATTTAGCTAGAAGGCTTCAATCGGAAACTTGAAATGGTCAAAATTTATTAAAATTTGACAAGGAATTCAAAAAAAATATTTTCAAATTTTTTCACCGTAAACATCGGGTTCTAGAAACCTTTTTTTTTTTTTAAATAGCATTTTTCGGCCCTAGAAGCTATCGCCTTCAATTAAAAACTTTGAAAAAATTTTTGGTTACTTTTTTTAATGAAATAAAAAAGAGAAAAAATTTTCGAAATGATTATTGCAATCTAACGCCGTATATGAATTTTTAAAATTTTCAATGATTTTTTCTGAAGGCGTGAAGCACTCAAAAAATCTGAAAAAATTCAAGGTTGTTTAGTTTATTGGAAAGTATTTTTGTGAATTTTTTTAGACTTTTTAATTGCTTCAGGCCTTCAGAAAAAATATAGATAGAAAATGGACGTTTATAGGGGAGGAGGGGGGTAAGAGGGAGGAGGGGTCCAAAATTTTGGTTTTGGCACTTTTTCATCATGTACTATAACATACCAAAAGCGCGTCAAGATCGGTGACATACGTGCGGACGAAAATTAAAAAAAGTATTATTTTGACCCATATATTAGTTTCGAACTTAAATTAAGAAAATGTTGAATTTTTGTAGCATTAATACAATATATTTTGTTATAAGGTTATATTTCGTTACTTGGAATGTGGCAACGACTTATCCGGAACAAAATCTTCATCAGTTACTAGGTCTCAGTAATTCATCGAAGTCAAATGAAAAACCGGATATATATATTGTTGGGTATTTATGAAATTCTGTTGACATTTTGGGTGCATCTTTCATATTGAGCTAATAGTTTGCAGGAGGTAAAATCTCAACCCCAAAATATTGTACTCAATATGTTTTTTGAAGATCCATGGACAAAAGCTTTCAGGTATATACAATATATTCTTAATAAAGACGTAAATCTTATATTATATTTCTTATCATATATTTATATAATATATCTGTGGTGGAAAGGCATAACGACTTAAGTCCATTTTTTTGGAAATCGATATTATGATGAAAAACACCTATATTTAGTGTCTACTTTAAGGTACAAAGGTCAGAATAGACGAATTTAGCTTCTATCGTTAGTTTCAGCATTGTGCATAACGACTTAAGTCCATTTCGTGAAAACTGGGGAAAGGCAAAACGACTTAAGTCCACCTTTGTGAGCTCCAAAATCTTATAGAGAGTCTACTTTGATTTGAAAATGAAAGAAAATGATATTCAAACATATAAATAGCTCTCACATTCTTCGAATGTTGTGAATTTCACTATACAATTGGTACATTTAATACGCGAGGGGTCATTTTCGCGATTTTCAGTTTGGCCTTTTTTCGTTGCAAGACTTGAGATCTGACACTAGTATAACGTTAAATTAGCTATTTTATCAATATAAAATCATTAAATAAGGTTATGATCACAAACTGCGCGAAATTATCGATACTGAAAAAAGTGTGACTGCCAAAAGTGGACTTAAGTGCAAAGCGTGGAAAGGCAAAACGACTTAAGTCCATATTTTTTGCTCCGTATCATCGCTATGATGAGCCTTTCAATTTCATAAGTACATAGGTCAAAAGCTACCTCATAGTAGCTTAAAACATCATAGGTTCAGACCTCAACTCGTCCGCGTCTAGTTAGGCTGGCACAATCAACTTAAAACGCGTTTTTCTCGAAAACACGAAAAATGGACTTAAGTCGTTATGCCTTTCCACCACAGATATATATTCTTATCTTATATTTCACCCAATAAAGGTCTACATAATACATGTAAGATATAATTGGGTCAATTATAAACTTTTTTGAATAATCCTATGCGATAGGTTTTCTGGTTTTGACAAAATGTAAGTATCTTTTAAAAATGTTCAAAATGAGATTGGCCACAGATTCAGCGCTTAAATTGGCAAGGGTTCCCTAGAATCCATATACATGTCCGATTCCTGCAATAATGTAAATTCTCAACGATAAATTAACTGAACTATCTGAACAAGTTCATGAACGTAAATATTAACAACACAAAATAGTATATTATGTACCGTAGAATCGTGGCCAGAACAACGCTACTTAGACCATCCACTGCAGGAGCAACTTAACAACAAATAATTCAAGCCTGTATGTACGTAATACGAACTCGTGTTTATTTTTCTCAAGTTCCTCGTGTGGCCATAGGCAAACGAGAATCGCTCGCTTGTGAAGCCGAGGCCTTACCTACGAATGAATTTCCACACTAGTGGCTCAAAAACAGGTATTTAATGCTTTCTTCTACGCAAAAAATAGGAACATGCTATTTCCAGACTGTTGCTATTTTCTTATTTCAATTTCGATTCGATATCAATGTACGCGCGCTTTGTGACATTCTAACCATAGGCGGTCTTACTCAAATTTATTACAAGTTCTACTACCCATATCCAATACACATAATTGTAAGTTTCACTCAAAAAAATTATAAGCCTCTTGGGTTTTTAATAAATATCCCCAGAAAAATTTTTTCCGATATTTTTAAACAATTTATTGATCAGAATCGGTAGCAATATAAAACGGACTTTTATATGGATTCTAGGCGACCCTAATAAATTGGATGGGTTAAAATTATAAATTTTTTCTTATTTTGAAATGTTGAAAAGGATGTTTTAATTTTGTTCAAAATCTGGAAATCATTTCCACTGGATTGTGTAAAATTTTTTGAAACTGACTGATGCATCGTCTACAATACATAAGTCAAAATAATATACTTTTTTAACACTGCGTGCGCGAAACACGGGTTTTCTAACCTTAAAGCGTCAGAAACCCCTAGTTTCTCGCAAGCAGAGTTAAAAAATATCGTTTGCAACTAGTCTGCGAGGAAGTTGACTCACCCAGGAGTCTTTGCACCCTCGCTACGCTCGGGTGAAAACAACTCCTGGATGAGTCAACTGCTTCGCGTACTTGTTACAAAATATACTAATTTAAATGTTCGTCCGCCTGTGGCTTAATTAGCCAGAAATTACGTAAAATCTAAAAAAATTTCACATTATGTAATGTAGTGTAAAGAGCAAGAAAATAGTTAACCAGCCGAGTCGTCCTTAAAAAAACCGATTCGTTAATGAGGGCTTTTCTGCTCTAAAACATGTATTGATGAACCTAAAAAATCTAAAACAGTTCTAGGTCATATATTTCAATGCTACAAAAAAGACAACATTTTTCAATCTTTCTTAAACCATGATGCCCACAAGTGAACGAAAATTTAAAATAGTATTTTTAGTATTTTTATGGTCACTGAGCGCGGATATATTTTGTCCACTGGATCGCGGAACATCGTATGCTTATACATGTTCCATATCGACCGAATTTGTGTTCCAAAGGACAAAATTAGTCCACAGACAGTGTACCATATCGACGGCTCCGAGAAGAAAGATGTTGTATAGAATAGAGCAAACGAGTTCCAGTTCAAAGCTTCATAAGGCAGCTGATGCTAGGTGCAGCACACGATTCTGTATGATGGTACTTCTACTCTCGAACCGGGCTCATGTTTAGTCTTGTGCATTTATAAGGAGACTACTTAAACTCTAGGTCATGGGTTTTTTGATGTGAAACATCTATATTCGCGTTTGGCATCAGGGGTAAACCCGTAAAAACCGAGCGTCCGTCCGTCCGTCCGTCCGTCCGAGCGAGCGCAACTTTGGTAGTAGAACTGCCTATACAGCGTCGGTTTGCGCTACGCGCTGTGATTGGCTGCTGCGCCAGCTACAGAACTGCTTTCTGCTGCTGCCCGCTGCCTAGACTCGAGGCGCGTATCGCTCTCGCACGCGCGTACGACTGTGTTTACGTATACACACGAGGCAACGAAACAACATAAGCAACAGCAGTCGGCTTAGCTCACGGGATTGACTGCGTTGCGATATCTTTCTCTCTCTTGCTTATGCGTATATGCATAGAATACGTATATGCTGTCGATGCGTATACGTCGCGAGACTACGCACTATTATGCACGTTGTCAAATCTGATATTTATTACTGCATGTATGTATAGTACATTATATACGTGTCTATGAGTGTGTATCTTCTTAAGGGAAGTCGAAATTTTTATCATGTTATATACTAACATACAATGAATGATAACCGCTCGATGCACTAGGACGATATTTTGATTCGGCGATGACTTGTACAAGGAAGTCGATGTTTTTTTTTAATAACTTTTTTTTATAACTTGTAAGGTATTTGATAGGTCTATTGACTCGATATTATAGGAAGTTTTTTGAAGTACTTAATTGAATAAGACTAAAAAGTCAAAGACAAATAAAAATTTTAAATCACTGCTCAATCTAAACAAAACCAATTAAAAACAAATTAAAAAATGAAAAAAATCAAGAAAAAATAAATTTAAAAAAGAAAGCTAGAAATCTGGAATCAAATAAGTAAAAACTAGAAAAGAAAAAAAAAACAAATTAAAAACAAATTAAAAATTGAAAAAATTAAAAAAAATCAGCTGTTTATGAACAGCTGCAAGATGTGAAACATCTTTATCCATTAATTAAAGAAAATTCAAGAATTAAAAAGTAAAATTAAAATTAATTACAGAAAATTAAAAAATTAAAAAGTAAAATAAATAAAAACTAGAAAATCAAGAAAAGATAAAATTTGAATAAAAAAAATCTAAAATCAAACAAGTAAAAAGGAAAAAAACAAAAAAACCAAAAACACGAATCAAACAAGTAAAAGTTGAAACAAAAAAAACTAGAAACTAGAACATCAAAAAAAATCAAAAAACAGAAAAGTCAGAAAATCCCAACACAAGCATCGATGTTTCACATCTGGTGCATAATCAATGCATGCTTACTCTTAAAATCGTTCCCTCTCTTTGAGTTAAGTAATCAGAGTAGTTTCTTGAGCATTAGTGCACCAGATGTGAAACATCGATGCTTGTGTTGGGATTTTCTGACTTTTCTGTTTTTTGATTTTTTTTGATGTTCTAGTTTCTAGTTTTTTTTGTTTCAACTTTTACTTGTTTGATTCGTGTTTTTGGTTTTTTTGTTTTTTTCCTTTTTACTTGTTTGATTTTAGATTTTTTTTATTCAAATTTTATCTTTTCTTGATTTTCTAGTTTTTATTTATTTTACTTTTTAATTTTTTAATTTTCTGTAATTAATTTTAATTTTACTTTTTAATTCTTGAATTTTCTTTAATTAATGGATAAAGATGTTTCACATCTTGTTTTCAAGATTTTTTTAGGTTTCTTGGTAACTAATAATTAAGTAATAATAATAGACTAAGCCCTGGGCTTAGTTTAATCTCAAGGACCTTAAGGCACAATTCAAAGATGATTATCTAAAAGTAGTTTACTATAAAATCAATATTTTTTAATAGCATATAAAATATATTTGATTAAAAAATCATATTTCTTGAATTTAAAATCGAATCGTTTCTTAAATTCAAAAAAGAAAGAAGTTGATATTCGATTCAACGCGAACACGATAGGAACAGGTCATGTTAATGTTACATATAATTTTTTTTATCATGCACGCAAGCTCAAATTTGTTCGTCAAAAATGACGTTGATTCGAGCCTTAACGTTGATTTGACCTAGCGCTGAACCTAGGATAATTGCCCGGAAATATCTCTATTTGAAATATCTTTTCATCACAGCGTGCGGGAAATAAAAACTTCCCGCAACTCGTGATAAAAAATAGCATACGTCACTCGTGCGAGAATCACCCACTTCGCGCACGAGTGACGTAATGTACTATTCTGCATGAAGCTCTGAAATGACATATTTTTTCTCTGAGCCATCGATGTATAGTTTTATGAAACCTAATAAAAATATTTGATTCACAGAGAAATATTGAAAGAGTTTGACTATGTGAAAATTGTAACTAATCGTATGCAAGGTTTAGTAATAAGTCTATTTTGTTTGAAAAAACATATCATTCACCTACGATTGATTGAAACACAATACACAAAAACAGGATTTGGTGGATTGTGGGTAAGAATCCCTTTGTAGTCGTTGATAGAAAATTGTAATTATTGATCATTAAATATTTTCACAGGGAAACAAAGGTGCTGTTAGTATAAGATTTGACCTATATGGTATAAACATATGTTTGGTTAATGCACATTTGAGTCCTCATGATCATTTATTCAATAACCGTATAATAGAATTTGACACTATTATGAGAGAACATTTTTATACGATACCAACCAAAAGTATTATGCTTCACAAGTAAGTATTTTTTCATTTTGTAAGATTTTATAGATTCATGTAGTACAGTCGTTGCACTAGTGCATGTTTTCGTAAATGGGGCACTCGCGTGTGCAATCGTTAGCTATCACTAACTCTCAACTGTGCTAACCTCAACCTCACGGGTTATTTATATCACAAAAAAGAAACTTAATATGAACTTGATATAAATTTGTAGTACCAAAAAAGTAAGTTTAAAATTACTATAATTGCAGGATAGGAGATGAAATTTTTCTAGTTTTTTGAAATTATTTTATTCAAATAGATATACCATATTTTTCTATTAAAACATATGCCAAGAACGTGTTCAAATCCAAAGAATCCACGGTTCGAGATCATTTAAAAAGTTCTGCAATGGATATGAACTGTATGATGATGATTTTACTGCAAAACGAGAAGGGTTATACGATTACATTGCACCAGCCGCGGGTGAAGGCTGTTCCGAGTTTTGTTGAAAATACTTATTTACGCCAGTTGCGTATTTTATGGCACAACAGTTGAGTTTAATCATTTTAATGTTTGCTTTATAAAAAATAGTATAATGAACACTAAGCTTGTGTGAAAACAACTTTTGGTTGAGTTGTCTGTTTCAAGCAATAATTGTATTTGACTGAAAATCAGATATATTAACTGGCATTTTTCTGATCATCAAATAAAAAAAGTTCCACCTCAAGGCTTACTTAATAATAGGAACCTTATTTAAAATAAAGTAGATCAACAAAAAAAGGTGGTAATTGCGAGAATATGATTTTGAATTATCTCATGTACTTTGAATGAGACACATAAATTTTATCAGTAGTTTTCGAAATTGGTTTACACGCGATCCGAAGGCATTCTTGCTAGTTCGAATTTTTAATTAGTACAGTACGACCATTTCAACATTAAGCTTGAAAACCTCTAAAGTCTGAAGGGTCGAAAAATAAAATTTGGCGTTTCTCCGTTACGTGGAGTTATTTAATGTTATCTTAAAATCGCGAAAATCTCTGGACACCTTTAAACGGTGCGTGTGCTTTTCTCAGACGAAGTTAGAGTAAAAATGACACATAAAGTCTTAACCTACTCATTAAAATGATGATTGTGTACTTATAGAGCATGTAAGAATTTACAAGAATCTATATGATATTGAATAAATAAAGAAACTGTTATTTTGGAAAGCGCACGGAGGGGAAATTTCATGTATTTTCCGTTGCTATACTCTTTGATATCTTTCAAGCACAATTTAAGTAGTGAAAGAGGTATCTCATTTTATGTCAAAAATGTAGCATATATTATTAATAAATTTTCTAAATGTACACAGAATACCGAGTTCTGAACATGCAAAATGCCCCTGATTTTCAGTCGAATATCAGTCGATAATTTTAAACATTTAGAGAGTAAAAAACAGTTTTTTGACACCAAAAGATTAGAAAATCCATGATTTAGTGTTGTAAAAATTTTTCTGTTTTTGTATATAATAAATATATGTATAAATTTATGTTTGAATATATTTAATTCTTACGAAAAACCTTTAATTAAAGCTACGTTTTCTGGTTTGGTGACTTGAATTTTCGATTGGGAGACGGGCTGAATGCTGGAGAGATAAACAATCTAATAAAAGAAAACCACTTAGCAGAACTTTTATCTCAAGACCAACTAAAAATTGCCATGAAGAATTATAATATGTTTTCTGAACTATCTGAAGGACCGGTCAATTTTCCTCCAACTTATAAGTTTGAATTTGGATCTCAGGATTTTGATTTGAAGTAATTGCATTTTCACTCATACCACCACTTTTTAAATATTAATTACAAATTTTATTTTTAAGACGCAGGCCATCTTGGACCGATAGAATTTTATTTAAAAATAATCTCAATCAAAATGATGAAACAAAAATAATTTCGAAACAACTTAATTACCAAAGTCATCAAAGCTATGTTCAATCTGACCATAAACCAGTGAGTAGTGAATTCGAAATCGTAGTTAAATCCAAAACATTAGAAAGTGGCGTTGAATTTCATCCAATTAATGTCTGGTACATTGATGAAGAAAGCTCAGTTAATTTTCAATATATAAATGATGAAATACCACACACTGGTGATTGGATTGGGCTGTATCATGCCGATTTTTCTGGATTGGACGAATATCTTGTATACGAGTACATTAGCTGTGGTAAGAATTCTAAAATGAATAAAAAACTCAAGGAGGCTGGAGCGAAAACCTAAATCTTTCTCAATCGCCGTGAAATTTCAATACATGAAAGTTAATCTTATTACTAATTCATTGTTAAAAAAATGTCGGGTTACCCATCAGATTCGAAAGTTAATTGTTTCAAAGTTTGACCCATTTATCATGGGCTTTTATGGAGAATCATTTATTCACTATAATTTATATCACTAAAACTAAATTTGATAAGGTTTTGAAGATTTTAAAAGTCGAACGGAGTTTCTCTGCGTTCTACCTTGTAACAATGTGCGCTGCATAACGCATATTTCATTTCAAATTTAGAATCACCTTGCATCGCTCTAGCCTCTTTATCCTAATCCATAAAAGTTTCAATTGAATTTTTCAATGCCAACATTTATTAAAAATATAATTAATATTTATTACTTATTTGGTATAGTGCTGTTTACTTAAAATTAACATTTGTTTTGTTTTTTAATTTAAAAAAAATCATATTCCCGCATAAATTTGATCTTGATTCAGGATTATTCATTAAAATTTATCAGAATTTGTCCTGTGTTAATATAAGTATATGAATAATTTTTATTGTATAGGTATAAAATGGTACGAGTTCAACTTCTTCGGTAAATTTCGGTTTTTTTGGTATGTTTGGGCATCCTGTACCAAATATCAAACCCTAGATCGAAATTATAAGGTATAGGTCCAAATTCTTTATGAGGAGTTTCTGTTCCTTCGGGATGTTTGAGTGCTTTCCCAAAAAAATTCTATCTGTACCTTTTTTACTACATGATGTCTGGTATGTGCTCATGATGACTAATAACGTCCCAAAGAAACTGAAACTTCCCGCAAAAGTTGATCCCGTACTTTTTTTACGACCTTGTTGATCGCAATGTATTGTACCTTCCGAAACTACTGTACCTTTGATCGAGAACTGTCGTGGGACTCGGATTTAACGACCTAAATAACAAATTCTTTTGGGACTGAACTATGTTATGCCTGTATTATTTTTAATATTTAATTATATAGTACTTCATAGCACTGTGGATCTAACAATAAGTTAATATTTATGGTACAGTTTTTGATGGTATTAATCGTACTTTCTGGCACCGCATCTATGCGTCACACTCACGACACTCTTACGGTTGTGTTACTTATGGCACTTGTATCGTAATAGTACTTCACTACTATTGCTCACCTTCGGCTCGCGCTAACCTTCGGTTTGCAGAAAAAGCATATCTAAAACCATTGCATATAATATTTTATAACACAAGAGCTTGAAAGTTGCAGTAAAGGTACGATTTTTAGGTAAGAGTGCTACAAAGTAATTTTTCAATATTGTGAATTATTTTGCCCTGAAATTAAGAAAATTTGAAGTATTTGTTACATTATCTTAACGCAACTTTTATACAACGAAAATAGTCAAATTTCCGATCGCGATATAGTCAAAAGATCGACCTTTTACTCTCGCGTGCTTACGCACGCGACTACGTATTGATAAAAATACCTTGTCACTCACTCGCCACATGATCGGAAGACACGCGAACACCATGCCATAGACACGCGTTAGACCGAACAGCTAAGATAACGAGTAGGCTATGCAGACGAATTACGTAACTAGCAAATGCACACGACACCATAGCCACGCTCGGTCGCTTGACACCTAGGCATTGATGACACAGCTGATGGCTATCGACGAGCCAATATTATTCAGTTTTGGAAGATGTACACACTCGAGCATTAGATATACGCGCATTAGATCACGTAGGCCACGATAGCCGAGATTAGACGAAAAGAGTTATAGGAAATAATTGGGTGAATGAACCATAATCAAAGAGTGGTTTCGCAAGCCCAGCTCTAGGAGGTAACTCGCTCGCGCACGTAGGCCTACCGGTGGCGAAACACCTGCCGATAAGCGCAGATTAAATCGGGTATATAACCCGGCGCAAACTAACACTCAACGCTTCTTATTGTAACTAACTTTGTACAAGACACATCTAGACAGATTGCTCTCTTGATCAAATTGTGTAACTTGTCGCGACTAAAAACTAAAGTAGAATCTAGTGCGGATTGAGTCTTAAATATATCTATTGTAAATCGAGTGTGCAAGTGTAAACTCTCCGACGTAGCAGAGCGGAATTAACAATACGACCAGCCTTCAATAAACATTCAAACATTGTAAATCTATTAAATCATATTTTATTATTTTCCATCCCATTCTATTCCCCTCATAGCAGCACGTTTAATTAAGTATAATTCATAGTAAATATACGAAACTCTCACTCTATTTGTTATAAACCCTGTATTGGGAATGTAACATATTCGTTGATGTAATACTCATTGTTCCATATTTTGCATCGTTCTCAAAATATGAGCGAAAAACTTTTTCACCTTCGATGTTCACCCTGACGCTGGGGGTATATAGATAATATATATTTCCATATTTAGATTTAGCACACCCAAAAAGTAAACCTAGTTTCATCTTATTTATGTATAAGTTTTCACTGGATTGATACCGCGGCAATGCACTATACTAGGACAGTTCAGGAATTATGCCTCGCTTATGGTACATTAACTTATAACCGGTTAAAAAGATGAATAGTCCTGAATTTGATATTGCTATTAAATGTTTAAAATTATAATTTTTGTACATCACCAATGATTCAAAATAATAAAGGCTCTGTAATTTTTCTAGATAAATCTATTGGCGAAGAGACCCCGAGTTCCGTGATTAAACACATGAGTTTTAGTGATAATGCTGTAAGGTTACCAGGATTATACAGGCTTGTTTATGTAACACAACGCAATGAATCGAAAGGAGTCTTGGGAATGAGCTCGATTTTTACTGTAAAACAAAGGGATAGTCAGTAAAATTATCTAATGTAAACGGGATATTTTAGATTGATTTATTTGTATATAATGTGATTTATTAAATTAGGAGGTGTGACATAATAGTTTTTTTTTTTGTATAAAAGGTGACTGTATACAGAAATCTTGATCTTGTAAATATTAAATTAATTGTAATATTCTTAAAGGTATCTTAAATAAAACATGGATACAGGTTTAATTAAATGAGAATTTTAAATATCCACTTTTTAGGTATCAACAACAAAATTCATTTCAGTTTTGCAACTGACATACTTTGTTCCCTAAAGCCATGAACAAAATGAAAAGGTAATACTTGAGCTGGCATCGCTCTATCACTTTAGCTTTATCGAAACAATTGGAATTGTTGGGACGATAATTCAATGCTTTTAGCTAAGTAAAAAAAATACAGAGTGGCTGCACGTGTCTCATCAAAAGTCTAAAAGATTGCCAAGTAATATAAAGCACTTTTTAAATAATAAAATAGCATCTACAAGAAAAGCTATTCTCGCTGAATGACTTTCAGATGACTCTCAGTCTAAGGACTGTCACTCGCGAATTTTCATGTGCTATAGGGCGTTTTCCAATTGTGACGAAGTGGTCACTTTATCGAACAACTGATTTGCCTGGTGGCATAACAAACTACGCGCTTGTATACTTTACGTGTCAAACTAGCTTGTTAAAAGTACTTGTCATTAGTTTACAATGAAGTAAAAACAATAAGCAAAAAATACCAAAATAAAAACAGAAATATTCGTGTTTCCAAATATCGAAACGGTTTTAAGATAAAGTTTTTACTTGTAAATGAAAACACATTCAAAATTTGGCTTTTTTATGCATAATATTGTCGATAAACTTTAACAAAATGGTTTTTAAATATGTTTTTTCGTTTTGTTATACAGTTAGTGTATAAGTCGAGGCCACTGAAACGGCTTCAGCACTAAAACTTATAACTAACCGAATAGTATTTATGGAAAATTAAATCATTTATTTTCTAAAATTTTATAGAATAGAATATCAAAAAAGTTTTGAATCTGTATAAGTTTGCTGTCAATGGATATTATTGATCAATACCCTCGAAAACATTTCTTAAGGTGATGCCTTGGCCACAATTTTTACCGACCAAGCACAGAAAATGTATATTTTCGTAAATTTTTTTCCAGGCTGATTTTCGAAAAACGGCTCTGTGGAGCCCTCCGTATTGTTGCTGTGAATAACTGCGACAAATTTCAGCCAATTTCATCGGATAGTTTTCCCGGAAAACAGGCTCGAAATTTTTGACTACTGTTTGCAGGATAAAAAATTTTGGCCCTGTTTTCCGGGAAAACTACCCGATGAAATTGGCTAAAATAATTTGGTGCAGTTGTTAACAACATCAATACGGAGGGCTTCACAGAGCCGTTTTTCGTAAATCAGCCTGGAAAAAAAGTTACGAAAATATACATTTTCTGTGCTCGGTCGGTAAAAAATTGTGGCCAAGGCATGTTGGTGGTACAGACGACGGCATAAGACGACAGCGCTCAGCTGCGATGTTACCGACTCTGTCTGGAGGAAATTCTCTTTTCCCCACTCTAACCTAAAATACGCAACTTTGCCGCTAATTTTAGGCTCTCGTAGGAAAAAATAGTATCTCAAACTGGTGCAGATATGGTTTTTTAACAAAACTCGTTACAGCACTCGCCTTCGGCTCGTGCTATAATCCCTCGTTTTGCTAAAAAACCATATGTGCACCCGTTGAGAAATATACTATTTTTATAAAGTAGATTTGACTTTGGCACCGCCTTTATCGCTGTTTTATTTATATTGACAAGGTGGTTCTATATTTAAAAGCTATATAATAGTACTTTATGAGGTGCGATTCGTTTCATTGTAAAACAGAGATTGACTCTTGAAATCGTTCAAAAATAGTAAGTAACACCCAAATGTTATAACGATGGTAAGTGATATATAATCTGACATTACCCAAAAAAACTGAGATTCTTCATTATAGAGCCTATGTCAAATGGGCCAAACATTAAATCAAATTATCTACCAAATTTCACTGAGGTGGTAAATAATTAATTAAAAACTAATTAATTAATAAAAATCTCCTTGAGGGCTTATGTATATTATATACCTTAAACTTTTGATTTGTGGGATCTCAATATGTTTTAAGAAGTAACCTTTCCACCTAAGCGGAACAGAATTTCGATAAGAATGTTTCCTTCTCTTACAAATGCTGCGATATGGTATTAATGGATATATATCTTGCCCGGCGAGAGTTCTACTTAGTAAATTAAGTTGTAGTAACCTTTTTAGGATAACTATTTGAATAAGACATTTTAATTACCTTAAATTCGACATTAGATTCAGTTTTGCCATACCAAAAAACCTTTATGAGAGATGTTTGAATTTAAATCATTAGAAAAATCAGGCGGAAAATAATCGAAATGTGTAATAAGTTTTACATACGTACTTTATATAAATTGAAAAAAGATCTTACTTTCTATCTTACGTAAAATATTACAAATGATGATTACCCAATTGAAAAAAGTTTGATGGAATATATCCACGTGGATTAGCTATCTGCGTAAATCGGAAAGAGATTCCACGTGGATCAGACATGGTTTGAAAAAAATTCAATCGTCGTGTTTTAACTATTACACGAGGATGATTGAATAATCACCGAGGTTTTTTTCGAGCGTGCTCGTGAACGAGGATGTCACAAGAAACCTCGTGGATTAGTTAAAAATACACGACTGAATCTTTTTCAAACCATGTCTAATCCACGTGGATAGCTAATCCACGTGGAAATCCATCCGATTTTTTTTCAACTGGATGAAGGTGAAAGTAAGAACTGTTTCAACTTGAATGCCGATTGTGCAAGTTATTTCTCTCGCAAGAACATTCATTATAGAACTTTTGGAAGGATTTGGCTTAAGTTCCACGAAACATATTGACCAACAAAATATTATTCTTTATATCAAGATTAAGTTAGTTTTCCGAAGCCAGAATTCTAAATGGGAAAAAAAAACAAAAATTAATGATTTTTGTAAGTCAAGATCTAACGAAAAACTTTACGTAATAGTTCTTTTATAAGTTGTTATTAATGTTCCTAAGCAAGGACTTAATTAATATAGGGCTTTCGATTGAAACCAGATTTTATGTAAGAACTTATTTGCAAGAATTCATTTAGTCGATGATCATACGTAAAATCATCTGTAAGATCTTATGCAAGTTTTTAACGAAAAATTGCGTTAAAATTTTTTTTATTCTTCAATGAAACAAATAACAATCCCATGTAGAAGATCATTTATAAGAGCATATGTAAGGGCTTACCAACTTTTATTGATCGTCGAAGCTCTAACAAAAGCAGTTAAATTTTCAAATCTCTGTCATTTAAAACTATAACCCTTGAAAAAATTCCATGTAGAGTTCGCTAAATTCCTATACAAGTCCTGTAGGAATCCTATAGGAAATGTTTAGAAAAATACCCATTTTCATTTTGAATCAAAAGAAATAATTAAAAATTAATTTGTGGTTTTTCTATGTAGAAAAATATTCATAATGTTGAAAAATCGACAACTTAACTAAATTGTTTGAAGATAAATTATAACTTTTGATAAAAACAAAATTAAAATAATAATATAAGTTTCTAAAAAATATTCATTAGATTGTATAATCTATAACCAATATTTAATTTTACGGTATTATATAGTTTTTTAACAATTGAACATTCTAAATTTTAGTCAATAATACGTATCGATATATATTTAATTTTAGATCTTAACGCAGTTTTTCCCCTTATAAATTTAATATAATAAAAAATCAAATAAATCTGCGTCTATTTAACCAACTCTGAAAGTTTCATAATATCGATTACGGCCTTATATTTGTTGTTAAACCTTAAATCTTAAACCTTGCACTTTGGATTTTTAAAACTCTAATGCAACATTGACAGTTTAGATTGTCATAAAAACGAACTCGGAAGGTAAAATACCTGAATAGTTCTACATGATACTTTTTACATAATTCATAAATTGTATTATATTTCATCAACCGCGTAAAAAATGAGTTACTGGAATCGAGAATTGAGATACTTTCGATTTCATAATAAATTTCACTAATCTCATCTCACTTCATAAAAGTAACAAACTTATTTGTTTTGCGCCCTCCCACTGTCGCTTTTGAGCTGGAAAGTTAAGGCCCGAATTTTCACAGAGAGAATCTTATTGGTTGATTTAATTTTAACCTTTTTTGGTGTAACTTACCTATAGGTTTACATTATTATAATTATTACAAGCATTTATTATTGGTAACAATTTAATGTTACCAGAGTGATAAATTATCAGTGCATATATAAGAAAATATATTTATAATTTTAAATGTATGATTTAAGTGCTTAATTATTATGAATATTTGAAATTTTTTCTAGTTGGTTATGATCAGTAAATTCCTTAATACTTTATTATTAATTATTAATACTTTTTTCTCTCCATGTCATCCCTTTTTTTGATTTAAAATTTATTGACATGTTAATCTACTTTTAAAAAGTGATAATTTTAGTGAATATAAATATGATAAATTTATTTTATTAATGATATGTTTCAGTTTTTCAAAATGACTCTCAATTGTTCTATTTTAATTATTGGAAGTGGTGGAAGAGAGCATGCAATTTGTTGGAAATTAGCACAATCTGATCTGGTTAGTTATTTTTATTGAAAATAATTTATTTAAAATAAAATACATTTTTTTGATGTCTATATATCTTTAAGTTTCTATATCACAACAATATCTAAAACCTAAGAATATTCATAACTTTTTTACAAAATTTGGATACAATTTAATTTAGTATTTTTAATTTTAATTTATTAGGTTCAAAACATTTTTGTTGCTCCTGGAAATAGTGGTATTGCTAAAGAGAATAAAACAACAATAGTGCCCTTGGATGTCACAAATAATAAGGTACTCAAACATATTTTTTATTTACAAGTTTGTACAAATTCATTTTAAGAACTTATTCTTGTATTTTATCTAATCAGTTGCTATATTTAACATGAAAAAATATTTAATCCTGTTATTACATATAAGTCAAAAATAATTTTTTATCAAATTTAATCTTAAAACAAGTTATTCGCTTTTTTAAATCCTGCATGAATAAAATTTTATCAAAAGTGTTGAAATATATTTTCAATTAATTATTATTTTGAATTATTCTGAAATGAATTAAAGCCATGACAAATTATTTTTTTGGACTCTACTTTAAATGTTCGGTTGATTAAGAAAAATCAATGGTAACTGATGATTTCTTAAATGCAAATTTGCTAATAACCGGCTAATAATAAATAATATTTGCTTATACAAATAATTGACCCAAACTTGATTGCGTAAACTATATTGTAATTGAAATTTATGCGTATATTTGTAAAGTTAAAATAAGTTAATGTCTGATACATCAATTTCAATATCAATTTATTTTTAAGAGCATTAGGTGACATTTATATCTAGAATCATCTTCAAGCTTTCATAGATTTTACAATTTTTCAAGTTATTGAATCAAATCTATATCTCAAACCTTTTCAAGGCTTTCCAATAATTTTTTGTGTATTAGCTTAGCAAAAAAGCTTGAGAATGGAAACAATTAATTATAAGAGCATGCAACCAAGCAGTAGATGCCACATAATTAACATTATAAATATTCAGAGATGTTTTGTAAGTAAGGCATTCAAAAAATTACATTCAAATCAGTACAAATTTGTATTGTTTATCTTCTTTATCTTTCTTTCTGTAAGACATGAAATAAATGATAAATACCGGAAAATGTTGCAGCAGCACTCTGTTTTATCTCGTGATTATGATCCTTAATATGATCATGAATTGTGAGTTGAATAACTTTTCTATCAAGATGCGCGGTAGCCCCCTGTATATGATTCATTCTTCTAAAAACACGTTACTACGTGTCTTGGTATCACAATTGATAGGAAACGCCAAAAATTAGAAACTAAGACCGTAGTTAATTTTCTTTGACAGAGCACTACTTTCAGTCATTCTGAAATTGTTATGGTTTACTCCCAATTTCATTTACCAGTGGGATAAACGTACAAATAATTACCTAATATTTTTTCCTCGATTTAAAATTGATTGTTTCCACACATACGCGTTTTCATAAATATCTGATTAATATTATTTCGACACATAGAGCATACTTTACACATCCATATTAAGTTTTGAAGTGAAACTTTTGAAGTGAAACTTCTTTACGCGCGTTGAGTGTGGGAGGTCAAGCCGTGAAAAACAAGCTATGGTCCGTTTGAACGATACACTAGACCCAATCTAATTCTGTACGGTCCACAGAGTAGTGGAACGTGTATAAGCATAGGAATTCCGGCGTTCCAGCGGACAGAATTAAATAAGGTCTAGTGTACACATTTTTGTATACAATGTATAGTCTCAGTAGCATCTGTTGATATCGCGCGCTGTGATTGGTCCAGCGTTGTGACACGGGCGACTACACTAGTCGATCAGCTGATCGTTCTGTTTTATCGATCAATACTGTAGTGACAACCTATCAATATTTATTTATGCACTTTATTTTATTCATCGTTTGGTATTATCATGATTTATAACATTTTCAATTATTTTCCAATAAGTACACATTATCTGGGTTTACTAAACGTATTTAAACATAAAGAAAATCAATTCATGACAATGACATAAAATTCTCATTTCGAGTTCAAGTTGGCTATACTGTGTCGATAGATAGAACAGAACGATCAGCTGACTCGTGTAGTCGCCCGTGTCACAACGCTGGATTGGTCGGCGTTCGACAGTGTCGAACTCTGCTCGTCCCCCTCTACTGCGGCACGTTACGCAAGCAAGTGAGCTCAGCGCTCATGCCATATAACTCTGTCTCTTTCTGTAGCGTGTATATGCCAGTAGCTCAATCAAACGACGGCACATGAGATAAAACTTATGCTTCGTGTCGACGTACTTGGTTCATGTCTGCGCTAGGCCTGCGTGAGATAAGTAGACATGAATTGCAGGGTATGATATGTGTTCTAGCATAATTACACTACTTTTTTGTCAATTCTGTTTAATAGAATTCGATTGTTCATTGAGGCAATGTGAGTCGAGGTCGCATACCTACTGAAATTTACAATAAGTTGAATAGAATCTATAAAAATTTGATTCGGAAATTTTTAAGAAATCATATTCATTAGCATAATAACTAATGATAGTGTAAATCGAGGACACGGAAGAAATAAATCTAAATTATTAAGTTAGCTGTCCATGAAAAGCCATAACTTTTTGAGTTTACATTATCTAGAATCCATTTAAGGGGAGTCATGCATAAATTCACTCGTCTTTGTCATTTTTGTGATATAAACCACAGTTTAATGTCAATCTATATTTTCAACATAAAATTGACATCTTTGAGCCCTAAAAAATGTGAAAAAAGTTGCAGAATAGTCCTTTGCATCTTAACAGTACATTATGTAACTGAGGCGGGGGGTTGTCCATCTTGCAAGAGTGTCAGTTTGCAGCCCGAGCGTAGCGAGGGTTGCATTAATACGAGTACAAGATTGACAACCGCCTCAGTTACGTATAGTATTTTATAGCACTGCGTGGCCTAAGTTCACATCTATGGCACGCTTGTCTGTGGCATAAGTCGCACATACTGGCATCGTTGCGTTCGCATCACACTCACATACGCTCGTGCGCTAACCTCACTTCGCGTTACCAGAAATTCCGACTCATGGCTCGGAAAAGGGGGCGTAAATGTGAACTTAGCACAGTGCTATAAAATGTTGTACGATACTCGGGCCATGGGGAAACTTTTCGGCCTAGCTATTAGAACCCTCGCTGCGCTCGGGCCCTAAACTACGTCGTGCCAAAAAGTGTTACTTATGGCACTTGTATCCTAAATTACTATTTCATCATCGAGTGCAGGAAGTCGATTTTAAGAATTCCCGCACGGCGCGCCGCGTGGGAAGTAGCATTTTTTATACAGCGTGCGGAAAGTTCGTTTTTCGCAGTCAGTAGGATGCTTCGAAAGTAAAAGATTCCGGTGCTGTGGCTACAGCGTGCGAAAAGGTCGTAAGCGTGCGGAAAAACGAACTTTCCGCAGCTGTATAACAAAATAGTATACTCAACTCGCTGCGCTCGGGCGGCAAACGTCGCACCCGTGGGAACACCTACTTTCCGCACTCGTTGCGTAATCTACTATTCCCGCACGCTATGATGAAAAATAGCTTATTTTTGCTATTTTAGCCTTTTAGCACTGTGCGCAAGGTTCAGATCAGAGTTATTTAGGTGGCAATGCCTAACAGGAATCTAAATCTTCAGAAAAGTATCCTTTATGGGCTGAGTTTTGTGGAATCTTGATTTAGACCTTCATATTAGTTCTATTATTCAATATGTGCTCAAAAACATTAATATCTTTTTTTTATTTCTTGATTTTTTCACATCTGTCGGCATACACTCTATTTTATAACTCTAATCGAAATTCCACAAAACTCAGCCACAAAAGGATACTTTTCTGAAGATTTTGATTCCTATTAGGCTTTGCCACCTTAATAACTCTGATCTGAACCTTGCGCACAGTGCTAAAAGGCTAAAATAACAAAAGTAAACTATTTAAAATGCAAAGGAGTATTTTGCAACTTTTTTCACATATTTTAGGGCTCAAAGATGTCAATTTAATGTTGAAAATGTAGATTGACACTAAACTGTGGTTTATATTACAAAACTGACAAAGAGGACTCCCCTTAACTGTCCATCCATTTAAAGAGTCTTTTTGCTTGGCTGGATTTTCTTTCTGGAATTTTATTCAATTTTTATCAATTTTGAATGTTTATTACATTTTTTACTTGCTTGATCTTTAATTTTTTTTAGATTTTTTTAAAATTGTTCGAGATGGTTTGATATGTGTTATCACAGGGCTAAAATTTTTGGTGGTTGATCCGTAACATATCCCTGGTTGACACTCAAAATTTCAGTCTATCAATTTTAGGTCACCAAATCGATTTTCACGGAAAACTTTTTTGAAGAAGTTTCATTTCTGATGGCTGTCCCCAGAAAGCTAATTTAATAATTCTGATTTACATTTCCAAACATTTTAGATATTTTTTTCATATAATTAAAAAAAATACAATTTCAATTTTTCATAAAAATGTCTCATAATTATTTTTCGGTTCGTTACAAGATTCGGTAGTGAGTGTCGAGGCCGCGTTAGCTGTTTTCCTTTGCAAACGAATTTAGCTGTGCGTCACCCATGGCGCCCCCACTTCGGAAGCATTTCCCATATTATTTCTTATGAAGAGAAATTTAGTTCGGTGAGCGCCGCTGGCATATTTGGAAGTCATTTCCATAAGAGCACATGATAAAATCGACGCAAGCACTGCTATCTTCTCCATACACGTGCACACCGCGAATACGACGCTGCGTAGACGTTACAAAGACATAAGCGTTGAGCACGTAGTAGTATACGCTCTGCTAAGACTCGGCAACCGATCCGACAGTTGCTAGTGCGGACCGCGCCGAAGTACCCTATCTATCCAGAGTCATATTCTTACGGTTGTCGCGCGCGCTCGTGTGACGTGGTGTGGTACGCGTGTACGATTTTTACGGGATCATACCTCCAACCCAACGCGCCTAAAGAAGTTTCACTTCCAAAAAAATACTCTAAAGGAATCTGAGCCCTCTGAAAGTCTTTTACAATAGAAAGAAACACAAAATTCAAAATCTAAACGAGTTCGATCTTAATTTTATCACCAAAAACTTCACAGAGCTTCTTCAGAATGTCAGCAGATACCTTCTAAATTTTTTTAATATGACTACAAGCTCAAAGGCCAAGTAAAGTCCGAGGTTACTGAAAAATGTGCAAAAACGGTAAAAAATAAGCTATTTTTGGCCATTTTCTGCTTCTTTTTTTTCGAGGACTTTTTTGCGCACTTTTTTTGGAAAAACTTGCTAAGAATATTGCAGAATAGTATATTTTGTAACAAGTGCGCGAAGCAGTTGACTCATCCAGGAGTTTTTTTCACCCGAGCGTAGCGAGGGTGCAGAGACTCCTGGGTGAGTCAACTTCCTCGCGGACTAGTTGCAAACGATATTTTTTAACTCTGCTTGCGAGAAACGAAGGTTTTCTGACGCTTTAAGGTTAGAAAACCCGTGTTTCGCGCACGCAGTGTTAAAAAAATTTTTTTGTGACCATTTGATTTCTCTGAGAATCGGTATACAGAATAAGGGATTCTCATTGAATATCATGACTCAAGAAATCCGAGGATTCTATGCGCAGGTTTATTAAAGAAATTATGAATTTAAAAAAGAGATCATAAACTGTGAACTGGGAACAGTTTTAAACTTAGCACTTCGCCATAAAATTCAGTATCTGTTCATAATACAGTTCTGTACATAAATACAGTTTCTGACGTGGCTATTAGGAGGGCCTCGCTGCACTTCAGCTCTAAACCACGCTGAGCGTTAAAATATTACTGTTAACACTCGTAAATTACTTTGAGAAGGAAGCTAAGTGCCAATGGATTGGTAGCAAACACTTTTCATTTCCTACATAGTATTCATAATTAATTAACTTAATATCTTTCAGATTTTGAAACAAATATTTTCAATTTTTTCAGGTAACGACAGAATGGTGTATTCAAAATAAAATTAACATGGTTGTTATTGGACCAGAAAATTTCTTGCATCAAGGGCTCGCAGATGAACTTGGTAAATTTAACATACCTTGTTTTGGTCCATCAAAACTGGCTGCAAAAATAGAAACAGACAAATGTTGGTCAAAAGCATTCATGGATCGCCATGATATTCCGACAGCTTCTTGGAAAAGCTTCTCAGATGCTGTTGAGGCAAAAAATTTTGTGAAGGAGTAAGTTTATGAATTATCAATTTAAATTTAAATCTTTTTTTTATGTATACCAGTTCAACTGTAATTCTGAATTGATAAGAAAACGTGAATACAAAGAAGTAGGCGATCTGTTTATGCTAGCCTGTATACTATTTTTATTATTACCGCGTGTTATATGCACGGGCTGACCCTACTTCACTATATTTACTTTTCCTCGCCATTTCAGGATTAAAGTCGAACCAGTGTTCGCAAATACCGATAGATTCGTCTAAGGCTTCGTAGCAAATTCGTTATAACGCTTACAAACTTCAAATCTCTGGTTCGATCCCCGACTGCGACTAAATCTTTTTATTTTTTACAACTAGTTTATAGTACTAAAATGCAACGCCGGGTGTGGATATGCTTTTTCTGCCAAACGAGGGGTTGCAGCACGAACCTAGGGCGAGTGCTGTGACGAGTTTTGTTGAAAAAGCTTATTCACACAAGTTGCATACAATATTTTAGAGCACAAGAGCCTAAAACTAGCGGCAAAGTTGTGATTTTTAGGTTAGAATGCCATAAACATCTATATTTTTTAAAATTACAACTGATCTAAACAAATTTTTAGATCATCGTCCAATTCTCTGGTCATTAAAGCTTCTGGTCTTGCTGCTGGTAAAGGTGTGGTTGTTGCTAAAAGTAAAGATGAAGCTTACAGAGCGATTGAAGAAATTTTGGAAGACAAAAAATTTGGAGCCGCTGGAAACATGATTATAATTGAAGAAGTACTGGAGGGTGAAGAAGTTTCAGCATTAGCATTTACAGACGGTTCGTAAAACAAATTCATACATACATTTTTATATAACATTCATACATTTCAATCTTGATATTTCAATGAATTCATTATTTCTTAGTAATATTTTTTATTTTAAGATGTGGTATTTTGATAGTTTTGAGAGTTATTAGAGGATAAATGAAAAAACCTGTATGAGGCTTTGTACGCCAATAATATATTTTTCATTCGTGTCCTTTTTAATAAAACGCATGTCTCTAATATTAAACAGCCGCTTCGTATTCAAAGTTTAAAACAATACTTTTTTGTGTTGGAGAGTCGATAAATAAGCTAGTGTTTAAGAAAAAACTGGCTCTCTTTCACTCTTCTTTTTTGCACTTTTCAAGCTACTTTGTGACTAGATGACTATGTCACGTACTATCATTGGTCGGCGTTCAGCAGTGTCGGGACACTGTTATCCTCATCTACTGCGGCACGCAACGCAAGAAAATGTGCTTAGCGCTCATACCTTTTTAACGTCTCGTAACCCTATCCTCGCTTATTTGCCTAGTTCGCGCTGATAAGGGTTTGTGCGTTCAACTCGACCATCAATAACCCATTATAAAAACTCTTGTATTGCTATAGCTTCATGCACACGTTTATATTCGTGAATCACAGTAAATAATACATGTATATGTGTAAGCATACTTTAGAGGTCATTTTCGTAGTGATATTCGTTTTCAGCGACCTCAATAATCCCAGAGTAACTGAATTACTCATTTTTACCGTTTTGAATGAATCGAGAAAATCGGGACGGCAAGATGGTGGCCAAAAATGAAAAAGTTAATCTCATTCGTGAAAATTTCAGTACGCACCTATGAAGCGAAGAAGAAAGCGTCAGAGCATGTGTAATTATCGGTCAAGGCAAAGCCGAGTTTTTCGCTGAGACAAGCCTTTCTAGTTTTTCGTTCCCTAAGCACGTAATATACTATCGTTCTTACTACTTTTAATTTTGCTGTATGAATTATATTCAGATCGTCTATGTTGTTTTTAGCCATGCTTTCTTTTTTTGCGGCATGAAACGGTTAAAAGAAAAAAGGCTGCTTGTTTGACAAAAACAATAATTGTTTGTATTCATAAATATTAATTTAATATACTAAAAACTACTTATGCATACAATGTAACACGTGGATCTTTAGAAGTGAAGTGATGACGGTTGGAGCCGGGTGGCTTTAATTTCATTTCTAATTAAAAATTAATTTTAAATAGTCGTGATGGCCGTATTTGATAATTTCTGAAAATATTTTTAACAGGAAAAACTGTTGTTATGATGACTCCGGCTCAAGATCATAAGAGAATATTCAATCATGATCAAGGCCCAAATACCGGAGGAATGGGAGCTTACTGCCCTTGTTCATTTTTAACTAAAGAAGATAATGAATTTGTTATTACTAATATTTTGAAAAAAACTGTTGATGGCATGAGAACTGAAGGAATACCATTCGTTGGAGTTCTGTATGCTGGTTTAATGATGACACAAAATGGGCCTAAAGTTTTAGAATTTAATTGTCGATTTGGTGATCCTGAAACCCAAGTTATTTTACCATTGTTACAATCCGATTTATATGTTATTATGAAATCATGTTGTGAAGGAAATTTAAAAGAAAGTTATGTTTCATGGAAAAATAATATTTTTTCCACTGGAGTAATCTTAGCGTCTAAGGGGTATCCAGAATACTCGTCTAAGGGACAAGTTATTGAAGGTATTGAAGAAATACTTTGTAGAGATGATCATTATGTTTTTCATAGCGGAACAAGCATATCAGAATCACAACAAATATTGACAAATGGCAAGTTATTTGAAGCAAAGTTTTATAATTGTTGTTTAATTTGTGAGATAAATTTCGATTTTTATCGTCTTAATCATTACATTTACAGGTGGCAGAGTTTTAATAGTAGTAGCTTTAGCACCTTCTCTAGCGTTATCAGCTGCAAGGGCAACGGCAGCAGCTGGTATTATTAATTTTGATGGAAAACAATACAGAACCGATATTGCTCATAAGGGCATAGCGAGGTTTTCATATATTTTATTAATTTATTTTTCGTCCGATTAACATAATGGTTAAAAACACTTAAATCTCTTCAGATCAATATTAGAGTACGGTACAATGACCTATAAAACTAGTGGAGTTGATATTGAAGCTGGAGATACATTTGTAACTAATATAAAGCCCGCTGTTTCAACTACTATGAGAAGTGGAGTTATTGGTAATATCGGAGGATTTGGAAGCATTTTTGATATCAATGCTTTAGGTTTTCAGAGTCCGCTTCTAGTATCCGGCACCGATGGAGTTGGAACAAAACTCAAAGTACATCCATTCATATTATAATTATGTAAAAATGTTATTTTTACTCTCTTTTTAATTTTTTACAAATTATATTCATTTTACTTTTATAGATAGCACTTGAATATAAAAAGCATGATACTGTTGGAATAGATTTAGTTGCTATGTGTGTAAACGATGTTCTAGCACAAGGAGCAGAACCTCTTTATTTTCTTGATTACTTTGCATGCAGTAAATTAGAAATTGATGTAGCTGAAAAAGTTATAACTGGCATAGCGGAAGGATGTAAACAAGCTGGTTGCGCACTGGTAAGTTGAAAATTTTGTTTGCAACACTCAACACATTATAGTCTAGGCGCCATATGGGCTCCTGCAGTCAATTGATGTAGCCAATATTTAAAAGAGTATTTTTGTGTATTTTTTTTCCTGCTAATTACAAATACCGATGAGAAAAATCGACCCGAGGTGGCGTGAATTAGCTATTAACAATTTAATTGTTTAAATCGTAATAACTGATAAACTATGAAATATGTGTAAAAATGAAGGAGTATTTTTTGTTCTTTACATTAAACGAAAAGTTAGATGTATTTGAATTAAAAATTCGCTAAACAAAAGATAGAAAAAGTGATATTTTTCGAGTTTTACGATTTTTAATTCGTAAAATATACATCGGACCCCTTATAAAAATTTCCTATAGGATCTCGCGAAATTCCTACAGGAGTCCTATAGGATTCCAATAGGAATTTCGCGGGATCCTATTGGAAATTTTTATAAGGGACGAAAAAATGGCAAAAGTAATTTTTTGTCTAGATTTTCCAATAAATCTTAATAGTACTTTACGATAAAAGGGCTATAAGTAACATTTTTCCTAATAGCCGTGTCAGACTTAATAGCCGAGTATCGTACTAAATTTTATAACACTGAGCTTAGTTCACATTTAATTTAAATAACAAGTCTTACCCAATCTTGCTAAGTTTTTTACGCATTCGAATACAATCCAATTTTAAATGATTATACGGTAATACAACGCGGTTTAATTTTTTCTTGTATGGAACTGTCAACGCATTTATGCCTTCTTTTCCGAATCTTGCTTTTGCCACCGAAAAGCGTATGATAAATGTGATCTTATGCCCCCTCGCATCACACTTGCTGCACTCGTGCGCTAACCTCACTTTACGGTACTAGAAAGTGCGACTTATAACTCGGAAAAAGGGGCATAAATGTGAACTTAGCTCAGTGCTATAAAATGGAGTACGATACTCGTGCCATGGGGACACTTTTCGCCCCAGCTATTAAGACTCTCGCTGCGTTCTGGCCTTAAACTATGTCGTGCCAAAAAAGTGTTACTTATTGCACTTGTGTCGTAAAGTACTATTTTATCTCGAAAACCAACGAGTTTATAAAAAAAGTTTATGAAACAAAACAGTCTTAGAATTGATTAAAGAATACCCTCTATTCTTTTTAAATTTTTGGAGACAGTTTTTACTCGGTTAAGTACGGTTAAAGTCAATAATTTTCAAGTAAACAAATATTTATCATTTTTGCAATGTAAAAAGTTTTCGAGATTTAGAAAAACAAACATTCATAAACTTTCCTTTTTTCTGCTATTAATAATTTCTCCATTACATAGAGACCATTTTCTGTGTTAGTTAATAAATACCATAAAAAATTATTAATGCAAATTGTGTAAATAACGAAATATAAATATTTTAGGTAGGAGGAGAAACAGCAGAAATGCCTGATATGTATTCTGATGGAGAATATGATTTAGCTGGATTCGCTGTAGGAGCCGTTGAAAAGTCTGAATTATTGCCAAAAATTGATAGCTTGAAAAGCGGTGATATTGTCATAGGAATACCTTCCAGTGGTATTCACAGCAATGGTTTTAGTTTGGTCAGAAAAATTTTCAGCTCGACAAATATGAAATTAACGGACTTGGCCCCTTTCTCGAATACCAAGTTGACATTCGGTATTGAAAATAACTTATTACATTAAATTTATAATCAAGTCAAATTTTAATCGCAAAAATATTTCAGGAGAAGAATTCTTAAAACCAACCAAAATTTACGTAAAAAATGTGATTCCTGCAATGAAGCAAAATTTAGTGAAAGGGTTTGCACATATTACTGGAGGAGGCTTGAGTGAAAATATTCCCAGAATTTTACCAAATGATTTAGGAGTAATATTAAACGCAGAAAAATGGAATATTTTGCCAGTCTTCAGCTGGTTAGCTATGATGGGAGGAATTAGCAAGAAAGAAATGCTCAAAACGTTCAATTGCGGTATTGGTGCAATAATTATTTGTGCTCCTGAACATCAATCAAAAATCATGGATATAATAAAGTCCGAAAATCCATCCGTAATTGGACATGTTTGCTCTTTGGAAGGTACATCGTTATTTTTTGCAAAATATTGGATTGGAAATTTTATAATTTTAAAATTTTTATAGGAAGTTCTGATAAAGTACGTGTAGAAAATTTTGAAACTCAAATAGATCATGATATGAGAAAGTACGTCAGTCCAATAATGAAACACTTGACATCTTTAAAAAAAGTAGGAGTTTTGATATCTGGAAGTGGAACTAATTTGCAAGCTTTGATTGATGCCACTAAAAATGTAACGTACCAAATGGGTGCTGAAATTGTTTTAGTTATTTCAAATAAACCCGGTGTAAAAGGGTTGGATAGAGCTCACAATGCCGGAATAAAAACAAAAGTAAAATTCTACTTTAATTATAAATCCAAATTTATCTCGCAAATTTTACATTCAAACTAATTTTAGGTTATAAAACACGTTGATTATAAAGACAGAGAAGCTTTCGACAAGGCAATGGATACTGAGCTTGTACAACAAGGAGTTGATATTATTTGCTTAGCTGGTTTTATGCGAATTCTTTCTCCTTGGTTTGTGAAAAAATGGAGAGGGGCTATTATAAATATTCATCCATCATTATTACCTTCTTTTAAAGGAGCTAACGCTCACGAAGAAGTTCTTAAATATGGAGCTCGAGTATCTGGATGCACTGTGCATTTTGTGAATGTAATTAAAATTAAATTAGATACATAGTAGCTTAAGAATGAAAAATTTTTATTTCGTGAAATTAAATTTTTCAGGAGGACATTGATTCTGGAGCTATTATTGAACAAGAAGCAGTTCCAGTTATGCCTACAGATACTAAAGTTACACTTGAAGAGCGTATCAAAAAAGCAGAACATAAAGTTTTTCCGAAAGCTTTAAAACTTTTAGCGACAAATCAAATCAAACTGAAAGACGATAACACTATTGAATGGTTGAATTTATAATAAAAGCAATAATTATTAATAATAATAAATGTTTCTACTTTTTTAGTGATTGAATCACATCATGTAATTAGAATTTCGTTTTATTACCGATATAATAAAATGTTCAAATTTAAACTTCAATTATATAAAATGGTTGTCAATCTTCTCATTATGTTTAAAGCAAAATATTGAACCTTTAATTTTCAAGAAGCGCGATGGAGCTTTACTCTTCCTTACTTGAATCGAAGTCCGTGACGTTTAAAGTCTTCCTCTGCACGAGAGTAGGCCAGGCATGAGCCGTTGATGTCATTGATTCGACTACAGCAACCGTGACCGATCAGGAACTCTGTAAGGTGTCAGTCCACTTCTCCTAATTTCCTCTCAACCCAAGGAATGATTTTCGGTATGAGTTAGTGCGTCCACTAATCAATTACAGAGCGTGACACGTAAACCTGACATGCCTTCAATATCTTGCTATAACTCTCCGATTTTAATATCTTTACGGTGAAGTCGATAAAAGAAAAGAACGTGGATGGCGTCATCGAAAGTGTTGCAAAACCGCAAATTGCGCACAGACAGATTTAGATCGATGGATATACGCTACCTGACAGATATAGGTCTGCGTCTTTGCAACTTCACATAAAATAAGGACATCGTTAAAGGAGATCTACTAATCGATGCTGTCGTAAAGTTTGAGGGGACTGCTTCTCGAAATTACGGCGTTGGACACCAAACTAAGTAGAATTCAACCAAGATCCTTTGTATTTTCTGTAAAATTGTGTCAATTGATTTCCCCGTTATGCCACTTGGTAAAAACTTATTGGTTTTAAAAGAACGTAATTCGGTATTTGTCAATTTGAATATTATAAAAAAGTTTATTCTTTTACTTTTATGATACTTTAATAATCAAGGGGTTTTGAGGTTATGAATATGATTGTTTATTATAAATTTAAATTCTTTGTCAAAATTTACATAGAAAATCACAATTTGAACAATTTTTTCAGTATAATTACCCTTGAACAGCAAAATAACAATCAGAAAATGTAGACCACTTCAGCACTGGGTAACAAATCTTTCCTAAAATTTTGTTGGAATCTCCTGGTACATAATATAAAGCTTCCTATGCTTAGTTGATCCCATAAGCATTGAGACCCATTTTTAAAAGAGTTTTCAATTTTATTTAAAAATCTTTGCGATTTTCTATTTCGAGATAGAACCACGAAAAATGCGAAGAACAAAAGAGTTATAAAATTTTTCAATGAAATTGCCTGAATTTTTTGGTATCGTCTACTACTTGTTTCAAGAAGTTCTAAATCCTATAAAAAAACGTCAAATTTAGGTCTCTCGAATTGATTGATAAATAGTACCCAAATTTCTGAAAAAATTCAGGCAGATTCTTTGAAAAATTAAAAAAATTTTTTGTTCTTTGCATTTTGAAAATCGCCAAGATTTTTTCATAATATACAAGACGCTTCGACAAGTGCGCCTCATTGCCTATGGGATGTAAGTCAGGAGACCAAAAAAAATTTGAGAAAGGTTCGTCACCCAAAGCTGAAAACGTGTCCTGGTTCGTTCGAATTTTATTTTTTTGGCATGTCAATTGGACGCTTGACAATTGCAAGAGTCCATTAATAATTCTATAGTATTTATAAATCAAATGCAGGAAGTCCATTTTAAGATTTTGTGAAAAATTTGGAACGCATTTTTTTAGTAGTTTTTCTATTCAATCATTATTTTAATTTTTATAAACAATTTTTCGGCAAAAATCAAATTTTTCTTTTGGAAATCGCCATTTCTACCATTTTGACTCCTAAACTAAAATCCTAATTACGTCCTTAGAAAAATATTAAACTTAACGTCTAAATTTTGTATTTTTGCCCATGATACATAAAAGTTTAGAAAAGTGTTCGGTAGTTAATTAAAAGCTTTTGTTTAGTAATTTACAATACCTTTGTCATTTAGCTATAAAATGCGCGAAATAATTTCAAATTGAAGCATTTCTTAAAATTTCTGGAGTAGTGTTATCCCATTAATGCTTCCTCTAAAAGGAAGCAATGAATTACCCTGTTTTAAACATTTATACGCATTCATTTCTGTAATTGAATTATATTTTTATATAAAAATAAAATAAAGCAACCCGAAACAATCAATATAAAGTTTATAGTCTCATATTATTCCAGATGCTTTCTTTTTATGGCAAGGGTTCTTTACCAGGTACATAATTAGGATTCTTAAGTTCACATATAGATTTCCATTCAGAAGGAGTTATTACCAATTGGTTTATTATATCAATAAATTGGTTTATTGGACACTCAATATTACAGCCAGGAATTTTTAATGAGTACGGATCACTTTGGGTGCAATTTCTCAGATATACCTGAAAATGAACTATTTTTAGAATTTTACTGACTTTCATATTTAAAATATCATGTAATTCTATTACCTTTACATAAAATCCACTTTTATCTTCATGAAGCTCTGTAATGACCATGTCATTATAACCCGGCACTTGCATATTCCATACTTTCAAACCTTCAAGTAAGCTGGCGATGGTTGAATCATGACCTACATACATGAACATTTTTCGACGTTCTGGTACCAAAATACTTTTACTTTTTTTGAGCATATTATTAGTAATTTCGGTGATGAGAGGTCCTGCTTTCATTTTCAATAAAGTTTCATTGTAAACGTTAATTTTAAGGCTTAAACTACTTAAATGCTCCATTTCTGTAAAAAGATCTGCTGTCCAATTTGGAAGAAGTAAATTCATTGTTTGCTAAAAACGTATAAATATATATTTAAGTAGTCCGTAATATCTTGTTGTTTTCAATTCTTAATCTTAATTTCAAATCAGTTTATCGATTACAAATATTACAAGACTATGTTTATTAAAATAAAAAACTGCTTCAGAGCCTATTTGAAGTCCGAAATATCCATTTTTCATTATTTTTTTTATTTCGATTAGATTTTTGCAAATAATTTTTCATCATTAAAATACAACTGTTGACTGTTACTTGCATTTTCTAGTAATTTAGATTTTCCTTAAATCGTGACTAGAAATGCAGTATAATTTAAAATTTTAAATGTGGTAAATCTATTAATGTCGTTCAACGATTCACCCAAATCAAATGGTTGTCTAGACTAAGTTAATAGGGATATCAAAGACAAATAGTGGGGACGTACAGGTAACGAACAGTTTTGTGATCAAATTGTATGTTCAAATGCATTTTAGCTCCATTAGATAGCTAAGTCAGTTGAACTGATCACATCTAGTTGAAAAAAGTAATAATTTGTGGGTATAACCGAAATACAATTCGATACTACTACGGAGTACATTCTTCACAATTTTCTGCAAAAATAAGGAAGTCAGTTTTGAAACAGTAATTTGTCTGAGGCTATTTTTATCATTTCGCACAAGATCTATTCATCAGATTTTTTTGCAAAAATTTAAGTAATAGTATGTTACGCAGCAAGTGCGTGAAGAAGATGGGGGATGTTATTCACCCGAGCCCAGCGAGGGTACGATATTGTTCAACATTTTTCTAACGAAATTATTACAATTCTCACAGAGAAACTCAATTCAAAACTGCCTTCATTATTTTTGTTAATATGATGTATCTGTAGAAGTCTTAAAATGAATCATGTCAAATCTTACTCTTTGGAATATCTTACAAACATTTTTCAAAGAGATTTCTTTAATTTTACCGAGATATAGCGAGTGAACGAAGAAAAAGCATGATTTTTGAATGGCTGGCCGGCGCAGCGTATACGTAATAAACCACGTTGGTTTATCTTTTTTTCTCTATATGTTGGTACATTTAAATAGTAATTTACGATTAATTTACTATTAATAGTAAATACTAATAGCAGGGCTGAAAAGACGCGAGACATATCATGACACGAGTATATCGTTCGCAATTTTATAGTACACATTTATGCCCTCATTGCATACTCAAATTATTTTATGTGGTCCTATTTTTTTCAATGGAACTATGAGCACAGAGACAACCTTCAGGTAAGCATAAAATCAATTTTTACTACGTGTATCAAAGTAATCATTCAATTATGTAATCAATCCAAGAGAATTCGAAATTATAAATCCCGAAAATTAGAGAAGCTGCTCTTACCTCTGCTATAAGTGTGGAATATAAGTCAAATACATCGTCTGGGTTAGTTATCTCTTGACCAGAATTTTTCGTAAGCTTTTGGTACAAATTAAAATTTATATCATTAATTTTACTGATATTATCTGACTTTAATATAGCATCTCGCATCCTTGAGTAATCTGGACAAGATGATCGAATCAAAAGAAGCTAAAAGTTTAATGAGATTATTTTAATTGAAACTGGTGTTAATATCCTAAGTGAAAATATTACTCCAGATCTGATACAGATCTTGTCCCAGATGTAGAGTACGGGGATCTTGATGTAGATCTTACGTTTTATAATCAGCATAAAAACTCGTGCTAGACCTTATTCCAGATTTGGTACCAGATCTCGATTAATAAAAGATCATTAAATCTTAATTCACTTTATTTTTTAACAAATTTTTATGTTATTAATACAAATTTCCTCAAAATAAATGTAGTTAATCATTATTTAGTAAGTAAATTATTATATCAGACGAATTATTACATAGCAGCTTTGCATTTATTCGGCATACTTTCTTCAATGAAATCTATTTATATTTATTTTTTCTAATGAATAGTTCGTCGGAGATGGAACTTGAACGCTAGGCTATGAAATTCGTTGTCTATAGACATGAATCGTAGTGTATGAGGCGTATTTTTATTTAAAACATCAATTTTTCACCTGTGGCCTGAAAGTAGTACTTCCCAGCCGCTATGGTAAACAGGAAATTAATATTTTCAAGTCATGGGGTATGAAAAACGGCATACCGGCCTAGACCGAGAAAAAAACCCAGTGCACGTACTTATCAGCCTCAGCTTCGCTTCCACCCCAATTGCATGTAGTCTGAGACTTTTTTTCCCCGGAAGGATAGTAATATAGGGATGTGGAAGTACCCGGAATATCTGGGTCGGATCGAGTTTTTTTGTTCGGACTTGGGTCGGGTGCGGACCTACCCAAAACTTGGATACACCCGAAAACTGCAAAAAAATTTTTCGAGTTTAATATTGGCTTACATCTCCGTATATCTAAAGCCCTGAGCTCTCAACAAATCTGAAAAATTCAAGGTAAAAAGAATTTTTCAGATTTTTTAAGTAAGAAACGACTTCAGAATCGATATTGATTGAAAATTGAGGGTGGAAGATAGGAGCGACCTAGAGGTCTAAAATTCGAGACTTTTTTTACTCATAACATACTAAAATTGCGTTCAGATGGACGACATACGTGTGCATGGTTTTGTAAAAAGGTATAATTTTTATCCTTATACATTAGTACCGTCTAACTACCAAAAGTGAAACTTCAGAGCCCATTTAATATTTTAAATTGTCAAAGTTTGGCTTATAAATTCAAACACGCAGGTTGCAGACTTATGGTATAATTGGGTTGACAGAAAATTTTGTTTAACTCAAAAATCAGGTAAATAATGTGCATTAAGATTTAATGATATTTTAAACTTTCTCGATATTATGTCTAAATCTATAATAAGATCACAATTTCTTATGTCGATTATCAAACGTAAGATATACCAAAAGATTCTCCTAGATCTGGTATCAGATCTAGAATCAGATCTCGTTTTAAATCTCGAGTGATATTTTCACCTGGGAAACTACTTAATAATTATTTGATATATTTAAGATTCAGGGAGTAAAAAATTTAATTTACGGTATCGTTTTGACTTGTTTGATAATTTAAAGATATCGGTTGCCATGCAAGTTCCCTTGAAAAAGATTGATTTCCATCAGGCATCCACAAAGCGGCAGCTTCTAATAAAGCAGAACTTTTTGCACGATCCACGTCCGTACTTTGTAACCAAAATATTTCTGGACTATATTTACTACCTGCGTGCATTAATACCAAATATAATATAATCTTTTTAAAACTTTTTTTAATAGTTATAATTTAAATGATTGATAATAGGGATTAAAGAAAATTCGCTACTCACGTAGCTAAGCGATAATTAAATTTTCAAAAATTTTATGGTAAACTCAGTTACTTTATATCGGGTGTCTCTATGGAGGGAATGCCGCAAAAATGATTCATTGCTCTATTTTTTCGGTGTTCATTTCGAGGATTTCGCGCGCATCTTGGGTAGAAAAGAACACCATAACATATTCTCAAAATATTTTGAGTCATAACATAATGAAGTGACATTAAATTAACATAATCGTAACCAAATACGATAGTTTTAAAAATATTTAAAAATGTATGCTTACCCAAAAATGTTCCATATCTGCTTCGTAAAAATAACCCTTGCTGATATTGACTAAGTCTTCCTTCCTAAAAACCATGTATTCATTATATTTACTAGATACATTATAGTACAAAAACTTAAAGTATTTTTGCAATTGCGTTCTATTTTCAACATTTTGGTATTATAAAACTGACGAAAAAAGTACATAGAAAAGTTTAAAAATTAAAATTATCGTATTAAATTATGAATTCAAAATGTAAAAATTTGTAAAAGTATACTAATGAATTTAAACAGCCAATAAACCCATGAATATTTCATTTTAATTTATTATGTGTTATAACAAATATAACTACATTTTCACACAAAAAAACTTAACTAAATAAAATCGTTAATTTGAATTTATTCATTTTTTAGATAAAATTAAATGACCTGAAGAAATATAACTGTTAAAGAAAAGTATCATGTGTCCGAAATCGTTCTTAACCTTACATTTGTTACACTTATTTACTTTTTATTACAGAAAAATCTCAATATTACTTTTCCCGCTAGGAGAAATATTTATTTCACTTACTTTTGTTAATTGACCCCAACCATACGGTTCCATGGGATCATTTTTATAGGGATCATTGGGATAAGTAGTTTGAGGACTTCTTTGTCCGTGACGAATTACCTGCAATTTACAAAAAAGGTTTTGAATCAAATTTTATAAATTTGGTTATTTTGAATAGAATGATTCGATAAAAAAAAATGAACCATTTTTAACATTTCCTAACTCACCTTTGCATGCTTGTGTTTAGCTAATTAGTTTTTTTTTACTTCTATATGTAGTATATGTCTACCCCGGGCTAATTAGAAAAGTTTCAGTATAGACGTGCAATTAGTGGTCAAAGTCGACAAGTACCTAGTTTGGGGCTCAGCTTCGTTTTGGCCGATTACACTTGCTCCGAGATTTTTCCAGTTTTTCGTATTTAAGGGTCATAATCGATATTTTCGGTTTTGTGGACAAAAACAAAATAGTAGTCGAGCGAGCGTCAGCGAGCGAGGAATGACGCTAGTAGTAGATTACAGGACAATTGGTACATGTAATCTGAAGCATTATTTTACCGCAGGTGTTGGGCATAAGCTATTTTTGGGCCACGGGTACGAAAATTGTATAGAGCCCTGAGTCACGAAAAACACAGAGTTCCCAGGGCACGTGTAACTAGCGTCCCAGGTAACATAGTCGACTACCACTACCACACGACCACTATAATCGACTACTTATAGTGCAATAATTTACTGTGATCCACGTAAAAAAAGTTGATTAACTTGCATAAAATTATGAATGATTGTGTATCGTTTGTCCCGAACTTTATGAAAATTTTCAATTTTCATATACCCTGTTTTAAGTTCAGAATAAATTATATAAACAGGAATTTTTTACGAGTTTTTTGTAATTTTAATTTTTTTTAACTTTTATGGCAATAATTCAATAATTTATAAAGAGCAATTTTTACATTTATTAGCCACTCTATTGATTCAAAATGAGCAACGCATTTTTTGTTTCAAGGTGGCTCTAGAGGTTTTATGAAAATGAAATTTGCTTAAATTAAAGTTAAAGTGTGATAATCTTCAAATAGAGCCAAATTCAACCTAGGATATAGATACAATTTTCAAATAAAAAAAACCGAATGAAAGTTAATACTTTTACATACATGTATAACCTAGTAGGATACGGCAAAAATTGTAAATAACTCTCAAATAAAGTTATAGATTTCAATAATTTGCGATTTTATCGGTAAAATAACAAATAAGCTTTCAAAAACAATCGGGGCATCGATCAAAATTACAAGTTGGCAGTGATTGATTGTCAAATTAATGTATCAAATTAATTGAAGACAGTACAGAAAAACGAATACTAATACTAAACTAATACTCAATCACTTACTGACTCTCTCGGACCTTTACAGTAGTCTCAAGTCTTCAGAAATATCTAGAATCTTTGTTCAATATTTTGGAGCATTGTAAAACATAAATAATTTTTATTGTCGAGAAATAATCGAAGATTATTGAAATACAAACCATTCTTGTGAGATCATTCTTAAATCTTCATTGAAACTATACGAGGATAAAATATCTTTCAACGATAAGTTAACAAATATAGCAAATTTGTGTTTCTAAATAAATTTTTTTCACTCTGTCGTTCTGAAATTATTTTTATCAAGTCAAATAATAAAAAACACCTATTTTAAAAAACTCTTTCCTTTGATAATATTACAATGTATTCAATTTATTTCGATAATGCGAGCAAAAATATTTAAAAAGTATGTTTTCTGATAAAATATATAATTCAGAATTTAACTTAAGAATTATACTGATTTTTACAACGATTAATATCAGTTTCAACGAAAAACCGTAATAAAAAGAAAAGGAAATTAACGAATTTTGAATTCAAAATATGACAATTCTTAAAAAAATATATAATTAATTTCAGAATATTTTAAATAGATAATTTATAATTTTTCGAAAATAGTAGGTTATCATCTGAAGAATGGACACATTTTTATTGTCAGATTTAAAAATCGGTACAGGACAGAAAATCATGTTTGTTAAACATGAACTTAAATTTTTACAAATATTATTCTATAAAATGAATTGCAGAGCCCATGGTTTCAAATTGAACATAGGAAATGTCATCATTGTGTGCCAGTAGACGCCAATAAAATATTCAGGACATTCAATAACCCACGTCTCATGTAGTCTCTTTATTAGTAAACGCATACGGCATACGCATAGTAATGCATAGTAAATATATGGCCGATTCTCAATAAAATTGACTTCCCCTACATTAGAATTTTTGGGACCAACTATAAGCCTTTTTCAAAGGTCCAAAATTCATATATTTATTGCAAATATTTCAAAAATACCGCTCTCTGTATAAAGTAATTAAAACAAAGAAGTGCAGAAGGGCTTTTTTGCTTAAAATTGTCGAAAAGGAAGAAAACTCTCACGTAATCTGAGGATCCGGATTCGATCCAGATTTTAATCGCCCCAAAATTTTCAGAGCTTACTTAAGAATGTCCACTACCTGCATTTTTGTAATGGTTTAATTCAAACGGTCTGGACCCATCAGAGTGTCGTAAATCAGCCTTTTCACTACATTATTTTCGTGTTTCTTTATTCTATTCTCTCTTTAGTTTTTCTAGGCTGTTAGTTTTGAAGCCCCATTTTAAAAATTTAAGATATCGTAGCTTACAGTGCTGACATGTTGAGAAAGTTTTGTGAATTTTTTTTTAGACGTAAGTCTCAAATCAATCAAATTTGATTTTGAGTTTATGTTTCTTTTTATTGAAACAAGATTTTAAAAGTCTTGTATTACTTTGGAGTAGTTTTTCCTCAAAATTTGGATAATTTTCAGCGAGAAAGCTTTTATGCACTTTTTTTCAAGCCACTTTATATCTGAGCTAGTTCTTTTTTAAATATTCGTTTTCTAACATCGCGGGAATAACAAATTCTTCGTTTTTGCCGAAAATTATGTTTTTGTTATTTCCTTTTTATGAGAATTGGACATATATGATAGTTTGTGTAAAAAACTGAAAACATTTAATAACTTATAAAAATTAATTATAAAATAATGCGTATACCAATATCTTTTTTAAAATATGATTATTTTAATATTAAAATAATTGTACACAACATTATCTACATACTTACCACATTAACTTGTCGTAGAGTCTGGACTGATGAATTATCCGAAGAAAATTGAGAAGCTGCAATAAAGTTTTTGTTAGAAAAAAATTTTAACTCGCACTATAAAAATCACTTACAATTATATTGAAACGTCTGTATTAGATTTGATAATTTAAAGCATATGTTGTATTTGGTTTATTGGTTTCATGGATTCACTGTTGTTCAAAATTCAACAATTTTGAAACTGTATACACTGATTTTATAAAACAACAATAATTTTTTTGTCTTATATTGTTATACTCTATGAGTATTTAAATAAATTCTGTATTCCCCTTTGCTTATGCAACTATACAAACATCTCTATATTAGAACAAACAGAATCATGAGCTAATTATATAATAATCAATAGAGAATGTATAACTAACTTAATTCTTGAAAAATATTTTTTCCGGATTTTGAAAATTTTTAGCTATTTACATAGAAAATGAATGTTTCGTACAATTTATATTTTAATGTAAATAGTAAACATTTTTTGTCGAAAACTCATATTTGTGTACTTGTATGTGTGTATAATGCGTATCGTATGAATAACAATTATCCTTACCTGATGGCAGTGCTTTCATTGATATTAAATGGAACAATTGGAATTGAAGATATATCTGTATAGCTATAGTGGCGGATTTCATGATAATTTATTTATTAGCTAAATTTTTAAAGCTAAAATGATTTTACGCAGTTCTAAAATGATAACTTTTGATTTATAAAATAATTTGGAACGAAGTTAACTGCACTTTCGGCGATGCATTATAATACAAAATGTTCACGTTTATATTATTATCATAACTAAATATACAACTGACGTGTCACAATTCACACCTCGATTTTTAATCTGATCTGCAAACATCGTTCTTTTACGTTGGAATCTTTGTAATGAATTACATAACTATACTTATAATACTTCGTGAAAATGGAAATCCTAATCATAAAAGACGAATCATAAACTTATACTAATGAAGATAAAACGATAATTTATCCATCTGTTGATTTTTTAAGATGCTTTGCAAAAATATAAGATATATTCAAAGTAAATTATGATTAAATTAATGTCAATATTGCAAACACGTGATGAACTTTATTCCAATGTATACTTTTGCGGCCAACTATAAAGTAGAATACATTATTGTTCATCATCTTTAATTGGCCAATCATACGCATAATAGTTGTATGCCTTTACAAGCGTTTACTATTTAATAGTTTAAAAAAAAAGTATATTTTTTTAAATCGAGGAAATAAACGGACCTGGAAAAGTTTTTGCATTCTGCAGAATAATCAAAAATTTAATTGCAGATTTTTGGTATCGAAAAAGGCGATAAATTTGCTTAACATTCGAACTTTTTAAGTATTAAAATACTATAAGTTGTGAATTAAAAAATAGTTAAATGAAAAATTAAAAATCAATTAACAGCTATTTAAGAACAGGCGTTCAAACTTTAACAAAATCGTTCAACAAAATTTAAATTTAAACAAGTTAACAATTCAGTAAAGAAAAAACAAAATATCAAAAAAGTTTAATAAAATTCCAGACGAAAAATTCAGTCAAAAAGGAAATGGACCGAGAAGTTTCAGTTTTGGGGGTTTAATTAGCTAAGAATCATTGTAAATAGAATACCTACAGGTGAAACTTGATTGTTTTTTTCCTTTTTGGTTTTTTTTATTGAGTTGTTACACGTGCGCAAAGTGCAGAAGTGCGGGCCATACAGAAGCATTTTAGGTGCATTAGTGCCTAGAACCATTCGCCCGTATTACGCGCAAATTGCAATAGTAGAGGGGAGCGAGCTGACTCGCAGAACTGAAGAGCGGTAGTCAATTTGGATCTGAAAAAGGAGGTGGGCCAATGACGTTACGATCCGCATTTGAAATAATAGAGGCAATCGACAATTTTACGATCGTCATAAAAAGGCAGGAGTTTCCGATCTCGGATTTTTAGTTCTTACGGGACCACCATACATTGAAAGTGTAGAGGCCACGATCGTGAAATCGTCAATAGAGCCTGGATGGAAACGGGATCGATGTCGATCGCTCATATCACAAATAAGATACCCTGCTATACTAACAATAGTATACAGGCCAGCATAGACCAAACCTCTACTTCACTATAATGTTTACGACCTCATGGTGCAAAATTAATGAATACGACCGACGTAATTTATATTAAAATCCGCACGTGTCCGCGTAGCCGGCGCGCTAACTCGCGTTTTACGAGTCAAGTTGATACTTTTTTTCTACGTGCCTAGAGAAGTTTCACTTCAAAATAACAAAAAAATTACTCACTGGCATATTATTTTGGACACTTTCATACTGTCACTGATGACGAAGAATTTAGCATAGATTTGATTAAGTTTTGAAGTAATGTTTGTTGATCAAATATTAATTTAATTCTTGAAAAATCGAGTCGAAAATAAGTTTTTATTAATGAAATATTTTGAAATTTTACTAATAAAATATTTTAAAGTTCTGTAATTATATTTTTCATAAAATCTACATTTTGTAGGAAATTTCCATCTTCCAAATGTCATTATCAACAGAAAAAATTAAAATTTTTTTAGACTTATGATCAAAGAAAAAGCTGCCTGCTCTCTGCGACCTGTTTTTAAAAATAATTTTATATGTTAATTGATGCATTATATTTTCATCTCGATCAGTGAATATCAAAAATTTTCGAAAGAATACATTAGAAGACTATGTCGTGATTATTCTATGTTTATAATATCCATAATCGAATATTAGACTTGGACACTTGAGGAAAATAGCTCTTAAGACCGCTTGGAATAGTAACAGAATCATTACCCTTAATAACTTTTTAAATTATGGAAAAATATTCTTATCATTACAATGAGTAAATGAGCAAACCACAAAATTATTTGCTATGAAAAAAACCGGAAAGTTTAGTTTTTAGACCCTGACGTAAAATATGTTTTTATCTGCGGTTCGTTGCATTAACCTTCCATTTAATTCTTTATAGTTACATACATTAACTAACAGATACTTTTTGTTAATTTTGAAATCAAATAGAACAGAAAATTATTAAATTACGTCTCGATAAGCGGCTGAGACAAAGCGACGTCTAATAAGCAGTAATATGCTATTTCCGGTCACTGGCTAAGCAGCGAAAAAAAGCCCTGGGCACATGTTTATCGGCCGATTAGCTACTAATAGTACTAATATGTAAGAGATACAATTCAATTTCTATTTGGGCCTAGCGAATAAAGTCAAATAGAGTGTTGGGGAAATTGAAACGACATCTCAAATGTAATTTCAAGTTTAGCATCATTTAAAATATTTCAGCTTTAACTATTATAATCTTACATTTACCAGTATTACAAAGATAATACTTATGTAGATAAAAATCATTTAAAAGTCACAGTTGAATAGTTTCAACAGTTACAACAAAACTAAACATTTTTAAAGGAATAATAAGTTTCAAAACAATTTAAGTAATTTTTTTTATTAAAAGTCACAAAAAATGTACATTTATTAAAGTTATATGAAAATAACAAAAAATTCATTACTGTGTCTTTGAGATGTGATAAATTTTATTTAATCTTAACTTAGTTTTCAACAAAGTTGATGTTTACAAGCTCAAACTAAAACTTAAGCGAAAATTTTTTCTTCACGGCGTTTTTTCGTAACTACTGTGCCGGGTTTATGTTGAGCATCTGGATGATTTAGTAACTCTTGTGGGCATGTCGAAATTGGACTTGCTAATACGATTTGTTTCAAATCATAGAAAAGATGACTGTCATCCTTTGTACAAAAGGATATAGCAATACCAGCTTTGCCTGCACGACCAGTTCTTCCAATACGATGTGTATAATCTGAAATTTTTTTTTATTTATTATAATATAAATGGTGCACTTAAATATATATTTTTTATTTTTATTTTTTAGTAATTATATTCAATTACCTTCAATCGTTTTTGCCATATCATAATTGATAACCATTGATACATCTTTTATATCAATACCACGACCAGCAACATCCGTGGCAACCAAAATATCCTTACTTCCACCTTTCAGTGAAGCAAGAGCATACTCTCTTTGTTCTTGTCCTTTGCCACCATGGAGTGTACATGCATTGTACTAATAATTGAAAAATCGATTAATGGATAATAAGTATAATATAGTTATCTAAATGAATATTGCATTTAAAAGTCTTAACTATCAGAATAACTAACTTTTAGGTAATTCATTAAATACACAAATACTTACACCAAGCTTTTCAAGACCTCTTGCAAGAACATCTGCGCCTTTCTTCTGATTAACAAATATTATAATTGGAGGTTCAACACCTCGGCCAAGAATTTCCATAAGTTTCTTCCGTTTATCAGATTCACCCATAATGTGAATGATTTGTTCCGTTCGTTCGGTTGGTTTTCCTATGCTTCCAATATACACTACAGCTGGTCTTCTAAGATATGTTCTAGCTAATCTTTCAACAGCTGCCGGCATTGTAGCCGTAAACATCACAGTTTGCCTATATTTTTTTTTTGAATTGTAATTTGCTAAAAGTTTTTCTTCATTTTCAGCATCTTCAGTGTCAGGTTTCAGATTGGTAACTGGCATATATTCTAGAATTTTTTGGACATCAGGTTCGAAACCCATATCTATCATTCTGTCCGCTTCGTCAAGAACAATATAAGTACATTGATTTAGTACTAAGTATCTGTTTTCAAGCACGTCAATTAATCTTCCAGGTGTTGCAATTACTATCTGTAAAATATTATAGTATTAATAATACTTTATTGAAACAAAGGTTATTTGAGTTTTCTTAGTAGTTTAGAAAAAGATAATTTTATGTTAAATGAAAATAATGGAAAAATAAAAATTTTGCAGAAAAAATTTGGTAGATTACCTCACAACCCATGCGTAATCTAAATCCTTGTTCTTCTCGAGATAAACCACCAACAACAACTACTGTTCTGATGCCTAACGGTTGTCCAAATTTATTAGTCTCCTCTTCAATTTGCTGAGCCAATTCACTACAAATATATAACACAATATTTAATATATTTTGAACATTTTAACAGATCATTAATAGTTATTACTGTACCGTGTAGGAGCTAAAATAATACTGTATGGACCTTGATCTGCTTCTTCAATTCTTTCTATTTTTGGGAGGCTAGTTATCCAAAGAAGAAGTGGAATCAGAAAAGCTAAGGTTTTACCTGATCCAGTTTCAGCAACACCGATAATATCACGATTTTGTAAGCCAATTGGAATAGCTTGTCTTTGAATCGGAGTAAGATCTTTGTAGCCAACTTTATCAATAATATCCAAAATTTCAGTAGGAAACCCAGATTCTCTCCATGATCTTATAGGATCTGGAATTCTGCCACCTTTTATAGTTATATTATAGTCTTCTCTAAATATTCGCCAGTCTCTTTCTGTCATTTCATCAAGTGCTTTTTCTGACCAATGACGATCATCCCACTTCTGCTTTTCTTCTTTCTTTTTAACTTTTTTCAAACGTACTCTACAAGAAAAAAAAATTAATTATTAATTGAAATAAAAAATTTTCGAAGTAATTCATACTTTTCTTGTTCTTTCTCAGCTTCAGTTCTCCTTTTTTCTAGTAATTCACCATAAAATTTACTTTGATCACGTTTTTGAGCTTTGATGTCTATTCCAGCCAGGTTTCCTCTACCAAAAAATTGTACTTGATGTCTTTCTTTATAAATATTGTTATAATCTATGGATGTATCTTCAGATGTATCCCAATCAAATACAAATTTTCTATCATTCAATCTGCGAACTCGTCTTTTTTTTTTCACCAATCCTAGATAACGTTCCTTAATAGCCTCTATTTCTTTTTCTTTATCTTTGTCTTTGATTTCTTCCTCGCGTGATTTTTGATTCTCTCTACGTCTGCAAATAAGAAAAAACTTTACTATTGTTCTGAAAATAATTGCATAAGTAAAGTTACCTGTCTCTATCATCCCAATCTCGATTATGAGATGTATTATATCCATCATTAATGGGTAAATTTTTTTTCTGCTCTTCCTGTTGTTTTCTTATTGCATTAACTTCATCTTGACGTTTTTGTAATGCTAGAGCTGCTCGCTCTTGTTTAGTAAGAAATTTAGGCTTAGCACGAGCCTCTTCTTCTGCTTTTTTTTTAGCCAATAGCTCTTCTAAACTAAGTGGTTCTTTTTTTACCACCTCAGAAGTATTGTTATCAAGCTTTTCATCTTCATTAGAAGTTTTATGTTCTGTTTTTTCTTCAGCAGTTGTGGAACTGTTTCTCCATTTTTTTTCATCCTTATTTTTATCCTTATTATCTTTTCTTTCTTTGTATTTATCACTTTCCCTATCTCGGTCTTTATCTTTTGACTTATCTACATCTCTTTCCCACAAACGGTCATTACCTTTTGACTTGTCCCTTTCTTTAGATCTAGAGCGTTTTCTATCTTTTTTCCAGTCCTTTGACCGGCTCCTTGAACGCCTGCGTTCTCTGTAATCCTTTTCTCTGTCCCGTTCACGGTCTCTATCCCATTCGCGTCCACTTCTCTCTCTGGATCTGCTTCTCCGATTAGATTTTTTATCATGATTTTTGTTCATTTTTACTTTTCACTTTTAGCAATATAAAAAGAAACGAGGTTTTAAACTTTAAAAAACATGAAATAAAAAGTAAATAATACACATAGTAAAGAGGTTATTTCTCAATTTATCATGAGAACTATTGAATCTCACGAAATAAAAATCTACTCAGTTGTTTATATTTTTATGCAATGTATAATTTTTCACGCAAATACACTGAATCAATTATTCCGTAATGATTAAAGCCCAATAAACTTCAACATGTAAAATTATTATTATGATTCAAAGAATAGACTCATGCGTAACAACATGCATCCAATATACGGCAGACAATCAAGTTGGTCTTGATCTTTATTATGCTTGCGATGGGGAGCTCAAATCTTGAAACAAGTATGGAAATCAGAGATTGTGACTAAAGCCCTTAGACGATTAAAATTTTATTTTAAAAAGTAATAGAAAATTGAATTTGCCCGTTTCTAAAATGAGAATAATTTTGCACCCCTTTGGATTTTTGCAATAAAAATTTAACAATAAATTATGTATACTATTATTATTATAGAAAAAACAACCCTCGAAAAAATTTCATGTAGGATTCGCAAAATACCTACATGAATTCTAGAGGACTCCTGTAGGAATTTCGCAGGATCCTACAGAAAATTTTTTCAAGGGAAAACGCCACTTCTTGCAAGAATTTTCTCAAATATCGTGCTTGCGTATGTGTGGAGTTAAAAGGATCACTTGGTAGTGAATGACGATTCGAATAAATTATGGTGAAATCCTCGCCCACGTATGAAGAATATGAGAGTTGGACTTTTTTGCAAGCTTCTTTTCAAGTAGGACATACAAGGACTAATTCTAGAAATGCCGTTTGCCGAAACCCATAAAATATTACGTTATAGGGTGAGAGGTTTTCTATCTTGCGCGAATAACTCATCTGTGCCGTTACGGAAAGTAGCACTTTCCATACTCTGTGCTAATGGAATTTCATACCCTTGAAATCATACCCAATGAAATTTTATAAACTCTTATAAACCTTTGAAAACACTCATAAACTTTAATAAAAAAACGTAAGTTGAGACTGCTCCTAAAATTTTTTAATAAAGTTACTAAGTTACGTAAAAATATAAAAGTAAAATTTTCTTTTATTTCAACGATGTTTGTATTATTTGGACAATCGTGAGAAATATTACATAATTTCCATAGATAAAAAGGACATATTTTATTTTTGCGATAGTCGTAGTAAAAGGTAGAAATTAATATAAGTGAAAGTAAACATGGTATTTACAAGATTCGCTGTAGAATATATCGATAATTTTTTTTTTCAATTTTTTTCTGAAACTTTCGTTATTAGATAACAAATTTAATATAGTTTAAAATTAAATCACTTTTATAGACTTCTATCAAATGTTATGATCATAATTTGTTGAACTTATAAAAAATTTTTTATAACTAATATAACATTTTCATTTTTTTGGCAACTGCGTGTTTGTACTATTGTAAAAATACAAACCTGATGTAATATTATAAAATATTATGTCGAGTTATCGACGATAGTAATTGAAAATAAAAAGATAATTTTAAATTGTCAATCACGTTTAATAACATGCAAAAAAACCTTTAAACACGTACTTATCAAGTCCTGTAATTTTTCGACGCTTCTAAAAATAATATAATTCATATTGACGATTTACAGTTTTTTATTCATAAACTTGCGATAATTGGCCATTATTTCAGAATGCGCTAAAGATTTGATGAATTTTTCAAATTTTTATGTCAGAAAATTTCTTCTTTTAGATCGAAAATTTCGGGGGGCTCAACCCAGTTATAAGATCAACAGAGACAGAATAATAACTTTGAGTTAAAATCGATCGAGAAGAAAGAAGAAATCATATTTAAATGAAAAATATTGGTGAGCAGTATTTTCGTTTGAATTTCCATTCTATACTATTAAAAGAAGATTGATAATTTGAAACATTTTTCGTCACAGTTTTTTTTTAAATTCGCCTCATTTTTTATACTGTGTATAATTAATTTTAAAGATTATCTAAAAAAATTTTGATAGAACATCAGAAACTTATTATTGTGAAACAGACAATTTTAAAGTCAAGTATAAAAATTTGGCTAAATATTGTTGCTGTTAATCTGATCTCTGTTTATTCAATAATATAATGTATACATTATTTATTGTCAATTTTTAAGTTTTTCAGAGACTGAAAACCAATCGAGTATGATAACGGCGGACCCTCGGGCGATATCGAGTGAATATAAGCAAAAATCGTGAGTCGGGGAAGAAAATGGAAAAACGCTGGTCGCAGTCCACCTCGCGGAAGGGAAAAGTGCGCTGGACTCGAGTCGTAGTTCGTAAAATATCGCTCGGCCTCGTCCGGTCTCGGCACTCGGGAGTCGTCATCGCCCCAAAGGTATATAGATATATAGCCGCACAGGAACTAGCAAGCTCACTATGTATGCTACGCCGTACGAAATTGCGAATTTTCGCGCGCGCGCATTGCAAAAGCTGGGATCGCGGGAGCGAACTGCAGCCTCCCTGGCAAAATATTTCTTTAATCGCCACAAATAATTGTAAATCTCAATAAATAAGAATTAAAACACTTCAATAAAATCTAGTAAAATCAAATATATGTGAAAACTTTCAAATAATTTTAAAGAAAATCAAATAATCATATAAATACTCACAAATACTCACTCTACGAATTGGGACTTTTATATTTGTGAGTATTTAAAAAAATTTTTTTTTTTTAGCATTGATTTATATTTAATAATTTATATTATAATATATTTGAGAGTATTGGAGAGTTTTAACTTTTATTATAATATATTTGAGAATATTGGAGAAATATTTTTCTAAATTGTTCAAATGTAATCATACATCTAGTCATAATAATTGTAGTAATTAGTTAATAATTGATGGTCAATGTATATTTTTTTAAATTGTTTCTTTATTCCAAAAAAGAATTTTTTACATTGATTCAGTTTACATTTATAAAAAATGAGTTCTAAGCATATAGCTGTTGTAGCCAAACAAATGTTGCAATAATAAATTTTTAAAAAACTGTTATGAAGGAATTATAAAAAATTGAGAATCTGCTAATACATATAACTATGCTAGCCAGACTATAAAAGTTTGCTAAAAAAAACACGAAAAACAACAAAGAGCTGGAATGAAAATGATGAAAGAATTAAAAAAAAATAATATTGAATGATTTATAAGAAAATTGTTTCTTGATCCGGGTCATTCTCAGTATCCAATTCTGGATATTTATTCACGACGTCCATGTGCTTCTTAGCACCATTTATAGCCCGGTTAGCATAGTTATTAAATCTGCCCTTGTAATAACTTATTATGGACGAATCTCGGTGGTAGAAAGCTAGCATGTGGTCGAAGTGCTTTTTAACAGCACTTTTCTTCCTCGGAGAAAGTAGCTGTAAGTGACGGGTTTTTATGGTTTTTTTCACACAACGTTCTGCCAATGCTCGATAACCCCAGGTTGCGTACATCATTCCAATACAAAACAGTGATGCTTCTTTTTGTTCATAAGCATTCTCAACTCCTGCTTTATTAGCTGTAATGTCACTATTAAGGTTCTTGATTGTTGGATAGGCGTTGATACTTCTTTTTAATTTTTTCACAGCAAGCTCTGCTTGTTCAGCATCTGAAATGCAATAAAATAAAGTACAATTATTCGACCCTATCTATATTACAGTGTACACAGACACACACACACACACACATTAACGAGAGACAGAATGCTTTTAAACAAAACAGAATTTATTATTAAAATAATGATTAAAACTTGCCTTGTTCTTGTTGATGTTCTGCAGATTTTCTTTTCTGTTGAGTCAGTTTGTCATTCAAAAACTTTGCAGCTTTTTCAGCTCTAACTCTCTTTTTTTTTTCTTCGGCTAATGCATTTTGTAAATCCTTATCAGTCACAAATGTTTGGTGACCATCATTATGGTTGGTTGGAAACTGATTGCTCTCAGTCTAAATTGCAAGAAATTACATTTATATTAAAAATGATAATAATAGAGAAACTCTTCAAATGATGTATATATATTCTTACTAACATTTTCCTGCAAAGGTATTTTGCGTCCAACTTTTATGGCATTGGATGCAGTTATCGCCTCTTCATCGTTGATTGAATCATCGTCTTCATCAGAGGATTCTTTATTTTTATCTGAGCTCGAGTATTCTAATGGACTTTTACCATTTGAAGATGTACCCTTAGAAGATACAAGGCCACTGCAGCTGGGCTTATTTGGTTGTTGTAATGTCTTCTGATAGATTTGAACAATATCTGTCATTGTTTTAGCAGAAGCTTGGTTTTTGATGAGTTTATCTTGCTGTAACAAAAAATAATGACTCAAATTAAAATATGTAAATAATTAATGCACAATGTTACTGAAAGCACTCCACTCGCATTACACTAAACATAAAACTAAATAAAAAACAGCATGAAATGATACCTATATCTAATAGCGTATGTCTATATGTAAAGTCATACCTTTCGTTGAAGTTTGGCATCAGCTAACTCATTGGCAATCTCGTCTTCCTCATTATCATCTTGATCATCCTCGCTATCATCATTATCCTGGCTGTCTTGATCATCCTCGCTATCATCATTATCCTGGCTGTCTTGATCATCCTCGCTATCATCATTATCAATTGTTGGGATATCAGATACGTTGAGGGTAGGAAGAACTGGTCTCTTTTTTGTAACATATTCATCAACTTCTTCTTCAGTATCTGTAAAAGATAACAATCAAAATAATTTATTGTAGCAATATTTTGTTACTTAACCTATTTAATATGCAATATTCATCTAAGTTTTACAAAAGAATTTACAATATTTTTATATTAAGATTAATGCAGCATAGTAAAATACAAAAATTATGAACCTACCTGCTACAACTAATATTTGGCAATAGTATTTTTGGTTATTTAATTTACACAAGAAGACTCTTTTAGAAAATTTATACGATTGATGACCAATTTTCTCGTACTTATAATCAGTTATATCATCGGAATTAATGTTAAAATAAGATTTAAGTGACTTAATATAAATGAAGGCCCACATTTTGTTATTAACTAATTAACCTACTTAGACTACAGGTTGACTACTAAGCTTCTGCTTACTACTACTAAACGCGCGAGAATGTCTTAAGGGTGGAAAGAGAGAAAAAATACCGAACCGAATCAATGCGTTTGGCGCCACTATGATGTACAACTATACCGGCAGGCCTTAAGGTCAGAGAACTTACATCTGGTCAAGAAAAGAGTGTATGCAAAGAGCAAAATTGTTTAAAAGTCGATTTAAAATTAAAATAAATAATCAATCACATTCAATCGTAATGTCAGATCCGATTCGTCAAGTGTATAATTCGTGGAAGTCTCCATCATCGAAAAAGAGAAAGCCTAGATCAACAAATTACCGTCATGAGAAAAAAAAAAGAGAAGATATAGTACGTGTAAGTAAATAACCATACAATAGGATTTTGCTATCTCATAGAGGAAGCTCTGTGATAGGGTCGAAAACGAGATTTTGAACCAGACCTCGTAGGACAATTTGGTTTACATATTTGTAAACTAGATTGAATTCTCAAGAAATGTCCGCATGTATGTATGTGTGTGTGTGTGCGCGTATGTCCGAGGCAAAATCTTGAAAATGTTACGGTGGATTGTATTAATTTCAATGGTATTCATTGTCGTTTGTAGTATTAATTAGGCCAGAAAAGTTTTTTGGCAATACACGAGAAAAAAAAATTTTTTTTCGATTTTTCGAAATTTTTTTCGTAAATTTGAAAAAAAATTGTTCTTCTTTTTTCACGTAAAAATGCCGGAATTTTTATAAGGGAATTTTTTTGTTGTCACCATGAAAGCAGCCAAGCTTTAATTTAAGACCAAAAAGATAGGCATTCACCTAATATTATGAAAATTAACGACTCGAATTAAAATTTTTTTTATGTAAATTTGAAAAAAAAAATTTTTTTATTTCACGGATAAATGCCGGAATTTTCACTACTTTTGTTATCATCATGAAAGCAGAGCAGTCAAGCTTTAATTTAAGAACAAAAATTGAAGACCAAGTAAAATTCTATTTTTTCTTTTGAAAGTTTTGTATAGATTTTTAAATTTATTAGTATTAAGTTTTAGGTTAATATTTATTATAATATAATTAAAAGAGAATGAGGAAGCACTTTGCCAATGACTTGGCAGCGTTTTTTTTTTTATATTTACGTTATTTTAAAAAAAATCTACATTCAAATATTCATTTCTTCCAGGCTGTCTGTGGTGACACAAGTGACGATGAATTTGAAAATTCTGGGGATTCAAGTTTGAACAATTTGAATGCACTAGACAATGCACTTTTCGAAGAAAATGAACTTGAACAAGCCGACGAAGTGAAAGAAGTGGGAAACGCAGAGTTTCACAATAACTTGAATCAAGTTGATAACAATTTTTTTGCTCAAAATGATCAAATCGATAACAGTTTTTTTGCTCAAAATGATCAAATCGATGACAGTTTCTTTGCTCAAAATAATGATTGGGTGAATATTGATCAAGCAGACATCAGGAGTGAATACGATAGTGGAGAAGAAGTGGACGTTAGCGATTACGAAAATATACGGTCAGAAAAAAAAATGTTGAACAAAAAATTGTTTCTCAATGAACGAATACGTAAAAAAACAAATACTAGTAATGGAGAAATAATTTTGATGTGTATGTTATTAGCGATTCGTCACTCTTTCACTTGGGCAGCATTATTGGATGTCATGGATTTGATAAATAAACTTTTTGATGAAGATATAATTAAAATGAGTAAATTCAAGCTTATGCAATTTTTCCCTGGGCGCAAGGACTGGTATGTTTACCATGTGTACTGTCCTAATTGCAAGCAATATATAGGTAATCGTGACGAATTGTCAACAGTGGTTGCTTGTGTTTCTTGTAAAGTCACACAAATAGATCCAAAAAAGTGTCCATACTTTTTAACACTGAATATTAAAAGTCAGATACAAGAATTACTAAATAATCCTCTAATACAACCTCATTTAAGTTATCGTGAAACCCGATGTAAAAAGACCGAGGATAATATTGAAGATGTCTTAGATGGAGATCTATATAAAAGACTTTCTGCGCCAAACAATATATTACATGACAAATTAAATTTTTCGTACATTTTTAATACAGATGGTTGTAAAGCTAGCGATTCGAGCCCTGTAAGCGTGTGGCCAGTATTTTTAAAAATTAATGAATTACCACCTGCAATAAGAGATAATTTCATTATTTTAGTAGGGCTGTGGGTGAATGAAGTAAAACCCACTATGAATACATTTTTACCACCATTAATTAATGTAATGAATAGTTTATCATCTGAAGGAGTTGAATGGAACAGAAATGGCAAAATCGTTAAGTCCAAAATAATACCGTTTGGTTGCTGCGTTGACTCGCCATGTCGATGTAGTCTGTTAAACATGAAACAATTTAACGGAAATTATGGCTGTACATTCTGTTATCACCCAAGTGAACAAGTAGATGGTGTTCGAAAATATCCGCTGAATGGGAAGTTTTATCCGCTTCGCAGCCATGAAAATATCATCCAAGATATGCTTTCCACGCGTATACGCGATGAACGAACAGGAAAAGTAAAAATACAAGAAGTGACTGGAGTTAAAGGACCATCCGCTCTAATGAATTTGAAATACTTTGATCTTGCTGATGGCATGTCCCCTGATAGTATGCACGCAGTTTATCTTGGGGTATCGAAACAAATCACAGAAATAATTCTAAGCTCATCTAAGGAACCTTATTATGTGGGATCTCCAAATCAGTTAGCAGCAATTGATCACCGACTTCTTTCCATCAAAACACCAAAATGTATTACAAGAACAGTAAGATCTGTACAAAAACGAAGCTTGTGGAAAGCATCTGAGTGGCGATCATGGTTGCTTTATTATTGCTTACCTTGTTTGTCAGGAATTCTCTCTCCTAAATATTTCATTATAATATCAAAAGTGGTCAGCGGTATTGAAATTTTGCAAAGAGATTCTATTGGTTATGATGATGTTAAATTTGCAAATAAATTATTGGTAGAATTTATTATAGAATTTGAGAAAGAGTTTGGAAAACATAATATAACGTACAATGTACATCTTTTATTGCACATCGCAAGGAGTGTTCAAAATATGGGCCCATTGCAAGTACAAAATGCATTTTGCTTTGAAAATGAAAATCGATTACTACTACATTTAAAAAAAAGCCCAACAGAAATTGCAGTTCAAATTTCGAATCGTTATTTTGTTTACAGATCAATACCTTTTTTTTCTACATTATTTCCAATTGGCACAAGAGTAATAGAATTCACAGACAATTTTGAAACTCGAATAAAAAATTGTGCAAGGGTAGATTCTGCAGTAGTAATCGGTGTGGGAAAACCTTATACTCTCAATGAGTCTGAACAGAAACTTTTCTTCAATTTCAATAGTAGTTATTTGAGTTACCACAAATTAATTTATAAACATCGTAGGTATACTACAAAGGCTTATGCAGAAAAACTAAAAATAAATGACTCTTTTATTGAATTACAATCTGGTTGTAAGGGAGTAATTACAAATATAGTCGTCAGAGATGGATTTATGGAAAAAGATATTTACGTATTCTATCATCCAATTGTAATACTTAATAGTAACTCTTTTGATGTGTCACATATAAAACACATTCAAGAATGTACAATTGAATCTAATACTTTACTCGTTTGTAAGCCTACAAATATTAAAAATTCATGCATTTTCATAGAAATTAATAAAAAACAGTACATAAGTTCCATTATACAAGGAACTCTCGGAGACTAAAAATAACGTTAATGAGCCGTAGATTTTAAGACATTAATAAAGTATATCAAAACTTCTTCAAAAAATTGTTTTATTTGGCGAACCTAATTTTATATTTCTCACATTCACGCAATTCAATCGTAATTGTCCAATTAATCAGACAGTTTATTTTAAACGTCTGAAAATACTATTATTTGTAAATTGTAAATTGATCAATATGATCACTCAATAATCAATGAAAAAACATGCTCAATAATATCAAATTCGAATAAATCATAATGAATTTCTAATAAAAAAGAATTCAAAATAAAATTTAAGAATATTAAATAATTTTTAAGAATTTCTATAATTATTTATTACTTGTAAAGACAGAAAAATAATTTTAAATACTGGCAAATATCAAATTCCCAATTCCGGCAAAGATTCTTTGGTGGTATTTGACAGTATTTAAAATTATTTTTCTGTCTTTACTAGGATTATGAATATCTTTTGCCAGGGCTGCAGCCCTTACGTATACCGTGAAATCTCGTTGGTGACTACTGGTCGATTACTTGCGCGCAAATTCTTTGTTAGTTTGCCAGAGCGCTATACAGATATACCCCGCGGACGCATCGACTGCACCTAGTCTCTGAGTACGCTGCTATAGCGCCCGTATCACTCAACTTTGTACGTATATAAGGCTGCACGCAAAACTCTGTCGCCTTCTGCACTTGGTTGAAATCTGCTTGTCCTAGTTGCACGCAATCGGTTGATGAGCGAATTTCTCGTGTGACTACGTCGTTGCGCACATTTTGTAAGCAATAATGACAGACAAAAAAGGTAACTAACATTATCTATTATTACCCGTATTTTAAATCACCATACCCTCCCAATATATAAAGGAAATCCCTGGCTCTGGCTATTGAATAATCATCCGTAGGTTCATGAAATTATTTAATTCCAAAATAATACGTCCTTGTCGGAAGTTTAGCTGTATCGCAATAATGAGTGCGATGCGCTATATTCAACTCATTCCTCGACAGCTATAATATATGCTACGATCAATACCTCGAATCCACCCCGCTGCCCCCTCGTTTTCATCTACCCGTGTCGTATCGACAACATGGCTTCTTTCACGGTAAACAACTATTTATAGGGAAGGCATTTCAACGAGTCAACTTACATGTCCCGTCTAATTAGGTTTCATTGTCATAAATATTCGGTAATAAATAAAATCCATAAAGACATATCTTCATCCATGAATGTACTCAAGTAGTATACATTTTTGTATGCTATTTTATTTATTTCATTTGGAATGAAACTTTAATTACCATGATTATCCCTTCATCAAAATATTGGTTATTAGTATTGCTTTCTTATTCAAATTTATTCAACTGGTATGGTATTTTTGTCAATGCCAGAGCCAATTTTTTTCAAAATAACTTAAGAAAAACTAATCTTTTAAGGTATCGGTTTTGACTACATTTTAAATACTTTTGAAAGAATTTCTAAAATTTCTTATTTGGGGATTACTTCACAATAAATATCATACTGCAAGTATCCAACTGATGCATAATTTTTTTATTTCTTTAACATGATAGACCAACAATTATAATTGCTAGTAATTTATAATTTGAAGATAAATAAAATTTACTACTATTTTTATCTTCATTTTTATATAAAGATATGCGATCAAGCTCTGTAAAGTCTTGAATTGTATTAGAAACAAGTTGTTATATTTTTGATAAAATATTGAAAATAAAATTACTGAGTTATTGAATACCATAAAAATGTCAAAAATAATTAATAGACAGTAAAAAAAAGGATAGTTCCTACAGTTGTGGCTGTCGATATGTTTGCAGTGGACCAAAATGAAATCACTGACGATTTGATTCAAGTCAATAGGTGGAGTCTAGGAAACTGGAACTTTTGCAGCATAAGCCACGTATCTAACCTCAGCTTCTCTATATATTACATTAATAATCACTACATGTTTTAACTAAAAATACATAAATACTTATTGATATTCATCATGTGTATATATATAATATAAAAAAAATATATATATGTATCTAATACAAATATGTATATATATTTAATTTGTATAATGTTCAGTCTTTTAACTCAAATAATCAGTCTGTTGAAAAAACATTAATTTTAATGATAAACAATTTTAAAGTGAACCACACTCGTTTTTTACATGACTATTATATTTATTTGAGCTGAAGACTCCAGTTGTTGATGCATTTAAATCAACCAGTATATGTCATATTGATTTGGATGTATTACTAGATATTTCAAATTCAAATCATGAAATTGGCTGATTGCTTACTTATTACATTACGTAATAACTATTTACTTATGTAACAATTTTCGACTTTTCTCTTTCATATTCATGATTTCAGAATATATTCATTTTCAAAACTTTACATAAGCAATAGAAACAATTACGTTAATTAAAGAAAGAAATGTTTAATTTCAATAAATTATTTTTATTTCTTACAACATAATTAATTTTTATTTAACACTTGATGTAGTGCATGAGCTTTGTATTGATCACATGGTGTGGGCTACAATTTTTTTTTTTAAGAATTTAATTTATGCTATTATACAATGGACTCTTTTTGTTTCTTGAAATGTCTAAATAGCATAAATTAACTTATTCAAATAAATTTTGCCAAAAGCTTATGGTCTAAATTTGCATGAAAAGAAGTTTTTATTTTTTGTTGTAACATAACAAAAACATAGTAAAACTTTATAGTGAAATAGTGTTTGAAAAAGCTTGAAATTATCAAAAAAAATTATTAAATTCAAGTTTAAAATATTGTTATGAATGTTAATCAATTTTTTGATCATGTTTATATTTTTTGTATAAGTGCAACTCAAATAAATAAGTAAATTTATTGAAAAAGAAATATTTATTCATATACTATCAAGAGGTGCCAAATTTGAACACCAGCATGAAATGAACTATTTTTTAATTAGTATTGTCAGTGATTCAAAATGAAAATCTTGCATGACAAGTTTATTTTTACTTAATTGCACTCTTTGAAATATTTTATATATAAGCATGCCATTTAAAAAGTAGTGTCATTTTTTTATTCTTATTTATAAAATATTAAGAAGTACAATACCCAAAATTATGAATTTGAAAATGAAAATTTACATCAAATGGAACATTAATATTTTTATTGTTTCATTAAAACTTTTAGTGTTAACTGAGCCAAAGGTTTTATATGTGGGCTTGATACTACAACAAAACTGTTACTTTCTTCTGGGGATTCACAAAATTAGAATTTTGACCTAAGAAAGTAAAAAAAAAAATGACTTAAACTTGAGAAATGTGTCATATTTGACATTCTCCTTTTTACTCTTTAAAATACTTGAAAAACTATTCATGAAGAAATTTTATTCCTAATAGAATTATGGTATTGTTCAAAGCATGTTTGATTATATAAATAAATTCAATATAATTATAAATATTTTTTAACGGTAATGAATGAAAATTAGATCTTATACATAAGAAAGTAGGATTATAAATAGTATTTACAGTAAGTATAAATTAGAAACTTATTTAAACTTCTTCCTATTAATCAAGTTTGAATAACTTTTATCTACAATAAAAGCAAATACTAGTCCCACTATCAAGAAGTTCTATTTAAAAGTATTTTACGAAAATAAAAGTACCATGAAAAAAGCAAAACTGCTTTCATAGAAGTCAGGCAAAGATAATATGTTACTATAACATTTTGGGTTTGGAAAGAGATAAATTATTAATGAACAAAGAAATCTATCTTCTCAACAATTTAAAATAAAATTTTAAATTATTAATTCATATCATTACTTAATCGTATTTGAATTAAATTTAAATTTTAATAGCATTCCATTTTTTTCGGGTTCCACAATTTAATCGTAATGTGATTGACACTATGTCAATTCCAACGAACCATTACAATCCATGCATTTGAAAAATAAATAATTTATTTAAATAATTCTTTAATTAAAAAAGCATTAAACAAAGATTCTAACAATTTTTCTTTCCATTACTCTTTCTCGCTATTGCATTTCGAATTGATCAATTTTGAATTCACGTTTCTCGTACATTTTGATTAGGTAAAAAAACCCGTGAACAATGCGATTATTTACGGATAATGGATTGACCCATCAAATTTAGGAAATGAATAACTTCGTCGATGTTTGAAACTTATTTTCTGCAATATAAAATTCAAATTTCAATTTCAGTTATTTATACAACCAACAAGTTACCAAACAAGTGCCCAAACGGCATTTTGCCCTCAGTGTACGCTTCTTACATAACAATAACAAGTATGATATTACATACAAATACGAGGGATTTTACTGTACACCAGGGTCCAAAAACGTTTCTTGTACCCTAAATTTTGTCCGATGAAAGGGATTTGCACAATGCTATTGCATAAATCTATTTTATTACTTTTACGGTTTTTTTATAAAAAGAAATAAATTTTTATAATCAAATTAGAAAAGAAAAAACCTATGACGATTTTTTAAAATATTTTCTATCGGACTAATTAAGTGCTCTGTAATATTAGAAATTACAGCATAGCATCATTAGTATTCTTCGAGAACAACAATTTTCATGTTCAAGTTTTGTGATATAATGAAAAATCCTGCATTGTATAATTAAAATTCTATAAAGGCTTTCGATCGAACCTTTGAAAGTTTCAATCGCTTGAAAGTAAAAATTGAAAGCTCAATCACTTAACCGAGTTGAAATCCACAACTATTTTTAGGCTTGCTGTTTTAAAAAAGGATATCAGCAGTTTCTAATGTTTTCGCTTAATGTACGTAATCGTACAAAATACGCCATTACTTTATGATAAAAATATCTTACTTGTACGATACTTGCGATATTAATTAGTGTAATTTTTATTGGTTTATCTCTCCTATAGAGAGCAGCAAGAGTGACTAAATTACTCGGCGCTCGGTAATGCAAAATTAAAATGTGGTTTTATTGATGATTCATTGAAAAGTAAATTGCGTAACTTTAAAATTTGTTGATCTACCGTAAGAGTCATTTTCTAAAGATTAAAAAAGATAAACAATCACCCAAGTATTGTACCGGTTTTTGCATCACTATGTACAGACAACCAGCTTTTGATAGCTACACAGAATGTTGTCCTTCTCATATATAGCATAAAGTGCTATGAAAAATAAAGGTTTTCGTTCAACCCCAACCGAAAGTAACATTTTTGGGCCCGTGGCTTAAAAAAGTTGCTACTCTATAGGCTAAGAGATTCACGAAAAATTGTATACACATCTCAGAAAAATAAAAAGAATGCTCGAGTTAAGCATCGTCCCAGTTCATAACGAGCATTCTTGATTACTTCCATAAGTGCATAATGTAATTGTAATATAACTATAATTATTTATTATGTATTTGAGGTGATTCTCTGACCAATTCTCACTAAGTAGGGCACTTTTTGCGTGATGTACTATATATTGTTCCATATGGCTTCACTTTCTCTCAGTTTATAAATTATCTCATAATATGAAGGTAGTTAGTCAGTAAAGTAAAATATTGTGCAAAACCATGGAATTTCTAGTGATAATTTCTTGAAATACTATCTCTTTCTTTACAAATATTTTCTACTTTGATGAAAAATGAAATTTTTGACAATGAGCTTTAAAATTATAACATTATTACAGACTCTTCACATAGAAGAAGACTCTGTAAAGTCATGTTATAAAATCTTACATTTCATTTAAATGACATGAAATTAAATTGAGAAATTACTCAAACTTCTTTAAATGCATATTCACTCTTCATTGTCTTAAATTTTTTACAATTTTATATTAAAAACTCATCATAAAAATGCCAAGTATGAAATTACACATAGAAGTAGGCTATAAGATTTAATTGAACTTGTCTGGCCAACTACCTGAAATGCCAAACCTTATAGTAAACAAATGGACACTTTTCATAGTTTTGAGATAAACATTTGAATTTTAAATAACTGATTTAATGTATCTTTAAGGTTTGAGCGGAAATATAGACAAATGTACTTTGATAGCTTTTAACTCAACTGCCGAATGCTATTAGTTTTGATCTCAGATTCTATTACATGAGCAATTTAAAAAAAAAAATAAAAAAAAGTAAACATTCGAATGAGGAAAATGTAAAAAATATTGTGTTGACTCGCGTGTACGACCATCGGGAATTGTACTTGTATGTTCGAGGAGCTTGATGAAGTACGCGAATGTTAAAGATTTTCAGGGATATTTTCTATTTTAATTCAATGGACAAACATATAAATTAAAAGAATATATCTAGTTTTGTACATCCTGGACGGAAAAAATATGTAAAAAAGAGTGAAAATTAAATTTAAAATACCGATTTTAAATAGCCAATACACCATGATCATTTTATCACATTAATCCACGTGTTATGACATCTTTGAATGCCGATAAGAAATATGCATCAATGTATTTTTACATAAGGGTAATTGTTCACTTTCTTAGAACACCTTAGAAAAATTCCTTATGGTCAATACAAACGCACTATCATAACAATATTGCTCTAATTTTTGTCATACAGATCTGCCCATATTTAGAATTTCTCATGTATAGATAATATCAGAATTTTTACACACATGTGTTCAATTGTGATATCCTTAAAAAGTGACCTCATTATATTTAATGTAGATTTGGCTTGATCAGCACAGCTAACTAAAATCCGAATTTTATCACTTTCAGATTGTAACTTGAGTAAAAGCGGCACAGTTTCAGTTCTTATAAAAAAATTTTTCTTTTTTAAATCGTTAATGTTTCATAAAAAGTACATACTAATATTTTTAAAGACCAAAAGAACTTCTGTCGCTTTTACCTGAAACCAGTACGATATTCATATAAATATATGTGTGTATGAATATGTGTACGTATACATATATTTTAATTATTATTCTGTATGTATACGTTAAAATAAAATTAAAAAATTTAAATTAATGAGAGTCAATGACTTTACGGTTTATATACACCTCGAATTAAAAAAACTGTATCACTATACTTTACAGATTCACGAAATTTTAAATTTTTACTGAAATACTGAGTTTTTTTACGTACTTTACGTGTATAGTTTGTCTCTTTTGCATATGCTCATAATCCATGTGTTTAAATTTGTTCATATGTTATAAAATGCGAAAATAATCGTTAAAGAGACACCGAAGCAAGGCCAAAATGAAGAGTTTTTAAGACTTCATGAGTGTTCCATAAATATTTTTCTATACAAACTACGTGGATACTTCACTTGGTTGTTTTCAGTGTAGCTTTTCAAAATAATATTGATTTGAAATCATAGGTTACTTGGAAAATTTTAATTTGGATCTGGCTTCAGTATTTCTTTAATAAAGAAGAGTCTTTGTTTTGTATACCTCTTTGGGGCATCAATGGTCAAACCTTCAGACAAATTGATCGATAGGTTCAAGGGTTCCTAATAGAAATTGAAAATTTTTGGTATCGATGTCGCGTTTTTTTACCATTTTTGGCTGTATCACTTATTCAAAGTCCAACATACAGTCAAAAAATGTTTCATGGATACTCAAAAAAGTGAAATTTCTACTAGGGACAATTCATTGTTTATTTTAATAATAACATAACTCAAGCAAAATTGCGGTAAAAATTGTGTATTGTTATCGTCGGTGTCTTTGATAATCTTTGATGTTCCAAAAAAAGAAAAAAAATTTGTTCGCGATGTAAGTAAAAAAGCTAGTAACCCAGTGTCAAATTTAATTTTCGTAATTTTGAAAAGTACATTAAAACAAGAAAAAAGTCTTACACCAAGCTTTAATAAACTAATCATTTTTGAAAGTGTATATAAGCCCTTACACCAAGTACTTGAAATTACAATTGAATACCTGTATTCTACACGATACAACCAATTGATTCTCGTTAAATACGTGTTGTTATGTGCCTTCGATAAAATCTGATTTATTTGTGTTTTAACTATTTTTCGATATAATAAACTGTTACAAAAAAAATTGTACAAAAGTACACAAATTAATGCATATATGCGGAAAATTGCAGGTACATAGCATTTAATAGCTAATATGCCCAAATTGCTGCACTTATTCCTTGTTTACAAAAATGCCATTGTTAAAAATAGAATTCTTTGATCGAATGCTATTGAAACTGTATGCAAATCGTAGAAAAATGCAAGATAATCTAATAAGGTAGACAAAGGTGGTGCAGAGTATGGGCACTATTGAACCGACCATACTGATATATTATTCTATTCACCAGTACTTAGTGACTAACATTGTTTGAGCTTTAATTAGTAATTTACTATAAATAAAGATTTATGTCATGTGTTAATGATACTTGGGTGTGGGAATTTATAATAGCATTCTTTCGTATACAGCCTGGAAGATGTTATTGAGTCTAATTGTCACATACGCAAAAAAGGAAAAAATGAGGCGAAATCCTCGCTTTTGCAATACTTATACTTTTTGCGCTGTGTTGGACATCAATAATGGACTGAAAGGCACATAATGCGTCACTTTACATATCAACCAGAAAACACGTAAACACTGGCTGGTATGTAAGATGCGCAGAGTCACATTTTTTTGCGCTGTGGTACTTACATATTCAGAGTTATCCGTGATTGGCTTGAACTTAGCCAATATTCGAATTTGCATATACCTGAACATTTGTGATTTTTGTTGCAGCGTATCCCGTGGCTCCACACCCTCCAACTGGTTTCGTCCCAGCTCAAGCACAACCTGCTACCTATGGTGGTAAATAAATTGCTTCATAAGTTTTAAATGGCGTTATTATTGTACTACAGTTTTAGTAAAATTTCATTTTTATTCACTTCAGTTCCTGGTGCTGCACCATATGGAGTATTTCCGAACCAACCACCAATTTATGCTGCTCAAGGCCCGCCACCACCAGCTTATGACCAAACTTTAACTCATCCAATGGTAAGTTTATTTACTTTACCACCAATTAATTCAACTTTTAACAAAACTTGAATTATTTCTGTGCAGATGTACCAACCTATGTACAGTCAGGGGTACCCGGGTGGGTACTTAACTGGATATCCTACGGCTTACGGACCATTACAGTATTATCCACCATTAGCTGCTGCTGCAGCATACTATCCAACCGCAATGCAACCAACTCCAGTTCGGCCAACGATTATGGTACCCGTGAGTCTTTTTGAATATTATCATTCTATTAAGATTTATTTTAGTCTAAGTATAGCATAATTTTCGCGGGTCGCGAAAAAGCCAGTTGCTCTGTATGGAAGTGGTGTACGCCGCAGCTTTCTCTGGCATACTTGCCAGAAGGAGCGCGAAGCGCGCTTCTCGATCAATGAATAAGCGCAACTTTTCAAAAACATAATACAACTTCAATACATTTTAGCGACGCCTCATACGAAAAGTAGGTAGTTTACGTGTTAAGTTAAATGTAAACTTACTTTTCGTAAGAGGCGTCGTTAGTATGATAATAAAGACATAAAGAAAATATTGTAAGAAAAATTGTCAGTTTAATTAAAATTTACAATCGTATTGAACTCACGATTCACCTGTAGCTACTCTAATGCGGCAAAGATTTTACATGGACTTACATAATCACTTTTTAAAATGGAAATAGTTTATTAGATAACATACGCGCGAAACAGATGACTTATACAGGAGTTCTTATTCACTCGAGCTTATGCGAGCTTATACGAGTCTGCAAAGTCTTCCGCGTAAATCTTCTTTCTCGCGCACTAGTTGCATATGATATTTTCTAATGTCATTAGCTAAAAAGTTTTATACGCATGTTTTTTTTTGTTGCTTTTGACAATAATAATGATATTTTTTATTGGTTCAGAATGGATTTGACGGAACAAGGTTTGATGGTATTTCACAACCGGTTTTACCTCCACCTCCACCTGGAGTAGCAGCTAATGCAGCTCAACTAGCTGCGATTGCAGGTCACAATGTTGCCCTCACACAGAAGAAAGGCTCGTTCCTAGGAGGCGGTGCAGAAGGTGGTTACACGTTTTGGTAATTTCTCAAACTGTACACTACTTTCATGGTTCGCACGAAAATGGGCAAAATCTAATATATCAAGAGGATACATGAATCATCCTTTTCAAGTATCACGTGTTATCATTCAAATTATTAGATAATGCTTTTTTTAAAAAGAAAAAAGAAAATGGAGAGGTGACGATAGACTTGTCAGTTACTTGAAGTTCACCTATAATACTTTTATAAACCTAATGCTGTAATAAGTGAATTCTAAATGTTCACTTTGTATTCTATATTGCGTAGTAGCATAAAAGTTGAAATTGAAATAGCTTGTTTCAAGCTAAATATTTCTATCTACTTAGGATTTTTTGTTTATTTAATTTAAGTCACATTCATAAGGAGGACTATAAATACTGTGCAGTATTAAATATGAAAATAACTAGATATATGTGCTAAAAAATTTGGCAACTTGGAATGGTATTTAAATGACAATTATTTAAGATATATGATTTTAGAAAATGTTCAATAAAAGTTAAATTTGTATATATAATTTTCACAATTCAAAACAAACTAGTATTAATTCAATAAAAAGTTATAAAAAATTCAAGAATATATACCCAACAAGAAAAAATTATTGTCAGGGTATGTCTTTGAAACGATTTTGTTGTATGAAATATTATTAACATGGATGATGAAAAATTCAATGTCAATGAAATATTTTGTAGTAACCATTTTTTAATGTACAAACATTATTTTGTATTTTTTTTTATTGTTATTATTTGAATAAAAGTACGATAAGTATACTTTCTTACACGAAAATATGTATATGAAAATGAAATGTTTTTATGTAAATATATGTGTTTTTGTATACATGTATGCATTTTACACATATATACACACTTACATGCACATTACAATGCACAAATGATTTTGCCATATGAAATTTAAAGTAAAGAAATTTTCTAGTTTTTTTTTATATGGTATGATGGATGCCTCTTTTATATTTTTAATTTGTTTTAAGATTTAATTATAATTGAATTAACTAAAGATACTCAATTGTTATTGGTTTAAATTAATGAATTATAGCATGTAAATTTTTCTAGTCCAAAATGTTATTTCTATGAATACACCATTCAAGTTTTAGACTTCATTATTTAATTTTTTATTTTTAAATCATTTCTAAAAACAATAAAATTTACTTTTATAATTTTTACATCAATCGAAGTCGTCAATTTTTCGTGTAGCTTATAACAATTTTAATTTGAACTTTTTTAGCTATTATAATCAAGAGATCTTTTTTCACTGATGTGCAGCTGAATTTACAAATTGAGCCCAATCATCAATCGTAGGAGTTTCTCCTTTTCCGCGTTGACGTCTAAGTGTCTAAAGCAAAAAAACCATTGGGTGATACATTGTAATGAACAATTTAATGACCCTACAAAAAGTTTTATTACGTTTTTTGATTTTTTTTGTGTTGCTGAAACTTTACTAGAAAATTATTCAGTTCACTGTTGACAACTCAAGTAATGCAGACAAATTTTACCATTTGATTTAATTTTAGAAAGCTGTAACGTTTCAAAGTAAATTTTTTAGTATTTTAAGTCTCATTAATAATTCATTAATCTTAATTTAAAATTATATTCTTTATTCTATTATTAAATTTAAGGCTTGAAAACAATTTTTTGGCAAACGTTGAGGAGTGTTAGCATGCTAGAAGTAAGCGAAATATAAAATGAATAGTATTTTTAGAAAAATATTTTACAAAATATTCATGGGTAGGAAACCCAATTTGGGGTAGAATAATCAGTTTTTAAAAAATGTTGAAGACATTTAAAAAGATACCGAATCCAGGAAATTTTCCACGTAAGTAAATGTCTAGAAAACAACAGAATGAAGATTTGCTTTTAAATGTGAATTTGAAAACATTTATCATAAAGTGACTGAACTAATAACTTCCACTTTTAGCTTTTGTATTTTTTGAATCTCTGGATAATAATAAAGACGAGCTATATGGACTCCTAAACCGGTTTTCTTGGGTTAAATAAGATGATCAGTTTTAATTAAAATAACAATTTATTTAAATTGATTGTAAACAGTCAATGTAATTTTAACAAAATATACTTATAATGTGTGACAGAATCAGTATTTTAAAAAATGATGATATTATACAATTACACAGCCTCTCTGAATTTTTTTTCATCATTCTGTGACATTCAATCTTATGCAGATCATATTTTACTTGGCTGCTTATTTTTTTGGTGAATACATATTGTACAATTTTCCTAAATATAAATTATGAAGATATTAGAAACTTCCTTACATATATTAGTAAAATTTATAACTCAATAGTTTAACTTACAATTATTTGAAGATTTGTTAAGCATTCTTCATGAAAGGAATGTTTGCAGTTGAAAACAATGAGATTTTTGGGCTCTAAAAAAATAGATAATATAGTATTGTTTCAAGAAAATGAATATACTATTATGAAGATTTTCCTAAAATCATAAATTAATTTTAATTGTGTCCATACCTCGAATGATTATTTTTCTATGACAAGCTCCACACATATGCTCATCTAAAATAAAAACCAAAATCTATCATTGAGAAAAAAAGTTCAATTATTATCAAATTTTACCGTCGACTAGAATTCCTTTTTGATGACTTCTGACCAATCTATGATGCAACTTGAAATAATCATTTGATAAAATTTTTTTACATCCTTCTTGAATTGAGACTTGTAAAGTATAATCCCGCATCATTTTTACCAAGGCTTTTTTTAACCCAGGAATTTCTAAATTAGAATCGATGCGCTCTACCATAAGTTGAGGATCAAGATAAGTGCCAATTTTTTTCAGAAGAAACGTTATAGCGTCTATGAATAATATAACAAATTAAATTGATTAAATTGATTTCATTCAAGCTGGAAAAAATTTTGCTAGAAAAAATGTTTTACCTGGTTTGTCTAATGAATAAAGAATCAAGTCGTTCCATAATTCTTCATCATCGTGTTCTTGACAAAATATAATTGCACTTTCCAAATCATTTAACTTTCTTGTCATTAGTTGTAAAGCCTGCAATGTATTTCCAATCCTTCCAAGTAAATATACCATTTCTGGATAAAATTGTTTTTGATAGCAAATGTCTAAAGCTTGCTGAATTGGATAGTTATCGGACCGTTTTAGGAGTGGTAACAATTTATTTCTTGAAAAATTTGCATACAAGGAAACGAGTAAACCATGATATTTTCCTTTTGTATTTTTTGTATCTTTCTTATCCAAGGCATCTAGATACTTTAATAAATTAAATCAATGTCAAATTTGTTCAATAAAAATTGGTTTTTAACAATTATAAATTTTTACCAAATATAAATAGTACTGATTGTTTTTTAATTTTTCAACTATTATTTCTGGAGATACTTTTTCCTTTTCCAAAAAAAATTGTATAGCCTTCTCAGAATCTAAATCCATTAAACCTTCTATCATATCATAAACTGAATCATACAATTTATGTTTCTGTATTAATTGAAACACATCTTTATGTTTAAGTTTCAAATACATGGCTAGAGCTTTATCATATTTTCCATCATGACCATATAATATAGCTAATGCTTCTAAAAGCACATTTTGACTATCACTATTATGAACAGAAAAATGTCCTAATACCATGTTAATAACAGCAGTAACAGTATACAATTTTGGAGACCATTCTTTAATGAGTTGCAAAAAACCAATTGGATCTAATTTCAAGTATTCATACAAAACCATCTCATAAATATGTGAATCTAATGTTACATCACCTCTAGGTAGATATGCAGATATGGTACGTAATTGATGAACTTTGGCAAATTTGTAGACTTCTTCTTCCCAAAGTTTTTTATTCTGGCCTAATATAGTTAAACAAAGCTTTCCTGCTGCATCATATTTTTTACAGTTGAGCAAATGATCTAGGTAAATTCTACCAACATCTGTCACAGAGTGCTTACAATCTTTTCCACCAGCTTGAACAACTTCTAAAGCTACTTCAAATTTTCCATGATTCAGTAACCACTGCACTCTATCATTTACATTGTATAGACTAGCAACTACAATATCTTTTGGGCTGACAATAAAGAATCTAAAAAAAATGGAATTATAATTATTAATAGTTTAGCACAATTATAAACAATTCCATAATTTGAATCATGATTACCTATTTTCTTCTACCAAACAATCCAAATGGTAATCATTGCAATTGTATTCTTCATAGCCTCTTAAAGACAAAGAATTTGCACAAATAATATTGTAATCTTGATATTTTGGTTCTACAATGTGTAATGTTGGCCGTTGACTTTTACCATTTTCTGATAATTCTTTTAAACATCCTAGCAATACTAATTGATTTTCTAATGGTGCAATTCCAGAAATATAAAAATTGACTTGAAACGTTGAAACTAATTTTTGAGGACAAATTAAAGTTTTAAGAAATTTAATTATTTTAAAATTAATTTTATCATAATTTTAAACAAACCTGGTTCAACAATAAACTCTGTGCATTCATTGTTTATTAAATCTCTTTCAGATCTTTTTTTGATTTTGAAAATTCTTACAGTATCAACCCAACCAATTAATAAAGTTCTATCATCTGACCACCTCATATTACATCTAAATTGCTCAGCACTTGCTCTACAGAATAATTTAAAATACTAATTCTTGACAGGCTTTCACAAATATAAATCATTAAGAGTTAAAAATGTTTAACTTACTCTGTTACTTTCATACATTTTATGAGACCTAAAGAAACTCGAGAGTTTAAATCATAAATACGAACGCCATTATCAGAAGCCCAAGCAACAAAGTGGCCTGCCCATGATATTGAATATACACTTCCTTCAGCTTCCCATAAAATGGTTGGTTTCATTCGAGATAAAAATGTTTTTTCATATAAGACTAATTTATCATCCCCTGAATAAAATAATCAAAATATTTAATTATATACATGTTAAAAACGTAGTGAACTGTAATAGTTGAAATTTTTTACCTACTATAAATTTTCGACCACTCCCACTTTTATAATATTTTGGATCAATTGCTATACTTTTGACCCATCTACCTGTACTCATGTTGTGATTATTTTCAGTACTGTACAAACCATAAATAAACACTCTTCCATCGTTACTGCAAGATGCAATGAAATCACCATTCTCATCGATAGAAATTTGGTTGACAGCTACTGAATGAGCTTGTAAACTTTTTGATTCAATGCTGTTTCCTTGATGATCAAGTATATGAATAGCACCCCAATGTGATCCCAAACATAAAAACTATGAAAAATGTTAATGTAATACTCTTTGTTAATAAAAATAAATCATTAAGACCTTACCTTTGGGTGAACAGCAATGCAGCTGGCAGCATCTTTTTGCAAAATATTATTAACGTCGTTTCGTAATCGTAGAAATTTTAATCTTGGTTCGATTTCATTATCAACATCATAGTTGCATTGACTCTGAGAGTCCTCCTAAAGAATTTCATATATTGTCAAAAAAATTTCATCATTAGCATAGAAATACTTGCACATTTTCAAAATATTCTACCTTTTTCTTTTCTGAGTCCATTTTTATAGAATAGATTTTTAGTTAACCTGTAGTTGACTATAATTATAGAAAAAAATCAAAAGATAAAGCGAATTATCACTAACACGAAAAAACATACATCACAAAAATGTATGTAAACATGTCCGATTTGGCATGAGTAAGTTTAATCATAATGATACTTCAGCTAGTGATAGGTAGTACTGAAGACATCGTATGTATAAGCTATACGAAGAGTGCAGAGTGTAGACTGTAGAGTATACTCGGCATAATGAGCGAAGGGGCTATACGCCGCGTTTGCGCGAATAAAACTGCGCCCAATGTCGATTGTTAGTAATTCAACTTGGATATATTTTCATAAACCGATCGCTTCCTAAACTTGTCAAATCATTTAGAGTGGATAGTGAATACTGGGTAAATGAAGAAAACTCGAAGCTAAGGGATATGAACAGGATATTAGCTTTTGCATATAGTTGACATTTGTAATTGACAAATTTTAACCACTCCATTAAACAAGTTCTGCGAAATAGACTTAGTAATTACTTTTTACCTCGCGAGATGAAATTACTATTTAGTATATTTTACATACCCATTTCAACTGTTTTTATTACTAAAGCAATAAAATTATAGTAAAAAAATTTGCAGAAAATCATAATAAAAAAGTTACATTAGAATAAAAAAAACCGCTGCCAATGTATTGGCAAGTAGCTTCCTCATACTTTTTTTTTAACTTAAAAATAATTTGAAAATATTAACATCATCTTTCTAATTACGAAAGCGAAACGAAAGCGCCTCTCAGCTTTATCGGGTATCTCAAACAAACAATGCAAAAAAAAAAAAATTTTTTTCTTAAATAGAAAAAAAAACGTTACGTTTATCGATAAATGAATTTTTCTGGCTTCGTCCCTATGTCATAACGAAAAAAATAAGCCCTCCCCCGTCACGATACGTGCTACCGTTATCGAGAAATCACTCTACACAGCCATACAGCCGCATACACCCACATACATTCCAAAATGTGTCAAAAATTCGATCTAGTATATAGAAATATCATTAAATATACCCTACGATTACTCTATAAAAAAGCCGAAATGGAGCCCATCACAAAGCTTCCTCTATGAGGAAGCAAAAATCATTGAGATAAGACGGAAGTGAAGCTAAAATTATCATTTTCAAATACATTTTTTTAAGATTTCCTCTTGACATTCAAAATTTAGACAGATGTAGATGCTCGTGATAGGTAGATAGATTAACCCGTTTCGGGCCAAACGGACGAAATTTCAGTTATTTTTTCATTCGCTGTAAACTCTGTGAAAAAATTATGTCAGAAATGTCAGAATAGTCATAACCGACGTAAAATTTTATGAACTTTTCGAATCCGACGTCAGAATTGTCAAAAAAGTTGATGTGTAAAAGTTATGAACAATTAAACAATAAAAAACACGATTTTTTTGAAAAAAAATTTGATTTGATCCGAATTTTCGAGTCGAAACAGACTTGCTCTATAGGTCTAACACGTTTTTTTTGCGTCCATGGGGTGTAGACTTAAAAGTCCAATAGTTAAGATATCGAAATTCAACATTTTCTCTATAACGTTTTGTTCCTAGGCGCTTGGTTGATAAAAAAATTGACTACATTCATATACGGTTTTTTTCTACGAAGCGCCATTTTCGTGTCCGCCGTGTTAAATTTCGATATCGTAACTATTGGACTTTTAAGTCTACACCCCATGGACGCAAAAAAAACGTGTTAGACCTATAGAGCAAGTCTGTTTCGACTCGAAAATTCGGATCAAATCAAATTTTTTTTCAAAAAAATCGTGTTTTTTATTGTTTAATTGTTCATAACTTTTACACATCAACTTTTTTTTACAATTCTGACGCCAGATTCGAAAAGTTCATAAAATTTTACGTCGGTTATGACTATTTTGACATTTCTCACATAATTTTTTCACAGAGTTTACAGCGAGTGAAAAAATAACTAAAATTTCGTCCGTTTGGCCCGAAACGGGTTAAATAACCCGTAGATTAATAGAAAATGTCAAATGGAAATCTCAGAAAACGCGTTTGAACATTTTCATTTTAGAATTTCTTTGGTATTCTCGGGAAATATTATACAGTCTTAAAAAACACTAAAATAAAAATTTAAAAAAAGTAGTTATACCAGAAATATTTTTAGATACGTTTATATTATGATATCAATTTAATAAAAAGCAGTAAACCCATTCCACCCAGCATCTTAATCTCATTTTTACCACGTTGTTGTACTTATAATACAATAATTTTTAACACAATAACTTGAAACTCTCCGAAACAGCTTCAAACAATTGTTTAAATTTCACATAAATATGCAAGAATAAATTTTATTTTAATGTCATCACATATGACATTAATTGATCTCGAAGTAATTTTTGAACTTACATATTTTCTGATTTGAAAAAATATTTCAAGCAATTTCAAAAACAAGTTTAGTTTTGTTATTATAATTTACTAAAGTTTCAAAATGTTGAATCTAACGTTCAGAAAAACTAATTTATGAAAATAATTAATTTTCCAAAAGGTTTGCTAAAACCTTAACATTCTATATTTGATAAGTTTCTTTAAATACTATTACACGTTGACAAAGATGAGCAAAAAAAAGTTTTTTGGAAATTGCTCGGGTAATAAAGTAAATCTTAAAATTAGTGTCGAAAAGTAAATGGAAAAAATACAGAAAAAAATCATTGATGAAGCCGATTTTTCAAATACAGTAGCTGATATCGAATGAATACGTTGCGTCCATGAACATGTTTAGCCGGAGGTGCAACGATAAAAACAAGGTCGTAATGATTGTTCAAATTCGGACATTTGATTGCAGCAAAAACGCTGTGTAAATTTCGACTTGTCATTTTTTACCGATCGAGCTCGATTAACATGAGAAGATGACCGGATGCACGTGTAAGTCGCATGAAAATATAAAGACGCGTTCGGTAGCAGCGATCCATGGTACTCTTAACGAGCTCTCCGAACGCGATGAAAGTATCGGGCGCGCTCGAAATTTACCTAAAATTGACGCTGATCTGTACATTGTCGATCGATTTCGCGACGATCGCAGCCGATTCCGACGAACAATCGACGAGGTTCCGCAGTCTCTATGGATCGTCGAACGAGCGGTTGGGACTGGACGAAGCCGTGAGGAAGTTCGGCCCGGCCGTGCTCACGTTTTTACGCGATGGCGAGCAGCATCTGGGACACGAGCCGCCGGAATGCAACCCGAGAATGGGCCAAGCGTTCGACTTCGTGGTGATCGGAGCCGGCAGCGCCGGGGCGACGGTCGCCTCGCGCCTCAGCGAGATCGAGGACGCATCCGTCCTGCTGCTCGAGGCCGGAGTCCGTGAAAATTTACTGATGGACGTGCCCGTGCTGGTGAACTACCTGCAGTTCAGCGACAAGATCAATTGGAAGTATCAGACGGAGCCGTCCGGGAAGCAGTACTGCGCGGGCATGAGCGAGCAGCGCTGCAATTGGCCGCGGGGCAAAGTCATGGGCGGCAGCAGCGTCCTCAACTACATGATAGCCACCCGAGGCAACCGACTGGACTACGATCACTGGGCGGCCCTGGGCAACGACGGCTGGTCCTTCGACGAGCTGCTGCCGTACTTTCGCAAGCTCGAGCGAAGCAGCGTCGACGCCGAGCCCGAGGCCGGTCTCAGAGGCAGCTCGGGCCCGGTGACGGTGCAGCATCCGCCCTTCCACACGCCCCTGGCGGAGGCCTTCCTGCGGGCCGGCGAGGAGATGGGCTACCCGAGCGGCGTCGACTACAACGGCCGGGGTCAGGTCGGCTTCGCCTACATCCAGGCCAGCATGAACAACGGCACCCGGATGAGCAGCAACCGAGCCTACCTGCGTCCGGCGCGCCACCGGAGGAATCTCTGCGTCAGCCGGCAGAGCCACGTCGAGAGGCTGCTCGTGGATCCGAGCACCAGGCGGGCCTACGGGGTGGAGTTCGTGAAGGCGGGCAGGCGGCTGCGCGTACGCTCGCGCAAGGAGATCGTCCTGAGCGCCGGCGCCATCGGCTCGGCCCAGCTGCTCATGCTGTCGGGCATCGGGCCGGCCGATCATTTGCGTCGCATGAACATCGACCTCGTGCAGGACGCGCCCGTCGGCGAGAACCTCATGGACCATATCGCCTACGGCGGACTGGTGTTCTTGGTCGACCAACCGGTCTCCATCTCGACGACCGATCTCGCCGATCCCACCAAGCCGTACTTGGCCGAGTTTCTGCAGAATTACACCGGACCGCTGACCGTGCCGGGCGGCTGCGAGGCTCTCGCCTTCCTCGACGTCGACCGGCCCAACGATCTGCAGGCCTATCCCAACATCGAGCTCCTCTTCGTCGGAGCCTCCATCGTTTCCGACTTCCTCTTCCATCGCAACGTCAACATTTCCAAGGAGCATTGGAAAGCGACCTTTTCCTCCGTCGTTGGAAGATACTCTTGGACCATTTTTCCCATGCTAATGAGGCCCAAAAGCCGGGGCAAACTCCTTTTGCGCAGTAAAAATCCATACGCCAAACCTCGCATCTACGCCAATTATCTCGACGATCCGGAGGACGTCAGAGTTATGGTCAAGGGTATCAGAAGCGCTATCCAAGTTAGCAAGACCAAAGCGATGCAAAGGTTCAAATCGCGCCTCCACGACGTTCCGGTCTACGGCTGTGAGAATTTCATTTACGACTCGGACGATTATTGGGAGTGTGCCCTGAGAACCTACACCTTTACCATTTACCATCACTCGGGAACCTGTAAAATGGCACCGAGCAATGATTCGACTGGAGTCGTCAATCCAAGATTACAAGTAATCCTTTGCAAATTATTTATCATTACCGCTTTATCTTACGCTTGAATAAAAAGTCGTCTGCCATTTGAATACTGGTATCCACTACGTGATACGCATTTTCGGATTAATTTTCGCTAGAGTGCATTTTTCTCAAACTGACCAATGGATTTATGCATTAGCTACAATTTACACTAGTTTTATCAACGCACAATATTATTTTTATAGGTAAAAGGAATTAAAGGACTGAGAGTTGCTGATGCATCTATAATGCCAACTATAATGACTGGACACACCAATATTCCTACCATCATGATTGGCGAAAAACTAGCTGACTTGGTCAAAGAAGACTGGGATTTGAAGAATTTATATTGAACATTAACGTATTAACTTTGAACTACCAAATTAATGCTTATTAGTATCAACTGTTAATTTCTCGCTAGTTTACTCATTAAAAAGATCATCTGCGTTGACGTCGAAGTGTTTTGAAAAAAAAAGCATAGAACCTCTTGTAAATATTATTCAAAATATTGTTTTTTAAATAAATTTGTATGTATTGTTTAAAACGTATATATGGTGCTACAGGTGACCAACGTACGATCAAGAAATAAACATTTTTGGATTTTTTTACAAAAATTACGTGTGCATACACTCATTAATGTATCTACAAAAAATATTAACTTTTATTTTCGCTATTTTCGACATACCTTCAACTTGATTCATAAGTTAGTTAGTTATTAATGTAAGAATCGGTGAAAAATATTACTGCTTGATTGTATTTCTTTAATCAAATATTTCAACAGGTATCGACGTTTATAAATTGTACGCTAGTGTGTATGTATGCTCGCGCTCGTGCATTTATGTCTATACAATGATAAAAAAAGTTATAATTTATGTTTTGCAATGATATTTGAAGTAAAAAATGACAAGATGGGAGGGGCGAAAAGAGAAGAGAAGAGTCGCGAAAAAATAGCAGTAAAATTGAGTCGTAAGCAAGGATAGGTACTACGAATCGACGAGGCAATGTTTCAGCTAGCAATGAAAAAAAATGTATCAACTCGAGACAAGATATGCGGAGCATAAAAATGTGAAATATCACACGCAGCAGCGTGTTGTGGCTTGTGGTAACGGGCAGTGCGAGCCGAAGGAGGAGGGAGGAAACTACGAATACAGGCGAAAGAGATCGAGTATACGCGTATGTATGAAACGGAGCGAGCATACTGTATTCAATATATGCTACGCACATATACATTATACATTGCGGAGCCTCGGCCAGGCAAGGCACGGCCAGGAGCACGTAAAAGTATGTAGTCAGTTTATACATTCTTAGCGCGAACCGTCTTCTCACGGCCCTGCTGCTGCTTCGAGCGAGCCTAGCATATAGTAGGCAGTTTCTCGTTCGACTCGGATCGCGCGTCGAAAGTTTGACGAACTTTGGCTCGAGTGCGAAGCTGTCTGGTGTGTTGCCACAGCGCGAACAATAACAATATATCGCGCCCATCGCGCGAGAGACGATTCTCGTGCGACTGTGATTTCGTTAAGGCGAGTCGCGCGACGAGCACCGACCGAAAGCTTCGGAGCTGATCGAAGTGATCGTGCATGCCCAGTTGGCGCACAATCAGGACATACGCAGGAGTGTGTGTATATAGGCGGAGTGCGAGCCGATCAGTGCAAAATGAACACAAATCGCGACGAGGATTGCCAGCTGCGCGAGGCATAGATAAAAACGGCGCGACTCGTTTCTACTCCGTGCGTGCAGCGATAATCTCCGCTTTTGGTCGTGTGTATATGCTTGCCAGCCTTGTGCAATTCTGACCAAGAGGCTCGAACGCATTAGAAAACTCCGATACACCAAGCTTTCAAGGTCAGTAATATAATTGAGGTTAACCGAATGTGTGTATATGCCGCACCAATACTCTATGCTACCGACAACTTTATGTGGAAACATTGATCTATAGTTGCGTATCCTCGCGTATAACGGATCGACAGATCTGCTAATTGCGACCGAGGTGACTACACGACAGGAAACCGACCGAAACCGTTTAAAGTGTATATGCGCATTTACACGTGGATTTCGATTGTAAATTGATACCGCTTACCCTTTGCTCTCGATCTAATTTGTCGATTTTTTTACCCATTTCTATGCTATTGAAAAAATGCTCGACTTTACAATACTGTTTATCTCGTAATGAACCAATATTCAGGGAAAGTTTTCTATAGTACTTTCACATCTGTATTTTCGTACAATAAACTCGCATAGATGACTTAACGTACTACTTCTTGCTTGTGCACGTAACGACCGATCATTCTTTAACTACACCGTGTACTGATTCTCTTGTTTTTTATCACGAACATATTAAGGACCGTTTTATTTTAACCAATGTAAAATGAAAAAAGTATCAGATAACATAATGATAATGGTTCCATCGCATTGTGAATTAACCACATTCATTTTTATTTTGTTTCATTTTATTCATTTATTTTTTTTTAATTTTTCAGTAAAAATATCTCGAAAAAAGCGAGTACATTTTTTGACCGTTCATCTTCTTGAAATCGATACGATTTTATTAAAAATCATTTTCATTTTGTAAACATACCGGCTATTTTGAATATATTATTTAGGTCATCGAGGAAACATATTTTTAATTGAAGAAATACAAATTTGATTCATATTACGAAAACGGTAATATTACATTAACTTGAACAAATGCATAAACATTTCAGTGTGTACCTCGAATATATTGTCACTTTTCTGGAAACGAAAGTGTCAGTATTAAATATCAATGCTCGTTTCGAGACGTATATAACACATTATCCAAGACAGTTTCCTACGAGGAAAATCTCGGCTTGAAATTATTATAACTTCAAAAATATAAAAAAAAAAATCCTTTTTAGTACCTATCAGAAAAATATGTTTGGACGTGCAACAAGTGTCAATAAACTTGGTAATGAGCAGACAGCATAAATTCAGCGAAATAGGGGTGTGGTCTATGCCTACTTTGGTACTATTGTTATTGTTACCGCATATGCTACCCTCTCGAGCGGCCCTGATACGCTAAATTTACGGTTTTTGCTTGATTTACTATTAGTGTACATTCGGTGAGGTTTAATGTTGCAACAGCGAGAAAAAAAAGCTGAGCTTAGTAGGGACCGTCTGCGTGTTCATAATAACAGCTATTATGATAATAATTCATTAGGCAACGCCTTTATTACGCTGTTTTTATAATTAATAATTGCAGATTCAAACTCTAACGCGTTAACTTTAAGAACTTTAGGATCAATTGTTATTTTTAAAACACTTGACAGCTATTAACAAAAAATTACCGAAATTTGTTCGATGTTTATATACAGTTAAAACAGTAATTGCCGAGTTCTCGGAACCAAGTTTACACGGTTAGGTTCGACATATTTTCATAACTGTTTATTGCTTCCGGTAACAGAAAGCTCTGCGATGGTTCTAAAAGTCATTTTTGCAAATGCCATTAATATTATCGGTTAATAAATTTAATTCTTGAACAGCGAGTTTTTTTCAGTTCGCGTAGGTGTGTGTTTTTAATTTGTTTTTTATGGAACGTAGTCAAAGAAAAGTTTTCGATCTAATAACCTTGTAACTTTAGTCACCCGCTGAAACTATTTTAAATATTAATTACCTTCTGAGAGCCCATTGATTAGCTCTGACACATTCTTCTTGTACTTATGATAATGAGGCATGCAGGGTCTACATTCAGGCATTACTGTCTACATCTTCTTTAGTTGTTGTCAGCCAAACTGGATTGATTATAGTTTGATAATCTTTTCGCCAAAAGATGTATAATAGTTGAGAAAATTATTAAACAGCGATTATTCGAACAAGTGATTATAAATCACTGTTCATTGTAAAGTTCGATACTTGACACCTCTACTTTTCTCCTCTATGACTTTCTTAGTTCTTATTAAACCAGCACATTCCACATTGAAAATGTAGAGGAGCTGACTATCGTGAAATTGCCACTTTAGACTTTTTTTTTAATTCGTGAAAGTGTAACGTTTTGATAGTTGTCAACTTTTTGATATGAACGAGAGAAAATTTTTTTCGTTGTCAGGAAAGTCTACGTTTTCTTTTTGAGTAAGAAAGCGAGTAAATTCTAAAAAATAAACCATTTTCAAGACAAATCTTTGTAATACTTAACATTTAATAGACAAGAAGAAAAGATGACGTGAATGTAAACTATAAATATCGATTATACCGATTCTCTGCTAATATGAGACGTATATGACATGACCGTAGCATTACCAATATGAAAGATTTACCGAAGTATTGTTTGGGGTTTGAATTACAGCGATAAAAGCACCTCTAAAGTAAGAGCCAAAAAAATCTCAGTACTGAGTAGCAGTGACCGCATATTGTTTACTACTGCGTGATTCGATAGTGTATATTATTAATTTGAATTCATTAAGTAATACTATTTAATATAATTAGTAAAAAGAACCGTCACTTCGTGGATGTGCTATAACTTTGAAGTATTAACTTCATTGATACAAATGAAGTATTGTAAAGTAAAATAATTACTAACCGATTATTACTGGTTTATTATAAAATGATATAAACTTCTTACTTAATTAAGTGATTTAAAAATAATTATATTATTATTCTCTTTAATTGACAAGCCCCGAATTTTATGTATGGTTTTTTTATAGATCACAGGTGTTGATACTAGTTATAACCGGAACAATTACCAAAAACATGAGTGAACGTCGGGGAACTAAGGCACTAGAACTTTGGTGCAGAAGAATTACTGAAGGTTACCCAGGTGTCAGTGTTCAAAACATGACAACCTCCTGGAGAGATGGACTTGCTTTCTGTGCCATAATACATCATTTTCGACCTGATCTCATGTAAGTAACTATCATGTTTTCAAATTTTTTGTTTGCAAAAAATCTTGACATCCTTGCTTTGTACCGTAAAATATGAATCAATTATCGGGAATAATGATTGATCGGTACGATTTATTCATCTATGTTACTGAGTAAGATATTTTAAAATAAAGAATTGTGCATTCCCCAATTTGTCTAAAAATTAAACAAAAATTATAGATCAGATACCGTCATGCATAATTATAAATCATTCCGGGATTCTTATTTATTTTGTCAACAAGTGATTATAAAATGCAAGAAATTCATTTTTACCGATTCGACATATTTTTAAGCAAAATTATTATCTGATTTCAGTGATTTTAGTAGCCTAGAAAAAGAAAACATTTACGCCAACAATGAATTGGCGTTCAGAACAGCTGAACAACACTTAGGTATCCCAGCCTTGCTCGATGCGGAAGATATGGCTTCATGCTCAGTTCCTGATCGACTATCTATTCTTACTTATCTATCCCAGTTTTATCAAGTCTTCGGAGGTTAGTATAACTTGTTATGAATCGACTTATTTTTAAAGATTTGATGCAATTAAAAAATTATAGTCGTCCTTAATTCTAAAAATTGTCTAAAATTTCAAGTTAGTTCTTATTGCATAAACAATTTTTTGTGTTTCAATTGAGTTTAATAACTTATTTTCATAAAATAGAAAGCTCAAGTTTTGATAAAATTAAGGCGTGTATATTTTAAACAAAATGTAAATTTTAAAGAAGCCGCATTATTTAAATATATCTTATTACGTTTGTCTTCAGGATCATCGCCGAAAGGTTCATTAAATAGATTGTCGAGTCAAAATTCTGAAGAAATAATTGGACCAGTAACTGAGGACCCACAAACTAAGGTAATAATATAGAATGCAAATCATTTTTAAGATAAACTAAAATTACATGAAGCATTCATTTATTCGTATATGAAGCTACTCATTTAAATTCGTAAAACCATTGAATAAAAAAAATTTCATTACTAACACTCATTTTGTAACATACAAAACACGTGTAGGTAATAGTACATTACATCGTTACTAGGGTGGGAGGTTATCTATCTTGCATGAGTGCTAGTTCGTAGCTAGAGCGCAGCGAAGGCCAGCTGTGTAGAAAGCAACACTTTCTCCACGCTACACCGTAATATTACATTACGGAAGCAGGAGGCTTTATAAGAGCAAGATTGACAACCACCCCAGTTGTGAACTTTTTTTTCATCACAGCATGCGGAAAGTGCTACTTAAAGCGATGCATGAAGTTTATGTAGCACTTTCCATGCTCTATAATAAAATAGTGAAAAAATTGTTATACTTATTAAGTAGAATATAAAATGTTTTAAGTTTCATATATACTCAGAATAAATTGCGAACCATATTATTATTTTAAAAACTATTAAAATTAACTTTGGAATTATTTATTACGACTATTCGATTTTTTTTATCAAGGACATATCGAAGGCAGGCTAAAATGACTAATTTTTACAACATTTTTTTTTGAGATTTACCCTGAATATTTTAGTAAACAGCTTTGTACGTTCCTTCATTTCGTTGTTTTTTAGGCATCTAAAAAGTTCAAAGAAAGATCAAGTGGTAATCTCAAAAAACATGTGCAAAAGTTTTCATTTTGACTTTGGTACCTCCTTTAATTTAAGATTGAATATATTAAAACTTTTACACAAATCGTAGTATAAAACGGGACAATAGGCGTGTCACTGATGCGAGAGGAGTAATCCGATGGGTATGTTCGAACTTGATTGATAAAGACGTCCATGTGTATCACCCATCGTGACACGCCCATTGCTTCGCGCACATTAGAATTGGTTTTGGGTTTGTTATATATTTTTAAAGTAAAACTTCATTAGTCGCGTTAGGCATGAGCGGTAATTTATTATATTCAATTTGAAATTGAATACTTCCCAACCTGCCGTCTAAATTTAATAATTACGTTCTACTAGGAGGTTCGCGAAAAATGTATTAACCTCAGCTGCTAATTATGCATGCCTTAAAACTATTTTCTCAGTCAGAGTATATGATGCCTATTATGATCTCGATAAAGTATACCATGAGTGAATTTAAATTTTCAAATAATAAAACAAGAATAACCATTTCAACATTTCACTTTTTCAACATCTCAATGACACTCTTTTTATTTTCTTTAAGCTGATAAATCTAGCACAAATAGTTCTCAAATATCCAAAAATTGAGTAAAAAAGTGCTATTCTGTACTTCTCGACTGTTAAGAATCACATGTATGTAAAATAGCATTTTCTGATTGATCATTCAAATTTCAATAAGATTATAAACTGTGATCAAGTGAAATAACATAAATTTCATTAAAATCCAGCAGCGTTACAACTACATGAAAATTCCGTATAGTTAAAAAATATAATTTTAGTTGTACTTGAAACTTGAATTTTGTAATGGTTACAAATTTATAATTTAGTTTTCGTGTTTGCTGTTGAACGAATATTATGTCTTTCGCACAATGGAACTTGTTCGGTCTATTTAAAAATGATTTCATTTTTAGAGTAGAAAAATACAACATTTTCAAATGCCTCTTGAAAGTTATAAAATATTTAATAAGAATAATTAACACTATAAATTTGTAAAAAGTATTTAAGGAAATAAGAATCAGATATTTAGTACTATAAAAGCATTAGTTTGTCGATTACCGTACTAAAATCTTTTATTTTATAAGAGTATCTTTTGTTTGTTCTCCAGGAAGAAAGCTCCTTGGATTTGATGGGGCAATACAAACCTGAGATATTCTGCTAGAAGGTAAATTTGATTTTCATTACTCACCGATCCATAAAAAAATTTATATTTTCGTAACATTTGGGAAAAATATGAATTTTTTAACACTTTTTCTAAGAATTACTATTGAATATATTTTTAAAAAACGTTGAGATAGCCTTTAATTAATTTTTTTCGAGCACAGTAGATTCTCTTGAAAAAAATAGTTAGTGGTAGTCTTTGAAATTCATTGAAATACATTCGATTGCATTTTATGGCCTCGTTAAAAAGATTTCAAGGAGATGTAAAATTTTATATTACACAATTAAGGGACAAAAAAAATTGAAAAAGCAATTTTCTCGATAAATATTTTGTACGAAATTAATTGAAAGTAAATTACATTTAAAATTATAGAAAATTCGAAAAAATATTTCAAATCAAGTAAAGTTTCTTAAGAATGCATTTAATACTTAAAGTTTCATGTAATTTGTATGGTATTTTTTATTAAGTAATAAATGAATCATTTTTTACTCTAAGATTTTTTATTATAAATTTCATTCGTGTATAATTTCGTTTGCTAAAAATTTACTTTACCCATAAAACAATAAAATTTTCAACTACACTTTTCGAATGCACAAAATTCGATCTAAACATTTTATTATATTTTAGAAATTTGAGTGCTTGACTTTTTTCGCCTTCGTTAGATTTCTTATAGATCAAAAAATACTATGAATATTTTTTTAGTATTTTAATTTTTATTGACTTTTTTTGAATTTGGATATGATTTTTGAAAAATCTAATAATGATTAGAAAAATTGGAAAAAATTTCAGATAAGAAAAAGTATTACCGATTCTTAATACTTTGAATTGAATAACATTGTTTGGCTCATCTTAACTGTAAATTTGTTAATTTTTTTTATTTTTTAAAAAAAGCATGGACTGTCCAAATTGTTCACGTGTATTAAAAGATAATTATAACACATTTAATTTACTTTCAAACTCGATTTAAATATTACTAATACAAATCAGAACAGAAATAATGACAAAAAATAAATAAATAAAACTGAATGCTTTTTACCGTAAATGATTTAGGAAAGCTTTTTGAAATAAATAAAAAATTCTTTTCTGGCGCGTATTGTCATTGTTTAACTTGTAGGAACGATCTATAAGGGGGGAGGAGGAGTGAAAAGAAAAATGCTAAAAGGACATTGAATTGCCATCAAAATCATAAGTCATAGACAACACAAATCATTTTTGCACGATATATTGTATGGAGAAATATTCCGACCTGCAAACAGCTGTCGCATGCGATAAAATAGAGTACTATATCTACATCGAAATAAGAGCTATATGGATACTAATCTGTAGAATAATTCACGATCATATGACGTGACTCACTAATCGAAAGATTGCCTTACACCGATTATGAGAATCTAAGGCCTTACTTATAGTGTTTCATGCATTGAAATTAATACTTGCAATGCTCATCAAAGCAATACAAGTACATTCAGAGTCGATAGCAACTATGACTAACTTGACAATCTTGAAATCTGAAGAGTAGGAGTTGCAAAGCATTTAACATCATCGAGTCTAAGTATTAAAAAGTGGATATCGTTCGTGGCAAATTCGTTCAATCTTTTACTATAGAAACTAACGCACGTACTATTTTTCATCAATAACTTGTTACATACTCAAGTGCTTTGTAGAGCTATATTTATTTATGTGGTTATAAGCACTCGTGGTTGCATTCGATCGCGAGATGTCAGCATATATACACGTGTACATTAAATTCATGATTCACAAGTCAACTTGAAGTTTCACCTAAGTACTTTTTATCAATTTTGTGGGTGTTACATTTATTTACGTGCATCTCATATACATACGCGTTTTATTTTTGTCTAGCCTATTAAGGTGCTTCCACAAATACGAAAAAACAAGTCAGCGTAACAGCTAATCATTGAAATTCTTTACCGAGCAGCGTACGAAGCTCACCAGTGAGTTATGTAAATGGAAATATCCTTGAGAGAATACTTGTTGATACTTTTTTGGGCTTTGCTCCATACGCGTCATCTCAGCCTTCGTTAAAATAACTTTTTCATCTCATTTGCTGTTCAAGTACTTAGAAATTAATGTCTCTGTGGTCAAATGAATGACTTTTTCACGATATATATGTATGTGTATGCGTGTGTGTAAGCGCATATTATTTACTCGGTAGAATTGTTTCGTACGTATGATTTTTTACTTTATAAAAGTCTTGAGCTAGTGGCAAGATATGATCGATACGCACTCGTGCTTTTATATATGCTTTGTAATATTGGTGTTACTATGCAGGACGAATTATTTATTTTCAATCGTGCAATAAAAAAAATATAGAAACTTGCTTACACATTGACAACAAGTAAATTATTCATTCTATAAAGAGGATATAGAAAACCATGCAACAAAATCTTACGTCGTTTTTCTGAAATTTCTACCGAATATTTTTGTAAAAGTCTTCGTGATGTTTTTGTTTTGTTTTTTAGACGTATGTGCTGTGTTCCACAAAAATATTCAATAGAAATCTTAGAGAGCGTTTCTTATGATTTTCCCTTCTATTTTTATTTCGGTATCTCTCAAAGTAAAGTCATTGTCAAAAGTGAGAACTGAATTATATACGAAGCGGCGTAGTAGCGCCAAAATACTACAATGCAATCGAAGTCCGTCTTATTTTATGCAATTTAATTTCGATGCATTGTTTTTAAAATTGAAGGCTTTAATTACGTTTTTAGGTGAGCTCGCGTCTAGGCCTCAAGGGAGAGTCGTGCACAAGCTGCGGCCTACCGGTTTTTCTCGCTGAGAAACTCGTGATAAATCGGCAGAGCTATCACCGCAGCTGCTTCCGCTGTGCACGCTGCTGTAGCCAACTAACTCCGGGCAATTACTACACTACTAAAAAAGGACTATACTGCTGCGAAATTTGCCCAATGGATATTCTTGAGGATGTACGCGAGCTTTCAGATGAAACCCCATCGCAGCTATTAATCACCTCGCTCGAACTGCACCAACAGCAGCAGCACCAATCGCTAAAACAAGATCAACAAGATGTGCTAAAAGCACCTGTTAGCGACGAGGAAAAAAGTCGCTGTTTCCAACATGGAAACCCTAGTTACAATCAAAACGAGCTTAACTTCACCGAAGTTAAAGCTGTTGAAATTATTAACGAAACCCCGTTAAATAACCGTCCAGTACTGCGACGCGAGACTCGCTCTCATAGCGCGTCCGAAATCGATAAAGCTTCTTGCTATGCCATAACTGATTTGCAAAAAAGCATCAGCCTTCGAGCAAGTTTAAATTATATGCAATCAACAAAATCATGCCATCAAAAGTCTGTCTTGCAATGTGATATTGAAGAGATAAAGAAACGACAGATAGGTGATGATCAGCACCAAGAGCAATCTAGTGAACCTCGTCAAAATTCAGACGATGAATCGCATCAGCAATTAGTTGATAAACAGAACGAGCAACCAGCGGATAAGCCGTGCGCACAGCTAGATGATGAGCAAGTTATTCCATCAGTTGATGGAGAGCTCTGTGAGCTAGGCGATAAAAATCTTCAAGAGACAAATGATGCACAACTTGAGGAAAGTAATGATGCACAATTTGAAGAAAACAATGATGTGCAACTTGAAAAAAGTAATGATGCTCAACTTGAAGAAAACAATGATGTGCAACTTGAAAAAAGTAATGATGCACAACTTGAAAATAATAATGATGCACAATTGGAAGAGAGCAATGAAGCACAAATCAAAGAGAATAATGAAGCACAACTCGAAAATAATAATGATGCTCAACTTCAAGAGATAAATGTTAATCAGTTACAAATATCAAATAACGAGCAAAAACAACAGCTACATGATACATCAAGTTTGGAACCTGAATATCCTGACCATCTAAACCCCTTTGCTGACGGTTCAGGAAATCCTTTTGATGAAGATGATGATAACAACGATGACAGTATTCAAAATAATGAAGAGCAACAAAGGTTGCGGCCTCCACCTCGTAATAGACGGCGACAACTTGAGATACCGAGTATCACCTGCAATCCTTTCGGCAGCGACGAAGAAGACGATCAAGTGTCAACTACAGGAGAAACATTGTTACGCCAGTCGGGAAATTTAGGCAGTGCCTATTCGTCCTCCACATCGCTCGTCAGTTGTTCACCCAGCTACACGCATAGAAAAAAGAAACCAGCTCCACCTCCACCTACTCTAACTTCGCCTTTGCGCCAACCCAGCCCGAGTCCGGTAAACGTCCTTGACATTATCGAGATTATGACTTGCAATAACGATTTCATGAAAAATTTTCTGTTTCAGAGTACAACACCGCGCTCCAGAAAAAGTAAACCGGCACCGGCACCGCCACCACCCAATGATGAGGGGGGAAAACTAAACAAAGACCAAACAAATCGTTCAACCCAAAGTCGAGAATCATCATCCATAAATCTTTCGGCATCGTGTACTGATAAATCAAAGCATAAAAAAGGTCCCGCTCCGACGAGACCGTCTTTTCGTCGTCATGTGAGTTCCTTGCTATCTTTCCGCAAAAAACTCTTTTCAAAAAATTAGGCGCCTATTTGGCATATTTCTCTATGCTGTCTTTCCTTATAAAATACTATAAGTTCATATTTTTTATATCTTATCTGCCGGGCCGTTACTTCACAGATGAAAATTATATCCACTAAAGATGTAAAATTAGAACTTGATCAAATAGAAATGCAGCAGCAAGGACTTGAAAAACAAGGAGTTCGTTTAGAGAAGATTATTAGAGACAAATGCGAATCTAGTACTTACAATAAAGGTAATTGTCGCAAAAGTCTTAGGTACTTTTTCTATTTTTTGTTTTATTCTTCTCAATTTTATTCTTGTATCCATTTAAACTTACAATGTTGGTTAATCTTGGAAAGTGTTATTTTTAAACTTATCTGTATACAATTTAAAATTATCAAATAATTATTTAATAAAATGTTGAACAGATTAAAGTATATTTTATGTTACCGATTTCTTTCATTCATTTCATTTCTTCAAATGATTTTTCTTGCATTCAAATTTTTTTTTTTTTTGCGTAAATTTTATTTTTATTTTGTTCAATATTATTTATTTTATTCATATATATCAATAAAAGATATCTATGAAAGCTTTATCAATATTTAAAACTTGCTATGAAACTTGTTTAAAATTAAAAACTGTGTGCTATAAATTTCTTAAATTTTCTTAGAATTTATCATTTTATTCATTTTATAGTTTTAAAATTATAATAAAAAATTATCTAAAACCGCTTGTAAACAATTCAAAATTTTCGACAACATTGCAGCATAATTAATATCAAAATAATATTCAATAATTGCTATGATATTGTTTATAGATTCAAGTTTAAGTATGGATGTTGAAGAACTTATTCTAGAACTTTTTACATTGGTCAATGAAAAAAACGAATTATTCAGAAGACAAGCTGAATTAATATTACTCAGAAGACAACAGCGCCTCGAAGAAGAGCAAACTGATATAGAATATCAAGTAAGACATTTTTTAAGCTTACCTGAAGCCACTAAGACAGACTTTGATAAACAACAAGAGGAGACATTACTCAAAAAATTGGTAGAAATAGTTGAAAAGCGCAATAAAATTGTTGAAAGTCTGGAAATGGATCGAAGAAGAGAAATAGAGGAGGATCGAAGTATACATCGAGAAATGAGTTTATATGCTGGTAAATATGCATTTACATATTTGAAAAGATAATGAGATACAAATTTTGATTTAATTTTTTCTTTTTAACTTTCTACAGACAGAAGTAAATTTAGTAAAGTCAATGAAACAGATGATTCACGAAGCACATGGAAATTGAAAAAGAAAATTAAAAAAAAAGATAAAAAAACAACTAATGAAGACGCAGATAAAGATATAGATGAAATAGAAGCCAAACTGAAACGACAAAAACAAAGAAAATGGTTTTAACATGAAATTCTATTTGTAAAAATGCATTATCATTATCTCTATTATTATTACTATTATAATTATCATTATTACTATTGCTACCATAATATTATTAAAGCAGTTAGGCTATTCTTAAGCTCGTGCTCTTTTCTTATTTATGAAAAATTCCATGACAGTTAAAACTTTTCATGTTAACTCAAAGAAATAAAGTTAATTTTTGTATAACATATTTTTGTTATTATTCTATTTATTTTTTTTTTATCTTTTCAATTAAATTTACACTGTTATTTTATAAATTTTAGTAGGCACTACTTCAGTTTGAACAAAAACGGGTGGTGTCTCTGTGTTTTCCAGTTCAATTTTAAGGCCATATTGATCTGAAAAGTTGAATGAATTATTTAAAATACAGTTTATAAAAAAATTTTGTCAAAAAGTTCATTTGAGTGAAAAAAATACCTATCAAATGCAAAAAATGTTCTAGAGTCATTTCATTTCTTATTGTAACAGCTATAACAGCCAAATTAGCAGTTTTTTCTAAAAGTCTTTTCAAACTGATAACCAACGATTCAAATGATGAGCTATCATATAAAATATCTGCAGCTATTACAATATCAGCCTTGAGTTGGATCACTTTACTTTCATCAATATCTTCCCATAACAAATTGAGTATTGATACATTAGAAACTTGTCCTGCATTATTTCTTGAAAACTGTATTTGATCGTTTATAGTGCTTTCTATCCATATTGGTTTTTCATGTTTCATTAATAGATTTAATCTTATATTTTCCTCAAGAGTTTTTAAAACTACAGGATGGCAGTCAGAAAAGTAATATTGTGATGGTTCACAAAACTTTAATGCAGTAAGACCACTCAAACCGACGCCTGATCCTAGTTCAAGAATTGATTTTCCTTTTAAGAAATTTTTATTAGCTATGCACCATTCTGCTAAATGAAAAGCTGCCTGTAAATCAGTCAAAATACTTTGATTAAAATGAGTTCTCTGTTTCTACACTATGCAATACATAACATATATGTTTACCTTCCACGAACATAAGCCAGTAGTGCCTTGAGATATTATGTTATGGCTTTCTTTAATAATAAGTGTGTGGGAAACAGTTTCATCTTTTATAAAAAAATGTCTGTAATGCATTGAATTTTCTCCAGTTGTTTTGGAAATAATTTCACAATATGCATCATAAATGCTTTCATCAACATCAGCGCCAATATTTTCTAGCTAAATAAGTATGAAAAATTCATGTTATTGACATAATTAAAATTTGTAAATATTTACGTACCATGTCAATCAAAAATTTTAAAAAAGCTTTTACGTATGACTGCTTCATTGGATATTTCAACACATTCTCATCGGTGACAGTTTGTTGAATAATTTCTTTTTGAATTTCAACATCTTTCAAGAACGAAATATCCTAAAAAATATATATTGAATTATTATTATTACAAATTTAAAATTTGGCAAAAATAAAAATGTATAAGCCATGTTACTTACTGGCCATTTAAATTTACTTAATGGTGTACAACAAAGAAATTGTTTTTTTAAAAGTATAATGTTATTTGAATTCGAATCTAACATTTTTACGATAAATTATAAATTTGTTCACGGTGTTTATTATTTTATTTAAAATGAAATAAAAATATTAAGTTCAATTGTACAGGTTATGAACACAAATGATACATACGTTGTAATTTAAATTACGGATTACACTGTCGATCAAGTGGTTTCCTGGATAAGTCAAACATCACGCGTTTTTTAATTTTATTATTTTATTACTTTTTTTATAGTATTAGTATTCCATAATTAATTTTTATTTTCCGTTTTACTATTTTTTACTTATATTGACATTTTTTTTAAATAATAGCCGATTCTATACTTTGAGTATACAGCTTTGACTTATTTGAACATGTTAAATTGTCAATATTTAAAACTTTTTTATAATTTAAAAATATTTTTGATTATCCTTATGAGTTACGATAGCCTCCATTCTAAAAAAAATTGGCGTTCAATATTTTTCTTTTATCACAAATGAGTCTGAGACCTACAAATTTTCTAAATTAAAAATGTTTCATTGATTAACATTAAAGAAATCCTATGGCTGATGAAACGATTTTTATCAAGATCTTTTCGTCTTCGCAGTATAATAGATGGATTTACCAATCTAAAAACGTGAATCCATATGAATCAAATATAAACGAAATGTGGAAGTTATGGCAGAAATCTTTTGATATAATTGAAAATATGGGTCTATAAAACTTTGATGAAAATCGCAATTCATTAATTTCTACGATTCCACTTTTATTGAAAAATGTTCACGCTTTCGTTCTTGCCTGATACAATATTATCTGCAAACGTTTTTTTAATTTACAGGTATGTAAAATAATACTTTTAAAATTCATTTCCAGGGAAAAATCTATAAATGATGTAAAAAATTAAGAAAAACTTACGTTTTTTTATGTTTCAATATTTATATTTTTACAACAGTTTTTCAATTCATGTGCATTTCTTAATTACATTTTTATTATTTTTTGAAATATCGATGCTGTCGTAACTCTGAGATAAAAAATCTGTACAGGTATTCAACATAATTATTTTATCTCTTTGGTAAGGACAAAACTATGAAAGAGTTTTCAACAAAAAGAAACATCAAAACTGAAAAAAATACGAAAATTTATTAGAATCACATCGAGTGTAAACGCTTGTTAGACTCGAAATTATAAACAAACTATTAGCTATCGACAGATTTTTGAAATTACCAATTTTTCACGGTCTGCCAATCGTAAGGGACATACTCAAAGTTAAAAGTAACAGGAGAATGCACTTATTAAATTTTATAATGCACATTCAAATGATAAGATTATAGCAGTTTGTAAAAGAAGACAGCTTCTTTGAAGAACGAGCTACTAGTAGGGAGGCGATCGAGAGCTTTCATTTGATATGCAAGTTGCAATGTGGTGGAGTCCCTATTCCCTATGTAGAGAGCAGCACAATGCACTCGAAAGTCGAAAGTAGAAAGTCAGACTAAGGATTGTCGGGCTGAGCAAGAGCTGACACTTCTGACGTACGTCACGTCGGGTTCCCTAAAGGGAGATCAGCCCTCGCTATTTGCTCGTTTATACCTTCTGCTCGTGAGGGGACAAACGCGCAACAATCGTCGCCAGTGTTCATTCAACGAGACGACTCGAACGTCACTGCCAAAAAGGAAACTAACGCAGCAAAGTGTTTTTCCGTTGTACGCGGCTGTGTCAAGGGTGGCAGGCCCATGCTTCAGTCGGATGGGCTGTAACTACTCGCTGCGCTGATGCAAGCTCCGAGGCTCGCGAAACCTAGGCCCAAAGTGCTATGCATTAATTTTTCTATTAATTAATATTTAAGGAAAAAAGTCGAGTCTCGCGCACTATCATGGCCTCATCGGCGGCGGAGCAGCAGCTTTCCCAACCACAGCAGCAATCGCAAAAGCCCCAACAGCAGCAAAAGCAGACCACCCTCGAGTTTTATCAAGCTATGTCGGATTTCAAAAATATGTTTCCGCAAATGGACGACGATGTGATCGAGGTGCGTTACTAATCAATCACAATTAATAGCTCCTTTCGACAAATAACTATGAGCCGCGCGAAAAAGCACCATCCTTACCTGATCGTGATCGTATATATTTCAGGCGGTCCTTCGTGCAAATCAGGGAGCCGTTGACACGACCATCGATCAATTGCTCTCCATGAGCACGGACAACGAAAACGAGCAGGTACGCAGCGAGATCGAGCAGACCGAGCAGGGAGTGTGGCTGAGGCCCGAGTTGAACGGCAGCTTGCAGAGGTGGCGACCACCGATGCTCGGTCCGCTCCCCGAGGCTTTCTTACGTTTGAATCAGACGAACGAAGAGCTCGATTGTTTGTACCTCGAGGACGAGCGCATCGCTGTTTTTTTGCAAAACGAAGAATTTATGGCCGAGTTGCGTTGGAATCAAGATTTCATGTCAACCCTTGAAAACGGTACGTCGATTAGCACTGGCACAAATCACTTACGGCAAATTAGCTCGAAAACCGGAAATCAGTTGCTCGTCGCTATGAAAACTCAAAAAATCAAACTTTTTCATCAGAAAGTTTAATTATCATTCTTAAAAAGTCGTTATTTCTAATTTTTCAGCTTATATACATTTTTTAGATAGTCTTATTCTTTACAATTTTTTCTAATCGAATTTTGATGCCAAACCTTTTGTTGAAATAATTTGATCCTGGTGATTTTTACCCCATAAAATCATTCGAATGTAATAAATAAAAGTCTGAAAATTAAGGAAAAACTTTTTTTTAGAAGACTGTGATTCCCTTAAAATTATCAAAATGAAATTCGTCGTAGAGCTTTTTAAAGACATATTTAGTAAAACTTTCAAAAAACGAGATTTAAAATTTTATTCTGGTGTTGGCTTCGCTGCCCCCTAAATTTAAACTGACGATCACTTTTGAAATTTGATATTTGATTCATATGAGCTAACGTCATTTTAGATTTTAACAATAGATCATCAATAAGTATATTTCGAATAAATCCAAGGAGTAGAAATTTAAAAACACCACTTGAAACATTTTTATCAATTTTATTTTTGGATTTATTGTTTAATCTATTTTGCTCTTTTGTTGTAGTAATTTAAATTTTAGATTGTCCAAACTTTAATCTTTGAATGAAATTAACGTTAGTCTCCATTGATTCACGGACTTTGTTATGTAAAGAATCAATATTTGCTAGCTGTATTCGTAAAAAATGTAAAAATATCGCTGAGAGAAAATTCTTGAAAGCATTTGTAAACGAAATCATAATTCAGACCGATAATTTTCAGTTTGCAAAAGTCACCATAATCTTCTCATTCGTTTTTTTATGTTTATTTTTTTATAAATTAATAGTTAATTAATATTGTACACTTTTCCGTAGATTCTAAACTGCAATCTAAGAGCGACTCCGTTACGGAAGATGACCTGTTCCGAGAACGCCTTCGTAACATGGGCAAAGGTTTAAAAAAATTTTTAGATTTAAATAACTTTAACTATAATCTGATTCGTATACAATCATTTCATGCTTTTCTGTTGCAGCGTCAAGACGCAAATTTGCTCAACTTACAAGGGTTTTCACCCGTAGTAAAAAAAGAGCTGGACGGCAACTTCTACCAGCAACAGCTTCTTGCGATGATTTATTGGGACAGCACGATGCAGCTAAATCAGGATAATAAACAAAGATAAAAATTTATTTTCAATCTGTGGTTTCACCACTGGCATAGTCATTTTAGTTTTTAAAATTATTAAATAGTTTATCGACGTCAAGTCATTGACTCTATTAATTTTACGACGTAAAATTAAAAGTTTGAATATGCATATGTTGTTGCACACCAGTTTTAATCGAAACTTCTTACTTCATGATATCAAGAAAATCATTGAATATTATGAATGCTATTATAATACTATGTATTTGTTTGTATATTTTAAAGGAAAATGTGTATAGAAGTTTATTTATGAATTAGTATTAAAAAAGCCATTGCCATTTCAAATAAATTTTGACACATTATTTATATAAATATAAGTGAATAGTATATTATATAATATGTACACATCAAAAGGGCTGTGACCCGGTACGTGAACCACTGAAAGTAGTCTCTATTAATTTTAGAAAATCGATTCAATATTAAGTTTGATATTTACATTATATATGAACTAAATATATTAAATATACAAATTTACATTTAGAATTATTAATTTTACATCGATAATTAATTATAGCTTGCATATAAAAATAATAAAATAAATTTGTTGGAACTATTATTTTTATGTTGACTTCAGTATCATACATTTTTTACTATTTATTTAATTTCGATGTAATTTATTCCACGCTCTCATACGGGAATGGATCTTATCTATGCTAGCTAATTGACCAGAAGTATCATTGATATTGATATTATCAACGTACACAAATATTGTGTAAAAAATATGATGAACTTAATTTTTGTCATCTGGAATGTTTAATTTGATTACCGAATTGCGAAATTACTAGAAAATCAAATTTTTCAATTATCACACTACGGGCATCGGGATTTGATAACTAAACAAAAACTAAATCATTTTAGTTTCCGGACACTTAAAAAACTTCAAAAGCCTAAAATTATATCTTTGAATAACTATTAGTTTGTATTAATTAATTTGGAATGGAAAATTGTTTACACGATTGAAAATTGGAGTATATAGATTAAACAAAATTACGAATCATAAGATTGAAAGAGTCATCAAAAGCACTCGTGTCCGAGAACTAGATGCTGGTGTCGGAAAACTAATTTTTTAAGATTTTCACGAACTGGGATATTGAAAAAATATTTTGGCGCCGAAGAGACTGTAGCGAAGAAGTTTGAACTCGATACTTTTCTCTTCGAGGCGTTTAAGAGTGAGGGCGTGAGTTTGCTGAAGCTTTTCGTCTTCGAGCTCGATGCGTGCATCCGCTTGCGAGCGCTCGTAATTCAGATGCTGCTCCAACGTTTGAAACCAGAGCAATTTGTCGAAGACGGCATTTTGGTCGAGCAGAGCCAAGAGAAAGGCCACACCAACGGCAAAGCCATCGTCGCTGAAGGCAGCTCCCTCGCCGCCTCGTTTGAAAAGTTTTTCCTTGTTCGCCAGGGTTGAGTCGACGTAGCTCAGCGTCAGCGGTGGCACGGCCAGATGGAAGAGTTGCAAGTGCTGCGCGCGCGCCGGGTCACGGAAGGCCGGGGCGAACGCGTCGATGAGCAGTTTGAAGTACTTTCGATCCTCGTCGAGATCTCGCGCCAGCTGCTCCAGGTCGATCCGGAGGCATTCCGAGGCAGCGGTCACGGAGTCGGAGCGATCGGTGCAGTCGGGCCCCAGCGCAGCGGTCTGCTCGGCTTCCGGCAGGAACAAGAGCGATCGCGCACAAGTGAGGAGGCCAGCCGAGCGCAGCAAGCGCACCAGGCCGAGAACGTTGCCGATCTCCGAGAGCAATTGGCGCAGCCGGGCCAGCCAGCACTCGGCGCTGCCGTCGCCGCTCGGTCCCGGGCGCCGTCGAAGCCTCTCCGCGCGCTCGTAGGCGTAGCCGAGCTGCTTGGCGCCGCCGGCGGCCGTCGTCGTGCTCGACTGCTGCTGGGATCGCAGGGCTCGGAGCTCGCGGCGCAGCCTCGACGCCACCTGCTCGTCGAACAGCAGCTGCGACAGGGCGTGCAGACGCAGGCGCAAAAATCGGTAGGCGCAGTTGACGCCCGTGGCCATGATGCCGCGGCCGTGGGCTCGCACGCCGTCGGCCGCCTGGCTCAGGCCCAGGGCCTCCAGCTGGCGACGCTCGCCGCTGGCCCGCTCGACGAACACCTGGCCCCGCAGGTCGTAGGCGAAGCGCGTGGCGAACTGCTGGGGGCTGCGAACCAGCTGGAGCGCGTCGGGCCCCGGATCGGTGGTCCGCGGGGGTAGCAGGCCCCGCGACGCCCCCAGTCCCAGGCGCTGCCGCGCGAACTGCTGCATGTCGCGATAGACGTGCCAGTCCCTGGGGGCCAGCAGCGTCAGGGCGTAGAAGGTCGTGTCGAGGTGGAGCTCGGCGCGCCGCCGCGGACAGACGAGCGCCCCCCTGCCCAGCGCCAGGGGCCCGGCCTGCACCAGCCGGTCCGAGTCGACGGACTTGGTCTTGGCGGGCGAGCGCAGATGCGACAGGGCCAGCAGGCGCAGGCTCGTCTCCAGCTCGCGGCAGCAGGGCTCGAAGAGGCCGCGCTCCAGCTGGAGCTCGCGCAACTCGCCGCCGCGACTCAGTTGGCTGCTGCTGCTGCCGGCCTCGCTGACCTCGAGCGCCGTCAAGACCTGCGACACGTGGCCGAGGCCGGCGCTGCCGTTGCTCGCCACCTGCTCCAGGTAGGCCGGAAGTAGGCTGTGCTGGCGCAGCAGCAGGGCGTAATCGGCCCCGCGAAACACTTTGGCCTCGAGATCGGCGATCGCGTCGTAGGCCTCCAACTGGTTGCGCAGCTGCTGGAGCTCGGTCTCGCGGAGAGCGTCGCCCAGTTGGCTAACGCATATGAGGGCCGATCTCAGCAGTAGACGTCGCTCGTAACTGGCGCAGCCCTTGACCAGCCGGATACTGGCGCCGAGCAGTGCGATCGCGTCGAGGCGCTCGCGCTTGTAGATGCGCTCGTTCTTCGTCAGTGACTTTCGTACCGATTCCAAAATCACCAGCATCTGATATGTCAGCTGTTGCAACACTTGACTCTGAGCCAAGACTATGGTTTGAGCGTACGCGAAAAAAAATTTTTCCAGTCCCTTTTGAACTTCGAACAGACGGCAGATCAATAGAGCCGTATTTCTACTCATTGGCTTTTGCAAATGTCCATGTAAATTTGTTATAAAAATGCAGCTTTCGCTCGCTTGCCGACTTAATGCCAAAATTTCCAGCAATAATTCTTTCTTTCTCTCCAACTCTGGAAATATTTCTAAACCCATTTCAATTTGCAATTTCTGAATATCAATACTCCATTTGATAGCCCTTTGACTTAAATTGCAGACGAGAAGAGGTAAACGCTGCAGTTTTGTGGCAAGTACCTTGTTTCCCACAAGCATTGGAATCGATGTGATATTTTCTGTTGGTAAGTGGCATGCGAGAAAACTAGTAGGCAGCCACACAATATCTCCGATTAAATTTATGGCATATACTTTTTTGTTTATCTCTAGTAACCGTTTTAAATACTTTTTATCGCATGATCCAAATAATTTTGATACAACAATTAATCCAATATTAACAACTATGCAGCTTTTCTTAACAAGTGTCTCATCAAAAATTTTGTTTTCAATATCTGTTAGAGTATTTTTAAGAAAACACATTAAATGATCATTCATTGTGTTGGTTTTTGCTACATCTAATATATGATTGATTGCATTAATAAATAAATTGTTGGAAAGCAACTGGGTTTGCAAATCTTTTAATAACTTTCCATAAGAGAAAATTTTTTTCAGCCGAATGTCTGATTTGTGTAAATTATGAATTGCAGTTTGAACTTTAACTCTGTAAGCCCTCCATTTTGCAAGTATCAACGATTGATTAAATAATTCATCTAAATTAACTAGAATAATAAATAAATCCATCAAATTCTCCATCAATAATGGTATATATACCTCTCGGTAAGTATTATTTGCAAGATTTGCAAGCTGTTCAACAACCAAATGAATGACGGTAAAAATTCGGTTACAATAAGCTGATAAATTCTGTAAATCTTCAAGCAGATCTTCAATTCTGCAGACTGCATTGTTTAAAAATGGCTCCCCATAATTTATTATATTAATATAAAATCTATTGGCTTCTTCTCGTAATAATCCTACCTGAAAAACAATTGCTGTAAATATAATTATTGTCCTAATTTAGATATTGAAAATTGTACCTCTTTGTATATGCCACATATTGATGCTAATAATTTAGAATAGTACGCATTTTCCATTTCACATAAAGATAATACATTAACATCTTCATTAATTTGATAAATCAGCCTGATTGGTCCTTCGATCACATGTTCTACCAATGAGTTATCTGGACACGATTTATCAGCCAAGAAATCAAAAAATTTTCCATATTTTTTTAGATGCACAGCTCCAATGGCTTTTTGAATGCTACTATCATTTTTTGACCCCCATGCTGAAGTTTCAATCATCTATAATAGAGATAAATTTTTTAATTTTAAAAATTGCTCATCATCGCCTCACAGAAATATCTTTTTAACTAGAAAGTATGAATCTTGAAAGATTTAGACTAAATACCTGTGCATTTAATTAAATGATCAAATGCAGAGGTATAAAAAATACTTGCTTATTCTACATTGACCAAAAATACTCAAAAAACTTAGTTGACAAGTACTTATCTACATAAAAATAACCTGAAAATGATTGGTAATCAGAAACGACAACAAAATAATGATTTGAATCTAAAAACTAAAAATGAATTAAATATTATATTGCAACCTAAGTTTTTATAGGATTTCTAATTTCTATAGAATCATGCAATATCATGAGGTATGCCCATCAAATCAATTTAATTAAATTGTCAAAAAGTGAACAAAACTTCAATGTAAGACTTTTGGTAAAAAAGAATTTCAGGATTACCTTAGAAAATCGTTATTATTTTTTGAGCAGCTTGTATGATACGTCGTTTATTCAAATTTTAATACTATCAAGCAGTTTTGTAACTTTATATCTTATAAATTTTTTTATAAGAACACGATTATTTAAAATGTAGAATTTACAAACGAATGCAACTAGGTATCAATTATTTTTAAGGAAAATAAACTTTATCCATGCTCTGCACAATCAGCTGCGAATTATTTTATGCTTATTAAACGTTGTATTGTTATCGACTGCTTCATGCCGGCTGCAAAGTTGTAGTTGCAAGTCTATTTTCGTTCCTCTTCGAACTTCACGAGCAATTAAATTTACCAAATTGTTTTTGTGTCATGGTAGGAAACAAAAAAAGTCGGAATAATAACAATAAATATTATTGTTTGAAATAATCACACGCTTAAAAAAGTGACAGATGTGTCAAGTGATTTAGAGTAGTTTTGCAGTTATTGTATGTGCATATATCCCACCAACCATTTTGTGTAACCTATCGCTAAGCAGAATGATTGACGTATGACACATTCTTTACAACTTGACTCATCCCTTACTAAAGTATTTTGATTCAACCGACTATTTTCACACTGACAATCATAAAGGAAACGTTAGAATTTTTAAAATATCGCTGATGAATTTATCATTTTAAATGAAAACAGATCATTGCAAAAACATATCTGTTAATACTATGGTCATTATAATATAATTATTTTCGAGATACTCATTGTTCAGAGCTTAATAAAATTTCTCTTGTGTCAATAATTTATTTATAAAAACAACAAAATTTTTTAAAATGGCTTGGAGTCATTACCAAAAATTTTTAGCTGTGATGATGGTAATAACTGGATCTTTCAATACATTATCAGTAAAGTAAGTAACTTTTTTTTATAATAAAATGGCTATAGTCAAATAAAAAATAATTTCTCTTTACAGATATGCTGATCAACAAATAGTACCAGGATCAGATGGACAGCCAAGACATTTTAATCATCCTTTTATGCAGTCTTTATTTATGTTTATTGGAGAACTTATGTGTTTAATAGTATTTAAAATAGCATTTTGTTACTATTCTCGATTGCAGGTAATCATTATCAATTCATTTACTTATGACGAACATTTCAAAACTTTTAAACTTATTTTTTAGAATGGATCAGAAAATCGGAGCAGTTTAACTAAAGGATCTCAAGCTTTTAATCCTGTAGTACTTTTTATTCCTGCTGCTTGTGATATGATTGCAACTTCAGTTATGTATATTGGTTTAAACATGACATACGCTAGTAGTTTCCAAATGTTACGAGGAGCTGTAATTGTCTTTACTGGCCTATTGTCCGTAGGATTTCTTAATAAAAAACTCATATTGAGAGAATGGCTTGGAATTTTATTTGTCATTTTGGGTTTATTATTAGTAGGCCTCAGTGACTTTCTCACTATGAGTGATCAAAAAGTGAATAAAAATGGTGTTTTAACTGGTGATTTACTGATAATATCAGCTCAGGTATGGAAGTAGCCAAATTTATGATTTTTTCACCTAATAATTGAGAAATTAAAATGAAAATGTTCTAGATAATTACTGCCATTCAAATGGTTGTTGAAGAAAAGTATATTGCAGGACAAGATATACCTGCTTTACAGGCCGTTGGTTGGGAAGGAGTATTTGGATGTATTGGAATGTGCTTTATAATGATACCATGCAATTTCATTTATGCTCCACCTCCATTTGCTGATAACTCAAGTAATACCATAGAAGCTTCAATCGATGCATTGGTTCAAATAAGTAGAAGTGGTCATCTTTTAATGGCAATGATAGGTACGATAAAGATAAATAACTCCTTGGTACAGAAATTATCGTCGATCTTTTTATAGGTATCACGATAAGTATCGCATTCTTCAATTTTGCTGGGATAAGTGTTACAAAAGAACTAAATGCAACTACTAGGATGATATTGGATAGTATAAGAACTCTGGTTATATGGACAATTTCCTTGGCCGTTGGTTGGCAGAAATTCCATTATTTGCAGGTACAAAGCTCTCTCTAAAAAACTGTTACTATACCAACAACTGAACTTTATCTATTTCCTTAGCTTATTGGGTTCACGACTTTATTCATTGGAATGGCTTGCTATAACAACGTAATAATCCCTCAGATTATAAGTTATAGATCTCAATTGCGTTTCAATGTTACACGACGTGGAGATGAACGCATTCTCAATACTCCAGCAGATGATGTGGAAGATGTGCACTCAGCTTGATCAATTTATTATTCTTTTAATTACAATAAAAAAAATAACTTAGGAATGAAAATAAAATTTATGTACTTTTATTATAACTGAGGACTTGTTTACATTTCAGTTGATCCAAATCAACCTTAGACTACAATACTCCATAAATTATAGAAAAAAAAAAAACAATGGTTATTTTTCAATTATTTCACATGGAGTTAAAGTAAAATATTAAAAAAGAGAACTTCGAAAAAGGTTAACATAAACTTTCTAAATTTTTTTTGATTGCAAGATTGTGAAACTTAAATTAGATACAGTTTTTAAGCAAGTGAAAAAAATAAATTTAAATACTCATCTTTTCAGAGATCAATTAAACGAATGAGTAAATAGTTTGATTTACAGTATTATGTAAATCAACATTTAGTCATATCGATTTACAGTTACAACTTTTAATAAAATCATTACAATATTTAAAAATAAATAAACATTATTTAAACTTCAGTGAAAACAAGATTAATCTACTTTTGGAGAAGCTATGATAATCTAAACAAAAGATAAGTAGAACAAACTTCCGAAGTACAATGGCTTTTATACTCTTTTTGAAATAAATATTTCAAGAATAATAAAACTAATAAAACTAAAATAATTAAAATGAATAAAAATGAGTATCATTTAGATACAGATTATTATGAAGTTTATAAAAAGTATAAAAGTGTTTCTAAGGTTGTACTTGGTGAAGTATGAATGGCTTGAGATACCAAAAATGCTAATTTATGAGCATATTGGCAGGGAGCAGGTACACGGACTGTTCCACTCCAATTAAAGTACAAATGACACAATTTATATGTGATCCTTTGTAATTTATCAGCATCAAGGCCAGTGGTATCTTCAATTACGTTGTACGACGTAGGTGTAACCGTACCTTGAGTTACGTGTTGAGCGACTATTAAAAAGTCATACTTAGTAGGATCTGTGACAACATCATCAACTATAGTTCCTGGAAGTGGGTTTCCACTTCCTTCTTTGGCAAATAACCTGGTATTGATCTTTTTTGTTACGACAACATATCCTAGTTTAACATTTTCAGGTCGTTCGTAGATCCTTTCCAATTTGGCTTTTATTTGAGCCACTTCATGTTGAACAACAAAGTGTATTTGCCCTTCTCCAACACCATCTCTATAAATCAAAATTCGTTTGGGTAGAGATGCGTTGTAGCGTTTATATACCTCCAGAGCCTTGCATAGATTCACTGATAAATCATTTGAAAGTTCTTCGCCATTTGTATGACTAGAAACTGCACTGTAGTATCTGCCAAAATTGGCATCCAATGAAGCTACCATGGCACCTAAAAATTAATTGATAATGCATTAATCCTTTTTATAACAATCATTTCTATAATATCAAATTTCTTGTTAGCATGTAGCTGAATATTTAGAAAATTTAAGAATACTTACCAAAATCTTTATCTCTGCTACCAGCATCATGGCACACATCAAAACCCACGACCATCAATCCATTTAAGGGAATTGATATAGACCAAGGAATTCCACCAATTTTACAATTCATTTGAATGGCAACTTTAGTTGCAATGGACATCATTGATTTGCCAGGATCTGTACTCTTTTTGATGAGAACTTGGGTAGGTACAGGTTTATCTACGCAACACTTCTTCTTAATAGCTGTGTAACGATCTAATCGATTAGAAAGTACCACACAGCATATCAGCATTGGACTGCTTTTGCTAGTAATATAATCCAAGCAATCTGCATACGTGCCAGGATTGTCGTCTCTTATATCATAGACACGAGGTTGTCCAATTATGAAGTTCATGGCACCTGCTACTCTAGTAAGAGCTTGGACAAATTGCTGTTGACAAGGGTAAAAAAATTAAAATCAACTTATGATTTATTTCCTTGATCAGCAAAAAGAAAAAAAAAGTTAATTTACCTGTAAACCTTGTTTTGCTCTTTCAGGTACAATAAGAGCCCAGTTATCAAGTTTACCACATGACAACATTACTTTGTCTCGCATTTGATTAGTCCATTTGGCATCTGGATTAATTTTTACCTTAGCATTGGGGAATATGATTTCATCAGTTGGTAGAACTCTACCAGTTAAGTCAACCAGATTTCTATCAAGTGTCAAGTTCCAACTACGTAATTCTTGTACAACGTTAGGAACACTGTAAAGCCTTTGATTGAATGCAGCAAGTTTCTTCATTCGATCAAAAGGTGAAACTCTGGTGAATTTTGCTAGAGCACTCATGAGTTTGAAATTTTTTCTCATGTTATCATTGATTCCTGCAAGGTAATAAAAATAATTAAGTAATTATTACTATCTGTGTATTTTAGCAAGTCTTTTCATACCTGTGGATCTACATAATTCAGGAATTAAATACACCACTTCGTCAACGCCAGCTCGGCGATCGCGCTGTTTAGCCTTGGATACAAGAAGTGGCTGTTTAGCATTCTGAATATTAATATTATACTTTGCTCTGTAATAATCAAAGTAAGATATTGCTTCTCCGTTTTTCTTAGTAAAAGTGGAAGATGGACTAACAGAATAATCTACATCATCAATTTTGTAAGTATTGTTGTTGTAGTCGGTTAAAACAACGGTTCCTAGTACTGCATTAGTAAAGGCATTCTGAAATAATATTATTGATTAATACATTTACCGGAAAATAGATTAATGAAACAAGACAATTAATGCTTTAATATACTAACTTGATAATTTTGAGGGTTATTATGGTAGCAATCTCCCAAGACATCTAATAGTGTTTCACTACGCATAACTTTATGCGCAATTTCAGCACACATTAGAATTTCATGTTCATGCTGACGAATCGATGTAACGTAACCAGGCCAAAGTTCTAAGCGAAATTCTCGAACTTCAGCTTTGTTGTAGGGATCAAAATAATTCCTGCCAACAAGTTTTAATTCAAGATAGTCTAAACATTTTCTCATAATAATGTTGAAGAATTGGAGGTAATGATGATCTCCTTTGGTCATTTCTCCTGTTTCTTTGATGGTTATTTCAATTACTTCTTGCTCTCGGGCTGCTATGCCGTTACCTCCTGCATGAGCATTGCGCACTGAAGTCAGAGTTAGAGGCTGCAAATAAAATGTCAATACGAATTATAATAATTATATACATTAAATAAATATTTTACTTCAGATTATTACCGATGGTAGTCTTGTACTTGTGTATAATTGAGATCCATCAAAAATATATGCACCAAGCCTTTCTCTGTGTTCTCTCAAAAGTGCTTTCTTGATAACATTATGATCTATTGGAGGATTGTAATCAACACAATACTTGTATAAACTCCAATCCGTGGTAGTCAAGAGTTTAAAGTAATTAGCTTTCAATGAAACTGGCATCCCATGTGAGCCTTAAAAAAAAATTAATAATAGTAATAAACTTCTATCAATAGTTTACTTCTCCAAAGAAGTGACAACACAGCATTTCTATACCTTGTTTTGTTGTTAAGGTTCTTGGTCTTGTTATGATGTTCACTGGAAGTACTCGCCTTCCACGCATTGCACCTCTGGCAGCTGTAGATGATTCTCCTCCTGTGGTAGAACCTAATGACAAAAATTCATTAGCATATTTGCCAACTTACATGAGAAAAAGTTAATAAATAAATAAAATACCTGCTATGGAAGCAGTTTCTGATCCTGTTTCAGAATGCGATGGACGAGTATCAGCAGACCTATGCTGTTCACCACGTGCAGTTGTCTGTAATTAAATTATTGTTACAATTTTATTTCAACTGGTAACTGGTATGAATAATAAATGAACAAAAAAAAAGAAAAAAAAACGATCAACTAACATGGTAGGATCCACTGGAAGTTCCAGCTGATGTAGACGGTCTAGGTGCAGGAGGACCACCAGGAGCTGGACCTGGTCTAGAAGGCGGGTAGCCGCGAGTTCCTTCGGAAGGCCTATCATCTCTGTGAGGATCGGTCCTTCTGTCACTTCTTCCACGGTCTGAATCTTGAGCACGTCCTCGAGAATAATTACGGGACCTTGCTCCTCTTGAGTCACTCATTTCGTCGTAATATCGACTGTAAAATTATTAAAACATAATCAATTTTCAAATTAATATCCAATGAAAAATAATACCAACTTGCAATTCACTTTACGCGTAGAACCAAAAATTCGAGCGTAACGCGAGAAATGTTTGCACTTTTTTTTCGAAAAACAAAGAATATTACAATGCTTATAAAATTTATTTTAGTTGAAAGAATTGAATTAAGTATCAAACATTAGCTCGATTTCATTGTTATGATCGAAACATTCAACGGCACGTGGACTTATACTGGAAGTCGGCTCAAGTAAAAGCAATGTAATTAAACAGAAACTTGAAATACGCACCGTTTATCAGATGGAATTTTAGGCATCCTTAATATTTTCAATTAACAATATGTTATTTTATAACATACACCAAATAGTAACAAAATTATTGAAACGCAATAAGAGTAAAAAATATACTCTGTTATCTACATCTACGGATGTGAGAAGTTTCGATGCTTACGCGTCAGCTCAAGGCGCAAGACTGACGTTTGTACTGCCGGCTCGTTCGTGAATTGAGAGTTCTTACACGTTTAACCGACTCTCTTTTATTTCTGAGCCGCCGTTACCGCTACAACATAACACGCACCCTACCAGTCGCTTACTGAGATAGTGCTTTCGAGGAACTGGTGTCATAAAAATTTATCGGTTACTCGATACACTCAAACACATGCTAAATAAAGAGAACTTTTTAGTTTCGTAAAACCTGATACTTGAACGGACTTATAAGCACGTGTGATTTCATGGCGTATGTTGTCGATGACAATCGTTTCCAACGCGTGTTTTCTAACTTTCATCGAAAACTAATTCTTATTCGATGACTCGTTTAGCTAATAAACCGTCAATAATTATCAAAGTAGCCTTCAATTTTCTTTAACGCATTTATGGCTAACATTTATGTGACATATAATTGAGTATATGGAGTAAAATCAAGCGGAATATGACAATAGAGAAAGTTTTAATTGGATATAAAATGCAGCATACGAGATATGACTAGTACCCACTTTATCGCGTTCTCGTTATCGGGCAATGATATTTCGAAATTTGACACCTCCAATTTCTACATTCAAAGGGGCACGATTATAAAATGTTACATTCCTAGTACGTAATAGTTTCCATCGATCTTGTGTACAAAATACACGTAAATACAAAACAACACAGGCTCAGACTTGAACGCTTTGAAGGTGATCGCGCAAAAAAGTTATTGACATAAACATGTACGACCTAAGATTTTTGAGAATAAGCTGCGTTAGTCAAGGGTCGAGCTGCGAAATGAACAACGAGACGTAGAACTAAACCAAAACAATTGACTATGATGAAGAACAAAGAAACTGAGATATTCTTTCATGTTTGCATGCGCGCCTTTGAAATTATCGAACTTATTTCGCCATTTTGAAATTTTCATTTGTTGCTAACATTTTACATCGAACAGTCTCAGCTCTCAAAAATAGTAAAACTTTCGATTTTATTACTCTACTATCACGACACTACTTCACATTAAAATTTGATCATCAAGTTTTGGAAGCTGAGTCGAGAAAAGAAAGTACAAGTAAGATTGAATTACGCCGGGTGCACAAAATTTATATCGTTGGCTGCACACATGTCTGTATCGTTAGGACATAAGTATTACAGTTCTTAGAAAAAAGATAAAACCTAAAATTTCAAAGAATTTTCTCCGTCAATAAATACCAAGCCGTACGCGACAATAAAAAGCATGGTATGCATTCGACTAAACCAAAAAAATGAAACTCTAAATATACTAATATTAACTATAAATTTATAAATTTATTAATTTAAAACTTGCTCGGAAAAAATGCAAAATTAGTTGTTACTTCAACGTTTTCGCAAATTGAAATGACTATGAGAGAATCGATCTTCGAAACTCGTTTTAACAACTGAATGACGATTTCTTCATGAAAAATTGTTTAAAATAAATGACAGCTTACTTGATAAATAAAAGTCGTCGAGACTGCTATTAATCTTGTTGATCCAGAACGCGAAGGACTTGATATTAAACGTTAAAAAAGAAAACTGTTGCAGAGAGTTGCCGTTTTCCCTTTGTAGGTGTTGACTGGTCGCTGCTCCGGCAAAAAGTGCGCTAGTGGGCAGTGGCAGGGCACGGACTAGTCTAGTGGATGGGAGAAGGAACACAAGCGAATTGAAAATTGCGGCGGTTTTGCATCAAGCGCCAGCCAACCGCCGCTCGGAGTAGACCGGAAAGAGGCATCAGCTGCGTTTGAGCAAATTTTTTGACTTCTATCCGGCGATTAATAACGAATTACACATAGATAATTCTACATAAAAGGTATTTAATTAAACTTGATATTACTTAATATAAAATATTACCCGAGATAAGTTACTATCAAAATCAATATTGCATATTACTGATATGGGAATGCATTGCGTTGTTTTGTCCCCATTGGAATTACGATCAGATTTCAAGGGGACATTTACTCAGTCATAATTATGAAAAGCGAACTATTTAAAAATCGAAACTCATTATAAATATTTTTTAATTAAAAAATTTCGTTCGCTTAAAAAAAAAGAAAAATAACCGTGAAAAATTATCTGTGCTATCATAGTGATGATTAATTTTAAAAGATGAAAAATGATTAATCTATCATTTCAGCACTATCCAAATTTTCAAATGCTGATATTGGTCGGTAAAAAATTTAAAAGAAAAAATGGTAGTTTGTTCAATTGCCAATCAAACACAAATAATCGTATAGATATTTATGTCAAATTCTAAACTTCAAGGAGCTCATTTTATTTTCTGGTACAAAAATCATAAATTTTATTTTGTTTGAGCTCACACTAAATACTAAAATTCTAACTGTAATTAAAACTTTAATAATTTTGATATTTATTGAAATCTTTTGAAATATAACCTTATATAATAAGGTACAATGTTTTGTTTTGTTTTGTTTTGTTTTGTTGTGTTGTGTTGTGTTTTGTTTTGTATTTATTTCCTTACATGATAATTATTATTTGTATTGTGATTTTGATATTTGGAAATTTGTATACATTTTCATATTAAAACTATGAATAGATATATTATTAAATGTATAATCGTCAGAATTCAATTGTCATTCAAATTTTATTTTTATTATGTGTTTCATGCATTGAAGGAAAGTGTGTACTTAATCATGGCTTCTCAACGACCATCCCGTCAATTTTCTTCACAACATTCCCAAAATTCTAATCGTTCATCAGAACATTCTTATCGTTCTCCTCAACAAAGAAAAGAAGCTTTAAGAAATGTCTACGCCAATGTCCAAGCTCTTCGTAAATATATTTTTACTTCAATTTAATACTTGATATTATTATTATATTATTTAAGTTTTTGTTTAAATATGAATTTTTATTCAATATAATTTTCAGAGGGCACTGTAAACACTAAGACGTTAGAAAATTTGGAAAATATTGTTAATGAAGTTGACATTATAAACGAGGAAAGCACAATTGAAGACAAAGGTTTCTAATGTTTTGTCAAAATAACTTCATCATAAAACTAAACAATAAAACTCAAAAAATGTTTTCATTCTACAGTGAATGATCAAGGAGTGGTCCTACTAGATTCAGAAATCATGACAATTTCATCCAATGTTTTGCATAAATGTACTTGTTCATTATCTAAAGACATAAGTAGATATGATCCAAATGAGTTTGCTGAAAAAATTGTATGTAAATAAGCTTTTTTAAATCATTTTTAATGAAAATCATTAATTATAATTTCTGAATTTTAGAAACATTTTTTGCTTCGCCTTTCGGATACTGTACTTGAAGAAGAACCAACATGGTCGCTAATTGGAGCAGATACGTTCAAATTCTTTCATAGAACATCTGGATTTTCCATGATGCTAGGTTTGTATTGCAATGATTTTTTTCTAAACATAGTTAATTTAGATAATAAATCATTTTTTTAAATTGTAAAGGTACTTTCCAAACTATTCCTAAGAAAGAAGTTGTAAAACGTACCAGAGTAGTTGCAGAGGCTCAAAAACCTACAAAGAGACCTGAAAATGTTGTTACATTAGATAAAGTTGAAGACAGCGTAGAGCAAACCGTAGTTGAGATTAAGCGCATTATTGGACACTACCAGAAAAGGACTAAACAAGCTATGGACTTTTTTAAACTAGTATTACATCCAACAGATTTTGGAAAAACAGTTGAGAATATTTTACATGTTTCCTTCCTTGTTCGTGATGGATATGTCAAGTTTTCCAAAGGTATATTTCTTGATATGAAAAATTAATTCTTTATAATTTAATCATCAATATTTATAGGAGAAGATGGTCTTTTGTACGTACAAAAAAGTAGCAAGGATGAGGTTGCTGAAGTTAAAAATAATAAAAAGATGAAAAACATTCAAAATGTTCTATCCATAACAATGCAACAATGGAAGGTATGCTATTAAAACTTTCGAAAAAAGTCATAAAATATTAATTTTTGTTCCGTTTTGCAGACTTTAGTGGAGGTTTATGGAATTGAGACCCCAATGATAGATATACAATTAAATGCATAAGCAAGCTTTTATCTCCATTGGTATATGTTCAATACATGAGGAGATTTCCTCATTTAATCTGTTACATTTTTAAATTTAAACATGAGTTATCTTTAAGATCTTGAGAGTGTATTTTTCTATAACGAATAAAAGTATTCTTGATAATTACGAACAATTATCCTGAGTTAATTTACTCTTGGAGATATCATTTTATGTTATTTAAGTAGGTCATGAATTTTGAAATAATATTTGACAGTTGGTTGGTGATAGTACATGGATGGTGATTTAATATTAAATCATACAATTAGACATACTGTTATAAACTTTTTATATCCAATCGTTATGATCATTTTTGCTGTCACAAATTTCTTTTTCTATGAACATTTAATTACTATTTGACAAAGGTGGACAAATGATCTTCAACATGAAATGGCAATAAGAAATTTAATTTCCAATTTTAATTAATCATAAGTTTATGATTTTGCCAATGATTCGGCTTTGGCGACCACCTCTTCAATAGGACCGACCATGTAAAAAGCAACTTCCGGTAAATGGTCTAATTCACCGTTCAGGATTTTTTGGAATCCTTTGATAGTTTCTTGTAAAGGTACAAGTTTACCGAGATGACCGGTGAAAACTTCAGCGACCTAAAATGTATAAATGTATAAATTAAATGATTTGTTGAGGTTTTAATATAATTAAGAACAAAAGATGCAAACCTGGAATGGTTGGGACAAGAATCTTTGGATTTTACGTGCTCTTGCGACAGTTATCTTATCTTCTTCTGACAATTCATCCATACCAAGAATAGCAATAATATCTTGCAGTGATTTATAATCTTGCAAGATTTTTTGAACACCACGAGCAATGTTATAATGCTCAGCACCAATGATATTAGGATCCATAATACGAGATGTTGAATCAAGAGGATCCACAGCAGGGTAAATACCTAATTCAAAGGCGACCATTAGAATAATCATTATATTATTTTAAAGATAAAAGAATGATATTTACCCAATTCTGCAATTGCACGAGAAAGTACAGTAGTGGCGTCCAAATGGGCAAAAGTGGTAGCAGGAGCTGGATCTGTTAAATCATCAGCTGGCACATAAATGGCCTGTACCGAAGTGATGGATCCCTTCGTTGTTGTCGTAATTCGTTCCTGCATAGTACCCATGTCAGTGGCTAAGGTTGGTTGATAACCTACGGCGGAAGGAATACGACCTAACAGAGCTGATACCTGCACGATTATAAAAAAAGAGAGTTAGTTTTTTTTTTTAGAACTCTGAGGCACTAGTTTTATAACAATTTCTGAAAAAATAAATCTTTACCTCAGAACCAGCCTGAGTGAATCTGAAGATGTTATCAATGAAAAGTAATACATCTTGTCCTTCTTGATCGCGGAAATATTCTGCAACAGTTAAACCAGTAAGGGCAACTCGAGCACGGGCACCTGGTGGTTCGTTCATTTGTCCGTATACCAAAGATACTTTGGAAGTTTTGTCCTTAAGGGAAATTACACCAGACTCAATCATTTCTTGGTAAAGATCGTTACCCTCACGGGTTCGTTCTCCAACACCAGCAAAAACTGAATAACCACCATGAGCTTTAGCAACATTGTTGATGAGCTCCATAATGAGTACAGTTTTTCCGACTCCAGCACCACCAAACAATCCTGAAAAATTCAAGTAAAAGGTGAGGATAGTTCAAAATTCGACGTAAAATTTTAATTAAGTAGCAAGATTTTACCAATCTTTCCACCCTTAGCATAAGGAGCCAATAAGTCGACAACTTTGATTCCAGTGACTAGGATTTCTTGCTCGACAGACATTTCAACGAACTCTGGAGCATCAGCATGTATAGGGGCCAATTTGTCAGTAGGAATGGGACCACGTTCATCAATGGGTTCTCCAATTACGTTGATAATACGGCCTAGGGTTTCAGCTCCAACTGGAATACGGATGGGGAATCCACTGTCTAAAACGTTTTGTCCTCGTACAAGACCTTCCGTACCTGCAATGTAGAACAATTAGAGTTGCAAATGTGCTCTCATTTGAAAATTGTTGACATAAAAAAGTCAATCTTACCATCCATAGCAATGGTTCTCACGGTGTTCTCACCCAAGTGCTGTGCCACTTCGAGCACGAGCCTGGGGCTACGGTCTTGAACCTCAAGAGCATTAAGAATGGGTGGCAGTTCATCATCGAATTGTACATCAACAACAGCACCAATTACGGCGACAACCTTGCCATGAGCACCCTTCGTGGCAGCAGCGGGTTTGGCGGCATATTTTCGGTCTGCATAATAGAAAAAAGATATAACACGTCAACGATGTATTGGGTCAATCCTAAATACATTAGGTAATTTCGGGGTAGTTACATAACTGAATCTTCTAGTGGGTCGATGACAGTAATGACAAATATCGAAAAATAAGTTTCATTACAAGTTAAAAGAATAATTTAGTTAGTTAATGAGCCGTATCCATAAGGCAGTTCGCATGAGTTTCAAGGTGCTGTTCGTGTCGCCGCCATACTTATTCGCGCAGGCCCGAATAGATACTCCAACACCAGTAGGAATTATGTAACGCATTTTATTGAATTGGAGGTTCGATGCAATTTTTTATAACATATTAAGTTAGCTCTCTAGCGTGATGTTGAGAGCGGAGTGGAATAAAATTACTCGGTTCCGCTGTCGTGAGGATGTTGATTCATCAAATTTTAATCACGAGGAGTTGAGGCTAACTCGTGCCTTAAAAACTAGAGTGTAGGAGCGACTGTACTCACTGTTGACGGTGACGAGAGCTGAAAGATTAGCCGTCTCCGACTGCAAAAGGGCAGGTTTAACAGCCCTGAGAGCTCCAGCTGTGGCCTTAGACACGGCACTCAACATCATGGTAAAGTAAATGAGAACGGTCTAGGCTGATGATTTAACTTAAAGATGGGTACGACCGGAACAGAACGGTTGGCTCGAGTCTCGTAAGTTTCGTAGCCCGAGTCGAGCTGCAGAGCCGTAGACAGAGATAGCTACAGCAGGCCACTAGTTGGCAGTACGCATCGACTGCAGACAGCGCTCTTACGCATGCTTGAACCTCTTCATCCTAAGAATTTAAATTGACAATTGATATTTTGACGATGCTCACCAGTGCATTTGTGCATTATTTACTCCTTACTGAACGTTAGTCCCTTGTGAATAATTCAATTTTCACCTGCGCTTACCAACATTTTTATGACAAATATATTAAAATTTCAAAAATGATAAAAACACAACATTCTTAAAATGATTTGAACTTTTTATAACTACGAAATGATAAATACTTTTACAAATAGAAAAGATATATTGGAATTAATTAATCAAGTCTTGTCACCTGAATCAGTTCATATGACATTTCCGGAAAATTAAGCTAGAAATTTCACAGATTCTTATGTTTCAATTATCATTGGTATCCATTCATCTAGCGATCGATTAAAATTAGAATACAATCATATATGTGTGATAAATTAATTTTAGATTTTTCAGTTTACAATTTTAATTTACATTAAGCATTTGATATTACGCATTAAAAATTTAAAAAGTTGCAAATAATGTTTATTCAAGTATTAGCTTGAAAATTTGTGTAACAAAAAATAATTTCCTGGAAAATTATGAAATTCATTTTTTGCGCACAAATTTTTTATTTATTTGGTTTTTGCAGTAAATCGAAATTTCAGTATTTCCTCGAGCATTTATTAAATTAAATCATTTAGTACGAATAATTGTCATCGATATCCTAAGGTAAAAAATAAATGTTATCGATCACAAAAATGTTATTTAAAATTCAATTAATTTTATACTTATTGAAACACGTGAAACCATATTTACTTCGACAGTAATATATAATATTATTATATGTAAGTAAAAAATCAATCGTATGCATACATCTAACAGTACACAAATGTGTATGCGTGGGTAATGAGTATACGTATTAAGATTGTATATCTATATATGGATATCTAGTAAGCTATGCTATATGCCTAAATACAGAAAAATGAAACACAACCCGTGTTGAATCTGTTATTCGATGCGGTATTCGTGCAAGATCGTTGTATGTTTTATTTATCGGAAATGTACTTTTAATTTTTAACTGACACTATGAACCAACCTCGGAGTAACGGTGCAACAACATCGACATCGACAGAAAATTGTGAAAGTTTATTTATCTTGACCTAGACTACTTCTTGCATCATAAATCTATATTTCATTTTTATATCCACTTTGTTCATTTTACTGAACATTTTCTAAATTCCTATAATTTTTAAAATTTTTTTAACAAAAAAATTTTCGTGTACTTAAACGCATCTAGCAACGCAAATTCAGACAAAAATTTGCAGATATTTTTTAACTAATACTAAAGTTTAATTATAAAGTAAGATGGTCAAACTTACGGAAGAAATGGTTGCTGCGCGAACGCGGGTCTCTGATTGCACTTCTGTGAAAAAACTCAATTGCTGGTTTGTATAGCAATAATTTATTTTTTACTTTAATATTTTACCTTTTTGAGCTACCTTAATGAATTGTTCTAGTTTTAGTTGATTGGATGTATTACTTACTTTTTTGATATCTATCTGATTTTTTCAAACTAAATAATTATCTGTTTTTTTTTTCAATTTTATAATGTTAAGCTTACAGTTTGTTTATAATTTTAGGGGGACAGAGTTAACTGATGTCAGCATTCTACGCAAAATGCCTAATGTTGAGGTTCTATCCTTAAGGTAACTATTGTACAGTAATAAGTTTTTTCTGTATCAAAAAGTACTATATTATATCGTTTAACTTGTATTATTTTATAAACTTTGAATTTATTTTTTAAATATTATAAACATGCTTTTTAAACATCAATGGTTCAGAGGAGGTTAGTTCATGCTTGATATGTTGAGTTTGCTTGCATGTCATATTTTGTAAATTTTATATATGTCGAAAATAATAGAAATATTTAAAAAATAACAACTATTACGTCAAGAAATTATGATTTTCATTGCTTTTTTGTAATTAAATTATTTACTTGATTTAAAAAAAATTAATTTAATACATTTAAACAAATTAATCTTATAAATTTTTAATTAATTAATCAAAACTTTTAATTTGCAACTTGAATTCTTTAAATTTTCAGTATTAATTACAATTACAATCTTTAACTTAATTTTTATATTTTTCAGCGTAAATAATATCAGTAGTCTCGCTGATTTCCAGAATTGTGTTGATTTAAAAGACTTATTTATTAGAAAAAATAATATAAAGGATCTCAACGAAGTATGTTACTTACAAAGACTTACTAATTTGAAAAATTTATGGCTAGGAGAAAATCCATGTGCAGAAGTTGAAGGGTAATTATTAATTGTAAAAATAACTACAACATGCTTACCAAAATTACACTTTTTTTTTTAGTTATCGTTTATCTGTTTTAAAAACCTTACCAAATCTAGAAAAATTGGATGATAAAATTGTTACTCCAGAAGAAGTGCAAACTGCAGCATCACAAGGAAAATCATTGGTCCATCCTTTAAGTATGTGTCAATCAGAAATTTCTTATCCCCAGTCTGTTAACAGTTGTAGCGATGTAAGTTTTATGAAAATTACATTCCACTATTTGTTGAAATATTTAATTATAATAAATTACATTAAACTGAATCTATTGAAATAAATTTCTTACTACTCATCAGATTGGCTTTTCTAATTCTAAGAGTTTAAAAAACCAAGATGTAGACCAAGGAAAAAATTATAGTTCTTCAGAAGAACAGGTTTGTAAATATTAAAACATTTTGATAATTGAATTTGTATAAAGTTATTATATTCATTTTTTAGAGAAGTTATAACAGTTCTCCTCAAATTGATGATTACCAAGAAGTTGATAAGAAAAATGCAAATTTCAATACTTCATTATCTCAACAATATTCTTCAAACAATCATTATTTTTATGAGGTAATTTTCTTTATTTTTATTTTTAATGAATCAGTATCAGGTTCAGGTGAAGAATCTGGGAGCCTGAACTACCTATGTTTTGAATTTTTCGTATTTTGTATGATTTTTTTATATTTTAATTTTATTGTTTAAATTTTACAGGATAAAAATCAAAGTATTGAATCTCCAAAAAGTAGAGACAGTGAAGAAATTAATAAAAAATCTTATATTACTGAAACATCAAAAACACATCATGCTTCTAATGAGTATGCATATGAGAAAAATGTTGAAGGTGAAGAATCACCAAGACCATCATCAGCTCAATCAAAGCAAAATATATCTAATCGAAAAATAGACAAGGTAAAAATAGATAAGGAAAACTGCCATAACTGTCATGAGGAATGTGCCAAACAATTCATTTTAAATTATTTGATTTTAGGATGACTTTCTTCAAATTTGGACACGAAGAGCTGAAAAAGACAAATGGAGATCTTCAAAATTTCAAAATCAACAAAAACCAGTGACAAGAGTAATTTATTCAGTTCATAATGAAACCAATATGATAAATGTAAATTGAAAATTTTATTTTTATTTTTTAGAACTCAAACATTTTATCTGCTGTACTATGTCTTGTAAAGGAGTTAGATTATCCCAGTCTTGAAGTGGTTGAGATGGCTGTAAGAAGTCGTCTAGATGAATTCGAAGAATAGCATATTTGGATTAGCATTTAATGTGCATTTGCTAAAATTTTGAGGTATCAAATTTTACAATTCACAAGTTTTGTACTTCAAACTTGCATGTCAAGTTAAAAATTTGCTAACTGTGCCTTTGTGTTGTTTAGATGACAATCACAAATTAAATTTTTCGTACGTTTTTCACAATGTGCAATATTTAAACAAAAATGTTCTTTTCATTTCAAATCTGCTGATTGTAAAAATTACTAAAAATTTTAAAACCGATTTATTACATTTAGAGATGAAATATAATTCATAAATTATTGTTATGGTAGAATGATATATATGAAAACTGTTATATTATTTTAATAAATTTATCACATTTGATATTTTCTAAAATATTGCAGTGTTATATTGATTCTTTTGATCTTTATCATCTTTGTCTTACTTTATACCGATCCCACGTAAGAAAATTTACTTCAACGAAATTTCGATTTTGGTAATATTCAATAATATCTCAACGAAAGGCATTTTTTGACAGTATGATAAGTAACATTTTGGTAGAATATACCGAAATAGCTTGTGATTTTTTTGCATGGCTTGAATACATCGACAATGGCGTAACGACGTCTACGAGGATTTCAAGTTCGATTATAGTTGACACGTGAATCCGATAGCCCGCCTCAGATGTACCATTTAATGGGAAAGCGCCGCGCATAGAGCTATAAGCAGATCTCACCAATAGACACATGGATTGGTTTCAGTGTCAGTAAAATTGTTTTCAGAAATATACGTTCGACAGTAGCATCAAAGTTATGCAGCGTTGGATGCACGCTCACTCAAGTATTAGCCGCTTATCAACTGAAAAATTTCACCGTAATAAATCGAGACTTGAAAACAAAGCGGCTCAATTAGAGCAATTTAATTAGGTTCATAAAGTCGGAATTCTTTCAATTCGACGTTCGTAGATCCTAATTTATTGCAGTGTAATCAATCAATTGTAATACCTGAGCATTGGCTCTATCACGTGCAGGGAATGGAGATCAAGTTGGAATTATCCAGCTGTTATTTAAATTTTGAAAAGTCGTCAAAAGTTTTATCATATTCCATTCTTGAATGTATTATCTTTAGGTGCACTTTTTCGAATACTAAACTTTGAAAGCTGGAGTAACTTGTCACGAAATGCGACTTAAATTCTACAAATGTGAATTAAATTTTAGTTTTAACTTCATTTGATTTGATACAAATTTGCATGATTAAATCTAATGATCCTATTTATAAATAAAAGCTTAAATTCATAGTTTCATCAGTTTCCGAGGGAACGAATTCATTGCAAAATTCAATTTTTACCGATCAAATGTAAAACACGGGTTTAACTTAATTGTGTTTCGTGTTCTTTTAAACTTTAATAACTAAAATCTTTATTTAATTGTTCCTAACGAGCAGTTGAAATTTAAGGAAAATTTGAAATTTTCAAGTAATTTTCAAGTTTTTCATTTGAATAATAATAATCGGGACAAAGTGTATGGACGATGGTTGAGAATTGACTCAGAGAGTCTATACGGACAAAGCCGAATAAGTCGGAAACGCCAACGTGCGGCTGCGCACCCGATGCGCTAGTGTCCAACTCCAGACTCCAAACTGTGCCCATCGCATTCGCGCCCAGTGCAATCTCCGCATCGGCCGTCGCGACCTCCGCGAAGTGCAGCTCCAGCGACTCACGGTTACGGGTCGTACATATAAAGCTCATATATACATGTATATACGACTGTTCTGCTATGAGCTGAGCCGAGCCGAACATCGCAATAAGATTGCAGGGAGGTGGTTGGGTGTAATTTCTGCTTGTTTGAAAAAGTGACAAGTGTTACTGAATTGAACAACGAGTCGACAAAAGAGAGTACTCGCATTGGATATCAAGGGCCTAAGGCGAGGTGATTGAGAATTAATTATTGGGGAAACTATATACAAACGAAGTGTACAAACTACAACCGATGGTGACAGTGCAAGCGCGACTGCGCGCACTAGCGCCCGCTGATCGACCAGTTTGCAAGACCCATATCTAGTCATTCTCCGTCTTTCTTTCTCTCTCTCTCTCTCTCTATTTCTCTTTCTTCTTAACGAATTGCTGCTATTGCTGATGAATTGAACAGACGAGTGTCATTTAGCTTTCGGATGCTATTAGCCAACGCTTGATTAAGTGCTTCTGTTTTATCCTAACTGTGATTATCCACTTCCATACTACTGAAGTGTCGGAATAATTGCTTGAATATCCCCAGTGTTCGGAGCTGGAAATAGCTGGTTTTCTTCTTTGCTCTTTCTAACTGTCAGTCTTGAAAAAACTATCATTTTCAGTTAATTTGACGCTCAACGACAGGTGCCGATTTCTCTGTTTACTTTCATGTTTCTTGGATAAATTTCTTTTATAGTAAGTGCTTACTTACCTTTGCACATTTTCACTCATAAAATGAACCAATTGAATTGTTAATTCGAAATTTTCCTCTTATTGTATGTATAATCATTTGAGTACATTAATTCGTGTTTAATTCTTCTCATTAATAAAATTGAACGTGAATAAATTACTTTTTCTTGTCTTAATGATAATTTACTTTTAGTTTTGTTACTAATATAATAATATCAATTTTTCAATTCATAAAATATAAATTCGATTCAATCAATGATTATCACATATTTTTAATTAATCAACAAAAATACCTCATCTTCTGTAGAATATATTTTTATTTTACTAAAAAAGCCATTTATATTAAATATTTATTCTTAAAATAATGACCTTATAGCATATTTTTAAAATTTGGGATCTAAATTTATTGTAACAAATATAAATTTAAAATAAGAAAAATTTTACTTTATACCCATACTCTAAGCAAGAAATAAAAGTCATCTATGCTATTATTTTTTGTGCATCTAAAAATAACTTGTACCATACAATAAGACATACTCAAGTATAGTTCAATACACATTAGAAATTTACACTGATCCACAAATATTTTTACAGATTTTGTAAAAAATGATTTTGAACATCATTTGATTTTCTTTAACATGATATACCTTCTGATCACAATGAGTCTTTTATTCAACCTTTACTTAAAATGAATTAACTAAAATCTTGTTATAAATTTATAAAAAATTTAAACTATTGTAAAAATTTATTTTATTTCAAGTATTTTTTGTACTGCAATCACAAAATTAGATATTTTCTAATAATAAAATGGTTTACAATATTATGTTATTTTAAACAGAGATTGCATGGCTAAATTGAAGTGGTGATATGCATTTATCAAGTATTCAAAATTTTTGTAATCAAGAACCAACCTGTCAAAGTGACATGGATCAACTACTTCACTTTGACCCAGGTCTTTATGAAAAATGGTAAATCTAACAGATTGATTGACAGCAACTGCAACCAAACAGCTATAGGTGCCATCCATTCTAAGAGAAGCCGTGGCACCTTTATCTAGGCTAAGTACTTGCACCCTTGGATTTTCGATAGTTAGTTATTTATATTAAATTTTAAAATCTGCTACTTTTATTTTTATACTAGAAATATAATTTATTTTTGTAGTGGGTATGCAAGGGTGACCGGAGTTATGGGATGGGGCCAGAGCCCCATGGAGTTCGGGTAAACCCGTCTCCAACTAAGCCCCCCAGCCCTCTCCAGCATTGTTATCGCCACTGCTCCTGCCAAAGGCACAGAGGACTCCCTCGAACACGATGGAGGGCTCCAGTGCTTTACAACCCAAAGAAAGAGAGTCACGTGTACACAGACCATGTGCTTTTGACAAGGTACAGATTTATTTATAAATTGTCTACAGATGATTTGCATTTACTTGAAAATTATGAAGAATTTAAAATAAAATAATAATTATTTTTCTTTATAGATGGAAGGGTTGGTGCGGGAAATGCAGGACCCTGAAAATGGGGTACCAGTTCGAAGCCAAAAGCTTTTTCTTACCTCGATTCCATCAGCATTCATGGGTAAATATTAACACCTTTATTTAAAAGTAAATTGAAAAACATCACATAGTTAGTTTCACACTTTATTATAATAATCATATTTATTTACAGGATATGACCTCATTGAATGGTTGATGGATAGACTAAACATTGAAGAATCAGGTATGACTCAATTATTATCAATAAATAAGTATAAATTTACCACAAAAGTTTATTTTGTTTTATTGCTTTTGCTAGTTGGTACTAGTTTTATAATACCTTCATTCTTTTAAATATCAAACTAAAGGTGTACAAAATTGTTTTGAATTGATGCTGTAAATCCATTGTTAAAAACCTTCTGATTCTAAAAAGAAAATTAATTATGGCTTTTACAAATCTAAATTGATTGAACTTTTAATAATTGCAATTCATTAAAAATATTCAAATAATTGAGCAGTGTGATAGAATTTTTATAAAATTTGTTGTTGTCTTCTCCCTGATTTTACGAAAAAATAATCTATGTTAACAGTAGAGGCAGTCCACATTGCTAATCAACTCTGCCAATATGGTTACTTCTTCCCTGTAAATGATTCTAGAACTCTTACTGTGAAAGATGACAGCTCTCTTTATAGATTTCAGGTAAGAAGTATTTTTTGACTATTAATAGTTATAAATATTTTCAAAAATGTATGTACATAAATAAGTCACATTTATTGTATTTTTAATAAATCATTTTTCCTCGCAGACTCCTTATTATTGGCCTTGGCAGCACAAAACTCCCGATAATGTGGAGTATGCGATTTATTTGGCAAAACGTACTTTAAGAAATAAGCAACGCCATGGTCTAGAAGAATACGAACTTGTAAGTTTGATTTTAATAATTAGATTTGCAAGATTCTTAGATTTATCATAAATAATTAAAGGCCCGTAAATATATAAGATGTGTCCGTCAAGGGAGGTTTTACTGTACATACATATATTATATATTTTTCAGGAGGCACTAAGTACCCTGAAAAATAATTTGCAAAAAAAATGGGAACTCATTCAGTTGCAAGCCGATGAACAAGTAATAAAATTAAACTTATTATATTAAAGTAACATAACTTACAATATTTTCATTAATATGATGTTTCAAAGGTGCGCTTGTCTAAAGATCGAAAAAAAGGTGATAAAATCGTAAGTGATTCTCAGGAACGTGCATTCTGGCGAGTGTATAGACCTCCGCCAGGATGTACGAGTAGTCTTGAAATGATGCCAATACCTAATAGAGCACGACCTGGAATTGCTCGTGCTCCTCCTAGAAAACGCACTCTCAATGATCTACAACGTGAAGTAATTTTTATTCTTCAGTTTCATATAAAATTTAAAAATTCATATCGATCTGTTGTAATAAAACATTTTTCGTTCGCTCATCTCTTACAGGTTGAACTACTACGTAGCAGTGTTACACGAACTAGAATTAAAGTTTCTGTTGCAATCGAAAGTTTGAAAACGCATTTTGAAACATACATAGAATACGACCCTATGATAACGCAACCTTTACCTTCTAATCCATGGATCACTGATGATCAAACATTCTGGCAGCTGCATAGTCCTTTGTAAGTTTATAATTTAACATTAACAATATGAATTATTTAAATGTATTAATAATTTGAATTGTTTTAGAGTTGAAATTCCGACGGAAAAACGGGTTAAAAGATGGGGTTTATCAATGGAAGAATTAATGTCAGACCCGACAGGTTTACAAGAGTTTACAAATTATTTGAGGAAAGAGTATAGTCATGAAAATATTCGCTTCTGGCTCGCAGTAAAGGATTTGAGGCACAGCAATCAAGCTAAAATTAATGACAAAGTTAATGAAATATTCAGGCAAGTAATTACTTCGTAAATCATTACCAATATTAAATCAAATGAGTTCATGACGATTATTTTTTTTAAACTGTAGGGAATTTTTAAAGCCGGGTGCACCTTGTGAAATAAATATTGATGGTAAAACAATGGAAAAAGTTCATCAAGAAATGAAAAATCCGACTCGGTTCACTTTTGATTCAGCTGCTGAGCATGTATATACACTGCTCCTCAAGAAAGATTGTTACCCACGATTTATTCGTTCAGATCATTATCGAAATCTTCTCGCTGCTGGAGTGCAACCCTTGCAAAAGAAAAGGTTAAATAAATCTTAAAATAATTTTCCATTTTTGAAAAATAGCCAAGAAAAATATGAAATAAATTAACTATCTTCGTAATTATACAGATTTTTTGCCTTTGGCGGCCAAGGTAAAAAAAAAATTTCGACGTTGCCCGGAAGTATGTCACAGCAACATCAACTACCTCAACAGCAGCAGCAACATGGCATAGGTGGTGTTGGCAGACGTCGAGGAAGCGACAGAAGCTTGTCTGGATCTGCTCACGAGCTAGCCATTTGCGGAGTGCGTGATACTGCAGCAGGTCCTAAGGTGCCGCATTCCCATAGTCAGTCGAATCTAACTGATATTCCTTACAGGTGAATTTTATAAGTATAATACTTTAAATGTTGTCTAAATCATTATATTTATCAGCGCACTTATTCGCCTTCGGATTATGTAATATGTTCCCGAGTATTTGCTTACGCTATTGAAACTTGCGTCACTTACTAATTTTTTCCTATAAAATACTATTGAAACATTTTTTATCAACTTTTGAGCGAAATTACTGCAGGTTTTTTTATCAAGATCTTCCAATCATTTTACTTAATCGATAAAAATAAATTTTTTGGCAATTTCTTTAACAATTTAAGGCACATATTTAAACCTGGTAACATGTTACTAATCCCAACCGGATAACAGGTCACTAATCAACCTAGATAAATAATCAAATCCTTTTTGAGCCCTCTGCAGCAGTTCTGCGATTATTTAAAAAGCACGTCCATCTTTTATGCATTATTCATTAAGTTTTATCGTGAATTTTTGTATTTTAGGGAAGTTTCTATGCCGAAAGATGATGTCTGCCCTTGGGATTCTGGATCTCCTCAGGCAACTGGTAGTTCAACTGGTACGGTGCCTCGAGTGGCCTCGGCCAGTTTCAGCCCTCCAACCGAAGCATCGGGTCCGAACCTTCAGTCTGAATCACGTATGCCACGAAAAAATCCATCTCAACCCGATTCATTTAGTTCCTCTTCAGACGTAAGCAGTACCACGCCTGATATCTCAGAGCGTTTACAACGAAAGATCAGTCCGTCAGTTAAGTCTGAGATCAAGCAAGTATATCGAAATTATTCGGTGGGTTCGGCCCCGCTCGGAAGCGGCCGAAGTTGCTCAACGGAAATGGCCCACTTGGCCAGCACTGCAGCTTGCAGCAGTACCTCGTTTGACTTATCGTTTGTGCCAGAAGGTGCGGCGCTAACTCCATTACCAGAATTAGAATTAGCATCAGCGCCCTGCCTTGTTAACATCGTGCCTGAGGAAACAAAGCAATCGCCGCGTTTTCGCACGACAAAGGCACCTCTTATTAGCATTAGTGCTATTGTTGGGGAGCCTGAAGAAGATTTAGAAACATTGTCCTTGGACCTCGAAACGCATGATACGAGCAGTGACTACGCTCTTATGAGCGATCCTCTAACGCAGGTGCAAAGTATCGATGAAGATAAAACACTTGACTCCTCGCAACTTCCAACCGATACTGAAAAACCATGTATAGAAGATCAAGAAAATATTTCATCAGAACAGCCAAAAGCTGTTCAGTCAACGCCACAAAAGGATAAACCTGTTGAGCCTCAGTCTTCGGACCCAAACAAAGATGTCTCCGCTGATCAACAAAATCCTTCATTGCAACAGGAGCAAGACAATAATGTTAATGAAGTTTGCCCCTGGGAAGATGAGTAAGTTTTTATCATAACTTAGTTTTATAACGTCAAATATACATTATTTTTTTTTTTTTTTTTATTTCAGGGAAAACTGCCAAGTAGATGCTCCTTATGTTAAAACATATGCTACTTTGGGTTATTTGTAAGTTCTGATCAGTCTTGTTAAAGGTTCTTGCAGGTCCTAACGCGTATAAATGTTTTATTATAACAAAATCACTTAAACAGCTCATTATCAGTTGTTTAAAACTTAACTAAATAATTAGTTAATGAAAAATTGAGCTCAGAGTAAAATTGCAGCAATATTATAAAAATGAATATTAGTAATTGAATTAGTGAATTATTTTATGGAAAGATTTGAAATCGTTAAAACTTTACAAGTACACAATTATGGCCTAGCTATCAAATGAAAATGTATCAGTACAGTAATAAATTAAGCGGTAACTTTTTTGTTTACAAGTGTAAAATGAATTTTACTTTGTTTGAATTATTTTATTTTTTAAGTTATCCAAAAAAATTAGCCTATTAACGAAAAAAATTTAATTTTATCTTAATATCTAAAAAATATTGATAAGGTAATGACTAAATATCATGTACTCACGACACAATTTTTCTCGACTCTATAATCTAATAATAGTGAATTACGCTTAAACAATCTCCGCACCGATTACATATAATTGCATGGACATACAGCAATTTCAGTAGGTAAAATATCTTAATGGTAATGCAGAAGCATTTTAAACTAACAATACTACGTAAATATAAAAAATATGAAGGTAGCAAATGAAAAATAACGTAGCACATGCATGTTTAAAAAGGTTTAAAAAGGTTTAAAAAAATTGTCTGACATTATTTACAATGAACTCAAATTCGTTGAATGCAGTTCAAAGGATAACGTTGATAATGAGCCCTTCAACCGATCCCTTGAAACGCTTTCCGTAAGTTCTACAAATTTCTGAATAATAGTTGTTTTCATAAACAGAGTGTTCCAAAAATATAAATAATATATATCTATATATATCCTTAAATACCTTTCTAAGATTTGAAGCAAGAATGAATTATTTTGATGAAGTTTTTATGATTTGTTTTGACAAATCGAATGATCTCGACTTCAATTTTTTTAATGTAAAATAGACGCTGAAAAAAAGTAAATGATTTTCTATCATTAGTTAAAAAATAGTAGAAGAATATTCGTAAAAATTCTTGGAATAATTACCGTTCGAGTTTGAATTTCACTTAAAAATGATTTTTTTTTCATCGCTTCTTCACCTGCGATGAAACATCGATCTAAAACTTTAGAGAAAAGTTATACTAATCTGATATGTACACGTCACTGTAGGGTCTCTATTCTTTTATGACCAATTACCAAAAATATTTGATTTTGTATTATTGACGTTTTTCCAACAAAGTTATATGTTAATTTTTATATATTTTTCGCAGACTACTACAGTTTTTGAAAAATATTGCATATAAAGACTGTCCGTTATTTCTCGATTAGCTGTAATATTTGATCTAACTCCTTGAAACCTCATTTTTTTTTATTGTAATGAAAAAAATAATAATCCACAGATCTCGATAGGTGCTGTCTCGATCCACACGTGACTCAACTCAAAAAGTTTTCATAAAATTTTGAAAAATTCATCCATTCTTTAACTAGTTGTAAGACTCTTTAATTCTTAGACATTTTTTCTATAAGATTGTTCTTTTTTGAGATAAGAAATCGTAAAGATTTGAACGTGATAAAAAAAAATTCATGAAAAATCCAAGTTCAAATAAAAATACGTTTTAAATCTTAGCGATTTTTCATGCTTATGTATGAATTTTTCAGGATTTTTTTATAACTTATTTGAAAATGACTCGTGTTTTTTTGTCTTGTGGCGTGCGATAAACTGCGTCTATTAAGCTCTGATTATTTAATTTCATTATAATTAAAAAGATGAAATTGCAGGGGTTAATAGCAAATATTAGAACTATACGGGATAAGCGCACATTCTATTGCATAATCATACTTAGATCTTAATATGTATACTGGCTATACATTTATGAGCTTATCCTTTTGCATATACTGTATACTCTTTAAGCGGGTGGATTGTATATGACGTTAAAAGCTTAACTATTTATAGAATTTTAATATAAAATACTTAAGTTACAGAAAAGTTAATAAAAACTGAGTTTTAGAAACTTTTCTGCTCTTAAGAATACGCGTCACTTTTCCATGACCAAAATAAAATTGGTACTTTTGTTTTAACGAGCGAAAATTAGCTACTTTTATCCATTTAGGAAAAATAAATGATGGTCACACCTGTTTCAAATGCGTGGTAAATTACTGTTGGCATTGAAAAGAAATATTCGCCATCGGAAATGGAATCTTTTGAAGCAATGTTGTAGAAATTATAAATATCAAAAAGTTTTTATCCCTGTTTCAGCGTTTAGGGGTGCTGCTTAATTATAATCATGTACTGTTAATGATATAATCGTTGTGAACTTTGATGTGATTGGTGGGATATTTAAGGATTTTTGAAAGATGCGTAAAGCGAACCAAGTGTGCCTGTCGAGTTGAGTTACTTTGATTTTAAAAACTTATAAGATCCTTCATAACTAAAATCCGAGTAATTTTTGGGTACGAACTGACTTTTTTTATAAGAAGCAACTTACTTAATGAAAAATTAACAGTACGGTGCGATTATTTGAAACCAATTATTTACAGCGATATCATTATAAATTCAAAATTCATAATCACATCTATAAATGAAGTGTAGATGCTAGTTCACGAGTTATGTTTATGTAGAACTCAGTACAAGTTGTCTAATTAATAGAAAGACGATTCTCTTATAAGTTACAAGGTGAGCTGAGGAACTAATGATTTTTTCCGTACATTAGTATTGAAATAGCCCAAATATTGCCCACACGTTCTTATCTTAACATTAATACACTTAATACTCAAATTTCTTAGAGAGATATTTATAAGTTCATATTACTTGCTGATGCATACTATTATTTTTAAATTCACATTAATAAATAATATTTGAGGTATGAATAATTTAATCAGAAGACTGAAAATGTACCTGAATGCGACAAAAATGAATTAACGGAGTAAATGAACAACAAACCACTGTGAAAAAACCATAAATCTTATTTTCCTATTAAAATAATTTTTCGATTATTCTTTCAATTTATATGCACTTATTTCAAATTTCAATTATTAAAAATAATAATATTATATAATACTTTAAAAATGCATGTTAAATGTGACAATTATCATGATTATAAAAGACATTCGTATTTGTTTTTAAATGAATTCTGTGTTTTCGTTTTACTTACAATCTTACAAAATTTATCGAAAATACAATTGTTTGAGATTTATTTCATTAAAATTGATCAATATAATAATTGATTGATCCATCATTAATCTCGTAAAAATGTTGTGACCATGTGATAATGAAATACAAGATAATATTACATACCTTAATATGCAATAATTTTCGGAAAAAATGTATAATTTGTAGTTTGGAAATTACGTACTTTATGAATAATAACTAATTGTTGTAAGAGAATCCCGAAGTACTCAGTAAAAATAAAAATTTCAAATCCACTTTCAGAGACTTCTACTAAACAATTTGAAAATACATTATTTTAGTAATAAATCTATCAATGTTAGAAATCAAAATTTAATTTTGAACGTTTAATTTCAAGAAGTTTTACTATCTCTGGACAGCAGATTTTTTTATTAGGTTGATATTTTTGGTGATATTTGTTAAAAGAGACTGAAAATAATTTGTTACATATTTTAAAACCTATTTATCACACAAACAAGGAAAAGTGAGCGTACAAGAAAACTATTTAGTCAGTATTTTTATTATAAAACTAATAACAAAATTAGTGAAAATATTTTTGAATTTTTTTATTTGAAGGGAAAAATGAAATTTTATTCTGTTTGAACTCGATTTATCTGTTGTCTGCAATTTTTCATATTTAAATTACTAAAATATAAAATATATAAATGTATATTTTTATTTAGCTACAAGATAGATACTACTGCCTTAATTGTCTAAAACATTTTATTTCATAATTGTATTATATACAAATCAATATTAAGAATAAAAACGAATTACATAGAATCATATATTTCCCATAAAATTTGAACTTTTCTAGAAGACATAAATAAGTTTACTTTGAGTCAAATATATTCAATTAGAATTCGTCCAGATACGCGTAGGGCCTGCGGTGAAAATAAGGAAAAAATAACGATCTTGAGAGTCTTAGCCAATTACGGTTTGTGAAAGTCTCTTTGATGCCAGTTATTATGAAAAGATAGCTGGATATGTATCCATTTATAATGAATTAGTGTTTTAGTTAATTGTTCAGAACTTGACAAAAAAATAATAACCCGATATTAACTGCAATAGTTTTTAGAAAACAAAGCAAGAAAAATTCAGCAACCCATAAAATAAAAATAGACTGAAGAAGTTTGTGTGTTTCACGATAAAATGACAAACGAAATATAATTCAAAATTCGTTGTATATTATCATATGCGATAATGGCAAGTGATTAATTCAAAACAAGCATGCATTGTCTACAACATTATATTATTCCAATAAAAGAACTACCTGACATAATCTTGAAGCTTACAACAGTGGCAAATTCTTAAATGTCATTTAATTTTTGTAATGATGGTACGAAAGACTTGATAGTTAATAGAATAATTTATGTATAATGAACGTCGATAGATTAATGAATAGTGAATTAAAATAATCAATTGTGAATAAGTTTGAAAATTTGTTTTAGCTGAATAAGTTAAACCAGTAAAAACTCTCAGACAATGTCTGTAAATATTATTGAGTATTTTTATCTTATTCAAATAAATAAGTATAAAAATACTTTGTCAAATGTATAATAATACGTAAAATTCAATTATAATTATTAGATGCGCAAGTATGATCAATTAATTATTAGTACCTCTACAAAGACTCTATTAAATAAGTCTCATTATTTTTTATGGTAATTTCAATCGTTAAAACAACATGTTGACAAAAACAGAAAAACTTGAGTTATCAAAAATTGTTTATATTTCAAATTAAATGTAACTCTGGAAGGAGTTATATTGACTATTACGACTTCGCATCGACGAATCAGTTATATTGGAAAATTAATTATGTTTAGTTAGAAAAATGTTTTTATGATTAAGAATAACTAGCTTCGCAGTAGAGTTTAACAAACTTGAGTGTATATAGTTTTCTAAAATGTTATAAGTGATTGAAGGTATATATAATGATATATATTTGCGTTTTGCCATGTGCCAGCTTAGTTGACGTACCTGCGCGCACATATACACACATACACGCACACAGTTAAGCATACATGAGTATATGCAGAAGAATCAAAAAAACTATAAAATGATATTGTATGGATGTCATAAAATTAATATATATTAGAAAATATACTACTAACTTATAGCAATACCTGCTGTAAATAAACAAGAGCCATGTTTAAGTACTTCAGCTAGAAAAGTTTTAAAAGTATTACCGAAACGAATAAAAATATATGAATAAATAAATATATATATATATATTACGTTGGAATACTGAAAAATTGTTTCAAATAATATATACTGTCAAATAGTTTTTCCTGAAATAAACAATAGTGCCATTCAACAAAAAGCGTATTTTTTTGATCATAAATAAAACTACAACATTCAAATAGCCTATTAAAGGATCAAACTTGACTTATTTATTGGATAAATTAAAATTATTTTATTGATAATTAATTTGAGTTCATCATAGCTCTGGTGACCATTAGTAACAACGACAGCGGCTTTTCGGACACTTGCTTGGATAGACCAAGCATCGATCTAAGCAGTACTCGGCTGCGCCTTCCTTGCCAGCAATGTCGCCAATAGGTTCGCAAATTTCCCTGAATCAATTTGATCGATCAATATCAATTCTGGTCACCATCTCATTTCTTTTAAAATTGGATTAACACTTACGGACAACCACAAATTGAAGTTGGACAATTTGGTGGATATCGAAGACAATTGGTCTGGCACCACAAATCCATGCCTGGAATACGACTGTAACGCTCGTTTGGCTGACACACTTGGGACCTTTCATAAAATAAATTTTTTTAGCGTTACTATTGTTTTTTGAAAGATAAAAACAAATTGTAACAATTGTAATTGTAAAAATTTTTGTTACAACAATTGATTTACCTAATAATGAGAGGGTGAATGTTGGGAGTGCGTTGATCTCTGTAGTATAATAAAAAGGGATTATCTTGTTGAACGAAAATCGGTGGCAATCCAGCCGCGCTGGTAATGATGCTGACATCCGCGCAGTTACGGAAAGTTTCAGACAAGCCACAACCTACCGCTTCGGTGCCATTTTCGCAAGTACCCCACATGTTGGCTACGTATATAATTAAATTTTCAGAGTAAATGAAAAATTTTGCCATTCCTTATAGTCCATCTCTTCATAAACCTACCCGTTATGTAATTCCATTGGATAATACATTGTGAACAAGTAAGATAAGGTGGTAGTGAAACTTTATAACGAAATATTGCCTTCTTTTCTGAGTCATCGGGAATGATAAATCGTGTTTCGTTTGTACCCGTCAAATATAAATTGTACCTTTATTGTGTAAAAAAATGGAAATGTTAATGCTTGCATACTCGAATATCGCTTTTTTTCGTAAATACTGACTTTTCGAAGCAAGCATCTGATGGATCTGAAGCTGGATTATTGTTTGGACAAATGAACATTTCAAAATAACCTTGATGATTTGATGTTAATTCTACTTCTACATCAATATCCTTTGCAAATAAATTTTAAACCTTATTAATCTCTCTTTTTTGATAAACATAAAGCAGTATTTAAATAGTCGAGTTAAAAACCATCATTTTCCTTTTTTGTCAAATGTTATACTCAGCTTTTGTGGTTCACGATTCCCGAAAAATGTACATATTATTGAACAAAAAGCACGAATCTTTAAAAAGTTTCAAATAAAAATGTATGCACTATTTTTGGAAAAGAGGCTCGCAAATAGTTGCTAAAAATAGCGTTGCATTGTCCAAAAAATTTTTTCGAAACAGCTTAATTCACAATTTAGAATTCATGTATGAATAATCGATTAAATCGCCCAATCGAATTTAATAAGGTATAAAAAACGATATGTTTTTCACCTAAAACGTTATCTCAACAATTTTTTTCAAACAAGTTAAATTTTTATTGTAATAGAACTAAGCTGTGCTAAATAATGTAAAAGTTTTACCTGTCCCACTTGATAATGTCTCGTAATCGTTCCTTTGGCAAATTCTCCACCAGCTTCATGAGGTCTAGGCCGTGGTAGATGATAAGCATCTCCACAACTACCACATTTTCCTTCGTTCTGATGCCATTGAACTATATATGATTTATTTAAAACAAAAATTAAAATTAAAATGATTGGTTTTCAAATTTTAGGTTTCTAGTCAGAATAAAATAAAATGTTATTGCATTGTCGACTTTTTTACTTCTCTATTAATTTATTCATCCAACGATTTAAATGTTTGTTCATTTTTTAAGTGAAAAATTTGGAGATTTAATTTTTTTAGAACTTGCTTAATTTCCAATTCTTCAGGATATAATTTTGAAGTATAATTGTGGTAACCTGATATATTGTGCTCATACATTTTTTCAGCAATAACGATGATATTGTGCCAATGAAACCCACCTGCATAGCCTCCACAATAAAGTTCATTATCGTTGTAGTTGACTGGATTAGGAAAGCCAAAACGCCACATGCTGTTCCTTGCTGGTGGATCCATAAGGCGCCCATGTGCCGAAACTTCTACTTTTTTGGAAAGCTTTTCCCGATAAAAATAATTCGTTACATTAATCAAATTCATTCTCATCTCTTAACAATAATTTTTTTAGACAAACCTGTAGAGTGAAGCAGCTAATCATCAAAATTACACTCTTCAATTTAATAAATGCACTGTACATGATTTCGATTGACCTATATGGAAATAGAAATTTATAGACTATTTTATGGCATAAAATTTGAATAATGCTTATGGTGATTCGGGGTTTTTAAGCCATTTTAACAAAGAGCATCATGTTCATTTTTATAGGATAGTTATTCCGCAAATTAGAAAAATAAGAAGCGTCAAATATACTTCTTGATTCTGAGAAGGTTTACACCTTTCGTCACAATCAAAACACACATGTTTGAGAGCAAGTTCATTAACTAAAGAATAATTCATGAGTTTTGCAGCTCATATACTTGAGAAGAATAAAAATTGCAGGTCATTGAACGCCGTAATTTAGTAACAGGATAAATAATGCGATAAGCACTGGAGAATTTTGTTGTACCATGTGTTTAATACAAACGAAAATATTCCGAGAGAAATAAAAATTTAACAATAATAATAACTGATAGAGTATTATTATATTATTTTTCCACTTAACAAAATTATTTTTAGATAAAATTTTAATATGTTTAAGTACAAAATTTCACTGAAAAAAATCTTTAATTACTTTTTAAATTATTTTTTATTGTACTATTATTTATATATTTGTTCATTATGCACAGTATTTACTACTGAATATTTCATGAAAAATCTTCATAACAATCGATCGATTATAAAGTATTAGTTACTCCGAATAGTAAGTAGTACCGATTTCACAGATACATTAATTGTATGTATTTTTCAACATCGAATTATACGGGTGGAATACGGTTGATAAACGTCAAAAGTGACATGTGCTTTTAAACATGTCATGTATCGCAGAGTAAAGGTCTATCTATTTATACAGATAGTGTGTGTACTTGACTTGCGTTAGTCGAAGGTATACGCTAACATTAATATTTTCAATTTATTTAACTCAAAACTAAATGAAAAATATCGTCTGGATTATACACGCGCGTTATACAATTATGCAACTTGGTCATCGATAGACAAATTTAAAAAGAGCTTATTGAAAGTATTATTTTTTCACTCTCAGTCTATTTGTTGATGTGTGTTATTTTATAACTCCCTTGACAATGCACAAAAAAAATTGACATTCAGGTATTCTTTTTCGAACATAAACTACGTTATGGTACCTAACACAATTACAAAGTATTTCTTTCAATACACCTGATAATTCTGTATCTGAAAATGATTGAAGTTCAAATTTAGCACTAGTACTTAGTACTTACGGAGAAACCTTGTACTGTATGATTTTCAAGGTGTCTGTACAAATTCTAACATTCCGGAATTTCAACTGTGACAAATGATGAAAAAATAATTTGTTCATATGTTTCGAATAATCCGTCTTTATTTTGGCTTGCAATAAGTAAGTCTATCTTCGTCACATAATTAATTAAATTTAATATTAAACCATAGAATTCTTATTTTGCAAATTTTTTTGGAGTTAATTTGGGGACTTTCAGTAAAAAAAGTAAAATATTTTGCTTTAATGTCAACAATTTTAGTCCATATCCACAAAAGAGATAAAGTGCGAGTCAAAAATTTCCAGGAAAAATGATTGGAAATGAAGTTTTACAAGGTCATGAGGGACGAGTATCTTTTACATGCTAGAAGCATAATGTTATTTATAGATAGCTTTTAATTCAATAAAAATAAAAATTTTTACTTATAGACATTGAAATTTTCGTAAAATTACTCTTAATGGCACTAATTGATATTTTTGACCGTCTTTTATTTCAATGTACAAAGAACGAGCTTCAATGTTTTGAAGCTCGTTCGCAATCGAGCGCAAGTTTTTTGCAATGAAAGTTTGATAAATAAAATAGAAATATAAAGAATGAATTATAAATCAGTTAGAAAAAAAATTTAATAATGTATCGTCGGTGCGACATATTAAGAAATAAAATTGAAATGGTTCCATCAAAAGGGTAAATAATTTTCAAAAAACTTGCAGGTTTCTTTGGATAGCGGAGTTTGAATTATTTTTCTGATACAAAAAGAAGGATTATTAAATACTGCAAGCTAGTGCAATAGCCAGCTTTTACAGGAAGCGGATAGGCAGCAGGATCGAACCGAAAAAATGACCGGAGGCATGAAATAAAATAAGGATGGGCACACAGGTTTAATGCACTTTGTAACGAATAGTTAAATATACAAAGTTAGGATTGGTGCTCACCGTACTGGCGCGTGGAAAAAATACGATGTTCCGAATTAAAGAAAAATTCTGTTGGACGGCGGCGGCGGCGAGGACGGCTGTTGCCCAAGGCGCTTTTACATGCATCTGCTGCGCTCTCGATCCGAGATCCAGACAAAGTTCTTGTCTTATGCACCGACGACGGGGTACGTGCGCGCTGCACTGCGGTATCGCGGCCTGACTGACTGATGAGCCTGAAAACGTATATATAGCGACTTGGGGGCAGATCGAAGCGAGCGCGATCTTTGTTATATAGCGAGCTCGCCTGGTGCTACTGCGGGCACCGGTCGAGTAGGTATATACACGAGCGAAGCCCACCTTGCGATTGATACCGCTTAGCACATCTCTAGCTTTCGGCTCTGACGCCAAAAGTATTTCCGAGGTCACAGAACCCACACGGAGCTGATGTTATTTTTTTTTTTTTTTTTTTAATCTTCTCCTTTTTTTCCATTTATCTTGAAAACGTTCACATGTACGAAAAGAGCGTCGATTTAAACCGTGGCTACATTTTTCTTGTGATTCACGATGAAGTTCTAACAAGTTTGCCTTATGTATTTTTGTTTCGGGTCATCGAATCTATAGAATCGTTGCAGCAAATTTCTGATACACGCTCAACATTGATTATTATTGGATCGATATACTTTTTTTGGACATAGAAAAACTTAAAAAATAAGGATAATATATTTTATCAATAGATTGACGATGTCTAGGAATATTGTTTACAATTATACGGTATTGCGAAAACTGTCATTTCCAGATTGTAACGTTCGCTATGATCTTCAAATTCGAATCTCAATTTTACATTTTTCAATAACGGATATTTTTTCTTTTCATAAAATTGTCATACTCAAAGTCTCATTATTGCGATTGGAAACTATGTTGTGTATCTGTAGATTTGGAAAAATTAAAAAAACCTAAGACTATATAGTCGTTGAAAAACATTTCATCGTAAAGTTATGAATTTTTGTTTAATTTATAAAAAAAATTACGGTTAAAATTTGAGATTATTATCTAATTGAAAATGATTATTTTTTATGACGTCAAAGCTTCGCTCTATACTGTATGAGCACAAGTTCTTTTTCAATTTTTTTAAATGGATTAGTAAATAACGGCCTTATTGTGCTCTCTGTTTCACCACTTTGAACAAGTGCTCCAAATGTCCACCTATCTATTCAGTAATTCCTTTAAAAATAGGATGAAATGTTTATATCTGAATCGTTAGAAAGTTTCAATCTTATTTTTTGAGAAAATTTTTGGAACAATCCGCTAGATGCACTTGATTGGACTTGGAATACATTTTTAAAAACAACGAAGTAGAGGTACCATGAAGTCTTATTTCTTCGTGAATAAAAGCGAATAAAAGTTAGAGAAAATCGATAAGCAGGTTTTTGACATCATTTGAAAATTTGAGAAATAATAATGCAAAATTCGCTGTATTTCGATATTTTCGGAAAAATTAATTATACAATTCATAAACTATGGGAAGTTAGTAAGTTTAAATTTGTAATGGATGGTTTAAATAAATATTTAAACGTTACATTTCATATTTATGAAAAAATAAATTAAAATAAAGACTTATACGGGCGTCGGATGTATGTAGTATTTAAAGTTTTTTTCGAAAACTGATTATATTGCCTGGAAAAAAAATATGTTCGCTTCAGTTATCAATATTTGATGCTATATGTAGTATCATTGCCGATCCAGTACAAAATCTTTTTAAGAATATAGAATTTTCGAGAATTATTTAAAATCTATGCGCTTCACCCGCGCACTAATAAAATATAAACTAAATGAATTTTATAGTTATTTTTAGTACGTTTTTTGAATTTATGTAAAATTTTATTTTGAAAATTAAATCAGAGGGCATTTTTCGACAGAATACATCACTTCATTTAGTACATTGCGAATATTTAATTAGAACCATAGTTCATCTTTTATTAAATAATTCAACATATTCTATAGTTGAAAGATAAGTAATGAGATATTACTTAATTTCAACTTGGTTTTAAAGTAATAACTCCCTGTTCTAGTAAATATACTAAGAAAATATCTACAATACTTAATTTTTACATTGCTCTAGAAAGTATATGATATTTTTTAAATTTCATTTAAAAGGATAAAAAAATGAAAACAATTAAATCTAACTTCATAAATATATTTAACAAATTTGGCTAAATCAATCACTTACAAGCCACTTGAAAGCCTATGTTATGTAAATCAATAAATTATTAATTTCAATTTCTACATAAGACAGTTGACATTTGTAAATCTAATAGCACTTTTTCATAGCATAGTGCAGAAGTAAAAACCTTTATTCCATGCCATCGACTTGACGTTTAACTAACTCCCTAAATTGACGAAGGCCAAATGTATCATATGGTAGGAAGTAATTATACTTGTAATCTTGTCTTTCTTTCTGCAATTCCCAAACTTTCTGTTCCAATGCTCGTACTTTCATGAGTTGAGTTTCTTCATAAATAGCTGCAAGGTTCTTTTCGTAATCTTTTTGAGGATTATCAAAGAAATTACGAGCCATCCATCTTGAAATAGGGTGCTGTAAAAATTGTAATTATTATTTAGCAATCAACAATAATGTTTTTCAATTCTAGGACTTGTAAAAATTACCCTGAAATATTCCCAATACTTAGGTTCATAACCTTCAGGAGTTTTGGTAAGGGTTGCTGGTCCAACAAAAACATTAGCATAAGTGATGAGAAGGGTAATAGGTATTCCAGCTACCATGAGATAAAAGTGTATGGTATCTTTTGTTTTATGCCATTGCCACCTTGATGCAGTAATAACCATACTCCCCGAATGACAAACCTGAGTGGGATTGATGCCTAAAAATATGAACAAATGGATGTGTTACAATCATAAGTATTTAATTATAACAAAGTTTAACTAAATTAATCATAAATAAACAATGAATAAGTAATTTAATGGTAGGTTCATAGTAGTTTAAAGAGTTGCGTAATTCAGGACAGTGTAAAAACGACTTTTATATAAAAAATAGTTCTATAGCAGACGAAAAATAATAATGTATAATTTACCATTTTTAGCAGTAATCTTGGGCAAGAGAAAACGAATTTTATTCATATTTTGGGTCGGTGATCGAATAAAACTGCTCCACACCATGATTGAATTGTTTTTACACAAGCACTTATTATGAACAAACAAACTTATCGTCGCAAAAACCCTCTTAACCTTTCACATATGAAAACTCAAGACGTTGTGAGTTGTTATGTATGCGTTTATTTTCTTTTTACTTGAACCGTGAAAGTTGTGAGTGAGACGATACAAATACGTCTCAAGCGACTAAGCCTGCGAATTAATTATAGTCGAAAATATAAAAAAAATAGAACTGTTGTACTAAGAAAATGTAGCTGACAGATTCTTTGAGCTACGAACTCCAATTGTCAGGGGGCGACATTGTCGGTATCAAGTGTGCAAAATATGAACTCGCGCTCGGGCCGGGTCGGATTCCGTAATTGTGTCGCGCACATGCTTATTTACGAATACAATGTTGCGCTTTCGAGTTATATGGCAGTATGTAACGTAATGGACAAACACAAACACTATAATACTTACCACTGGTGCAGACGATTGCGAAGCTTTTGAATACCTAATTTTTTACTTTTAAGACGATTATCTGTAATTCGATTTTTGACAATTGAAAATAGTATTTCGAACGATACAACATATATTTCACCAAATAATTAAAAAGTATATTCTTGTTTACTAAAAAATACTTCAAACTGTAGACAGGAACTAAAAATTTAAATAAACTTAAAATATATATTGTCAAATGACAATTATATAATTTATCAATTAAATTTAAAGTATTTTTAATACAAAATTAACTTAAGTATTCAAGTTGTGAAAATTTGTCCTTTTTATACTGCTCTTGCTTCACAATTTTGTTTTGCAACATGTGGTTTCAAAAGCTGCTCAGCACAGAGCTTCCCTTGAAAGGAAGCAAAGGTAAAGAAAAATGTTTAATATTGCAATACAATGTTTTTTATATTCAATAAAATTTATATGTATATACATATACATACACATATATACGTGATTTTTTATGTATATATAACGTAATTTTCACAGTAATGCGACAACTGATAGACTTATTGTTACATTTTTATTTTTTAGAGCCACTACTAACTTTTCAAAATATCAAGAAGTTATACATTCAATCAATTATTCAAGCTCAAAAACTTAACAGACCAAGCCTTTTAAATAAATACTTTATAAAATGAGGATGTTAAAAGATTTTTTGGGTAGATCATCGATATGCACAACGAAAAAATTTCTGTTTTCTTAACAACTACCAGTAAGTATATTTCTTACAATTACAAATAATCTGTGTATTTACATGGTTGGTAAACAAGGTATTGTTAATGGACCGAATGTAAAAATACTTTATGTAGAAAAACAATTTTCTTAACAACTTTTTAAAAAACATGAAAATGCAATGATTCAATTATAAATTTGTAATCCATCTAACTTGAAAAACTAAACTACGCTTTTGTTATTAAGCTCTCGCACAGTAATAGTGTATTATGTCACAGGAGCAGAAATGCTGTGCTAAATAAAATCGCGGAACGAGACGAAAATCTTACCTTCCATCAATCGCCAAAATTACATACTTGTACTTATTGCATAATGCACAACTTTATTATTTTTATACTGAACCATAAAATACAATATTTTTTAAATAATAAAACATCCGAGTTAATTATCTTTATTATGTAGGATAAAGATATAAATGTTGTCACGTTGTTTTTTTAACTCAAGTAAATAATTAGGAATCTGAGGCTTCTTTATATTTTAGGAGCAATATTTTAAATTTTGGTACTTGGCACTTGATAATAAAAACTAATGAAAAGTTTGTCATGAAAGTCAAATAGATTTTAATTTGAAAACTCTTGACATTAGTTTGACTGAAAATAGAAAATATAGAATTCCAACTGAATTCATGAAAATTATTAACGATTTTAATAAAATTAAGGAATAGATCTGTGAAGCCTCTTATAAAATGTATTTAAATATACTTTTAGTATATCAATTGGAGAATTAAAATTTTTTTGAATGGCACAAAGCAGTAATTAAAAGTGATTAATTTCAACTGACAGTTAGAATTGAATGTAACTGTAAATAAACAAGTCAAAATCGCAAATTAAAATTAATTATATACAATATATGACTTGCCATAATTACTTGCGCATTTTTCGTTTCACACATCATTGTTTCTCACTAACTACAAGGTAAAAAAAGAAATGCTTCATAGAATTCCATAATGTGTTTTGCGCTTTGTGTATCCATTCCAAATCCTGACTAGCACAAGTAAGTCTATATTGTATGCTTTACTTTTTCACTTTTTCTAAACAATTTTTGCTCCAATTTTAACTCGATTTTCTGTTTCAAATTGAAATAATTATTATGCATAACATACTTCATGTACATTATATAAAATACATTTTTTTAATATATAAAATGAAAAAAATAACCAATAGATTGATACTTTTCATGAAATGATTAACACGCAGCACATAAACATGAGTTACACACAAACAATACAACAATGTGATATACTTTAATGGTTTTTTATTTATTTGATTAGCAATAAAAATTTAAAACTTGTTGAGTGCAGTTTTTAATTAATATGATCGACAAGAATAAATAAAAAAAACTTTTGATTAATTCGTGCGTATGTAATTATTGTTATAAGTACTACACGATTCCATCTTTTTTAAATTTATAAAATTTATATTTTCTAAATGTTGCTTTGACACGTCATAAGATGATATTCGTAAGCGATTAATACAAATGAATCTTCTTTATTGCTTTTGAATGTATACAATACTTAAGCACCGATTGATCAAAACAGAATGCGCTCAAAGTTGATATAAAAATCCACAAATTAACATATATATATGTACAAACAATTGTTCATTGAGAACAAAAAAACAATGATCAAAGCGAATGCTTACAAGTTGTAAGACCAAAAATGACCACCACCAGTAACATTAGATAAATATAGGAAGCTCAAAAGTTTTCCAATTTAAACTCACGTCAAAAGTTTTTGAATTACAATTTGGCATTTGCTACTGCAAACCGAATAAACAAAAATTAGTTGTAGATCTATTGTTATCAAAGTAGCAGTAAGCAAACTAATTAGAGTTTCATATTCCATGAGTAAAAAACCAAGACTCAGACACGCTCATTTACTGAAAGTGCAAATATCTTTGCCAAACGATAATTTGTGTAAATTCTTTCACGATATCTAATCTAAAGGTTGAAACGATCCTGCTGGAATTTCGACAACCAGTCATTTAGAATTAAATTAATTTTTCACACTACCACTGCGTGGACTTGCAGGTTGACTGTTAGGTTGTTGTGCTCTTTGAATGTAAATGTTTAGTAACTTCAGTTTGCTACCATAAAGAGAGCTCAAGTAGGGTTTAAGAGCATCTTCGCCTACAGCTGCATGGATTGCTACCATACAAAATACTGCACTCTTTCTAACTGTTGATTCTGCGTCATCATAAGCCTAAAAGAATTACACGTCAATTTTAATACTAATCAGTATGCAATAGATTGTTGTACATTAAATTCGAATGTTGAAAATATTATTATATCCTTATTTCAATTTTAAAATAGCTAGCTTTACTTTTTTTCTATAATAACATACACCATTAAAAAAAACGTGTTTCATTACACGGTAGGATTCATCTACTACTTAAAATTACTTGAAGATAATAAGATTGTCTGCTTTTTCATCCTTGCAAAATTTACGATCGAAAAATCTTTTTAAAGTTATTTTTCTGGTTTATTAAATTTTTAGAAAATTACTTACCGTTAATAAACCCGGCATAACTTTTTCCAGATGCGGTTCAATTGCTTTACGTCCATAATGCTCAACTACTTTGTGCAACATTTTGATAGCTCCCATATTCTGCGGGTACGATTCTGTAGTCATCATTGAAGTAGCGAATCTTATTGTTTGCTCGGGTGGTAAAATTACAGCTACTGTCGCTGCGCATTTTTCAGCCATTCTTAGAACCTGTTTAAATAATTTTAATTCAGTATAGAATTTAGTGTGTGATGATAAAAAAAAAAAAAATTAAAATGAGTGGTGCTATCTACTAATAAAAAGCTTGACTGGCTCAAAAGCCTTAATTTAAAAGCAAATATTAAACAGATTATTTTCAAAACACAATTTATAAAAAAGCAGAAGAAAGTAGATTTTATTCAAACAAAAAAAAACATCTACAATCAAGAGCAAGCAAAAAATTAAATGAATCAATTGTCAAACCGAACTAAATTCAAGTCCATGAACGGCAATGTATTCTTACAGTTATAAGATTGCTGTAATAAATCAACTAATCAATTAGTGATATTTTTCAAAATCAAATTTGAGTGGACGGCTTCTATGATTTCATAGATAAATGAAAGCGCAACGCAAAGATACAACACCCAATATACCTCAAGATATTTTACCGTAGTTCTACTGCTGTTACCGCCACTATTCGATTCACTTTTTTGATCATCAAACTTATGAGCTCGAACTACTTTCAGTACTAGTAACTCAGCATAAAAAGAAAAGCTATCAGCTAATTCAGGACATTTCAACATGTCAATAAGACATTGTAGTACTTCAATTTGCATTTCTTTATTTTCACTTGCTAAACTTCCGATTAAGGTTTTCAGCAGTTTTCTGAAAGTAAATAAATCACATGTCAAACTTGGTACTTTCTAATAAAAATTAAAATTTTGAATGAATTCAACTTAAAACCTATAACTTGCCTGAAGTGTTGTTTTATATATAGAGCATCGCCATCTCGCACAAACAATTGAAATTCTTGTAACGCAGCTACTTTTTCAGAAATTTGTGATTCTTCTGCCTGCAGAATTTTTAATGTGTTGTCTAAAACTTCTGGCCCTCTTATTGAGTCTGGCACAGACCCGTGAGCTTTATAACCATTATTTTCTTGGGGTAGTATGAGATCTCCAGCAATTGTATCTGTTGAACCGTTAACTGCGACATTTGTAGTAACCTTTCCACGCTGTGTTGGTGATGAAACTGAAGAGGATCGTCCCTACAAGATTTAATAAAAGATAACATTTATGTAAAATTTTTTTAATGTTTTACATTTTCAAATAAGTTTCCCCATGATAAGTACACACAAGGATTCAATGATTGACCCGAAATATTAAATCCAATTTTTCAAATTAGTTACTAAAGATCAATTTTACGTTTTTTATTATTTTATCAAAATAATATATCTTACAGAATTAGACAGCGTCAGACCTTCCAGCCTTTCTTCAACATCAGCCATGTTGCTTATTCCACTGTCCTTACTCGTAGTTGCTTTTTCTAAACGTTCGAAACCATAATTCTGAATTTCTGCTGTGGTACGACGCAAAGACCTGTATACTTCTTCGGGATTTAAACTGTCATCTGCATTTTCACTATCTGGTTTAAGTTTTATTCGGGCTGGTGAATGAGGTATTCTTGGCGGTGGAGTTCCGGGGGAAGCAGGTGTACTTGTAGTAGATCTTTTCAGGCGACTTTGGATTAGCGGCAGCGCAGTTTCCTAATAATTTATTTAGTCAGCATTGTTATATTCAATTTATAATTAATTGAAAAAATTAATTTACTTAAAAATTTAATAACGACCTGATAATATTTAGGCAGGGACGAGAGAATCATTGTGAATTGCGATAAATTTAAATTATAGAGCGATATAACGGCATTTTGAGCGTGTCTTCTGACATCTTGACTTTTAACATCGTTAGTCCAATCTAACAGCTTTACGACGCCTGGGGTGGCAGAATGATTTAAAGCGGACGGTTCAGCAATTTCAGTTATTTGCGTGATGAACGTCAATGTAGCAACTTTGACACGAGAGTTTGGAGTTTGAGTAGGATTTGTTAAAAACCTCATTACTGCGGGTAAAAGTTGTTCTCCAGGAAAACAATCTCTCACAACTTCTAGGGTCTTGTAAATTTTAGTTTGTATCGAACCAAGTAGATCTGTTCCTAACTTATTTAGTAATCGTGTGCATAGTATATACAACCAATCTCCAAGATCTTCACAATGCGTTTGAATTAATTCATTCAATGTATCGAGAAACAAACTAAACACTTTTGTATGAGAATCCATAAACATTTTTGCAAATATATCTGTGATTTTGCGTAACTCCGTCGCATTCAATGTGTAACCATTGGCTAAAAAGTGTTGTAATCCCAGTAAACCTTCTTTTCGATCAGCCCAATGTTTATGACTACAGTTTTCAATAATTTCTTTAATATCCTGCAAATTGTATAATTTATTACTAAATTATTCAATTTTAAATAAAAGCGATTATCAGCGTTAATGAATCAAGAATTATGAGACCAAAGTCATATTATTAACTACACAATTTTCATACGAAAAAATGTATACATTAGTTACTACAAGAATTTTTATTATTTGGATGAAAACAAAGGGATAGGATAAAGTAATTGTTAACATTTATCAATAGAGTTTTTGATATTAGTAGTACATGAAATTTATTCATGCGTGTAAAAAATGTAGCTGGTGGTTTGATGAAGAGAACTCTAAAGAATAATAAATTCAAGTAGACGCCAAAGCTAGTTTTAGAGTGAAAATTTTCAAAAGCATCCCGGTAAAATTAACGGACCCCACTTTCGAATCGATTTAAAAATATTCATGTGGAAAACTATGAAAAAAACGTTTGAAAAATTTCATACTAGCTTCGGAACTTCCTTATTAATGAATATGTTGAAATGAAGATATAATTCTTAATAAACACACCTTAGGGTTCGATTGATCCCACAGATCCCGACAAAGTCTTTGTTGGGAACCACTCCACGAGAATGACTAATAAATTCAATAAAAAAATTATGCTTAAATAAATAGGTTCATCAAAATAAATGAAATGAATTAAACGAAATATGATGGAAAAATTAGTAAAACCAATTAAAATATTCATCGAAAATAAATTGAATCGGTAAATTTGTAACTAAATATTTTTTGTTTGTATCTTATGCAACGTTTAAAGTATAATGATCTTTTATTATTTGATAATAATTAATTGCATAGTGTAAAAATACATTCACAACGGTTTTTGAATAAGGGTGTTAGAACAAAAAGTAGGAAGTTAATTAGAACTTTGGGCTTGCAACTTGCATAATAATAAAACATAATATTTTTCCGAAAGAAACTTCAGATAAAATAATAATAATGCGCCGTTTATTACCGAGCTATATATTGAAATCGAAAATACCTGCCTGAATAAATTAATTTTTATCGCGTTTATGATCAAATAACAAACTGATTGATATTCAATTTATAATCAGTTATTGACGCATAGGGGGGGAATAGGGCAGTGATCTCGGGCCACCTAGATAAACTTGATACTGCCAAATAATGTCTTTAAGTGGGTATGGTACCATTTCATCACAAATAATGCACAATATGTAAATTTGGCTATTTTTAAAGATAAAATATTAATAAATATATACATACATCACTGGGTCTGCGAAAGCTATCGTGACTGCGCTCTGAACAAATGCTGCTAGTTTCACTGTCATCGCTATGGTCTCCTTTACCTTTTGGAGTTCTTGTATAGCTATCAATACTATCAAACGTAAGAGCATCTGCTAGAGCAGATTCTGCTTCTCGCGACTGTTGAAGCATTTTTTGCGCCATCACACATCGTGAAGGTGGTCTATCTGATGGTGACATGTGTATGTTTCTACTCCTATAATGAATTATTTTGTAAATTTTAATTATCTAAGAAATAAATAAGATAAGTTTCTATCTGAATAAAAACAGGACTAGTACCCCCATATTTCACTCAATATTTTTGATTAATTTACTATGTAAAATGATTAATCACTATAGTTTTTTAATTATTCTATACATCTATCCAACATTTTACATTTAAGTAGATATAAAAGCAAAACTAAATTGAAAATCTTCATAAGTCTTGTAAACGAATTTGAAAATGTTATATTTGTTTTAATGTCTCCTTAATATCAGAGGATAACAAAACTTTTGAATTATTTCATTAAATATATAAAATGAGACATTTAATAGAAAAAAAATTTACCTAATTTTTCCAAAACTGTTTCTATCATAACCAAAGCGCTGAGGACTTGGTTCTCGACTGTTGCCAGAACTCCGCATTCCATGATCTGTTAATACTTTTGATCTCGGAATAAGAGATTCTCCCGGACTGTCTCTGTTGTAAGTTGCGTAGCTTAAACGTGAAGAGGGTGAACCTGACCTGCTGCTTGCTACATGATAAAAAAAATTGATTTCGGTTATTGTATCCACAAATCTGCACATAACATGTTAAATATAAAATCTTACGCTGTGATTGCGAAACACCAGAGATTCGCGTTCTCGTGCGAGCAATCCTTTCTGGACTGGCTATTGAACTCGCTTCCGGTGATTTATTAGGTCGAGCTAAAACGAAAATAAAAATTTTTTTTTTCGTGATTTGAGTTGATAAAGTGAAAATAAGAAAGGGATGAACAGTAACATCTATACTTACGAAGGGTGACTTTTTGTCTATTCAAGTAGGCATACTTCATTCGTGCATTAGCTCTTTGAGCAGCTTGAAGATCTATAGCGCTTGTAGATCGAACACCGGGTGAAACTCGACCTAGATTATAAATATTTTAAATTAGTACTTTTATATGATGAAAAATGATTCAAAAGTGATTCGTATAAAAATAAATTAACTAATGCTACACTTAAACCTTATAAACATAAGTAGTATGAATTAGCAATTAATTTAATTACACGAAATTTAATTTTAACAGTAAATTCAAATAAAAGATTCGATTATTTGTCGTTTTTATACAAAATGTATTAATAATTAACTAGAAACCGTGCGAGTAAAACGCTAACATATAAAATAATGCAATAAAGTAATAGAATAAAATTATTTTGTTGACTCGATTGGCAAAAATTCAGAGGATTAAAAATTACAGTTATTATCAGTAGGTTTTTGGAGAATTTTGATTCCTGATTGCTGATAAGATCGTGGTAATGACGGAGTACGCTTAAGGAGACCATGAGATGAATCCTGAGAATGATGCAAGTTTTCTGTGCTACCTTCAAATGTGCAATGAAATTTCGAATCACATAAAGCAGCATGGAAAAAAGGGAATTCGCTGACTATTAAATGACAGAATGGCTTAATATATTTTATTTGATTAAAACGAATTTCACCTAATAGTTTTAAAACAAAAAGCATAAATATTTATATGTAAAGTTATGGTAAGAATCAAAACTTCATATGAATTTTCAAATGAAAACATTATAATTTAAAATATTGATTAACGAGTATTTTGCATGAATTAAGGAGGAATATTATTGGCCTTTACGTCGTAAAAATATATGATAACTTCATTAATTTAAAAAAGTGTAAAATAAATGCAGACCTGTATTACTTATTACTGGTCGAGGTACACGAGGACTAATGTTGGTTGATTTTGTCACGAAATTAAGACTATTTATGCTGCCACTGTTACTGAGAGACATGAGCGATCGTTTGTAAGTTGCATCTAGGCTATTTAAAAGAGCTTCAGCTTGTTCAGGAAAATGTTCTTTAAATGCCCAGTACGACCTAAAAAATAAAATAAACATACATAAATAATAGTTCAAAAGAGAAGGTAGAAATGATTTTCTTACTTTCGCGCGAAAGCTCTAGCTTCAGAATCAGAATCAGCCATGCCTTTTTTTATTGCATCTTGTAATATGCCAACGTGCTTTTGCAATAAAGACGTTTGCCATGATGTTAAAATTAAATGTAAATATTCGCAGGTTGCTCGTCTTATATCCTTACTCTTGTTGTTTAATGATGTTACAATGATAGGAATAAAACGGCTACTATAGGTACTTTGAAGTATAAATCGTAACGCTACTGAACCTGCGGTTGCTACGACCTGGAAGAAAATGACATTAAAGTAGTTTTGTTTTTGTTACTTTACTATCCGCATTAAAACTCATTTTTACCTTTGCACTATTTTGAATGAGATTCATAAGAGTTGGTAGAACAGCTTCTCCAAAAGATGCGAATTTATTTTTAAGCTGTGTACTAAGATAAGCTAAAGTAATGCAAACTTCTCGGACTACTTGTGACCGCAGATCCGTACAAGCAATTTCAAATGCTCTCTGCAGATCTTTTAAACAAGGAAAAAAAGAGTCATAGCTCATACCACCTGCGATTATAACACCTCGCAATTTTTTCATCTATTAAAAAAAGTCAAAAATGTTTTGATAAGTATTAAAATAAAAAAATTGGAAAATAATTTTTCAATTCATTTCTTAAAAAAACTAAATAAAATATGGTACTACTAATTCTTACGTACACTATCAGTCCTTTGTTTCCAATCTTTCTTGTCATCACCGACAATATCTTTGATGTTTCTCATATGATCTTCAAGATCTTTATTCGTAAATATATTGACCGTGGGCACATCTTCAAAAGCCATTATGAATGTTTCTTCATCAACAGCCCCAGCTTGACCTGGCAATAAATGTAATTGTTATAAAGAATAATAAGAAGTAATATTAAAATCTTCTATAGAAAGTATAATTCACCACAGCTACTCATTCTGTCAAGAATTACAATAAAAATTTGAGTATGAAAATCTTATCACGTATTTTAGGCAACTTTTCTAGAATATTTAAGTTTTAAATCATTTTTTTTCAAAAAATAAGAATTTTTCCGTAAGTAGTACATAAGTTGATTGAAAAACTGATGAATGAACTATTTTTTTGGAGCACCCACTTAAAATAATTGCGTAACCTTTGGACAATATTCATTTATTGAGATACTGGAAAAAATGTTTGAAATTATGGTATTCTAAAACTGCGAATTAAAATAAACTAAAACTTTGTAATTTTACTTGGATAATTTTGATGACTTGAATTTTAATAAAATTTGAAACAAGTGTAAAAATACTTGGAACTGAAGATAACTTCTGTAATAAGTTTTGTTATAATAAAAATGTCAACACTAGACCTAGCATAATTTTTCAATATTATTATGTTAACATTTATAAAAGTAATAGTAAAGTAGAGATTTTCAAGTTAGATTGTGTAAATATATATCAAGTACAATAATCATGCAGGTTTCTAAAAAGCATACCTTTTGAGAAGAGTAACATTAGCTGAGTCGATTTGCTCCGACCATTATGTGACTCAACTTTCTTCAAGTGCTTACTTATTTTTATTTAAAGGATCAGTGATTTTGTACGAATTTTAACTAAATAAATAAATATTACCTATCAATATCAAACGGCGCAATGAATTGTTTTATTAATTAGATGCATAATAGTTCAAAAAGATAAAATTTCACGGTTCTGAAATTGGCGAATGATTATAGGCCTAATATCATTTATCAATTTAGTAATTTATCAGAACTAAAAATAAATTGCCAAGTAATGGAAAGAGCAAATATGCTAAATTTTTAAGATGTTTTTGGCATTTTTAATCTTTAAAATCAAAGACAAATTACCTTCATGAGCACGAAAATAGATATACTTATGTCTTGGTTTTATGAATGGATTTGTGCACTTCAACTAGTAAAATTATTTGTTTTTAACATATCTTTAGAATAAAATACATTCGATTATCGAGAATTCTTGAGAATTTTGATCTCGACATCTATAAATAGATAAAAAATCATATTTTCTTACAATTTTGAAATTTCTGCAAAACCCCTAACTGAACTCCTAAATTATTTAGAATCCTCTAATATTGAAATTTATATAGCCATTTTAATAGCAACTCGCATTGACTTTTATCATATGTTGCCAATAAGATTGCTAGACTGTAAAAAGCTTGAATACCTGAAACCGTCGGTGTTTTAAAAGATGGAATTCTTTTGCATGAAGATCCTCTAGGAATGGCCATTGAGTTCGAACTGACACTTTGAGCTGTGAATATCATGCAATTGAAAGCTAAGAGTTAGCAAGCTTCTGTTAGTGTAGAGCATATCAAAAGTGTTGAACACTATGTTTTTTTTATTTTCATATAAATCAGCGATGTTATTACGTTGTTTTACCGAATGAATAAGTGATTTAAAAAATGCAAAAATTGCAGCGTAAAAAAATGAAAAAAAAAAAAAAAAGGCATTAAATAAGTTAATTCTATAATTAATAATCTATTATGAACATAATGATCATGCAAGGATTTACAATTTTATAATTGTTACCGCTTTAAATTTTACAAACATCAAAATATTTTAACAACAAAAGTTCACATAGATTTAGTCTAACACAAATTTTTTTTACTCATGAAAAATAGAAGCACAAAAAAATTTAATAAATTTTATAGATAGTAAAGCACATATGTAAGTTAGTAATACCTTGAGGCACCGATGAAGGTTTGGCAGGGCCAAATTGGCTTTTCTTTTGTAACAAACTTTGTGTTCGTTTCACTAAGGCTGACTTTGTCTAAAAGAATTCATAAATGATAATTAAAACTTTAGAAAAAATATAAAATTTTAATTTTCACAGTAAAAAATATACTCACTACTCTATCGGGTTCGTCAGGTTCTTTACCAACTGCAATCAAAACACGAAAAAATTTGATTATTTTTGTCCATATTATTAACTGTTTTGTTGAGCCTAATATACATTAAAATTTTGAAAATAACTGAAACTAGTAACTTTAGAATCTTTTCAAAACAATATCATCCACTAAGACTTCATTAAATCACTTATAATAATTACATATTTTGTTAAAAAATTTCCTTCCATTTGTATAAAAAAATAAAATAAAAAAGAAGTAAAAAAAATTATTGAATTAATGAATGTCAAACAAGTACATAAAAAAACATTAATTCAAAATTTAAAAAGTATAAATTACTAGATGAAAATTTATATGGTACATAAAGACAGTTGAAATGAAATACGCTACAACATTTAGACATGATTTCTGTGTAAATTACTCTAAAAGCATTTACAATAAATGCATTTTTGAACGAATAAAAATGTTATAAATCAAACATTACCATCAGCAGAGCGCGCTTGAGGCAACATATCACCGGATGCACGTAACTGATCGAACTTCTCCACTAATAGCGCTAATCTGAAATTTTTTAATTTTTTTTCATTTCTATTATAATTTATATATAAAAAAAAATCAAGATATTTATTTATCATAAATGGATCCTTATAAAATAAATCCAAATAACTGTTACTAATTTAAGAATACACGAAAGTAGAAGAAATATTGTTAATAAAATTTCAATTAAAAAATCAAATTTTCAATCTCATTTTTTAAAACTATTACGAAGTATTTCTCTAAAAAACTCTGTATCCCAAAGAATTTAAAAATGAAGATCACCATAAAGCTTTCTGGAGAAATATTCAGTAGAACTTTCGGAAAACAACAATGAAACTTTTATTTTTGAGCTGTTCTTATCATCCCCTTAGTATTTCAATTTTTTCTGAAAACTCACTTTGCTTGTGGTACATTGTGCTTTCTCTGTAAATCTACTCGCAACCTGTCCCCAACATGTCGATAGATATCCGTTAAAGTGTTCATAGCTGTCTCTCTAACTTTCTCGGTTGGATCAGACAACAGTTTAACAATGCTGGGAATAGCACCAGAAAGAGCCATTTCGTCGGCACCGTGTCTATAATAGAAATAAATTTTCAATTAGTGATCTTCATTTAACTATAAATTAATTATGATCAATATGTGCTTAGTTTTGTTGTTGATATTCTTGAATGAACTTTTTCTAGGTAATAAATAACATATTACCATAAACTACAGAATCTTACAACTAGAAATCTGTGCATAAAAAACATGAAATATACATTATACATATAAAAAACATCGAAACTCACTCGTTTAGTGTCGTTGTTAAAAGGATTAGCGCTTCTTCCCGTAGCTTTGCGTTTTTGTGCGAAAATGATGGTTGAAGTTTGTCTAGTAAGTGTTGAGGAGACATGCTTCCCCTCTCTAAAATTTTCAAAAGCATAAGCTGCGCCTTTTCTCTCGTCGCATCTTTGTTGTCACCTTGATAAACAAAAGTTATTCCATAAATTAATCTTCTATTTATTTATTTATTTTCTTAAAAATAATTTGATGGAAAAAATGTCGGATTTTATCATTTTAAAACTGCGACGAAGTTTTCATTATAATAACAAAAAAACGTTGACATTCAATCGAAAATGAGATAAACTGTAATCCATGAAAATTAATAAAGCGATATCATTAACTGTACCTAGCCTGTCTATTGTTGGTTGAATAATAGTTGAAATGTACGGCCTGAAATCATGTCCCATTCGGTCCGCCAAGTATGTGAGTGCATCCAGACCATTTTGAACGACCTGAAAAAAAATTTGTTACACATTCAAATAAAAATACATTCAATAATATAACGCATTAATTACTTAAAAATAAGTTAAAAACATGTTTTCCAATCATACTCGATACATTTTAGTTTTTGATTATCATAAAGAGATTAAATTACGATAAATTACGAAAATCGTCAATTTTTAATACTGAAAAAATATTTTTAAGTTAAGATAAATTTCAAATTAAACTATAAAAATTCGAAGTAAAATATTCAGTATCTTTAAAATTCATCGTTCTAATCTGAATTGTGTTAAATTTTAACACAGGTACTTTATTTCCATAAAAAAAATTGTTAATTAGTTTAAATTATGGTAACAATTTTTTTTCAATTTTTAACTAACTCGGAAATCAAGAAAAAGATAACTTTCACTTTATTTTTAAAGTTATAAGAAGTAAATAAATAAAAAAACTATATTCATGAACATCAGAACTAATTTGAATGATGTAATGTGACAGAATTATTAGTCTTACATAATTTTAACTTTCAAGGTGAAATCTTAATCAACATTATTTAATGAAAGTAGTAAAACTGCATTTCGGGAAATGACGAATATGTTAGTAAAAATTGTATTAACCATTGACATATTTGCTCAAGGTAAAATGAAGTAAAAGAAAATTAATAAATAAAAGAGATTAAATCGAATAATCAAGTTGGTGACTTGGTGTGGGAGAAGCATCTAGCGTTTAATATATACTTGACGAGTGGGCGCTGCCGCGCCCTTTTGGTCAATGAGCATAACGTGTATTTAAAATAGTCACGAATAATAATAATGCAAATAATAAGTGCTATATTTTACAATGTAATGTACCAAGTTTGACAAAATAAAAAATATTTAAGTAAACCAGAATATTATTATTGTACATGAATTCTAGTTTTCGTAAAAAGGATCAAATGACATAAGAAGTTTGAATTAATTAAAAAAATTTTTTTTAATGATGACAAGCATATAAAGTGGTCCCATACCGGTTTCGTTTCAATAATAATTGTAAGTTTTATTTTTTTGGATTGGCTGCTAAAAGTTATACTTGGACAATCGAAGAAATATTGGTTTGACTATTTAACTAATAAATTATCCGAACCTTTTCATTAATAATTTCTCCTTGAAGAAAAAAAGAAATTAAATAATACTGTAATATTAAAAAAATTCACTCGCAAACTTTTATAAATGTTCATAAAATTTTTTTTAATTAAAAAAATATACATTCATACAAATGCAAAATGTATACGAATAAATCATAGTAAATCGCGAGAAATAATAAAGATGCAGATTTATGAAAGCGTATATTAATATTATAAGCAGCAAATCGACTTTGTCAGTATACGATGAATATCGTGCACAATGTACAGAAAATAAGAATTGTATCTACAAGTAGTTAATGAACTCATTGCTACCTTGATACTTTTTGTATTCATTGAGATGTTTAAATAATACATTCACAAATAAAATAATGTTTCATTATTATCATTGCACTACAGCAATTGATGTTTATAAAAGCTCAGTTTTCTTTCCCTAATGGTTTTCACACATATTGACTATCTGATTTTGTTTTATCATGCATTAGAATACACTAAAAATAAAGATCAAAGATTATAGGTTTATATAAGAATAAATTTCAAAAAACACCATCTTAATCTTAAATAAAATTTAGATGCAAGGAAAACTTTTTCTAAGAAATAATAAGTTAAAAGATTTAACAAAAAATTTCAGCATGGTATATATATATGTCATGAACGACTATTTTAGTTTAATAATTGATAATAAAATCATGACATTGAAAATTTTAAATTAAATTTTTTGCTAAATAAAAAATTGTTAATAATATTTGATATAAATAAGTTTCCAAATTCTGCAAAGTATGGTATAGGTTTCAGTTAATGAAAGTCATAAATAGTTTGAATCTACTGCTTGAATTGATTTGATTATTTGGAAAAAAGGATTATAAAGAGATCCTCATGAGTTGAATTATATAGAATTACTGAGGTCTAATGTATTTGATTCAAAATTACTATCTGAATATTCATTAAAAATATGTTATTATAGATAACTATTAGATGTGAAAATATACTTTTTATATAATAACATGATTTTTATGAATAACAGTTTTATTCAAAAGTATCGGTCAGTTGTTTAAATGAATAAAAAATTTAAATTGAGCAAAAATACAAAATAATTTTCATTATCAACGAAACCACACAATATTAATCACAAATACACAAATAGTATTTGAGAACATAATATAATTATGTTACACTGATTTTCAAGAAAATTTCATAATCATTTTAGGTAGGATGCAGAGGCATAAGTAATATTTTGTTTATATTTACTTGATGCAGAGAATAAAATACTAATCTTACCTTAGGATTGCTGCTATTGAGCCAAGGCACAAGATTGTCTATAAAAAGGCCTATATCTTGGCATTCAATACTTTTAAATGGATCTGCTAGAAAATTCAGAAGTTGAACACCAACTTGAAGCTTTTTCTTGATATCTGTAGTTGACAAAAGTGGCATAAAGCCATCCATGTCTCTGGGATTGACGGCCATGACTTGGAGTGGCTAATCGACAGATGATTAGGTCATGAAAATAGCAAGTTTGAAGCAACTCGAGAACCTACGACAAATTACATGAAATTAATTGACACAAGAATTTGCAAGAACAATATTCGTAACTAATTCTTGAAAAGTATAAATTAAAAAAATTACCTGCTAGCGTAGTTACTCGATGCTTTTCTCGATTCTCACAGGATTAATTAAATAAAATAAGTCACTTTAAATGAACTACAGATTTGACAAACTTCTTTCTATTTACTTCAATCAATGTCTGATTTCATAGTTATCACTCTTCGTTTTTGCACTCAATGCGACACTATTCTCCACTTCCGCAATATTTAGTTCCTGAAGTAAAATATTTTGGTATTGAAAATTGTTTGATAGTATTTATTTACACTGTTATGAACATTGATTGTAGATCATTTATTCGGTGCTAAAACAATTAGAATACAAATTCTATAACTAGTAACTAACATTCACAGAGTAATGGTGTACCTTTTAACACAACTATTTTCACCATACGCGACAGATAAAGAATAAGAACACTGGGAATAATAACGGAGAGCGGTATCGAGAAAAGCAAACAGCCGCCTTAAATTTGCACTAGCCGAGCCTCTTTGGGTCGAGGTCTGAGGTTTCGACTCTCAATAGGTCTGTTCACTGTCTTGTTTTTATTTACGAGAATTAGGATGACGCTATAAAACAGCCACGATTGATCCTTAGTTATCCTTAAGAGGCTAACTTTCGGTGTTGATAATCGAGCTTTGAGCGTGATTCGAATCAACTTTCGTACATATATAGCACAGAATACATATCACTAAAAGCTGCTGCTGATTGCTGCCGAATATGCCAATAGATGCTACAAGCAGCAACGGCCATTTTGTCTCTCAACCCACACTTCGTAGTCCCGAGGCTGTATAATAATATGGGCTTCACACACTGTTGTGCGGTCTCTGTCAGTTGTCACTGTTACTATTTTGCTCGCAGATGCGCGCGCGATTCCAACATAGAGATTTATTTAAACAATTAGCTGAACAAAACACTGTCACCTGTTGGCCGAATCATGTATTGTCTTTCGGATAATTGCTGACCGTCATCTCATAAACGCATCATCATATAAGGTATATTTTCAGTTTTATTTTTGTTTCAGAGTTATTAATCGTAAAGATAGTTCTTAGTATCATCGAATGTCATTAATTATCGTACCTATGCCGAGACGTAAATTGGTTTCCATATGATAATAACCGCAATTAAATAGTTCGCTTGGAATTCGAGCCTCTTATAAGTTGAAAAAAGGACTGCTAATTTTTTACGCGGGAACCTAAATTTTCGCGAGCGGCTAAAAAACATATAATTTCAATAAGTAATTTTTTCCGATGTAAACCTTTACTGCGGCGCTCGCTTTTGGCATGCAGTCCCTTCCCCTGTTTCTTTGAATGTTTATAGAGTATATCCTCACTCGTTGCGTTAAAGTTATTTCAAAACGAGAGCATAGGTATGTGCAATTTCATAAGGGATTCGTTTGCAGTCCAACTGTGCCAAGGATCGCAAAGACCTGCGTAGAAAATTACGTTGCCGATCATTCGTTTCGTATCACATCTGAGATTTCTCGATCATTACACAAATCTTTAAATGTACATTCACATAAAAATGCTGCTAAAATAATAAATTAAATTTTTTACCATTGTGAGAGAAGTGAGTTTTTATTAATCATTAAATTAAAGATAAGTATTTATAAAAATAAAGGATTTCCATAGTCCGTATAAAAATTTGAATTTGTTGTAAAATTTTGTGACACTGTTGAACATCCAAAATTTTTTAATTCTTAATACTAGAATAAACATTCTATATTTATTCTTGCATCAATGATTTTTTTGGCGAAATGAAAATATAAACATCATTCCACGTATAGCTATCTTTAGTGTATCGATGATATTCACTAACACTTGTAAAACTAAAATATTTAAATCTTCATGCGATATACCGATTTTTGATTATTCATTTTTCTATCGTTTTCCACGAGAATACAAACATTTTTTAAAGTAAAGCTTCTTATATATAGATACTTGTAAAGTGTGAATAAGTTTACAACACACATAATACTAATCACGGATCGATTTCTTATACTTACGTGACTTAAATTTTTATTTATGACTTTTTAAGTAACAACATAGTTTTCCAAATGCACATATGTCTCATGAAGTTGAAAATATTTATCAAAAAATAATTACCGTAACCAACATTGAATAAATATCCATTTTAAAAGTATCATTATCATTTTTCAAAAAATAAATATTTTCATTTCATTCCATTCATCCAAATTTATTTGAAAAAAATTTTATTGCAAATTATTGAATGTAATTTTCAAAAGTTTCGATTATCTCAAACATTTTTTTACACGCTATACTCTTTCATACTCACAATCAGTTGAATTCGCCTGTACACCCGCCGATTACAATTTTCGAACATCGTGAATGAGCCAGTACTAAATTATGTAGTTATCCATACATATTTTACTAATTTTTGCAAATATCGGTATATTTTATTGAACGTTTCTGCCCTATAGTCTAAAGCTATATATATGTTTAATACTATGAAATATTTTTATTCATAAAATTTAATTACCGAAAACATTAAAGAGATACCGAAACTCGGACAAAATGCTAATTTTGATTCACGATTTCTCAGATTTCTATTTGATATTTCTGGAAAAATCTGCATGAATGTCCAGAAAACAACAAAATAAAAAACTCCATGAAGATTTTTCAGAAAACATATAGGTGAAATCTCAAAAAATTCATTAGAAAATTTTCATTTTGGCTTCAGTATCTTCTAATTGATAAATCATCATAATAAAATTTTGTTCCTAGCAGACAATAATTTCACCGAATTCTTCTGACAGCTCTCTTTATGCATGTGTATATCTCCGAAAGAAGAAGTAATTGCCAAATGCCATGCCATGTTCTGCCATAGTTTAAATTCATTTCGTTCGAACCAGAGGCGTATAAGCTCCAAATGTATCAATCGTACAAAAAAGGATCGAAGAGTCGTCGTGACCGGCATGGGTGTTGTGTCTCCTCTTGGAATCGGAGTTCAGAATGCATGGAATCAACTTCTTAATGGAGCCTGTGGAATTGTAGAGCTCAAAAGTCCTGATTATGAAAAACTTCCTTGCAGAATAGGTCTCTTTAACATAAACAACTTTATTTACTTCCTTGAACCATTTATCAAAAATTACAGATTTTAACAAATATTTTTAGCTGCACTTGTCCCCCAAGGAAATGAGCTACTTAAAAGTAAATTCTCAACAAGTGAATTAAGAACCATGTGCCCAGCAACTGCTTATGCACTAATTGCTACTGAAGAGGCTCTTATTGATGCTAATTGGAAACCAAAAAATGAAGAAGATAAACGTGACACAGGAGTTACTGTTGGTATGGGCATGGTTGACCTAGTTGATGTTTGCAATATGCATGAACAGTTGAAAAAAGGCTACTCCAAAGTCAGTCCATTTTTTGTTCCACGAATCTTACCGAATATGGCTGCTGGTCATATAAGTATTAAATATGGATTTCAAGGACCCAATCACTCTGTTTCAACAGCTTGTGCAACAGGAGCCCATGCTATTGGTCAGTTAAAAATTACTCTTAAGTCACATTTATACATTGCTCAATTTTTTTGCAGGAGATGCATTTGGATTCATTCAATCTGGAGCAGCTAATGTCATAGTTTGTGGAGGAGCTGAAGCTTGTATCAGTCCTTTGTCAATTGCAGCTTTTTGTAGATTACGTGCTTTAAGTACTATAAAAAACAATTTACCTTTGGAGGCATCTAGACCATTTGATAAAGCTAGAGATGGTTTTGTCATGGGTGAAGGCGCAGCTATATTAATTTTAGAAGAGCTGACACATGCATTGAATAGGAATGCTCACATTTATGCAGAAATATTAGGATATGGACTATCTGGAGATGCAGCTCACTTAACTGCACCTTGTGAAGATGGAACTGGAGCATTATTAGCAATGGATAGGGCACTGAAAGATGCACAAATTGATAAGGATGAGATTACATATGTCAATGCTCATGCAACTTCAACACCTCTAGGTGATAAAATTGAATTGCAAGCCATACAATCATTATTTGGCAAATGCAGTAAAAATATTACCGTTTCAAGTACAAAAGGAGCTCATGGACATTTATTAGGAGCATCAGGAAATCTTGAAAGTGTTTTCACTATATTAGCATTGAAAAATGGTATAATACCACCTACTATTAATTTAAATAACGTAGATGGAAACACAGATTTACAGTTTGTTCCTAATGTAAAACAAAGTTGGTCCACTCTTTCACGTCGAATAGCACTAAAAAATGCCTTTGGTTTTGGTGGAACAAATGCTTCGCTTTGCTTAGCAGAATTCAAATGATTAAAATTTACTTGTATAAAAATTTTTACTACTTATTGTATTGTAGAGAAAATGACAAGACTTTGTATAGAACTTAATTGTACACAACTTAAAAATTAAAGTGTTCAACATTGTTTGTTTGGATGTATTAGGTGTACAGAAGGTAAGCATTTTATTGGAATGCAACATGTTTTATATTTTTATTAAATCTGTGATAAGGATAAAATGTATTATTTTATTACAAATGCAACATTTTTGCTTGCGCGTTTTTTTATTATGTAACGGACAAAAAATATGTCAGCAAAACCTTGATAATGCATCAGAAAATATGATCTTTTCAATGGATTGTTTCTCACAGACCACATGTAATTCATACACTAGGTACAAATGTTTATAAGAGATATATACATCACAAACTTTTATAGATAAATTAAAACTATCAAATCAAAAATAATAAAGTAAGAATAATTTCTACTATCAACATCGGATTTTTTTTTTCATAATATTTTTGTAAAAATTACTACGTATTCAGTTGAATTTCAAAATGAAACAAAGTTATGTAAATAAATGTAATTGACAATCAATATTTTTGTTTATTTATTTTTTTTTTTTACTCATTATGATCAACATAAGAGAAGACTCTGCGTCTGAATCAATCTCAGCCATTTTTAAATATAAAAACTAATCTTTTGTCAAAACTTATCCTTAATTATTTCTTTCTCTTCAATATTTACATTTTTTTTGAATTAATACAAAAAATATATAAGGTTTTATTAAATTTAAGTAATGTGTGGACTGTGAGAGAGAAGTTTTACATGATTTTACATTTTTATAATAAAACCAACGTAAAAAAAGAACAATAAATAATTAACAAGTTCTACTAAAAAATATCAACGAGGAATGAAAGGTTTACGGCAGTTACATAACGCCGTGAATCGGTTTTTCAATTCTTGGCGAAGTTCTTGACGTTTCTCTGTGATATGAACTTCACGTGACTTAAATTCTAACACCTCTTCTTCTGGAATAGAATTACTGTCATCTTCCATTTCGGATAAATCTGAATCCTATAATTTTTAATTTCTTTTATGAATGTATATACTAAGAAAAGTCGTGTAAAATCAATATTTAACTCTATTTTTCGAAATTACATATTTTTATGTATATTTTAAAAATTCAAATGAATCAAATAATTCTACGGGAGCTTTTAGAAATAATAAAAAATAAAATCGAATTTTACCTCTAACATTTGTGATAGCAGAGGTCCTCTGCCATGTTCTATTAATGGAAAAAGGCTATCATGTGAAAAATTGTTTTTGTTTGCAGCATGAATATCTGGATGATCACCGCCGTTACAGCAACCATCACTGCAAGCTACTTCTGATCCTTCAGGTGTACTTGGCAATGATGAACTGCTTACATGCTCTGATGAATATCCATAATCATGTGAAGAGTTTTCACTATAAGTACATCTATTTCTATAAGTTGATTTGGTGATTTTTTTCTTAACTTCTATCCACATCATATCATGTTTATTTGAATTGAAAGTTCCGTCTATAAGATCTTCATGTTGTTCCTGTTCTTTACAATTTTCACTACTTTCCCAAATATTTTTATTAGGACTGTCATCGGCGCGGCATGATCTAGATGAATTGGAGAGTGTAACCTTTACAGAACTTTGATCAATTTTTTCATTTTTATGAGTAGCTGATGATTTTATCTGACAGCAAATTTTTTCTCTTTCATTTTTTAAGTTAAGGTCACCAAACTGAGATTGGAAGGCAGATAATTCAGTTTTGTTTGTTGAGTTTTTGATACAATTGAGACAATTGCAAGTCAATGATTCATTGCACATAAGATCTGATATCTATAATAAAATGTATGAAAAAATTATAAATTTTGATATTTGAAGTTGAGCTTCGCTTCAAAATATAGAAATTTACTTTATTTTGTGTGTTGGACTCAGAAAAAGGTTGAGATTGCAAAGATAAGTCTTCCCCTTCTGTAAGTGTTTCCTCTTTGTTATGGTCGTCTTCGGAACTCTGTAATATTATGATTTGTTCATTATTAACAGCAAATCAGGTGAATTTAACTGAAACTTTATACATACTTTATCAGTTGTAGTATCGCTTACTTCAGACTTTTTTTGTTTCTCTTCAACTTCAAAACGACGTTCTTTTCTTTTTTTTCTTTTGAGTCGCGATTTTTCGCGTCGTTGCGTTTTGGCAATTTTTTCTTTCTCCAATTCATGATATAAAACTTCTAATTGTGAAAAACCTTGTTTAGTTTCAATGGCAATCTGAAAATATTTGACATAATTAGTCAATATTGGGTGAATTATTATTATTTCCAATAAAGAATTTATAAAACTAAACAAATTACTTGGAAATTTCTAGAAATAGTACTCATAGCTGTTGCAACTAAAATATTTATAATAAATTCTTCTTCTTTCATTTTTTTGTAGACACGATTTAATCGCTCATAAACACATACACCAAGGCACGTTAAAACTTCCTCTTGAGCGATTTCTTTAGTTTTGGCATGACGTTCTCTGCAACATAAATAGTTTGTAATATTTTTCTTTACTAAAACAACATTCTCAAAAAATTTTATAAATACCTTGATAAAGAATCAGAAGTGGTCCTTGCAATTAAATTGCAGATGTAATCATATTTCATTGGCAAGTGAACATGACCACTTGAACAACGTCTTATGCTAGCATATAAATCAGAAGCATTTATCTTTCGTACTTTAACATCTTTGTTATCTTTACTAGTTTTATGATCTTTAAAATCTTTATATTCACAATGATCTTTAAGATCAGTGTAACATTTATTATCTGGATGACTTTTATGACCTAATGGACTCGTACAATTTTCATGATCTTTACGAACAGCATGACACTTATGATCTGTTAAGTCTTTATGATCATCATGATTTTCATGATTGTTACAATTCTTATGATTTTTATGTTCGTAATTGTCATTATTATTATGACTATTATGACTGTTTTGACTATCATTTTTATCATTATCCTCATTACATCCATCAATACTATTGTTATCAATTTTTTCATCGTGTGCAAAATTGGAAGCTGCTACAACTTTGGTGCGACACTCTGCACAGAATCTATTCGTAAAAAATATTGTTTTTATTTAAAGAATCTAGATATTTTACTGTATATTACTTTTTTTTTTAATTCAACTTGACTTTACAGTACAAAATAATGCAATTAAGTTAATTTTTACATACTTGTGCTTGCGTAGATAAGCATCTAATATAATGCGCAATGTTTCAGAATCTATGAATGTTATTTCACTTAAACATTCTGCTTCCATTCCATCCCAAACTTCCCTCCATACATGTGGAGATAATCTCATACGTTGTACTTCTAAGGAATGCAAAGTGCACCGACGTGATTTTTTGTTTCGAGGTTGCTGGTCAACCAAATCGTTTAACCTTGAACTAAGATAAAGTTATAAGTAAATAGTGTTTATGCAACACTACAACATAAAAAATGTTGAAGTGAACATTAAAATATTATTAATCATTTTTGATTAAAAATGTTGCGACTTAATGATACGCTACCTGTAACCACGAAGATAAGCACATAATTTTCCAGGGGATTTAAAGATCTTTGGATTAAAAGTTACCACATTTTCAGAAAATATAATAGGATCTAGAGGTGGAAAACTTTCTAATTTGCTCAGTTCGTGAAATAATTTTTCAACACTATAATCAAAAAGTTCTGTTAAGATAATAAAATTATCAAATTTTCATGAAATAAGTAATGCATTGTATGTAACACACCTTCTTCTACATCCAATACATGGGACACTTTGATCCAAAACACTTAACACATCTTTAAGGGCAGCTTCAAAAGTTTTAGATTGCTCATTTTCTGACAACAAACTGAATTTTTTTTTGAATTCTTCAATTTGTTTGCCTGTTGATACTAATTTTTCTTCTGGTATTGTTAGACCTGATATATCCATAACCATCTATTTTTTAATGATAAAAAAAAATAAAGGAAAATTAATTCTTGGAACATTCACTCATATGATATCTCATAAAAATATATTAAAAAAAATATAGTTAAAGTTTTGTAAGCATAGATTTTATATATGTAATTAAAGAACCAAAAATAAAAGTAAAGTAATTTAATTGTCTACATGAACAATTTAACAGTCAATACCTAAAACAATGCAAATTATACTTTGCTGAGTTAATTAACATTTGAAATATTTCAACTGTTTCTTGTTACAAAAGAAACTCACTTATAATTTTGCAAAAGACAGAAAGTAAGTAGACAAGATAAGTAAGTTTATATTTCATCTGTTAGGGATAATTAATTCACATAGACTAGTAGAGAACCAGCAACGGTGAATATTTGTCGTGCTATATTACGAAGCTAGCATTATTGAAAAAATCAAGAGCAATAAAATTCAGTTAAACATTTTTTGACAACAAAAAACGAGGTTGTGTTGTTTCGAGCAATTCAACTGTCAATTCGAGCATACGATTAGTTTGTATTAATACAATAACTCATTCGCCACGAAGGCATTCTCTAATACAAGATTAATATAAAAGTTGAATTTTAAAATAAATAATTCACATGAAGTTGGATTTAAATGTTGTTAAAAGTGCAATTTAAGGTTAAGTTTGCGTAAGTGATTAGAGATTTTGATGGCGAGTATCGTCCTCAGGCATCGAGGGTTAAACAAAAATCAAATATGCGATGAATGGCAAGTGATCACAACGAATAAAGTTGTCGAGTATGAAAAAGTGATTCAAGGCATCAAAATGCCAATTAGGCGTTAAATTACGATGAAGGGCTGATAACGATGAGTAGTGCTGCTAATTAGGGATACGTAGCAAGAAAAGGTCGTGAGCGAGCGAGTGCAAGATTGAAAAACGTCGCAAGGAAGACGAGCGGACTTACTGCATAATTCTCATCAATGAAGAGAGGTAATTGTCTTGGCCCCAGAGGCGTCGAGTCCGAGTCTTTCCACATCTTCACGAGTTTCGCCATGATAACGCGAGGGTTAAAGTCTTGCCGCTGATCCTTGCAAGAGTTGCAACAACATGTAGAACACACGACGACACACACGAGCCCACGACTCACACGACACGACCCACAAAACGTGAATATGCTCGAGAATACAGTATGCAGAAACAAGATGACTCAATGATTGTAGCGCGCTGCTCTCGCGCGCTGTTGATATCGCGAAATTGTTATAAAATATTTATACGGCGTGCGTGGATCTGCAGTCCAAGTGCTGCTAATTGTGCTGCCTGTCAGTCTTATAAGTGCACGGGCCACAACGTATAATAATCGTGCACCGTAGTTTGGCCCTGTACTATACAGCCTCGTATCGCAGCAAGTACAAGATCCCACCGATTGGTAGGTGTACAACAGATGTATGTATGTACAACATAAAACGAGGAGCGATCACGGTGTTTCCTGCAATATCCTATGGCACGCTATTGCCATTCGCATAAGTAGGTGCCCACAGTGCTGCAGCAAAATGACTGTTCGAGCGACTCGATCGTGACTCGTGACGAGACTCGCTGCCAATTGAAACTTCCGAGCCAACTGCCAATCGAGCGGCCGTCGTCGCCGCGTGTACGCAAAAAATTGTACATCGATCCTCATTTTATGCTCGTGTATTGTATCCGTGAGCGATCGCGTTGCTGGATATGGTCGGCGATGTCTCCGTAGTCGCTTCCAATATTCGTAAACATTCCTTACGTGAAACTTCAATCGCGCCACGTTCGCCTTGCCACGCGATGTTATCATTCAAGTATCGCTGCGCGACAATTAGTGTACGATCCATCCGCAACTCGCGACGAGCCGCATCACGATGCGCGTGTAAAACTATAAGCAGGTAGCTAGTCGGTCACCGGTTTCATGTCGATAATGCAGCTACTACGTCCTAGTAGTATAAGCTCCATAGATTTTGTTTGGCGCGGCTCCAACGCGAATCACCGAGTCGTTTGCTCGTAACACCTGAAATTCGATTGAAAATTATAGTTTAACAACGTGAACAAATAGAAGTCGAATTGAATCAAATGAATGATTAAGAAGCAGCCGTGACCATAGACTTACAAGTGAAACTTACGATAAATTGCACCAAATAAATTAAAATCCAAGCAAGTTACCAATTTCATTTAATTCAACAAAGTTGAATACAATTTTCGAAAGAAAATTCAACCTAGAAAAATGAATCTGAATTTTAACTCCAGGTGGTCAAATTATTTAGAACCCATTGTTTATAATTGTAATTCATTTTGTTCATATTCTTGAACTGAAATTGTCAATGAAATTTCCAATTTTTTTTTAATAACCGAATCCCAAATATATTATTTCTTCCTTGTCTTTCATTCGATAATATTCACATTTATAAACTTTTGTACGTAAAATAAATTAATAATTGTGCAGGTATATGGCGTGTGTTCTTGTGCAGTATTCAACCCTTCTTGATTACAGCTTCGTTTAACGTTTGTTCAGGTTCAAATATGTGAAAAATGCTATATGCAATGGGTCCATTAAAATACAGGTTTACGACGCAAGTAGTGTATCGATATGCCTCTGCGGTCTTTTTCTGCATAGAAAAACATTAAAAATACAAATGTAATCGATTTATTTACTCATTAGGGCACAGATCGACTGTGGGTGCCACTTCTTTCAGTCAAAACAGATGATTGTCTTTCACTATATGCCACTTTAAAAGGTCCTATCAAGTATCGGACCTTGTTCAATATTCGTAAGGTCGCAATTGCATATTGACCATCTCATTTACTGACCACCAAGACGATTATCAACTCAATTAATTATTGACATTTCACGCAGTTGTATTATGCTGACGTGTGTAGTTTGAAAGTTTTTAAATTAATACGTATATTTGTTTTTATATTAATCACATGATTTCGCGATAGGTCCTAATTTTAAACGTAGAGTATGATTACGGCGAATGATATTCTATACTAACTTGCCTTACATTTGAATCGCACCGATTTCGGGATTTTGCGTGAAAGCAATCATTGTACATCTCACAAGAGGACTAATACGACATCTAATGCAAGCGAGCATATAATTGTTATGATTGGCCATACAGTTACTAATAGAAAAGAGCATAAGTAAAATCTCAGCTTTCATTCGATTTCTGATGAAATTTCGGAATAGCAGTTGAAATTAGATGATCCGAATGCATCGCTTTCTCTGATGTCATTTTGCTATTCGGTCCTCAAGCGTTTACCTAATTTTTACTATCGAGCATCATTTGTGATACGAATTCAGTCAAGTGGAGATTTCGCTAAGCGAAGCACTTAAAGTTCACTAATTGCGGATTAATAAAATTGAGGGGACAGACTGGTGTTTCGAGCTGAAATTAAAAATACAGCCATATATAAATCGAAATAGTTGGAACATTTTTTCTTGATAGCTGAATATGTTAGTACACCGGATTGACCAAAAAAACTCCTACACAAGCTCTGAAATTCCAATTACATTACTTTATTCATAATACAAAATATTGTGATTAGATTGACTGGCCACGCGATTCTGACGGGAGTTCTTCATCGATATTGATCTTATGGGGTCTCGAAATCTTCAGAGAAATTCTCTCTTGCACCTTGGCGGAGCAAAATTTAGAAAAAATGTTTGCTTATTTTCTAAGAGCTTAAATATGTCATTGAGCGATAACGAAATATGAATTTTCTTCAAATATGTCACATTTTGACTTGTGCATTAAGTCGTACATAATTTTTCCAAATTCTACTCTGATTAAGTGTATAAGGGTACTTTTATGAAGATTTCAAGAACCCATAGATAAATATTGATGAAGAACTCATGTCAAAATCGCATGACCAGTGGATCCAGTCACAATGTTTGGTATTATGAAAAAAGTAATGTAATTGGAATTTCAGAGCTTGTGTAGGAGTTTTTTTGTCAATCCGGTGTACTTTGAACATATTTTACTATCAAGAAAAAATGTTTCAACTATTTCGATTTATATCGTCATTCTTAAATATTAGTTTGAAACACCCGTCTGTCTTCCTAAACATTTATTTCTCTTTTGTATCACTCACAATAAATTAAAAATCACGGATAAAGTTTGAAGCTAAAAGTTTGAATTTTCTTTAAAAATTAAAATTATTCGTAAGAATAAACTTTTGCAGGGTCAGGGTTACCGATTCACCAAAAATTTTTGGTATGCATGCAGTTTAGCATTTAAGCATTAAAGGTAGTAATTGGAAAATAAAAGAGACCACTAAAAATCGGGAATTTTGGAAATTGAAATTCCAAGAAAAATTTTGGAAATTTATCCAATTTAAAATTAAAATTTGTTGGAAATTTTGCGAGCTTGAACTACAAAAAAATATTTGAGAATTCGAAGAATTGATGTTACGAGAAAAATCTTGGAAAATCATACGGTTATATTTTATTTTAAAAATGTGGCAACAAATGACAGGGTAGCGAAGATACTAAGCAATGATTCGAATGAAGCAAACGTCGAAAATCAATGGATTTATCTACAAAATTATCAAATTAAATTACTGTGATAATATAAAATGCAAAAATTACTCGATCAATTTCATAATAAATTATGCACGTCCATCGGTAAAAATATATTTACGTAATTGGGAACTATAGATTTTTATTTAAGAACCGTCTATAAGTACCCGAAGATTACAGTTAAAGGTTGCTTCTTCGTTAAGATTAAAATAAAAAATCATGAATGTTTTTAAAAGCGAATATTATAAAATAAATTATTACTATTTAAAGCTCTTGGGTTTATGGCCTAACGAAAATCATTCGAGAAAAAAATTTAAACGAATAACAGTTATATTTCTTATTGTTTCACTCTTGATACCTCAGGTAATACTTGCTAATGGATAATTTACTGAAATCATCTTTGTATAATTCAGTAAAAACCTTATTGTTCAATATTTTGTGTTCAGTACATTAGATTATTCGAAGAATGGGGTCGAGATGTTGATATCGTGATAGAATTGATCGGATCAATTTTTTATTTTACAGGCTCACAAATGAAATACATGAGTTTTGTACGAGTTGAATCTAAGGTATTTTAATTATGTTATTTATTTTAATGTGTAAAGTCTTTTATTCTTTTACTTATTCAATGACAAATATAAAGTTGACTTCGAATAAAAGCATGAAAATAAGTACGCACGACATTATTCTTTTTCAATAACTTTTTAAATATTTCCTATTTTATTAATGAGACCATCTAATTTTTGAGTCACTTATTCTTGACAAAACAATTTTTGGGTCTTCTGGTACCTAATAAAGAGTTGGCCAGGACCTTTGAGGCCCATTTTTGAATAATTTTTTTTATTAAAAAAGCGCAAAGATTCTTAGTACAAGAGTAAATCATATTTTAATAGTCCCCACGGCTCAGTATATAAAAAAAAGTCTAGGAAGTTTTATTAACATATACCAGAAGCCTCAACAACAATTTTATTAAGGATCTGTGACCCAAAGGTAAAGTGGTCTCCTTGTAGGTACGAAAGTTTAAAAACACCTAAAAATTTTATCCCGGCTTGATTGGATTTATAGATGAAATTTATTTTCGAAGAAATATCGCGACATTGGAATACGTTAACTGATGCAAAAGAACAAAAATTGTTACGTGAAAATGGACGATATGGACGAATCATAGCTCTTGGTTACATAAGTAAGTTTACACGTATTCAATAAATAGGTATAATTCTATGAAAATCAATATATAATATGTAAAACCTCTTATTGATACTACGGAAAGATTAAGAGAAAAAAAGGGAGATGAAATGTACGATAATTTGAGTTGTTATCAAGTTATCATTTACAAATGTTAAGCAGGAGCCCAAAAAAGGGCAAATGGATCCTTTTTTGCGGAGGAAATCAAATACGTGAGGAAGACCTATTTTTTCAAACCAATATCGCATTGAAATATTCATTGATAGATTTTTATAATTTATTGGCTAAACCAAAAATAAATCATGAATTTGTACCTATTACTTATTGAATTACAGAAAACATTTTCGTTCGTCGGTTTAAAGATTGTCCCTAAATAGAACGAATATTTATTGCATATAAACTTCAGAATTGCTACACTTATATTAATAATAAAGTTAATAGATAAATAAAGTAATTATTGAATGATAAAATAATAATAATAATTACCCAGTTGAAAAAAATTGCATCGATTTCTACGTGTATTATCCACGCAGATTCCGTGTGGAAAGTACGTGGATTCCACAAGGAAAGTGCATTGATTCCATGTGGAATCTGCGTGGATCATTTTTGTATAAATCTGCCAAGATTTTTCGATTATTCCTTGAAAAAGGATAGAAGCGTGGAATTAAGTTCTCAAGAGATAACCGAAAAGTCTTGGCAGATTTTTACAAAAATGATCCACGCAGATTCCACATGAAATCAATGCACTTTCCTTGTAGAATCCACGTACTTTCCACGCGGAATCTACGTGGATAATCCACGTAGAAATCGATGCAATTTTTTTCAACAGGGTAAATTATAATAAAGTCATTATTATATTTGAAAAAATATATTGTATGCAACACGTGCCCAGCTTTTTGGGCACTTGTAACATAAATAACTATTATTATTTTTTCAGTACCAATCAACATAATCTTGGTCGTGTACATCACTGTGCCGCTTGCACCGGCAGTGCTCGATATAATAGACCCTTTGAATGAATCCAGGCCTAAAGCGTTTCCTTACTTTGCCGAATATTTTATAGATGACCAAAAATACTATTTTGAGCTGACGATTCATGGTTGGATAGTGTGTATTTTATCAGTACAGATTTACGCGACCTTCGATACAACTTATCAATTATGTATGCAGCATGTGTGTGCCCTCTTTTCTATCGTTGAGTAAGTATAATTAGAAAATATCAGTAATCTCTATCTTTTACTTTATTGTGGTTAAACTAAACATTTCAGGAATCGTATACGTGAGGCGAATAAATTATCTTGGAGAGGTAACTCGGATTCGGATCACAAAATTCAAATGCGCGATCGCAGCTATGAGCGAATGATTCAAGCCGTTGTTTTGCACAAAGAAGCTATGAGGTAAAATGCCGAGCGCATGGAGCTGATTCATGCAAATTGTATACTTTTTATATAATATGCATGTCAAACTTAATTTTAGATTTATTGGTTTAATTGAAGAGTGCTATACTTTCGTGTATTCTTATGTAGTATTGGCTAATACTCTTCTTCTGAGCTTGACTGCTGTCGATGTAACTATTCAATTTAATTTTAATAAGGTCTTCTAATGCATTCATTATCATTTACTCATGATTATCAACATTCATATTTCAACTAAACCTTTCTTAAAATTGATTCAAGAAACTTTTTTTCATGTTGCTTCCAACTAATTTTCACCTATTCTTAACTTTGTAAATTTTGCTTATTAATTTTTATTCTCGAATAATTAATTACTATTAATTCAAAGACGATGCTAAATTTTGAAAAAGGCAACTTCAAACAAATGATTCGACTAGGAATGTTATACATTGGATTTTCTTTTCATTTATTGTACAATATGAATCCGGGGCAAAACGTAATTGACAGCAGTGTCCACATTCAAGAAGCAGCGTGAGTTTAAAAATGTATTCGCATGTGACCATTTTTATTTATAGTAGTTATTGTTGTTGAATATGGATTATAGTTTTCATACTAATTGGTATGACTCTTCATCAAAAACGAAACAGCTGTTACGTATTATTATGATGCGTTCTTGGAGACCCTGCAAATTAACTGCAAATGGAGTTGTTACTTTGAATTTAGAAACTTTTGCATTCGTAAGTTAATTTAATTACATGGTTTTATCATTTTCTTTAAAACAATCAGTGAAAATTAATTTCACAATTATTCAAATTATCTAAACCACGAAAATTAAGGTTGCGATTCGCTCTTATTACATTCGTGAAAATATGACACAATATCTTTGTTTTAGGTATTTAAAAAGTCTATATCTTACGTAGCAGTGATAGGCTCTGTTCGTTAAAATATTTAACATAAATTGGATACTAAATATCAACGAAAAGTTCAGAACGTTTTTCTTCTTATTTTACTGTATTAAAAAATATAATAAAGAGTAATTAATCTGCACTCATTTATATTTAATCAAAAATTATTTCAATCCGATTGTCAGGGTTTTTTTCATGGATGGTAATTGAAACTATGGTTGTATCTCTTTTGCTTCCTTCTGGAGGAGGCTTTGTGAAGCGCAACACGAGTTTTTTAACCAGACGCCGCGCCGTTGGATAAGTTGGTTCGCACATTTGTAAACTATTTTGAATTCTTAACAAATGTCTGTATGTGATTGGTGGCTGATGGTATGTAATCAGCACAAATTTCGAAAGGAGGCACGTATAGAGATGTGATTGGGCAACATTTTTTTTCAAATAAGGGATGCATGCTTTTTTATTGGCATGAATATATAAAAGCAGTTTTCTATAACATCAAGTTGCAAAAACAAAAGCTTTTAAAAATCGATTGATACTTGCATTTCATGAGTAGGTATTTTTATTAAGTAAATACATAATACATTCTACGAGGGTGCTAGGCATTATTATAATAATCATAAAACAAAATGTCAATATTTACATTAAGACTTTGTCTACGTTTCACTAGTACCTCAATGACGCAACTTAGTCTAAATTATAAACGTTTTTTATTTATCGACTTGTAAAATTTTTTTTATAAATTGCGACTATAACTAAATGATATAATGTTATATGAATATTTATTTTTAATTTCCAGAATGATAAAATCTTTTTCTTTTGTAGACTTAATGAAAATATTACTACGAGCCATAATATTTTTATGTTCTGAATACAAAGACACAGTATTTCTTGAATTTCAGAAATCTCCTGTTAAGAGTACGAAATATTTTTAGTAGATGTGATTTTATATAAAATAACGGCGTTAGTGTGAAGGGATCCCAAAATGAATATTTTTACCTTGGTAGAATTGACTCTAATAAATGGACATTTAATACTGTTCAACGTTTATTAGAGTTTATTCTACACGGGCAAATTTTCAAACTAAATTTATTTATTAACAATATTCGAGCTTGATCTGTAAAAATTTGTTTTCAGCACAATTAAAAATAGTATATTCATTATTTACTAAACAACAAAGATATTTAAATTATATAATATTAACATGCAATATGCTATACTGTTGTGTACTACGCGGGATAAATTTGTAAACAAATTTCTATCAGTATATGTATCCTTACGTTTTAAATTTGATCAGACACTTATAAAATTAGAAAAAATCAACAATGATCAAATACGCGATTATTGTCACATTAAAATGCAATAAACTTTTGAAAATAAAAAATCTTTATTTCTTATGGTTATTAAAATTGTTTAAATTAATTTTTGTTATTATAGATTTATCTCGTATATAATATAGTTCACGCGCACAGCCTGCGGTCGCGTATTAAATTGCACAGATATTGGTCTATGAGAATGTCATGCTGTATAAATATTTATATATAAATATATGTCATCACCTATACATATTTTTACAGATGATTTTTATATCAAAATAATGCTCTTTGCATAACTCGATTTCCGAAAACTCATTATCAAAAAACACTCAATGGGAAACAAACATAATTTAACAAATAAAAATAAAATTAATACATAGGTTATTCTATAATTTTTTAAAAATTGAAAGATAAAACGATGATTATTCTTATAATTTCTCAATTTTCCTTACTCGAAGCTTCATTGTTAGATATATTGAGTGGACTATCTTAATAACATATGGTATCATTTAGGCGCATTATAATTGGGTTCTTTTATTTTTAATTACAAGGGAAATGTGTCTAATTATCGAACACAAAATGAAGATAATCGTTATTTTATTTTTTAATTAATTAAAATATTTTCATTTTGTCTTCAATTGATACACACATTTTTCCTCTGCCTAAAAATGAAAGTCTACAAGTACGTGGGACTGAATGATACCTAGCCGTAAGAATAGACAAATGAATAATACCCTTAAAAATTGAGATAATTACTTATTCAACCTTGCAGTATCATAATCATTAGTTTAGTTTTAAAATAAAATTGACTAATTTTGGTTTGACATGCGTAGCCCATTATACCTCATTGGTTCGACTTTGGCACGCATACTTTTCAAGTCTGCAATGTTCTGGAAAATCCTCAAAAACATTTTTGTTCTTTATTCACGTATCACATTGTTCTTCATGAAACCTTGATCTCAGCCCACAAATATTATTTAGAGTAAAAAGTTAATTTCGTAATGGATCAAGGCTCTCGAGAGAAAAATCATCAGTTCCGATTGATAAACCGCGACTGAAGCCATCCTGAAAATACATAATAAAATATTCATTATAAATTTCCAATAAGTATTTATACAAAAAAAATCATAAGATTGCAAAAAAAAAATGAAAAAGTACCTTCATTTCTGATAATCGCTTGTCGAGAAGACCAATTGCATTTTCAAGTTCTTGGTGAGTTGCAGATTGCACATCAGAATTTCCAAACTCGCCCATTTCGAATGGATCTTTTGCATCGTTTTTATTGGGAGCCGGATTGAAAGGTACACTCCCGAATAAATCTTCTTTGACACCATTTTGTCTTTTTGTATCTTTGGATTTAGGTGGAGGCGCCACTATAAATATTTCAATTGAATTATAAATTTGTCCAGTCGACTCATAATTTACATATTATTAACTTACGTAAGGGTGGAGAATTAAATCCATTGGTTTGCGTAAAGATCACTCCAGCAGTAATGTGCCCATTGTTTGAATTGTTATTCGACAAATTACTTAACGCGACATTTTGAGGACTTTCAAAAGCTCGCGGATTAAAATCGTCCTCGTCAAACTTATCAATGAGAAGTCCCTCTTTTTTCGGTTCGTCAGATGGATTGTTGACGGCAGAACTTTCGCTTCTGAAATGCACAACAATTATGCATCAGTTTTACAATCAGTGACAATGATCTAGGGCAATATTTTTACAGTCAATTAACATTAACTAACGTACTCTGCTAAATCGTTTTCAGAAGACTTTTCGAAACTTCTAGGAGGAACAGGTGGAGGTTGTTGAGATCCATTTTCATTGGACGCGTTGCCGTTGGGATCGGGGTTTACCTCGAAAGAGAGCTGAACTGCGCTGCCGTTTAGGTGAGGAACTCTTTCTCTCAAAACGGACGTCGTTGAAGGATTTAGGATGGAAGGAGTTGAACTCTCAGGCACATGTAAAATATCTGGAATGTCATGCTGGATAAGGTAGGTCTTGATATCAGTCTGAAAAATAATTTCATCACAATTAATAGTGAGTTGAATTTTAAGAGATTAGAAAAAATTAGTAGAAAATTAGAATTTGATGAGCTCTTATGATATTTTCTCTTTATACTAGATTCATGGACTGTACAGATAAAAAAAATCAGTATAGTTAATAATGTTCGGAAAAAGTTTTATTAAAAGTTCCTGCAGTAGAATCGATTTTCATTTTTATGATGGTAGTGAAGAATAATAATTGTAACGAATGAAAAAGCCAAGCTTGTATTGATATAAGATCTCAATGAAACTCACCAATCCCTTGATATTTGCAATGTCTTGAAGACGCTGCCGGTAAACATTGTTTTCGTGCTCGAGGCGCTTAACTTTTTGCTGGAGGATCATGGTGCGGCGCTGAGTTTCAAGATCCTTGCCAGAGGTCTCGAGGAAGCGCCGATACGCAAGGTCAAAAGCCTGCCCGATGGTCAGCGTTATTTCTTCGGCTAGTTTGTCGCTCACAAAGACGAAGCACGTATGGCGCTCGGCATCCTCTTCTTTGGCTATGAAACTGAAGAATTTTTTTTCGCCCTTGTCGTCGGCACAATAGGAGATTCGATGCAAGGGATACTGGTGCAATATACGCTGAAACAAAGATGCAATAGATGTACGGAATATGTGAATTACTCCGAATTATTTTATCTTAGATGCTGCCGTACCTTTGCAGATGTTTTGGTTTTTGGTTCTTGAATAGCCACCCCATCAATACTGATGGTCAACTCGACTTTAGGCGTTTTAGAGCCTTCGCTCTTTCTTATTTGTTGATTAAACTTGAGCTTGCAAATAGCTTCTTTTACGACTTCTATACCTTTCGGTTGACCAACTTCAGTACTGCCCAGATACTAAAATAAATTATCCTTTTGTTACAGATAGTTAAAACTATACTTTTCTTCTTCTTTTTTTCTTCACGAGCAATTTTACGCTGATAAAAAAAATTGGCGAGCTATTGCAATTACTATATATTCGTTGTACTTCGATAAGAAATCGTAGTTTTCAAATTTACAAAACACTTTGAGAAAATTATATTGAACGTTTTTTTTTTCGTTCAAGAATGACTTACAAAAATGTAATTAAATTCGTACCTTTACTAAGTAAGCAATATGACCTTTCTGCAAGGCATCTGGAGGGTGTATCCAATTCCTGCTGGTACCTAAAACAGGGAATTATATATTTTTACCGTACAGGCCTGTTATGATACAATTTTTTAAATTATGCATGTTATTTATAAAATCTCAGAAAACAAGATTTTTAGCAACATTTTATGATTGTAAAATTAACATTTATGGATAATAACTTAGATATAATTTCAATTGAACCTAATTTTGCCGCAATAACTGCACATACTACTCAGATATAATAATTTATTTTATCAGTACTTTTAGCGTTGCTCATATCCGTGCTACGATAGAACATACGTTTACTCATAATCACTCTTAAAAACGAGCGCAAACAAAAGAGTTTACAAATTTTTCTCAATTATTTATTTAATTTATAAAAAAAAATTTTTTTTACAAATATATAAAACACAGCTAAGAATTTTGATCTATATAAATAGATCAAAAATATAAAAATATTAATAAGCCTTTAGTCTATTGCTCACCTCCATTTTTGGCTGGTTGAAGTTTGTTATTTGTTGAGTTTTGAGCCCACTTCAGCAATGTAGAATTTCTCATTTTTATTCACTTACTAAAAAATAAACAAAACAATTATTAAAGAAATCTATTATAGTAACAGTTTTTTGTTTGTTTCAATAATAGTTTTCGAATAGTTCTACACATTTATTATTTGCATTACCGTCTGATGAAATGTAATGAAATCATTCATATTCATAATTTTGAACAATTTTTACTCATTTGCATTTATTGCCAATATCAATGAAACGCATAAAATAAAAAGTGAAGATAACCGATTTCGTAAAATGTATGCGAACTTAAATTTTGTTAGATAAAATTACATTAGTATCTAGTTTTATCGGTCACTAAGAATCGGTTGAAGTATAATATCGATACATTTTTAATTAAATTTTTCATTAAAATCTAGCACAATTTTATCGTGTCTCGTTGAAATACCAATTTCCATACATTAATTAAATTACTTTTTAATATCGTATCCAAATGATGTATATTTTAATGAATATAAAAAATATTTTACGCTCCTCAGTTTTGGATGAGTCCACTTAGAAATATACATTATAAGAGACATCTTTGCTATAATAATATGAATCAAGTGTCGGTATAATGTGCGAGTACGTTCAACTAGTATTGCATTGCATAATCGTCAAGGTTAAATCCAGCTCTCTAATTGCACGCAAAGTATCAACGCATACCTATCTGTTTTTTCAAACTCGTTGAAACAATGAAAGAATTCATCGTATATTCATATTCGCAACAAGTTTTTAAATCAACCATGAAAGTATTCAATATTCATATTGGATGTACTTGTATTTTAAATTATATATCATAATAATCTTGATCGTGGATTTAGTCATTTTTTTAACAACGCATTAATTATAAGTAAGCTGTGAAACTACTTGCGTGACGAACAAACGGAACACAATCAAATAATTTTGTTAACTAAAAATTGTTCTCAATATCATTATAGCAAAGACTGCTTAATTGCAATTTCATGAAGTACTCTAGTGTTAGTGAAATTCAGACCAAAAAATAAGCTGGCCCAAGCCAGATCGTAGAGAAACATAATGAGTGTTCATATGACGCACTCGATGGATTCTTCAACAGATAGTAGTCATCAAAAAATAATTAGAAATAATATTGAAGAATTGAATCAGACTAAAACGTGCATTGATACGTCAATTGCATTTCTGGTAATCTATACGTCTGAACGGGGATCATCATACATCTCTGCTAATTTTTGTGCTCTGTTAAAAAAGCGATAACCTTTAATGCAACGAATAAAATATGTTGAATAAGCTGGTGCGTTTTAGTTTTGTGGGTTGACAAGAGCATGCTTGCGCAATGATGCACAATATGATGCCGACAGTCGAGACTCAATAAAATGTTTCATAATTAATCAATATGTAAATGCGTATTAATCGCTACGTTGAATGCGCTTTTCGTAATGTACAGAAGCGTTATTTCTAAAGATTTCAAAGAAAACAGAAGAAGCGCAAAACTATGGTTTTGTATTAGCTTGAATATTTTCACAAGCACAACAGTTTTTGTCATTAAAACTATCGTATTGAGAAAAATTATTTCTATCATTTTTTGAACGTACGTTAAAAATATTTACGAAAACGTTGAATTGTTCGACTATTTTTAAAAGGGGATGACTGGAATCTCAAGAATTGTATCGTCTCAGTGGAAAACCTGCATTTTATAATAATGCATATAATTATTTTATGTAAGATGCAAGTTTTAATAAATTTTCTTTGCCAAGTGAAAATAAAGTTAAATTCAAGTTCAAAACATTCTTTTATGCATAATTTCAGAGGATAACATATCAAGCTACATGCAATCGATCAGTAGCTTGTAATACCAAGTGCGGGACCCGCTGTGAGAGCAAGACAGCGGGCCTGATATCACGTAGCTGAATCGCATGAGCGACTGATTGGCTAATAATAACATTTTTATCTCGCCTAAACATGCACGTTACCGACATGTTGCCTGTTGCAGTATATCTCAATGTACGAGCATAACTCAGGGAAGCGTTCGAAATAACAATAGATCGCAGGTCGTGTAAAAAGTGTATGTTTAAAGAGATGAAATGCGCAAAAATTACAAAATCAAGTGAGCGTTTCCATGAGATTCACACGAGCTACCTCGAGTGTAAAAGAACGTCCATCAACGCATAACATCGACGCGTTCTCGCATTCTTCTCTTACAAAATTCTTACAAAACAGCTTGCATACTGGCCATGAAAAAAATAGTTTACTCGACCTGATTTCGCTAATCACCCCGCCGCTGAAAAAAAAGTCCTAAAAATGCATTTCATCTCTCGGTGCGTGGCAAGGAGTGCACAAGTTGTTCGAGTATATCAAAGAATGAAAAGCGGCGAGCCAATGACACTATAGGAGCAACAAGATGGCTCGTTAATGACAGTTGCTTAATTTCGTTCATCGTCGGCTTGAATAACGTTTGAACGTTTGAAGTATTGAAAGCTTTAATTTATTCTGCGTTTCTCTGCGGACGCGTGTCAACTCAAAGAATATCAAACAAAAAGATCTCCGCTAGTGGTCGTGGAAAGAATATTAGTAAACATTTATTTTCTCCTACATTACAGATTCAAAGCTTTGTGTACGAGTTGCATCTAGGATTTCTTAACTGGCTAGGACAATTCAGACACAAAGTAAAATTTAAAGTTATTATTGGCAGATTTATATCTTCTTTCTTCCATCATCGTAACTCATGAATCATTTAAAATTTAAATATTACATCCTGGTTTTGGTTTGTGTTTTGATGTTGAAACGTAAATATTATTTTTCCCAATAAGAAGTCTGTTTTTTTTATTCGTATTAATGCTTCAATACGCGTTAAAATAAAAATATACTTCTCTTCTTTAAATTTAAATTTAACAATACTTGAATTTATTATTACTTAATTTAAAAAACACACGACACTATTGTTCTCAGGCTCTAATGAATAAGCAACAAATGCGGACATGCCTTTTAAACGAAAATCATTGCAACACTTGCTTTCAGCTTTTGCCGCAATCCTTCGTTCCGCTTCCAAATTTTTACAATTGTATAATGCAATTCTATCTTGATTGTTTACATCGATAATTTAGAAAATAAATTTATATTTTTTTCATGTAGTTACATGTCGTTATTATAAACATTATCGTATCATCGACAACTATGAAACTATGAATTGTTCGGTATAATAACTCTTTTCACGCGAAAAATCAATTATTTTTAAATTTACATATTCAAGGTAGATGAGTTCGGATAAGCCGGAAGTATAAACAATAAAATGCTTCTACAGACGATAAAAAAATGTTTGTACTGATCCAAATTTCTGGTATATCCATAAATAAGAAGATAATCTCATAACCATATTGAAAATTTTTATCCAATCATTTTGAATAAGATGTAGACTTTATAAAGATGGATACTCACAATGATTTGATTTTGCATTTAATAAGTAGGACATTTGAAAGACCAAAGCTTATAGTATAATATCCGATGGAACCTTTCTCTTGTGAAAATAGCTACCAATGTTTTCGTTACGCGCGTGTAATAAAATGCCGTGTAAAATATTTTCAATCAGGCGAAAATAAATTGCATTTGTTAAACTAAGAGATTGGGAAATAAAAATTGGAGTCGTTCATAATTTGTGGATTGGAAATATAAATATACGCGCTTTATTAGTAAATGCGTTTACGCATTATAAGCCTCAATTGACATGCTGTAGATGGTAGGCGAGAAAAGTACCTTAAGGCTTCAGAATGAGAAGCTATAAACGCATCATTTTATCATAGCTAGATAATATGCAAATTCCGACTAGTCGAGTAGAGGTACGTATGCTTTTCCGAGAATAATACGTTTTATCGCAGGATACGCGCGCGAGTGTGTGTCTGTCTGTGAGCGTGTATATGTGCGCGCGAGCGTCTGCGAGATCTTCAGGATGTGTGCGTGTGTGTGTATGTCTGTGTGTGTCGGTTCTGTACATTATAGCAATGAGTAGGTACTGTTGGCGAGTAAGAGAGAGCCGAGCGAGAAGCATAACGCGCTTGCGCATTTGGCTTTTCGCACTGGCACACTGAGAAAAGTGCAAAGTTACTTTCTAGCAATGAGAATGGAAAATCGGCGTTCGAAAGTCGCGAACAACGCGTGTCGTTTTATGCGTGTGTATTTTGGCAGGAGGAAAAATTTCACAAGGCTACGATCATGGCTAACAGGCGCAGCAAGCAATGTCAAAATGTGTATAGGCTTTATATATACACCTACGCTGCAGTAGACTTGCCTACCTTGCACTGGAATAATATTGCACTCTTTTTATCTCGCTCGCTCTCGGATGCTCTCTCTCTCTCTCTCTCTCTATTGCTGCTTCGCTTCCTTTTTTTTTTCTTCCTCTGTTCTACACTGCAACGTCACCAAACGACGAGCCGAACGAAAAGCGGGCTCGAACACAATGCAAACTGCACGACACAAACGAAGCACACCCTCGCAAGGGGAATAATAATACGACGAGGAGAGACAGACGCTCGTGTTTACTCGGAGTCGAGCAGAGGTGAGCGCACCGATAACTGAAAGCAGCCGATGGCCGCGCGAATCGGTTGGCAAGTGAAAGTACGGGATGGCTTCTCCGCTATGCGTACCGTCGCCAGCTCGAGTCTCCTCTGCACTTGCCGCGAGTCCAGAGACCAGCCGAGGATTTCGATGTGTGTGCCTAGTATATAGCTGTATATAGTATAGCTGATTTCTTTCGGCCGCGCTCGGAAATAATAATTCGAGCGGAGAACAAAGCGCGTCGTACAATAGGTAGGAGCAGCTGACAGGAGATTCGAGTGGCGGCAGTCCGTATATACGTATGTGTATATAATAACGATATAGCCGTTCGGATCCGACGCACTGCTCGCTCGGCTCGCTCGCTCACTGACGTCTCTCGCGAGGTGCTGATGAAGCAGTACTAACTAAACTAAGCCTTGCACTAGAGAGCGCAGAAACGAGTTGGGCCGTCGAGTGAATGGATCGACTGATCAGTGAGGCCTGCGAATTACGAGTAGTGTATAGTGCTAAGCCGAGATAGAGAGAGAGAGAGAGAGAGAGAAAAGCTGGAGAACGTGAGTCTCGACTCGCAGTTGCCAACTACATATACTCTGCATGTACGTACGTCGACTACGTACATCTAAAGCATATAGCGTACGTATATGCATATACGGCATATTGTATGACTGCGATGAGCAACATGCAAAGACTCCCAACTTGTTCTCGGCTCTCTTGATTCTTGAGTTTTGTTGTGCACCAACACGCGCTCATCTCCGCTCCGTCTGTCGCTATCAGTCTGCCCGTCCGTGTGAGCTAACATCGGCATTAGCTACTTGACTCCTTTTTGTACTGCGCTCTTCGCTCCGTCTTCGAGAATAGAAACGTGCAGATCGTTTTTTATGTATTAATTTTGCCAATGATTCGACCCACCGACCGAGCAGCGACTCTGCAAAATCTTTACAACTATTGTCTCGACTCTAGTAATTGCAGTTTAACATTCTCGATATTTACCACAAGAAGAAAAAATTCAAAAACCTAATCGAATAACTGCGGATAAATCGGAAAAGTTATCAATCGATGCAAAAAGGATAAAACATGTTTGTTGGATTTGAAAATTAACTTGCTAAAAAATTATTTTATTTCTTAGGTTTTTCGGGCAACCACTGATTTTCAAGTGGTCTTATTAAACTTTCTCTCTGCAGATTCAAAGGTAAAAAAGTAATTTTGATATACGATGCTGGTAAATCATTTTTAACATCGTCAAACGGTGATCTTGCACATTTCACCTTTTATCTTCTTAACGCAACAGGTGTGAATTCGACATCGATTTGTTGTATCGAAGGAAAAAACATGCTAATTCTGCCAGTTCAATGACAAAGCACTTTCCTGTAAAAAAATATATTTCATAAAAAATGCTAGTAAAGCAATTTTTCAAACTTACACTCTGTGAAAAAAAATAAAATTTCCGAAAAATATGGATAAAAATATTTTTCTTTTTCTTTAAATTGTATTTTTTAAAACAATCAATGAATCCTAACATTTTGATCTTGACTTGAAACTTGGCTGCTCATCTTTCAAAATCACTAATCAAAAGTGTTAGAAACACAATTCACCCCTTAAAAAAATCAGGAAAAAATTAAAGAAAAACGTTAAAAAACTTTTAATTAATAGTTTCTTAAATATTACAACATGCTCGTCAAAAATTTAGTTTATTCCAGTTAAATTTATCGTCACGTTTATGAGAAAACTCATTCATTCCGGACCCATCACAAAGCTTCCTCGATGAGGAAACAAAAACATATTTCTTAGAACATGTTTTTCAACAAACGATTTTAAAATAATCTGAGCATTATTTATTACGAGTATAACATAAAAGTTATTTTACGATCGTTAAAAATCGTTCATTGAGTTAGCCGATTCAAATGAACTAATACCAATCTTCTTAAAATCTGCTAAAAGTGGACGATTTGCTCTGAAAAATTTTAATACGTTCAATTCAAACGCCAGACATGCATTTATTTTTGTGAAAAATAAGATTATTAATCACTATAAAGCTACAAAATCTAAATAATTTGAGGAAAGCAAACAAGAGACGAAATTAAATATTTGTTTTGATCTGATTCATCGTTACTAGGATAAACCCCATCAGTCCGGATCAGAATATCAAAATAAAAATTATCGCTTCATTTGCATACAAGTGAGATAGAGCTATGTGTTTGAAAAAAAATAAATAAGCTCCTTCTTAAAGTTTGAGAAGAGGTTTGGTTAGCTAATATCCTTGTGTAAGAAACTTTTGAAATCATATAATAAATAATTTTTAAGACTAAATGATTCATGAGTTGGAGAACCCAAAAATTTCGTGACTGACCAGATACAATTATTTCACGGATAAAGGTCTCGCTCTCGAAAAAAATGTTTAGAACCACAAAAAGTAATATTCAGAAATTATTTGCTTGTTTACAAAAGCGTTAATTCCTATTTTTTATTGTTTGTTCAGAATAAAATAAATTTTGGAAACTATCTATTTTCAATTATTCTTTATTAAAGTTGAAGAGTGAATATTTTTTATCCTAAATATTAATAAGTTTTCAACTTCTTTCAAAGCTGTCGAAATCGATCAAATATTTATAAAAGTTTAATAAGTGTCGTAATGAAAATGATTGATAAATTTTATTTAATTACCTGAATGAGGCATACATGAAATTCTCAACATCAAAATAAAACCGCACTCAGGTCTATAAATTTTGATTGCACGTGTTGGTTAGTTGAGCTGTAGATAAGCAAAAATTCATACGAACTTTGAGTGAAGCTTCATTTATGTTACGTGGAAATAAGCTCGAATAGCAGAGGTGTGCAAAGTGAACGATCCAATGCTTTCGCAGAAAGATAACTTTTCTGCAGTCGATGGTGCAGAACACTACATCTCAGAATAAAAACTAGACGTTTTGTTTAGTTAAAAGTAGAATTACTTTAATCATTTAATCATTTCATCCAGAATGAAAATGACGCAACAAATAAAATGTAATCACCGTTGAATGATTCGTTATTATATAATGTATGTTCGACGATTAACGATAATCCTTACAAACACGATATATTTCTACATTCCATTCTATTCAATTTTATTTTTTACTCAAATTTTGAGAAAGAAATTAGTTTTTCCTACACTGACAAAAAAAGAAGATTCACGTTTAACAGCGTGGAAACATCAGCCCTACTGATTTAAATAATTATCAAAATTTTGTTGGTTCATCTAAAATATTTATTTATTTATTTATTTGTAAACAAGATCATGATTTAAAAGTAATTAAAATTAGATAGAATTATACAGATTGAATGGATACTTTTGGCATTGCAAAAAGTTTCTATTGCTACGGGTTTTTAAGTACTTTGGTCATTAAAGCATACCCAGGCGCGAATATCGAGCGATCATAAAGTGCATGGAAGCAGGGATGTTTGTTGCGTTTACGCAACTCCGCTCCGCTTAGGCTCGTTCTGCAGCTCGTGGATGCATCTTGTGCTCGCATTTACTATCACAGGCAGCTTTGAGTTCGAGCTTCCAAGTTGCATGGCTAAGCTTTATCGGAAAATTGTTGGCTATATTACAACCGCTTGACAGTTGATGTGACCCATTTTTGGGGAAAGTGAACAAATAATATCATGCCATTACGCGATAGAGAGATCAAAATCTCGATTGACATCAAACTTATGTACAGGAACTTGTTTTCGATGGCGTAGCAATGAGTAACGGTTGGCAGTCCATTGACCAGGCTGCTCTTCCACCAATTTCACCACCGTCGAATTTAATCCTTCCGAATACTTCCGAAAGAGATACAGTCGACCCTCGAGTTCAGGTAATTGAACATGACATCTTTCACTTTTAATAAAAAGTTTGTAATTTTTTTCAATTCTATTAGAATAATGTAAGTCTACTTACATACCCCTTTTAACCTTAATTTTGAGGGTTGCATTTCAGCTTATTCAATAACGGAGTTTTAGAATAGTGAAATAATTTATTCGCGTGTACACACGTTGTAATTAATGTTTTTAGTTTTCGTTTTTTTAGTTTTTTTTAGTTTTAGGGGCATTTTAAATAACAATAAATTGTAAAAAAATATTTTTGATATACAGTAAATTTGCCCTCTTAGCACAATTGTCACAAATAATATATATTTGTTCAAATAATCGCATTCATATGAATTTGAACTCGCTGTAAAACATTGAATTAAAACTTTAATCGACGTTTCAATATAAAGGGCGTAAAAAAGTGAGTGTGAAACATTCCGCGGTTCAAATTTTTATCTAGAGTGTTAACAAACTTTTAAAAAATTTTTAAATGTTTTTGCCAATTACAATCAAATGAATTTGAAATTTAATATTTCAAAGTTTATACGAATTATTTTGTACATTGCATAAAAAACTCATATGTACCTTGTAATAAAAGAAAGTTAAACTTCATTTTTTTAATAATTTTTCTTCCTCTGTCTTTTTTATTAATTTACTGATAGCAGTTATTTGCGTGAATAATTTTCGTATAATTTGTGAGAGGATTTTTTTCTGCCACTTCTGACAACTTTTTTCATTTATCGCCCATTTAAGGCGATTCATTTGAACTGCAACACCCAGCGCGTATTTACACACTTTTTTGAAACCTCGATGGTTCAACAATGAGTGAAAGAGCCATATCTTGTAAAAAGATAAAGGGTTTTAAATGATTCACTTTGAAAATTACAACAATTTAGAACATTTGAGAAAAACCTAATTATCGAAAAAGCAGAAAATAATAAAAATTTTATTCGTAAAATATACGACAAATATTTACACGAATAGCTAAATCTCGTTATAGAGATTAAATTGTTGGTCTCCATAAAAGACTCGTGAAGAAAAAATTTTGAATTCAATAAAATAAAAATGTTCATCAATTTTGAGGTACTTTAATCGCTTAATTTCAACTTTAATTAAATAATATTCACATTTCAAAGTATTTCTATTCTACAACTTTTTATGATTTTTTTCCGTTTTTATTTCTTAGGTTGAGCTCGAACGTCTTAATACTGCCACTGATGATATAAATAAGTTGGAGGTCGATTTGGATGTAAGTATACAAGGTTGCTTATCTTTTTGAATATTTCAGACCTCACTTTTGAGTTTATGAACACATACATTAACAACTTGGAATTTTAAAGTGGCCATTCGATGCAACGCATTTTGATATTTAAAAAAAGATTCATCCTTATTCTGTACCTGCTGTGTACGAACCCCCTCAATTTAACACAATTTAAAAATAATTGATCAATTAACAGGAAGCGAGAGCCACGTTTAAAGAACTCCTATGTGAATCCACTTATAAAATTGATGCCTTGGCTAAAAAACTAAGCTCACATATTGAAAAGTCTCGTCCTTATTACGATGCCAGATTTCAAGCCAAAGAAGTAAGAAAATTTGTTATAACACAATTTGATAAAATACACAGAATTTTTTTCATGATTGACAAGTTAATTTTCCATTTTCATTTGCAGACCCTTTTTGCAGCCCAGAAAGCTGCAATAAAATTTGAAAAGGCAAATAGTCAGCATGCTGCTGCAAAAGAAATGGTTTACTTAGCGGAAGAAGGTTTAAAAACTGAAGGAAGATGCTTTGACCACGCCTGGCAGGTTCGCATTGTATTCTCAAATACTCTTTCTAATTTTAAAATTTTGTAAATTCGATACTTTATTAAAAATCGCTTGTTTTTATTATCTAGGAAATGTTGAATCATGCAACATCGAGAGTAAATGAATCTGAGCATGAAAGAGCTGTTTGTGAAGTTGAACATAAGAAAACAACGTTATTGTACCACGAAGCTGAACACAATGTTCAGATACTGCAAAAAGAACTCAAACGTGCGATTTCTAAATCCAGGTATTGTAAAAACGTAGAGTAATGAATTTCTATCTCTAATAATTTCTATGCACGGTACAATTATCTGTTATTCGTTTGATAATAAAAAGCTTCAATTAACCTTATATTTTATAAATAAAAATCCCTCACCCCTTAATTTTTGAAAAATTATTTTATAATTTGTTGACATTTTATTTTATATTCTCGTATTATAACGAGAATATTTATTTCATTAATTTGTTCTGCAAGCAGTATATGGGTGTACGTCGCAGTTTGCTTCTGATAAACAGTATTGCCTGCAAAATCAACTTTCTATTTTTGTAAGTAGAATAGGTTTTATTTTAATTCTTAGCATATTTATTAAGTTTTTATGTATCAGTGAATTTTTCACTTTTACGATTTATTTGTTATATATAAATGTTCAAAATTGTATAGCACTGCTTTATTACATATTTTGAAACGCTTTTTTGTGATACGACAAGCACATAATAGCACCATGACACGCAAGCTTGAAGCCACATCGTTACTGTATCGATATCACAAAAAAGAGAGTGAGAACAAATCTGAAAAATAAAAGTTTTATAATGGTATTTTTTGGCACTGCCCTTAGAGTCATCGCTACGCTTGGGCTCAAAACTACCGTTACGTGACACAAAAAGCTACTCATAACACTTGTATCTTAAACTTCTATTATGATACAAGGATCAAAAGTATTAATTGGTAGAACAGCGTATTTTTAGGTCCAAGTGATGCATCAATCTAACGTTTAGCTTAATAGTCATACTGGAATTTACTATAATGCTATACACTGTTGAAATAGTACTTTATAATTATTGTAATATTCAGGCCATTTTATGAAATGAAAGCCCACTTTAATCAAACTCTCGAAGATCAAAAATTGAGAGTTACTGCTCTTGAAAAATCAGTCTCTGATGCCAAGATGACCTATGCGGAAGCTTTAAGAAATTTAGAAAAGATAAGTGAAGAAATTCACAAGGTAGTTCAAAAAAATTAGTTTACAACTTTTTAAAATTATTTTATCCGACAATAACACTTTTTTCTAGACGAGACAACACGATGAATCAATCTATATTAAAAAATTTGAAGGTGAAAAATGTATTTCTGTCCTTCCAAAGACGAATTCAAGTGATTCCACTACTACCGAATCTCCCGATAGTACTGATAACACAAGTGATGAATATTCAAATGTGTTTGAAAAATTACATCAAATTGCTAGTTATTCATTACCTGATGTAACGATAAGCCTATTAGTAATGTAACCTTTCAAACAGACGTATGTATATTAACTACATAACGATTTTTTATTTTCAGGTGGAAAAGGATATATCTCCCGAATATCCAACTAATTGCCCTGTAAATATTTCATTAACTCAACCTAGAAAATATATAAAAAGTGATAGACCCTGGAATACGAATGCGCACTCGCAACATATCACACAGGATCCGACTGCTGCAAAAACTAATTTAACAGCCGCATTGCCCGATGTCATGGGGATTTTATCCCCATTAGAGAAAAAATCTGAAATTAAATTATGCACTGAAGAAAACGTTTCTACTTGTAATACGGAGGAATGGACTGAAATTAAATTGATTCATTCGCCAGAGGAAAAAGCTAATATTGTGGGCTCTGTAAATAAAGCAACTGAATTTCAAAATAATATTTTAGATAAAGATTCGAGTAAAGAAATGCAAAACAATTCTCCAAATACAAATAAATTTTCAAGACGCAAAAAACTAGTTTCCCAAAATTCTTTACCTGCCATGCCTAGAGAAAATGAAATAAGTGTGAGTAAAGAAAAAAAAGGAGAGATGATTAGAAGTCCTTCACTGAAAAGAAAACTAGATAGTTGCTTGACTACATGGATGTCGCGAAATCCAGTACCTGGAGCGAGTAATGCTGAAAATTTAGGTAACATGTCACACTAAAAAAAAACGCCCATTATATAAATAATATAAATTTTAATAAGTGCATATTTTACAGTGAGTTCAAGTAGAAGGCAATCTTTAGATGTGTTATGGAATTCTAATACAGGCGAGCGTGTGAAAGAATTTTTAAATCAAGGGATGATGATGTTAAGCATTTCTAATTTAACGGAACGTCGTTTCAGCGAACAAAGAATTCCAGGATCGATGCAAAATGATCAAAAAGTAGAAGAGGTTGAAAAAATAGATCTCAAAGAAAAAAAAATTCCAAGTCCTCTGGAAAGAACCCTTAATTATTTAAACATTAATGACGACACCGACAACGACAGTCTAGCTAGGTGTGAATCACGTATTCCTCTATCACTATAATTATACATTATTTTTTGAAATTTCTTGAATTATTATTTATATCATAATAAAAACTTTCAGCAATGAAATGTTAACTGAAGATCAAATTTCATCGCTAATGATGGAACCAGATATCAACCAAGTATGCCAAGAAATTTTGGGAACACCTTTACAAGAAGTGTGTCCTTTGTTTCAACAAATACAACAACAATAGAAACTTGAAACACTTCAAGATTTAGTAGGAGTCATTCAATTTTTCAAATTCATTTTCTCTGTGTAATATAAAAATGCTTATGAGTAGACTTAAATAAAAGTAATTAATTTCTCGGTTAAGTGTCTTTCGATTATAGTTGTTGAAAATTGTACGTCAATTTTTGAAACAAATATATTGAAAAAATTGCTTTCCCTGTGTAAAATTTATTTGATTAAACATGTGATATTGATGAATTTTTATAAATATCTTATCTATAATTTATACGATGATGTATTTGTTATTTTTTATTTAGATTGTTGAATATAAAGTTCAAATCGTTTTCAAATAATAATACTTTTAAGTTTTAAAGGCTTTAATGTGTTTTGGGTGAGAAGGAATTACTTCGATGTGTGGTGATCTAAGTATTATTTAATTAATGTCACGACGTTTCAAAGAGTTTTATCAAGAAACGCGCGATACGATTAATTAAAATCCAAAGAAATTTACTAATAACTAAATGACATTATTTTCTCAATTAAATGTATTAATTTTCTTTAAAAAAAAAAGGTTTATTTGGACAAACGCATATAAAACTTTGATTCTACTAATCGAGAAAAGTTTTAAATCGAAACCCTATAATTAATTGTTATAATTAACCGGCTCGGCTGTAAAATTACTTATAAGTATGGAATCATTGCAACAATGTATGTAATATTTTAAAAATACTAGTTAATTAAAATGTTTAAAAGTTGATAAAAAAATCAAGCATTATTCGACTTCTCGATTATCATCGATCTCGCATAAAGTATTGCATACTTATTACATTGAATGTTGATTGTAATAAAGTTAGCTGTAACGAAATAACGTGTAAATAGTGAAACAATATTGCTTTCTTTTGTTCTAATTCATGAGTGATGGAATTTAAAAGATTGCTTAATTAGATGGCTTTTTAGTATGTATGATTTTTTGTAAATTCACATTTTTTGTTGTGGTATGAATTTTCATTAATTGGATTTACAAATATTTTAAAATAAAAATTTTAAAATTTTTGATGATATTATCCACCATTCAAGGCTAAAATATCGAATAAAACGATGAAATAAAGCAAAATTAATTAAATAACGATGCATGCAAATATATTTCTACCTGTAAAAGAAAACTATAATTAAGTTTAAAGTTCAACTTATTTTTTATCATACGAATAGGATTTGGAAAGCCACTAAATTTTGTAAAGTAAAAAAGCAATCGAGTATGTAGAAATTTTTTTAATTCCCTAAAGCAATAAGTAAAGAGATGTGCTGGAAATGTAAAATTAGTAAGATTTCTATGTATCATTTTTTCAAAAGATCCATGAATATTTTTTTAGATGTTATTTTCATGTCCAGTTAGTTTCGTGAAGATAGAAATTTCAAATTGCGTGTTAGAATAGTATATTACTGCCCCAGGCCGAGAAAAAAAAGAAAAGTCTCATCAAAGCCGAGACTAATGAACACGTGCTCTGGGGCTTTCTTTTTTTGCGGCTTAGGCCAGTATAATATTTTTCATACCTAAAGTTACGAAAGTCGCTCTTCACGCTTTACGCAGCGGGAGGGAAGTAGTCGCTTTCGGGCCGCTGGTATGAAAAATAAGCTCTTTTACTTGGGATTTGAAATTTCTCGAATTAAGAAACAGTTTTGAAATAACTGAAGTATGTCTTAATTTTATAAGTATTTAAACATTGTAAACGATAAAATAATTAGCATAATTTCTAATAAATACCAATAAATGATAAACTACCATTAGAAATTGAGTGATACTTACTTTGATGTTTAAAGAGCTCTACCAAGGGTTTATTGTACTCGATGAGTGAATGCTGTCGTTATTGTTAACTCTTTTATTTATTCATATAAGTATACAAAAAGTAAATTGTAATAGTTAAATAATTGAATATTGAGGTAATTGTTACAACAAGTTTGTCAAAGCTTTTTAAAGACAAATGAAGTACAACATTATTTTGACGAAAGAGACTCTTCAAATTATTTTGAAGTTCCTTTTGCATTGAAAGTAATGCATCGTATTTTTTACTCAAAATTTAAGGTAAATAAAATTAATTTTCAAAGCTCTTTCCAAAATTATAACATTTTAATTGTTTTTGAAAATTTAGCTTAATTTTGCAATTTCATTTTAAATATACACTTAAAATTAAGTCTTTTTATTAACTCATTATTGAAAATGATCCAAATTTTAAAGTACAGTGACGAATACATTTGCAATAAAGGATTCGATTGCTTATATGATAAGTCTATTATGGAACCTGTTAATGCGACAAATGCGTGTCCAAACTATGTAATTTGTAGCAAAAATGGCTGTTTTGTAAAACTATATTAAGTGAACGAATATCCATGATAACGACAATTGATAAAAATTGGAAAAAAGTAAACTGTGAAAGGAACAATATGTATATTATATGTGTACAAACTAACAAAGAAAGTTTATAAAACAAAACGTTTCAAAAATTATTCAATATTTTATGTGCATTTTTTCAGAATTTTTCCAACCACATTGTGACCGGTTTTTGACGAATTCAAATTCTATAAAAACGCACCAAAAACCCCAGATGATGAATTTCAAGAAAAAATATCAAGTCTATGCATGGTTTTTACAAGGTGAAAAATTCATGCACCAAAATGGAACTTTAACCAATTACGAACTATAAAGGAACGAATTTTGAGTTTTAATTTGACAATGCGGAACTTTCAATAAAATGGTCGGTGCATAGATTAAAAAATATGACAAAAATTAATAAAAAATGTAAAAATAATTCATATCGAACCTTATATTTTTTAGTATCACAGTTATGTATATAGCATAGATATAAGTTCAATATTGTTAAATCTTATTCAGCACTTAGATTTTACTGTTATTAAAGATTACTGCTTTGTTAATCAATATTTTAAACAAACAGAGAGAAAAATAAGATGACTTATTATGTGTTCAAGGTAATTTTTTTATTTTCTTTTTAACTAAATCTTGTAAAGTTTCAATGATACAATCTGTAAAAGTATTAGCTTTTTCACATTTATCGTCCGAAGATTTTGCTGAAATCAGTACAGTTAAAGGTAATCTTTTCATCAAATTTGAGAATTAATGGTTAAATTGTAACATACCTGATTCAATACATAATTCAATTAACTTAATAGCCGTTTCCTCGCCGAATTCCTTTATAACATAGCCACTTTGCCTCACGGCTTCATTTCTAATTATGTGGCCGTCTTTCAACTGAATAATTTTATTGGTCACAAGTTCATAAAATATAAATGCATAATTTTTTAAATTGATTTATGAATTATTAAAATTAACAATTGAAATATGTGCGCTTATCGAACATTAACAAGTCCATTGAGTTATGTTTAATGTAATTGTTTCGTACATGTAATTAACGTGGAAGGTTTTAAAAAATTTTATATAATAGCTTTCTAACTTACAATTCTTTTTTTTTCCAAAATGCAAGCTTGAACACAATTCAATTGAGGATCTCTTTTTTCAGCAAGACTTGGTAAAGCATCTGATAAAATTGTAATCCATTAAATATCAAATTTAATAATATTTATAAAATCCTTTGAACAATGCAACTTACCCATATTTAGTCCTCTTTCAAACAAACACTCTGGTAAGAAAGTTTGAGATTTAGCCTGCAAAAAAATTTTTTTTCAATAATTCATTCAATTCAGAATAAAACATTATTATTAAAATGACTTTATGTACACTAACATGTTTACACAGAGATAATGTAATGAAAAAAATCGAAATGTATGGGAAGAAAATCTGTAAAAATGAAAATTTCATTATATTTTTAATGTGGTGAATCTGACTTTCTCAGATTTTAAGACGCATGTTGAGTATAATCTTAAGGCGTTGGCTAAAAATTCTGCGCAAACTCTCTATAGTCTAAAAAGAGGAATTGAAAAAAAAAATAGAAATAAAAATAAAAATATATTAAATTAAATATAAAAAAAACACAAAGATCAAAAACATATTTTTGAAAATTCAATTTTCAACACTTTTAGTTAAAAATACCAAAAACAAAAAGCCTTACCAAGGCCATGACATAAATTTCGTAGGCAGTAGCTGATATTCAGAGAAAGCTCTGTGAAAATTTTGGAGATGAAAGTCCGGATCGAACTCGATTAGATTTTGATTTTCGAGTCTCTTTCTATCGAAACGAGACACACGAGTGCTCAGATTACTTTAGGGTACGTTTTTTTTTTAATTTGGACAGCTTTCAACGAAAAAGCGGTCTGATACTTGTTCGTTTAAGTCACGATATTATAGTATTTATACTGTATTACATAGTGTATAATACTGAACTCGGAATCATTTGAAAATTTGCTGTAATCATGAATGTCGAAAAAAGTTCCAACTTCGGGCCTTTGCAAACAGTGAATAGACGGTCCAAAAAATTCTAATAAAGTGGACATTTCTGACACTTGGAACAAGTTTTTCAAGTTTATAGATAAAATATTTCCCAATCATTCGACTTTACTGAGAATTGGTACTCACTGATATGAAAATTACTTCCAAATACGTGATGGAAAGTCTATTTTGAAAATTCGTATACGTGATCAGTTTTTGAACAAAAAAAATGTATGTTATAATATAATTTTCCCACGATATAAACTAGTTTCTGTTACGAATAAGAAAGTTTGCTAAAATGGTGAGGATGCATTTGTGTGTACTTTTTTCAGTAGCATAGAATCTCTCAGTAACAGATTGATAAGAAATATTTTAGCTGTATGGTAAAAGTCAAAATTCGTTGTAAAATATGGGATACGACTTGGGTACTAATAAAAAGTATTCGTCAAAATAGTTCCTAGAGCTTATGTGAGATGATGAAGGGGTACCATTTTTATCCGGAACTTTTTTGGTGATAAATCGGGCAATTCGGAAAACTCAACTGAATAAAATTTGATTTATTAATTTGAAAAATATTTGAGGGAAATTACAAATTATATTCACTAGAATATTTAAAATTAACTTTTTCTCATTTTATATAGTTTTTAAAAAATATTTTACAATAATGGTAAGTTTTGAAAAAAGCCTTAAAAAATTCTTTTCGAAACAGTATTGGGATTCAATTGTGCAACTATTCAATTGTGCAATAAAAAATGATTGTGTAAATGTCCTCTTTAGTCATAATTAAAGAGATCCCAATCGCTTTTTCAAACATCTATATTGTTTTTGTACTCACAAAATTATACGATATAGATCCAGACAATAGTTATAGTTATCCAGATAAAATTTTTTGTACTTGGTGTCCCACTTTTGAAGCTAATACGGCTTGGCTTTAATATCAATTCGATTTTCAGGAGGTAGGGAGTTTAGTCGGATGTCGTGATTGCATTTATGTGAACACCTGCATTCGTTTTTGAAATGTCAAATTTTTGCAACTGCAGGTGGCGACACCATGCATCATTTGTATCTCGTCCATCGTATGTTTTAACATATCTTGTATTATAATAGTTAATTCACATTTTGTAAGCATTCGTGTACTTTCGATTTTATCCTTGATTTTCATCATCCTCCTCTCGTTTATAATAAAAAAAAGTGACAATGTCAAAGTCAGAAGTTACTTTAGAACATTTTTACATTTTTAACAGCACTTATGCTAAGAAAGAAGGAGAGGTATGTCTGATTAACTACCTAACGCAGTCAATGATTGACTTAAATAATTCATTTTTAGGAAAAGAATAAAATTTTATATTATCATCCACCAAAAACGGATATTGATTCTCAAATAAGAAATATCGGACTGACTGAAGCAATAATTAAATTTACTGAGTAAGATGAATTTAGTAATAGAAATGATTAATTCTGACATTTAAATATTTATTATTTTCTTTAAAGGTCTTTTAATCCTGGACAAACATGTGACTATTGTCATACCCATAAGACTCGACAAATTTATTATCAACCAGAGCCAAATTTTTGGATGGTTATGGTAAAATTTAAAAGCTTTTAATATTTGAATAGTAAAAAATAATTTCATTTTAAATTCTTACTTGACTTTAGATTATTGGAGTACCATATATTACTAAAGAGAAAGATGGTAATGAATATATGGAATATCAAAGTGATGAAGTTCTCAATAGTACTTGCCAATCTATCACTAAGCAGATGTATAATATTTTTCGATTATTTATGGGATCATTCAATACCATACTAAATGAACCTGATTATGGATCTGTCACATTACTTAGACACAAATTAGATCATTTTTATTCTAGAGTAAGTTTCTTCATTTGATGTAAACTTTATTTGATAAATGAAAATGATTATTTTGCAGTATTTGTCATCTCTAAAACTGAATAACTGTGATATTGTGGATGTTTTTCAAGGACTTCAATTTTTGCCTTTAGATAAAGTCACTTTTTTACGTGTTCAATGTTTCATGAATCTTCTTGAATCTACTTTTCCACAAATTCAGTATACAGCTTTTTTGTACAATGATCAACTTGTTTGGTAATTGATATTTTAGTTTTTTTATTTGAAAATATTTGTTTTTATAAAATGCTGAATAGTAAATATAAATTTAAGGAGTGGCTTAGAACCAGAAAGTATGCAAGTTGTTTATAGTTATTTAGTCAATACACTTTTGCCAGACTATTTAGAAAAAGAATTAGAAGGAGGATCAATGCCTAACCATTCTATATCTCCATTTACAACCTCACATTATGGAAAGTAAGTTTAAATATCATACAAATTTTAATAAACGTATTACAAATACAATTCTAATAGAAACTTGCATTTTAATTTTTTCACAGATTCATTACTGGGCCATCGAGTGTTAATGATGTGAAAAAGTTACCTAAAGTATTCATTTATCATTCGATAAAACCTACACAATTATATTTAATAGTTTACCGTACTTTGAGTGCAACAGTATGTTTATTTGTAAATAGTAAGCTATTCTCTAAATTAAAATTGTTTTGCTAAAATATTTTTTAGATTTTTGATGCTTGATTTTATCTGTTTTAGACAAGATCAATTCGTTGTTTTACTCTAGCCTAGATGCATTTCTGGGAGTTCAGTTGACTTCATTAGTCAATGAAGTAGCAGAAGAGTGCTCTAAACATGCAATAATGGCTACAGATTCTGGTACCAAATATTTATATTTCAATAAATTAAATTTAGCTTACAAAAGTACAATGCATGGCGACAATAGGCGCTTTTTATTTACTAATGCAACACCGGAGGTTCTAAGAATCATTACAGATATAAATTTTGACTCGCAAAGGTAAAAAGTTCATATCAAGTTCATATGCAATTCTTAATAAAAAATACTAATATTGAAAAAATTTTCATCAAGATTAAATGAAACCAGTGAAATAATTATAAAAACAATGAGTGATTATTGGATAGTAGGAAAGTTATCCAACTTGAGAGAATTTTATGTTGTTATGCAGAATAAAAATGCGAATATCATTGAAATTGATGGTAATATAATTTTAAAAATAAAAAATATATAGAAATCTTTTGATTTTTATTGTTTGCTTTGATTGCAGAAGAAGTTAAGAGATTATGCGAGCAGCACCTGAAGAGTATCTTCTTTCATTAAATTATAATATGCTCATTTTGTATCAAATTAAAACTATTTCAATTTTTATTCAATAAGTATATAAAAGATATTATAAAGTCTCTTGGAAAGAAAATGTATGCAGACAATCATATTCTTCAAGAGCTATGAGACAACTGTAAATTATGTTATATTACATACACCAAAATAATTGTACATATTTTTTTAAATTATTGATAGTATTCAAATATAATATTTCTTTATAAACTAAATGTTGCTTCCTTTTAAATACACTTTTTTAAATATAAAAGGTATACAAAAATATTTTCTACCAACATTATATAACATGAAAATTAGTTTTCATTAAGTTCATTTAATATAATTCCTAAAATCAATATTAATTCCTATTAATACTGGATAAAAAAGTGTAGACTTTTTTAAAAATAATATAAATTATTTTTCAATGAGGTACCATTAAAATGTGTAAAAATATCAATCTCTGAACCCTGAGTTAATATGTTATAGTCATTCAGCAATGCTGCGATTACAAAAAAATAAAGTAGGATTAATGGCAGTATGATTTACAATAAATATGTATTAAACTAATGCTGATATATTTTTTACCAAAATCTGAAAAAAAATCTGCGATTCTTGGTTCCATTGAAAAAGCATAACCGACCGACATTCGTTACTTAAATTATCTCATAAGTAATTTTTAGGAATTTTCTGATGATTCTCGTAATTAACTTGATATATTCATGAAAAAATAATTTAATTTTGCACACCCTTACATGTAAAATTAGACAACTTCGTTTAATCATTTGCAACTTATCTCGTGGTCTCGCGATTAATATTGAAACTTGTAAGGTGAATGTTTGAAAGGTTGCTACTAATCTCTACCAATGGCAAGTAAGCTAGGCGAACGGGCCGGCTCGATCATGTCAACTGAATTTGAAGTTGTTTTTGAATTCTGACGACGCTTCTATTCCATGATTATCGAAAAGATAGGTTGAATTCGACAATTTTTGTACGAAATTAAATTACTGTAAGGAATCGTATTATATGCATATAAATTAAATCATTTTATCGTGTTATGCGCTAAGATGAATCCGTATAAAATACACTCATCATAATTTGCTATGTTTGTTTGTCCAATGTCCTATGCACCATTACAGACGCCCAATCAGCAGAGCAGCTGAGCGCGAACTCTGAGTACGTCTGTTGTGTGTAATGTGTATACGTCTTAATTCTATGTTCCTATGTAAATATAAATATTTTAATCTTGTATCACCATTTGAGACCCGAGGATTTGCTATTTTTAATTTTAAATAAATCATCAAATCGTTACTTTGGTGACAAAAACCTACAATTTTTATTATGACGATTATTGTGTGATGTAGCTTTGATACCAAGAGACTGATGATCCTCAATTGAAGAATAATACTTCATCAAATGAAGCTTATACGATTCATTACACTAACAAAATGAAAAATCCGTTCGTAATTGTTGACACAATTGATGAACATTCAAAGCAAGTCGTCATGTCTAAAAGGGAATCTGTGACAATAGCAAAAAATGCTGATGATAGTAGTGTCGAGGTTTGTTAACCCTATTATAAATTGCAAAAATAATGGTTTTTTTTTAATTTTCTTTAATAAATTATCTATAATTATTTCAGACGTTGACTGAAGTTTTCCGTTGTTTTATTTGTATGGAAAAATTGAGAGATGCTCACTTGTGTCCTCATTGTAGTAAATTGTGTTGTTTCGTTTGCATAAAACGCTGGATTACCGAGCAAAGACCTCAATGTCCTCACTGTCGATCACCTCTACATCTTAATGATTTAGTTAATTGTCGATGGGTTGAAGAAGTAACCCAACAACTTGATACTCTGCAGTTTATTGGTAATAGTAATTCAAAATTCAAAGACTCTAAAAAGGATCAGTAAGAAATTTTTTAAAAATTTGAAAAACATTTTTATAAACAATATTCTATAGTACAATTAATGATTTTATTTAGATGTTTGACTCACCATGAAAAGTTATCTGTTTATTGCTTGACTTGTATGACGTCTATGTGTCATCAATGTGCTTTATGGGGATGTAAACATTCTGGACATACTTTCAAACCATTAGATGACATACACGAGCGTCATTTATCTCAGATAAAAGCTGGAATAGCTCTATTAAAACGTAGGTCACTGGAGTTGAATATGCAAATCCAAGAAGTAGTAAGTTTCTATCCTTGATTTTTGAACTGATAATTATAACGTTAAATTAATACAACCTTATGCTACTCAGGAAAGAAATGTTAAATCTATTAGAACAGCAAAAGATGAAAAAGTAAGAGAAATTAGAAATGCAGTTGAGCTAATAATAGCCCGTTTAGATTCACAACTAAAAGCAAAACTTTCTACTTTAACGGGTCAAAAAAATGTATTATCACATGAAACTGAAGAATTAGAGGCTCTTTTAAAGAACATTGATCAGCAGTTAAATTCCAGCACAAAGTCTGAACTGATTTCACAGAGTGCAGAAATAATACATATAATAAATCAATCTCATCAAAAGCCAATGATTAGCTTTGTGACAGCAACTGTGCCATCTGATTTTCCTAGGTATTTTCACCACTAATTTTTGTTTTTATTAAAACTTTTTTTTATAGATTAATTGAGTTAATACTTTTGAATTTAGTGAAATTGTGCCAGAATTTGATAACGGAACATTTATTATTCGAAATTTCTCTAAACTTCAAATAAAAGCAGATCCTGTTTATTCTTCTCCACTACATGTTAATGGACTATGCTGGAGGCTAAAAGTTTATCCTGATGGTAATGGGGCAGTTAGAGGAAATTTCTTATCTGTATTTCTAGAGTTAAGCGCTGGTTTACCTGAAACTTCCAAGTATGTTTAGTTTTAAAAATCATTCTGGTAACAAAAATAACTATTATTAAGATTTTTTTTTACAGGTATGAGTATAGAGTTGAAATGGTTTATCAAGGTTCTCCAGAATCAAACAAAAATATTATAAGAGAATTTGCCTCTGAGTTTGATGTAGGAGAATGTTGGGGTTACAACAGATTTTTTAAATTAGATTCACTTGGCCCTGAAGGTTATTTAAATACAGAACAAGATACATTGATTTTGAAGTATGGAGTTAAAGTTTTTAATTCTATTAAATCAATAATTCATGATTATAATTATTGAATAATTTTTAGGTTTCAGGTTCGCCCTCCTAATTTTTATCAAAAATGTCGGGATCAACAGTGGTACATAAATCAGTTATTGACAATTCAAAATCAATACAAAACACAAATTGATGATCTTAAACAAGTTAGTTTTTTTAATAACACACATTTTTGCTTCTGTAATTTCATATTTAATGAATGAAAAAATTTCCTTTTCACTTTTATAGAAATTGAGCACAGAACTTATTCAAAAATCAATAAGAAGTCACAGGAACTCTTCATTAGAGAGTTCAAACTCTTCAACAGCTTCAGTATTTGATCAGCCAAAACAATTAAATGAATCAGCAATTGGAGAACATAACATGTGTCCACTGAAATTTACATATACAAATTTGCCTAGGTAAATTTTATTTTGCTTTCTACTCATCCCAAGTATTATAAATTCCTATTATGTGATATTTCAGAACAATACCAGAAACTAAAATCAATAATGAATTGAAAATGAATAATGAAGTAACAAATAACTTTGGATCATTTACACTGGAAGAATTTGTTGATTATAAAATCAAAAAATCAGATATAAATAATGGGAGTATAACAGAATCTTTAAATAATCAATGCATTAAATCTATCAATTCATCTAACCAAGCTTCCAACTTGGAAGATAATGCTCCCTCCAGCTGCAGCAGTAGTGACTGTGATGTAAATAAATAATTTTCATTTGCAATTTTGTTCAATATTTTGTAAAAATTATAATTTTATAATTTCTTATAGGAAATAAGTGAGGAGGAAAATGCAACAGCCAACATAAATGTAACTTCACTGCATAATAATTCTGCTGATGAAAAAGATATTGAAAATGAAGCCATGTCTGGTTAGACTTTGGTTTATAATAAATACTATGATTAAGAATATTTTAAAATGTCCTTTTTATTACTTAAAACAGGTGAAAATGATATAGAATCTTCAAGAATGCCATGGTTACAAAGTGAGCACAACTTTAATGTTAAAGAAAATTTTAGGATGCCAGAAAATGAAAATAGGTGCCACAACATTTTTTATTTTTTAATGATTAAATTGCTACCAGTGAAATAAAATTTTTATTTGTACATATTTTTTTAAGAGCAAGGAATCTCGATGGATTAGAGAATGAATTTCATCATGTGATGCAAATGCAAGGTAGAACAACTTTGCAAAGTCGAAGAACTCATGAACTTCTAAACCCACAATATCCTATTCTGAGATATTCTGATTGTGATTCAATTGAATCACTTGACATGCAGTACACTAATGCAGTAAGATTTTATCATAAAAAACGGTATAATTTGCACTTAAAATGTTTCATGTAAAAATATATTTTGTGTGGATAGATGCCTTTTAATTGGAGTTTATCTCCTCAAGACCACGAAGATTCACATTCAAGTAATGATCGACATAGTATCTCTAACAAATCCATTGAAGAATCCGAATTTCAGCCTACTACTCGATCAACTTCGATAAAAAGTGATAAAAATAATGTTGATCAAGAATTAAATTCAATGCAAATACCCGATTTAAGAGTACCAACTCGTGAGTTATAGTTTATTATTTCAATGCAAAAAGTAGGTGACTCCAAGTATATGAATATTTTTATTTTTCAGTTACTTTAGATAATAAATCAAATCAAAGGAATAACTCTTCAAATTTGCCATCACATAATTGCGATACTAGAAATTCTTTAAAAAAAAGCGAATCTCTCGACGAATTACTGAGAAGTATGCAACTATTACCGGATAATGTGAACTCCTATGATTTGCCCGATGAAAGGTAAAATATTTATTTTAAACTTACTTTGATGATTGCAGTAATTATTCCCTATTATGTTTCATTTTTGGGGTAGATGTAAGATCAAATTTTTTAACTTTAAAATATTTTTTTCGTATGATAAAATATTAATACTTTTATTATGAAATGTTCATGATATTTTTCATAATTTTTCAAATTTGCTGTTATTCATTTAGTAGTTTGAGACACAAATTTTTATCTCAAATTTACCGCTATTCAAACATTTTTCTTTTAAATGAATATTATGATGGGTTCATAGAGTGTTGGTGCCAAACCTAGAGATTTAGAAAATGATTTTTTTAAGTTCACCACTAGGAGCGGTTTCGACCTTTAACGAAGATCGATCTCAGTATAAAGTGAATTCTCGGCTTTGCGCTTTAAACTAATGTATCTCTTTTAAATATCTACTCACAGATTTCTGTCCAATTTGAAGTTATTTTCTACAATATTATGATATTATTAATAATTAAATCGAGGAGCGCGAGTCGCGCTCTATCTGCCAAGTAAACCAACTACCGTGCCACGTTCTCCTTGTATACACTACATTATGCTTCGTAAAAATGTACGCATTGAAATAGTTCAATTTTTTTTCTTCTTTACAAACAGAACTTAAAACAACTCAAAGAACTTAAAAAATGTTCTATCTTCACTAGGAAAGTAGATACAGGCATAAATATTAGAAACAACTTATATTTTCTTTTTTTTTAACCAAATTTATAATTATATTGTACTATTGATGATTTTTCAAAAATTTTTTTACGAGAATAACTTAAAATAATAACACTACAAACTTATAAAATCAAGCATTTAAAATAACTGCACACCACTGATGAAAGACTTATAAATATTTAATTTTTTGATAATTATTTATCTGATCGCTTGTCGTAAAAATAGCGTTATATTTCGAATTCAGCGGTACCAAATTCATCCAAAACTATCACTTATACTGATCCGAGTCATTAGGATACAAAAATCCTTCTAACGTCCGGACTATCTAGTACTCAATAATTTTTTGTAAAATCATGAGAAACTTGAAGAATACCCCCAGATTTGCATGAATTGCAAAGAATTTCGGACAAAAATAAACTCCGTGATTTTAAATATAATTGGTCGTAAGAAATATCACTTTGCGCTAATACGCGACCGTTTTTTGATATTATATATTATATTACATTATTAAAAAAAACTTGGCAAAAAGTACATTGTATAATAATTAACTAGAATATATTATTGGAATCCTTTTAAAACCTCTCCAAATTTTTACATGACTTGAATAAAAGTGGTCAAATATTAGATCGTATCTAGTTATTGGTACAATCGCATACTTATGGTCGATTGATTATTTAGGGTTTTTTTTTTGAAAAATACCTGATTCAATTCTTATGTTAATATTATAAAAATTTTTTCCATATCGACTTAAATAGGTTGTTGCATTAAACGAAAAAATATCATACTAGTCTAGGCAGCAAAAAAAGGCTCCAGCACCTTTTATCGGCCTCGTCTTTGTCTCGGTCTACTAATTATAAGTGCTCTGAGACTTCTCCGTTTTTTCCACCTAAGGCTGTAATATAATATTATAACTACATTTACCTTTTAGTGATGAAACTATAAATTATTCCAATACCAACCTCTCAAAAACAATTGTTAAAGTATTCACCGAATTTTAATTTTTTTAAAAAATTTTATTGAAGTAATTGTGTCGTAATCGAAAGTATCGAAAGCTAACTTCAACATTTTTTAAAAACATTTCCCACAATTTTGACTGTGTATTTGTAAAATGTATTCGAAACCTTCTATCATTTTTTATTTTACCCTGGGTCTAATGTTTCTGTGAAAGTATTTCTAATAGATTTATCTAATAGGTATTATTTTAAAATAAATAATATCGTGTTTTACTTGTGAAATTAAAAAAAAAAAATATTAATTTTTTGCAAGTGTCTTTATATAATATTTATTCTATCGATATTTATTCTATGAATAAAATTATTGAATAATATCATTTGATAATTTTTAGATCAAATCCATATTTTAATAAACAATCAACTTCTAATGCCGAGAATCTTGGAAGATTATCAGAATTTGATGATAATAGTTCTACAATTCACGAGGAAAATATTGAAACTACTTCTGACTCTAATTTGACAATGAACTGCAATCAAAGTTCAAATAATTATGCCTGGATTTTGTCATCTCTCACGCAAAATACTGGTGAGTAATACTTTTATAAATATTATATATTAACAGAATGAAAAATGAGGGTGGGATTATTGTGTGAAACGACTGAAGGACTTAAATATTTTAAATCTCGTATTGACCTTGATTTTTTTTACAAATCAAATTTAGTTTTCAATTTAATTGTTTATTTTCCAATCAAAAAGTTTATTGTAATTTCATCCCTTCGTTTTACTTACGAGGATACCTTCCAACCTTTGCATCACAGTTGTACAGTTCTTTACCAAAAAATTTTTTAGCCTCCTAATGTTAATAAAAAAGCCCTCAGTGCATAATTTGATTAAATGATGGAACATTTTGAAAATGATTTTATTTTCTACTAAAAATCGTTGCGATTTTTCATTCAAAAAAGGAACAAAAATGTTTAGAAATCTCTATCGTTAAGATCCAAATTTGACGCGCTTTCTACAGTGGCTGACTCTGTAAAAGAATGATAAAAGCTTTTAAAAATTTAAAGAAAATACTGACGTATCTTTTGACTGATTATTAGACTTAAAAGTTTCGAGCATTTTTTTGATAAAGCCGCCTTTTTGAGATAAAAAATCGCAAAGATTATTTATTGATAAAAAAGAAAGTGATTTTTTTAATTATCTCGGAGGTTCTTCTAAATAGGGTGTTTCGTTATTAAGTTCCAAGAGCCTCTAAAATTTGTTTTCCAAAATAATAAAAAACTGTAAAAATTAATTTTTAGGTGAAAATTTCATTGACTTTGAATTACCCGGATCATCTGACAGCAATACGTCTACTTCAACTGAGATGTAAGTTGGCATGTTGAATTTTAAAATTTTCAATTAATTTTTCACTACTTTTTACAAGAACAATGGCAATATCTTCTTTACAGAACACCCAATAGAAAAAATTGATCTTCTAGCAATATGCCAAGACAGAAAATTTTTAAATTTTCAAGATGATATTGTACACCCTCGAAGTTTTTTGGTACTGCTTTGCAGTAATTTTACTTAGTATCCGTGTAATTGATTGACTTCACATTTGTTTTTGTTTTAATTCTATACATTGTGAAATGGTTATACATAAATAAATAATTAAATGGTTGAAATTCTATAAATTATTTATAAAAATTGCCTCGTTATACTTTTTCTTTAGTTACTTCGGGAAAATTGTTCGTCAAAACAATCCATCGACCATTCAGATTCTGAGCCATGGAATCGCAAAAATATTTTCTTATTCGAAATTGACGGGGCTCAGTAAAAGTCTTGGATTATATTCTTATTTCTTCAAAAGTGAATGTAAATCATTGTTATATCATCGTTACCGTTTTATGCGGGTGCAAAATTATTTATCATTTAAATCGACGCGAAGCATGATAGTTATAGATGGCGCTTACGGCTCGTAAAGTTGAGCGAAATTCGCCCGATCCAGGCCATAAGTATGCAGCATACATCTGCGTACTTTGTGCGAGCTATATATAGTTCGCGTGCATGCAGTCAATCGAATCAGTACATTACGGTAAAGAAGTCCGATGAGTCGGTTGTATGCATGCGACGGCGAGATCCGAATTGGCACAACAAAGCGTGCACGCTGCTCAGCAAGTCCATGCTGAGAACGTACAATACGATAGGCCGACTATACAAATTTCAATAGCTGCTGCACGTAAGTACGATTCAAGTAGAGGCTAATTCGACCAATCCAGGCGACTTTATGACAGTTGACGCAAGTATCGCAAAGCCACTACTAACGAGTGTTTTGTCGAGGTGCACCTGTAACCATCGCGTATGTATGTACACATAATATAGGTACCACTGCATACATGTTACTATAATTAGTTATGAGCTCGGCTCTCGAGGAGTCATAGTCCACGCGCCTGAATGACATAATCCTCGGAGCCCACATACCCAAGAGCTAGCTGGAAATAATAAAGAAGTGTATGCTTATAAGAGCTGAGAAGAGCTACGAGCCTTTGCCTATTACGTTTGACATGGTAAAACGGAGTTCCGTTTGAATACGGACGAAAAAAGTGCCAGGAATTTGCATAAAATGACAGAGCAACAAAGAGTCACTTCAGTTAATAACACCTTAACAATGATGGAGGACAACTGACCCGAACGATTCGTACCCAAGACCCATTACATTAGTAAAAAATCGATATCAATATAGATGGTAAAATTATCTAAGTGAACAATTTTCTTGGCTATACGTGTGTGAAGTATGAGCCTAGCATTATAAATTGTAACAGCATTCATCCTGCCTCACTTGGTGGGTAAATAACGACATAATACAACTACAAGTGTGTAGGCACATGCATAAAAATTGAGCGTTGTGTACGCGAATAGGCGAGAGACCGAAGTTGCAATTTATTGGGCTATTTAATATTTGTGTGCCACCACTTGGTAGATTAGACTTTCGAGTTAGCAGTTGGAAGCGCAGAAGCAGTAGCAGCAGCAATTTACTTTCGGAGTTTCAAGCCGAGTCGTCGAATAACGAGTCACGACTATACTAACAATATAGCTACGAAAGTGTGGAGGCTCACTGGCTCACTGGCGAGTCGTTGCGAATCGAAACTCTGCGCGTCGGACTCGTCTGCGTCTCGTATCTGGCCAATACATAATCGCAATCGCGCAAGTCCCGTCGGAGCAGAGCAGAGAAAGCAACAGCAGTAGCAGCAGACAACTCATGTGTCAAGCGTCGACAGTTGTTGCTACTGCTGCGTCGTATATAATTCGCAATATCATATATGGTTTGTGAAAGACGCATATAGACCGCTGGAAACTGCTCGATCGGGCAGTCTGCGTTGTGCGATTCCACGCAACGCGCACCTCGCACGTATAGGCACACAGAGCAGAGCGATTAAATTGCAATATTGTCTGCGCGCTGCGCTTTTGTGCGTGTGCAGCAACTCTGCTCTAGTCGAGTGTGCCCGATACACGTTCGTGCACGCGTGCTGATTTTTCGCCTTCTTTTTTGTCGCCTTGATCGTGCATCGTCGCGCACGATATATAGGCCCGCGTGCGAGCGCGTGCATGTGTGTACGTACGTATATACCACTGTGTGTATAGGTGTAAGCCAGAGAAGCTAGACCAGTCCACGCACGCTTATCACGAGCTTCTGCACGAGCAGCCTCGAGACTACGAGCGTCCCATATCAGTGTGCATCGACAGCAGCAGCAAAACAATCGATCGCAGCCGACGACCAAAACAAATCTGAGATCCTTTCGTTTTGGTGTGTGCCTCGATCGGAGTTGAGTAGTTACTCCTGCTGCGCTCGGCTGGCTCGTTTACTCTCACTCTCCCTTTTGCCCCCCTCTTTCTCTGTTGCGAGGGCCGCTCGGCCGAGACTTTTCGTCCTTATACGTCGTCGGACGCGCAGCCAAGGCTACGCTGCAGCCAACGATCTGCCGCGGCTTGCATCGGGATTCGAGGGCGCAACTGGGCCTCCCCCTGAGACACCGAGCTGACACCGAGTGCCAGGGTGGCTGGCCCGTAACGTTCAACAGTTCCTGCTCGCCCCGACCAAGAGCACAACATAGCCGCCACACCTGATATTTCTCTACTCTGTGTAAACGGGGTATGGTACGCGCGACAACAATTACCTGGGGCATGGGAGAGCCCGATAAGCACTGCCACGGCAGACCCGCTACATCTTCAGCCTCAGCAACGACGCATTCTTCCACCTCCACGTCCAGCCACAAAGACCTCGATGAGGAAGTCGCACTTCATCCGCTCAGTAACCAGGTTAGTTGGTTCCGTTTAATTTATGCCCTTTTTCATGCTCGTGTAATACCTAGATTGACCAACGCGACGTTACCGAATCCAGATCTTTTTTCACTTACAGCGAGCTTGTTTAATAACATTAAAGGTTACAAGTTCTTTAATTTATATCTCTCTTTCTCGCTGTTTTTTGCATCTGTCGTCTGCTCGCGCATCGTAGTAGCCTACAGCTGTTGTCTCGGTAATCGGTCAGTGTTGTGGTTTTAAGTACTTATTATACATCTAGCACATGTGATCACTGCTGTCACAGCCGCTCGAAAGAAATTCGAAAGCTTGAGACGATGGTTGAGTAAAGTATTGCAAGCAAAAGTGAATCTGCAGGTATATGATGAATTAAATTTGACGGATCGACGTTTGGCTATCAGTTGCAGTGTACCTATACGTTACCACTGACTATCCTTATTCACGCTCGACTCTTTGTTTCTGCACGACTAGGTCGGAGGTCATACTCGTCTTCTGCTGCTCAACCAGAATACTATCTGCAAGCCGTTGAACTGCAGGGAACTCGACTTTTATAGGAACATTCCGCAAGATATACAAATGTTTGTCCCTAAATTTAAAGGTAAGCTTTACTATCTTACATCATATTCTAATCGAGCTCTTGTTTAACACGTCGATTTTTAAACACTTATGGTAACACATTCAATCATATTTATAAACATTTTATATAAATAATATATTATCTTTGATACAAGTTTATCTTTTAATGTGATGTGTATCATTGACTGGTACCGCGTAAGTGCATAATCATGACCCTTAAGTAAGGACAGAAACCCATGAGACTTTATTTAAAATACAAGTCCTGCCATTTACTCATTAAAATTTCAACTGTTATCGGTAACTTTTTCATACTTTTTTTATTCGATTCAACTATAAATATTTTTCTTATTTTTCATGTTTGAGTGTGATGAGGCATGCTTCGGTGCGTACGTAAATTGTTTTGGTGTCATGTAACGTAACATGTTTACTACTTTTTTTTTGTTTTCTTTTTTAATTAGAAAAAATTATTACGATTTTATGAAATATAATTTGAAACTAAGAACGTTGGTGGAGTGTTTTTATGAAAATCGAAAACTAATTATGAGTTCAAATTAGAATAAGCTGAACTAGTTATTAAAGGCTAAAAAAAGTACTAAAATCGTTGCGTTCCCGGCGTTAGCAGGTTATCAAACTGTTTTAAAGATTTAATTTTGTTGCTACTGCGTCTTTCCATATTTCAGTAAAAATATTTTTTGCAAATTAAATAAAACTTTAAATTTTATATTTTTTCAATAAATTTATAATTGTATATCGTTGTAAATTTTATATTTTCTTCGAGTGTTTTTTCAAACGCCTATATTAACGAAGTTTCTTTTTTTTTTACGTAGAAGACAGGAATATTTTGAAACAGTGTAGAAAGTTCACTTTTCGAGATCTGCATTAAGCTTTGAAAGTAAAAGAAAGATCCCGAAGATGTGGCTGTAGCTTGTTCAAATGATATAATAGACCAAGAAATACGAACTTTCCACACGATTAAAAATAATATAAACAATGAGTGCGAAGAGTAGATGTTTCAATTCGTGCTTCTGTCGGGCCGGAGCGTAGTAATGACGACAAATGTTACGCTCATGAAAACACTTACTTTTCGCATTCATTGCGTAATCTACTAATGCGAAAAAATATAAGAGATAACCATAAGAGTATTAATAAACATACTGCCATAAAAATAATACTTTTTGCATTAATGTAAACTGTAAAATACCTTTCACGTCAATAATTATAATTTAATGCAATTTTTTGTTCTAACTTGTTGGAAATGTTAAATATAAAGTATTATTTTGGTATTATTCATTGTTTCATTCAATGTTTGAATGTCGGGAACGTTTAGTAAAAATTCGCTTAACAAATTAAAATTGAGACGACGACAGTTTCAATATAATTCCAAATTAGTTACGTTACCGTACCATTGAAATTAGAAAATGATTTTTTTGACCTGTTAAAATCATTCGTTACATACTATGCAAAACAAAAAAATAGTATTTCTGGAAGAGGCAAGACTAGGTACATAAATACCATGACAGTAATTTGAATTTAAGTAAACTGAAATTTGCGCTTGTAGGATAAGACTTGGGTAAACAATTTTTTTTATTTATTATAACCGGTAATTATGATGATGACGATGACGACGATGAACAATGAAAATACATCAAATCGCGCTTGATGTTTCATGATTGTCTAGAAATACTACGTTTTCTTTCAAGTAACCCCAGAGCCAATTTGTCACAAGGATACGTGTCTAGGAAACGAGGCATGGCTTGCTCGCAGACTCACTAGTGCCCTGAACACATTCCATTTGCTTCTCCTTGGCCAGTGCTCGGGGTTTGTATTTTGTTGCTGATCATCAATATATATTCCGCTTCGGGGGCGAAAGCTTCTCGAATATATGACTTACATTATTATCTGTCTGTCTCTCTCATACTCAGAATTTTTCTTTATCCAGGAAAAAGTATTAGTTACCATAATATTATTTTTGTTATTAATAATATTAATTTACTGTTTATTATACAGATTAACCCTAAATTTATCAAACACGTATAATAGTAATATGTAACTATTATACAGATCTAAAATTGTGTGGTTTCAGTCAAAATTGTTTTAGAAATTGTTACATGAATTGATGACAATAGAAAATTGTCCGTTTTTAATGTTTATTTCATTTGTAAAAAAAAAATTGATTAAAAATATCAATTAAATGAAATAATCTAATTACTTTTTTAATATCGTGAATATACACAATTCTTTCGAATTCCATTACATGAAACTAGAAAAATTTTTCTTCATCAAGGAATTAAACAACTACATTGATATTTTTCAAAATCTAAATCACAAATGAAAATCAGTAACTGTTAGTTTTTTGAGTAGGCGTTTAAAACCGATCTTTTGTTTCTACGATGTCTTATTCTAATTGAATTTTATTAAATACAACTAATCATAAAATTATAACTTTAAAATAATAATCACATTTTTGTTGTAGTTAAAATCACTTCATTTTGTGTAACAATTTCGCAGAACATTCTGTCTGAATTTCAGGATTTATACATAATTCCGATAAAGAATAATTACAATTAAAATGAAAAACAGTAACTATTGTCGCTATTTAAACGAAATATAAAGTTATCAAGTTGTATGAATTGTTGGCTGCGATTTAGAAGTTGTTGATTGCAACTTGAATATACATTTATAATGATATACAGTATAACACTACACTGTACTCATTGAATCTTAAAAATCTGCGCATGCTCTTACTTATTCAATGCATTGTTGCAGGAATTATGCAGGCGTCCAACAGCGGTGAAGTCAAGTTGGAAAAGCGCTACAGTCCAAACTTCAGAGATCAAGAAATAAGACACAGCGGTAAATCCTCTACAAAACGAAAACGAGACGATGTTTTGAGGTATGCGTCATTAATAACTTGCCACAATTTCTTATGATTCAACAATAATCGTATTAATTATATTCTTTTAATACAAAATAAAAAATGTATCGAACTTAGATCATGCTCTTTTATTATTGTTCAGAATGAAAATTCATCGGAAAAACAGTTCGATAGATGTTTCAAAATCATCAATGCATTTGGATTTAACGGCAAATAAACAATGTATGTGCCTACGTTGTTATTATTCACATGAGACCTAGTTATTTAATATGATCGTATGCAAATGTGTTTTTCTTTTGCTTTGCAGATTTCCTATTACTAGAAAATATAACGTCATGTTATTCACAACCCTGCATATTGGACCTGAAAATGGGGACGAGGCAGCACGGCGACGATGCAACAGCCGAAAAACGAAGCAAGCAGATAGCCAAGTGCGCTGCAAGTACCTCGGCTTCGCTAGGAGTACGTTTGTGTGGAATGCAGGTACGAATTTACTGAATTATCTCGAAAACAATATTTCATTAACTAAAATAAGCAATAATTTTCTTTGGCAGGTTTATCAAGCAGACACGGATCACTATATAAAACGAGATAAATATTACGGCAGAGAACTAAACGAGGAAGGTTTCAAAGCAGCGCTTTACAGATTTTTTCACAATGGCTATTCTTTGAGAACTTCTATAATTGAAAAAGTCATAACAAAACTAGAACAATTGCGCCGTGCTATCGAAAGACAAAGCAGTTACCGGTTTTATTCCTGGTGCGTTTATTAAAACTTTTACGTTCGTCCATTTATTTTATTTTTTCATTTCCTCTACGTACTTAATATTTAATTTGTATATTTGAAAATGCATTTATAAAAGATATTTGCAGCTCTTTATTAGTGGTGTACGAAGGCTACCAAGTAGACGCGTACACGGAGCATCACGACACATCGCTGGGAGTAGCTGAGCCTTTGGTAACGCACTCGGATCACTGCTGTTACGACGCAGACACCAGCAACAGCTCGGCGGACTACAATTTGTCCAGCCACGAAGAAGTTAGTCAAGCTACCTTGCACCGGGGCTTCGGTGAGGCAGCAGCCCGTGGTGCTAAAAATCCCCTTGGATTTTATCCTGTTAACGAGGAGACCGTATTCATGGACCATCATTCTGTGCACGGTATTATGTCGGATCACCTGAGCCACCATCACACGGATAACTGGATGCTTTATGGCAACAGCAACAGCAGTAGCAGTAGTAGCAGTAGTAGCAGTAACAGTAGTCATGGCGCAAGTGGCGACGAATTTTGCTGCGGTGGTTCGCGACACGGGTTGGTCATCAACTCCGAAGATACGAGTTCTGATCTTGATATCAGTCGACTATCTGAACGTACTGGATTAAAGCATAATCAGAAATTGCAGCTTCATTGTAGACATCATAGGCCCGTTCAAAAAAATGAGCATGGCAATGACGATGACGATGAAGAAGAAGATGATGATGATGACGACGATGAAGATGACGTTTGTACCAGTATTTCAAAACGATTAAAAGTCAAAGTCACTTCAAGCACATCTGCTACTGCTAATATTGGGCAGAAAAGTACTTTAGACGACTCTCTAGTCGATGTGCGCATAATCGATTTTGCTCACACGTCTTTTTCGCATGGTCATAGTACTTCAGCAGCCAGCTGTTCCAATGCTACCCTTCATCAGGGTCCGGATTGTGGTTTTCTTACTGGGCTTGACAGCCTTAAGCGCCTGTTACTGGAGATACTCAATGAAGGCTAATTTTTTTATACATCTCCGGTAAACGCTCACGATAATTGTATTTTTGTGTATGAGGCTTGTTGGCGATCAAACTAGTCTCTAAAAGGTGAACATAATTAGTTACGCAGTCAATTTTGATTCATTCCCGTAAATGATGTGTTTTATATTTTTAGATTATATCGACTCAAGTCGACTCAAAATTGTTGGGAATAATTGATGGTAGCACATGTATATTGGATACGAATACTGAGAGCCGTGAATGCCGAAGGAAATATCTAAAAATTGATAAATTATAAATTATCAGGCTGAAATTGTCAAATGGAAATTTGATTAGTTTTCTATAGTTTGAAACTATGCAATTTTTCTTTAGCTAAATTAATTTATCAATCAAATTTCTCAATGAGGCCTATGTATATTAAAATCCTCAATGTTGTCAACGGCTAGTTTTGAACTATTATGTTCAAAATAAAAACGAAGACTTACTATTCTAGTAGATGGGAAAATGCCGACGATGCCTTACGCATGCGTTTGCGACATTGTCTAACGATTGAAACAAAATTATTAAATTCTTCAGAGAAAATCTTTGAATGGGTATATGCAACACAAAAATATCCTAATGCAAAGCTAGAAACAATGATGAAAAGGTTCCTGCCAAAAGTATATGGTGTTGAATTACACATTCACAATAATTAAATATTGCCAAGTACATTATTTCACAATAATCAAATGTTTTCTCCTGCAATAAAACTGCTGGGAAAAATTACTCTACTAACATTCATAATAATTTGGTGCATAAACCCAATTACAGGAAAAAGTAGGCATTCTAGTGTCTATTGTAATTTTTAATTAAAGTATGAATGTGTTTGTTATTGAATCTGTAATAAAAGTAAAAGTCCATAAAATTAGATGTGATGAAAATACAGTGTTAGTAGCAAAAAATAGGTAAAAGATCAACCATGGTTCTATTAGCGCACTTTTATTTTTTATTGTTGTGACAGTTATGTTGTCATGGAAAATGGATCATTCTTTGCTTCGTGATTATAGTGAATTAAGTACCTTAGGATGTACATTTAAATAAGTCTTACATCGCATATGTATACGCGTGATGTAAAATATTATTTTTTACTTCCTTTATTGTAAATATTATTTTCATTGACTTTTTAGAAAAGTGTCTATTTCAACCGAAATTTAAGCCCAAAAATGTATATCTTCGTCGAAAGCTAAAATAATCAGCACGAACTTAGTACAATACGTACTTAGATCGCCTAATAACAATACCTTAAGCACTCGTTAATTAGCTTTGACCGCTAATTACACTTCCCTTTGGCTAGGGTGATTTTACATGCCTCACCTTCATTACAGCTTACTGATATAAGTCAGCTTTGTTTACGAGATTCGGCTATTTTCTATTACCGATCGGTGGCGGGTGAGGCTTGGTCTGACGAGATAAATCAACGTTGTAATCTCAAAGTTGCGAGAGAACTTTCCGAGAGGATCCTCTATCATACATAAGGATTTGTCTCCTCAGCTCACAGTAAATCAGTTTTGGTATGTAAAATCGCCGAGTCCAAATAAGCGTCCTTGCGTGTAATTATACGTGCCTTGGGGCTTTTTTGTGGTTCGAGTACGTAGTATACTACTTCGTAAATCTTACAGCAGAAAGTAAATATTTCGTTCGACTTGCGACTATGATAGTATGAAAGAAACTATTTTTACAACTCAAAATGTCAGATTTACGAGAACACATTTACCTTCATCAACATAAATTATTAGAAAAAATAATAACAAATGTTATAAGCTGATACTTTAAATAATTCGAGTAAAAATCTATAATCGGTACTGAATGTGATAAAATAATATAAGATGAAAATATTTACATAAAATTGCAATGATAATGTTTCGTAGCTCTAGATTTTGAATTTAAAATATTTTTACGAAACACAGTTAATGAATTAAACGTAGAAAATGTTTCAACAATCATTCACGATCATTTTTATAATTTTAAAACTGAACAAACAGAATTTGGTGTACATATTTAATTATAATCCAGTTCCTGCCGCCATGATTTTAAGCATTTGTAGGTCTAAAACGATTGTATTATCTAGTTCTTCCAAGGAATTGAACATATGTTTAATAATTAAAAAACATATATATATTATATATATGAAAGACGATGTTGCTTTAGTGTAACTTGTATTTAAACTGAAAATAGTAGTTGTAAATAGATCTATTATTCTTAATAAAGGATAAATATAAATTAAAATTCTGGAATATTTTATATAGATAAAAAAGCAAAAATCTGTGTAAATACCCTTACTCGAGATACCCTCAAATCATTTCTTATACTCAAATTATCAAATTTTACACTATCTCGAGAAACAGTTCTTCAACTCAAAAATTTCAGTGCATTATTTATCAAAACTATATATACAAATTAAGTTTATGTTGAACTATTGGGCTTGGTAGATGATTCTGCATAAAATTAATTTTTAAGTCAAAATGAAACAATAAATATAAACACATTCACAACACAAACAGTATGTATATATTGTTATACTGTATAATCAATTATAAAATAGATTGAAATAATAAAATTGGTTTGTTTACTAAATTACTATTGATTGATACATTTTAGTTCACATAATTATTAATACGAAGATTTATCAAAAAGATGCTGTAGTCAAAGTGAAAACTTTATAATGTTATGTTCTCTGAGACTCGTACTATACATTTTTCGTTGACGGCTCCGTGAAAAATCATTGAAAAAAGTTATAAGTAGAACTTTTTTACTATAAATTAGTTATATATAATAGTATATATATTTAGTATTTGTAAATGTACTTTGTGAAAATACACGTTCGGAATTCGTTCAACTTTTCTTATAATTCGATTTAATTTTTTTATGCATTCAAAAATTAGGTTGCGAAAACGCTAATAGCACTTTTGTTCAGTTTCAAATGACATGAAAGGCACTCCTTTGAAATAAGTAACTTTAAAAACACTATTAAAAAGATATTGCAAGTACTAACTCTTTATTCTAAACTAATAGAATGTATAATTTGTGATGTGCAGTCAAATAAATATTTGTTTTAGATAAAGCAAAGACTTATTTATAATCACCATGAGCCATCATTACAGGGTTCAAACATCTAAATTTGTTTTTGAAAAGTCAAAAATCGTCGGTTTAAATGTTTAGAACTAATTCATCGCGACACAAATACACTATCAAAATATGTATATACTAATTTTTATCAAAATATGCAAAAATAAATAATCTTGAGGATAACAACAATTAGGTTTTATACATCGATATTTTCGTAAGCTTTTAAAAATAGATATTTTAATATTTTGTAGCACAATCGGTTCGAAGATTTGTATTGAACACATCCACAAGTCTATATTTTTCACTCAATATTTTGTTATATATCTTTTTTACAAAAAAGTATTTTTGCATAAGAAAGTTATAATCTTTGTCATAGGTAAATCAAGTGTGCTAAGATTTCATATAGCAGGTAACCGATCGAATGACATTTTATATTCTACTGTCAATTCTATATAACAGTTATTTAAGAATCACGGGAATTGATAAGAGTGCGTTCAGAAAAATAAAAATTGGAGGTCAATCCACAAAATTATCCAAAGAGGAAAACCGCAGTGCGTCATTTTTATAAAAATAGTGAGAGTTGTACAAATTATTTATAACATATTCATAATTTGATTCTAATTTAACTGTCAATTTGTTGATTGTAAAGGCTCCAAAAAATAATGAGAACCCACTTTTCAATAGAAATAATCGAAAAACCACAAATTTGGTTGATACAAAAAGAAAAATGTCTTAAGTAGTGGGTAATAATGTATATCGATAATTAAAAAATATTTGAATATGCACCTAACTTTCATATTCACCAGCCATTTGGTAATGGTGTCTTCGTAAAGCCGATAATTTCAATCTTTCGGATTCCAAAGCTTGTTCCAGTTCTAGAACCCTCACCTGGGCTTCCATTTCTAGCCTCTTGGCTTGATGCAAACTTAATCCAGAAAAATCCATATCTTCTGTAAAAAAATATTTTAATAATGAGTATTTTTGAGAAGTATTTTGATATATATCAGTTTCTACAACATTTTTCTTATGAAATTATTGATCAATTCTTAAATTTCGTGAATTTTACTAATTTAAGAAATATTCGAGGGTATTGAACTTTACCATTATCTTCAATAAGTTGATTACAACTCTTAGCAGTTGCAACAACACTTCCTGTTGCTTGTGTAACCAATCGAGAAGCTTCTGATAATGCATTTAGGTTTGTACTGTTTCTTTCAGCTTTAACTCTACTAGCAACAACCAGTTGGGCAGTTGAAGCTGCAATACCTTGAGAAGCTACAACAAGTTGTTCAAATTTTCCATTACCAGACACTACCTTATCAGCAGCTTCTCTGAAAAAAATAAAAATTGTAATTTAAACTCAACATTCTGCAAGATAATAATACAATTTCAGTAAATTTTTGATTTACATACAGTAAAAAATTAGCTCCCATTGCTATAGCTTTAGCTGCTGAAATTAAACCCTCTGACCATTGATGATTTCTTTTATAAAATTCTGTAGCTGAAGCTGTCCCTTTTCCTTGGGCTACTATTTCCATTTGTAAAGATCTGGATTTTTTCACCAAATTTCTAATGCTTTTCATTAATTCTGTGCATGAATCTAAAATTTTTCCATTGACCTCCAATTTAACTCCAGAGTCAGCAGCGCGAGATCTATCTAACATTTCCTGAAAAAAAAAGTATAATTTTAAAATTATCTATATTGATTTTTCACTAATGAAGGCATTTTAAGTCTCTTAGCATGTTAGCACAACGATACGAGATTTTTAAACGAATTTATTTTATATTCTTTTATAGATATTTAAGTATTTTTTCTGTGAGTTAGAAACTAAGCAATTTCCTTTTGATATTGATGAATTTTTTAGCATAAACTAGTAAAGCTTCTTGTTTAATCACGTATGGGGTATTGCATACCTGAATTTTCAAAGCAGCTTCTTCGATAGCCTTATCCATGCTCATCAATTCATCTTCTACTAGATCGCCGATTACTTCAGCATTACCTTGAGTCTCCAGTAAAGTGTCAGATAGTTCTGCAATTTTTGCTAATTGTTTTCTGACAAATTTTATTTGTTCTTCTGTTGATGGTGATGTTTCTTTCATGTAAGTGAACATAATTAAGCCTTGTGATCCAAGTTGTTTACACTCATCCGTTAATCCTAAAAAATCAATCTTATAAGTTTTATTTAAAAGTTTAAGATTTAAATTAAATTTCATAAACATTTAATGAAATATTAGAGCATTTTTATTCACATATGCAAGTACAAAACTAGAAAAACTTACGATCTCCAATACTAATATCTTTTGAAGTATTTGATGTAAATTTAACCAACATTATATAAGTGGCAAGAGTATATGCAGTATGGATTGCACTATGGATAATTTCTTTTCTTAGCAGTTGATTATTTATGAAGTTTCTATATGTAGAGTTTAGTTCAATTAATGCTTCGTCAGTTGGTTTTACTAGACTTCCAAGATATTCGAGAGTACAAGTGACCGCTGATACAGCAGGATTATCAATAACATGCATAACGTTTTGTAAAATTGCCTCGGCTTCCATGAGACACTTTACTATAATAAATTATATAAAATTTATTATATATTATATAAAATAAATCTGATTAATTTTTTAAGCATTTTGATAGATTTACATACAAAGTAATTCTTTCATTAATGATTCAGAATCAGCTCTTGCTTGAATTAGAGAACGTTCGGATTCTGTTTTTAATGTTACGATTTTCATTTCTAACTCTTCTTTTTGAGAAGTCAAATCTTGTAAATCTCCTTCAGCAGCGGCTTTTTGAGAAGTCATAAAATCTATTTTTGATAAAAGGCTCTAAAATATGAAGAACAAAAAATAAAAGTTTCATCTACAACAAATGGATGGATAATATATTTAAAATTTACCAAATTTTCACTTTTAACTTCATCAAATTCTTTCCTAACTTTTTCCAAGTCTGTTCTCGCCTGAGAAACTCTTTGTGCTTCTTGTTCAACGGAAACTTGGCCTTGTTTTAGTTCCTCTAAGGATTGTTCAACTTCTAGAACTTTTCTATTAGACTGGTCTAATTTTAATGTTGTACTTCCAAGAAGTTTATCTACATCAGCTTTCTAGAAATAAGTAATTAGGTAATAATTGAATTAAAATTGTTTATTTTTTTAACACATACTTTTCTTATTAATGTAATATGTTCTTCACGCAATTTGGTATATATAATTTTTAATTTTTCGAATTTTTCCTCCAGTAGTTTTCCCCTATCTGAAATTTAACATAAACATCAAGTACTTTATATTGAAAATATATTACTTTGAAGTTAATATAGTATTTTAATTGATAATTTATATTTATTAAAACAATTATACCTTCAGCTGACTTGAGTTGAATCATCATTTCTTCTTTTTGTTTTTCAAAATTTTCAGCATTTTTCTTCTCTTGTAACATTTCATTACCCTACACAAACAATTTCAATATAGTATTAAGAATACTATTGAAAATCTCCACTTCTTGTTATCCTTATACATACTTTTGTTGAAAGAATTGCCTCTAATTCCAGTATGCGACTTCTTAAATCTCCTACTACTTGTTGATTTTCAGTCATCAAATGTTGTAACTCTTGTCGTTGTCTGGCATTTTCTTGATGAAAATGTTTGATCAGATTATCCCTGAATATTTTAAATTAATATCTTTTAATCTTTTCAAAATTCAAGCTCAACATCATATTTGAAAATATACTGACCGTTCCACTAAAGCATCTGGTGATATAGACCCATTGTTAGTTGAACCATTTTGATCTCCTGCCAGTGATGAAGTATCTGATGTATCTATTAAAGTACCTTCAGTGTCAATAGGCTCTTCAGGGGGTAAAATTACCACAGGAGTTACATAAGTTCTCAACTCTGATTGTATCAAAAAATTTGGTGGATTCTAAAAAAAATTTTTAATTTGAATGAAAATTAAATGTCTATTAAATATTCATTATTTTAAAATTCTATTAATTATTAGTTCAAAATATTATATAAAGTTCTTACATCTGGTAATGATGGTATGGTAATTAAATGCTTGAAATAATGCATATGCATCACAGTATTGTAAAAATCTTTCAAATCTCGAAACTGTTTAAGAAATCTCTCTCTGTGACCTGTTAAAGTATCAGCTGGTAGCGCACTGTGAAGTTTAAATAACATTTTTACACAATAATCATACAATTTTGATGCATCTTGAACGCAAGGTATTAGAGGAGCAAGTCTACATTGTCCACATGGCGTCATTGAATTAGAGCGTGGTAGGACAAGCGAACCAAAGACTAAAAATATTAAATTATAATTTAAAATTTTTTTTAAGATTAATATTCTTTATAATATAATATTTACCAGCTTGTTGCAGATTTATAATATCATCCATATAATCAAACATCTCAACAGTCATTTGAAAACTATCAATTATTATTAAAAGTAAATAAGTCCATTGTAAGTTGAAAAAAAGAATAGTAGGATATTAGTACTTACTAAATATTTATATCATTTTCACCTATTGCCTCAAGTTCTTCACTAGTAACTTGAAGATTACCAGGCATTCGTGGGTTACGTCTATGAAAATCTAATTTTGTTATGAGTAACTTTATATATAAGTGTATTAACCGTCCATATTCATCTTTCAAATGCTGCCAGAGTTTACCGATATCCTCTAATTTTCCTCTATGGCGTTGTGAGTCATTTATGACTCTGGGGTGTCCTTCTCTTAAAACTTTGTGTAAAACATGACAAAATTTCCATGCCACAATTCTATGTTCTTGTAACTGCTGGCGTAAAATGTATGTCCAAAATATTGTAGCACCTTTCTCTTTATACGTACCAATGATTGCAACTATAATTATTTTACGTTAAGGAACAATATTAAATGTTTGTAAAATATAAACTCATATTAATATAAAGGATACTGCGCACATGTTTTTCTTTAACTCGAGTTTCTGAAGGATTTACAGCTTTGGCAATGCTGGTGCTCTAAAAAAATGTTTAGATGAAGTTAGATATGAAAACACAGAGCAAATGAATAATTCTACAAAATACAATAAACTTACCAATTGTTGAATTTGTTTTTCATTAAATGGAAAAACAGACATTTTTGCGTTGTGACTTGTAACTAAAAATTATTCAAGAATAAGTACAGTAATTTAAGTACAATCTTTTATTCCATTTTTCAGCATTAGTGATACTGCATGTAGAGTGGACTTTTTAGTCTCTGCAATAAAAAATACTTGAAAAGTATGTACAATTTTCATAATAATGCTGCAAAAAAATGAGTCTAAAATAAATGAGATTAGTGTCAAACAACAACACACATAGGTTTAGTAAATAATTGTTTCAATTGAAAACATAATTTGCAGAAAATATTGAAGTAAAAGTTAATTATAAGTTAAGAGCTAAAAATTGTTCATCAACTTTTAATAAGTGATACATTTTTATGAAATTGTCAAACAGTTTAGAAATAATTCAAGACTTATACTAAGCAAAATGGAAAAAGCGAGATAACAACATTAAGAGGAACTTGTACATGTATAGATGGGTGTCACTCACTTGGAACTTTCAAAAGTTATCTTGTCTCAAATGAAAGCAGCGCATTTTTCATTGTATCGTATTTGAGGCAAATAAACACAAGTCATATACAAACAGTATTGTCGATTGCTCGACGATTACACATTTTTCTTGGTCAATTTTCAACAAACAATACTCGAGCGAAGAACACGAACGACGACGTTTCGTACGCGGTATTATGATTATTATGATTAAATAGCGTATACACTGAGCGGCCTAAAGGATTTCACCGACTGTTACGGGGAGCTAAATGATCAATGGACAGAGCAACGTCTGTGTAAGTAGCCCGAGCTGGCTGATTCAATGTGTGCAGGCAGCGAGCAGCAAAGACCGAGCGCTGAGCCGACTCCGAACACATTTACCATTGCGGCCCAACAGATTGCAGAAAGAACTGCGCTAGTACGGAAGTGCTCGCGTACGATACGAGTCATGCATTATGTGTATATATAATTGATACCGCTTTTATAAGCAGCACAACACCTACGTGCCGCAGAGTCGAGGCGCTGACCGCACGGGCGATCGAATACTATTGCAAATGCAGCACTGCCTTTTACCGGCCTCTTGGAAATTGATCCAATTACTTACAATATTTAAGTATAATATTGACGAATAGCGGGACAACATTTTTTTCGACATCATTTCAATTACCACTTTAAGAATACTATATCGGCTCTCAACTGCGGCTTTTATACCCAAACGATCAGCGATTTATGACTGGCGCATGCAGATCAATCATTTATTCCCGTCGTATTTTAAAGCAAAAATTGTGTAAAAGCGCAATCAGAAGCTCAGCGATAATGAGCCTGTCATCAATGCCCGAGTCGAACCATATTTGCAGATGAAACGATTGTGGGTTGTCCACTCGCAGGCGCTTTAACTGACTGATAATAATTTCATCTATATAATAATAGATCAAAATCTGACACGAACCTTTTGTAACACGATTTTTGAAATATATCTACCTATAACATTTTCTGTAATGGCTCGACGGTATATATTTTTATCGTATTCCTTCTTCACAGAGTTGTTTAGAAAAATATTTCATGGATATTTCAGAAAATGAATTTGTACAATTTCCTCGTCTCCTAATTGGCCTCATCATGCTCTCACATTGTACAATTCTCTAATGAGCATTATGTAAAATAAAATAAAGAAATGTGATTTGAACCTTAAATAGACTCATAATTGATGGTTAAACAATCTAAATTTCATCAAAGATAAGAAATGTAAAGTTGTATGCAATAGCCGCGTGGCAACAAATAACAGCTTAGTGTCTGCATCTGTCAACACATATATATGTTTAAATCGTGCCACGATCATGAGATTTGTCTGAAAATGTACTTACTTTAATTACGAAAAATTTATCAATCTAATCCATAAAATAAACAGAATTTAAAAAAATGTTTTCAATCGTTCGATTAACTTTAGCAATATGTTAAGGAGACCATAGTCTATAACGAGAAAGTTATAATCTTATCTCTATAAGCTTCACAATAATATACAATTTTTAAATGGTAAAATTTGAGATTGCGAGATATATTGAATCTCTATAATCATTTCTTTGCGTTACTAGATTACAGCAAACTTAGTGCATAATCGAACCAATTACCCAAAAAAACTCACTGCACTAACTAAATAAAAAAGTATGATGAAAATATTGTTAAAATTAAGAAAAAAATGTATCATTTTATCGATCGATAAAAGAACTGACAGGGGACGACAAATTACTTGTAAAGGTGATTGATGGCGTAATAGGGGAAAATTACATACTTCAATTAAGACAACATATGTGGTTATACTTTTCATCTTAACATGAAATGTTGAACACTTGAATCGTTGTACGAAATACATCAATAAAAGTGGCTTTTTTAATAAACGAATGTTAACAGTGTCTAGTTGTAGGTGAAATATTATTATTTTATATTTTTGATACACAATGAACCATCAACAAAGGGCAATTTTTTTAAATCGTCATTACTCGTGAATATACTAATTCAATAACGAGAACAAATCATTAATAATTGTCTTAACATAAAATAAATATAATTTGAATTTACAGCACAAATAGTTGAAAGTTGCGCAGAGATTGTTCCAGTTCATTATTGAGAATAATTAACAATGGATGAAATAGAACCAAATTATTATAACAATTAGCATCGATACGAAGACTAAACATTATCGTGTTAGTGCAATTAAACCACAGGTGCTGAAGTAATTTTTACGCGATCTTCGGAAGGTGTTGTCGTTCATTCAATATTGCCGTTCGTGAATGTTGTTTGAAAAAAAGCAAAAAAAAAAAAAATAAAAAGAAGAAATTAAATAGCGGTCGGCAAACGTTGATAGGTCGAAACCAACATATGATACCGTTATACGCAGGAGCGACGTGAAGGAGGGGCAAAAGTTTTAGATTCGGCGTAAATGCATGCCTCGCGTCGTGCAGCAAGCGCAACATTGAGAGCAGTCTGGACAAAACGAGGAGTGACGAGCCTCGACGAAGGCCCGCTCCGATCCTCCTCCCAACAGTGCATTATATTGTTTGAGTTGTTCGCAGCGCTCGCACCCTTCGCAAAGATAATAATAATAATAATAATCGGGTGTAATTGATAGAGCTACACATTAACGAGCGGCCATCGTCCCACTCGCTCCGCTTGGAGATAGTATCGGTCCTTTGAAAAACAACGTCGGACATCAGTATGTTGAGGAAAGGAGTCCAGACGATTTTGGCTTCGCGTTTTCGAGGTTTGTCCTTTTAAAAAAAAATCACAACATTTTCGTCTGTTTATGTGTGTAAACAAGGCCAAAAGCTCTTGTCTCGAAGCTTGCAAATATTGATTTTTCACGCGCTCTCCTGTACTCCCTCCCTCTCGGCAGAAAGCTCCATGTCCTGGCAATCAGCTGTAATGCAACACGCGCGCATTCTAACGATGGAAAATGTGATTTTCCTTCCGAAAAATGTTATTTTTTTATTTTTAACAATTTGTCAATAAATTAATAAATTACATTCGTAACTTCTGAACTGTAACATTCATTAAGGTTTAAGTAAAAGAAAGCAGAGAGATTCTTGAAAATGCAAATGTAATGATTGAATCGACAAAAATGCACTGCTGCTGGATACTTGTAATAGAGTCACCGGTGAATTCGAAGTATTAAAAAAGTAAAAGCAAGGTCAAGACCATTTGAATGACAACGAACGAAATTCAGAAAAAAATATACGACGCTCAGGCTTCTACTACATACAAACTATGTTGGCATATATACGACAGATTGAAGAGCTCCGTTGACCATACCTAGTTTCATTCGCTTTATATCGCGTCCAATTGCTCGTAACGAGGGTCAGTTTAAACCAATCGTTCAATTTACATTGCAGTGTCGCACACTGGGGAAGATCACACCAACACTGACTACTGTATGGCATGCGCCTCTATGTATTTTAAAATCTCAGTTCGTTATCAAGGCAAAAAAATATATATCTCCATTCACTTTGGTTTATCGTACTAAAATCGAGAATCGCTGGCCTTTGTTGGCTCGAATCATTTATTTCGCATGAAAGACACGCTCGATCGGTACATGTAAATCTGGCAGCTTAAAACTACGTTTTAAAATTTAGATAAATATACTTGTGTAATCAGCAGTATCTGCCGAGAGTATTTAAATATTTACTTTTAATTCAAATGTTAACTTACATGCATTTTACGTAAACAATACAGACGCGATTCAATACGAGAGCAATAAAACTCGCTATTCGATATTCATATTAAAATGATATTGGCTAAGTCTTAATAGCTTGAAATTCAAGCTGTGAGAGCTAAATCTATCGTATGATTATTACAAGTTAGCTACAAATAACTTTGAGGAACAGCATTTCTGGATAAATTTAGAAAATAAAATATGCATAAATTAATTTTATTTAAATAAGCCAGGATGTTTGAAAGTCGCGAAAAATATGTTAATAGCCTGGAAGTATAATTTCAAAATTATACTCATACTAATATATTTTTCGACATTTTGGCAAAATTTTTTAACAAATTCCTTAACGCTTCCGCAACAGAGGTTCCAAACAATTTTCTAACATGTTTACACAATTTTTTTCGCGAGATTGGCTACAGAGCTATTTATACAATTAAGAAGCTCGATAAAAATATTGATAATGAGTATAAATGAGTAAAAAGATTTTGCAACAGCAGCAGGGAGAAGGAGACCATCGGCAAAAAGATGTATGGCGAGTCTGGCGCATGCCGTGGCGCCGGAAGAGCCGTCGGGCCCGTCGGTGCACTGCAGCATACCCGGGCCTCAGTCGCAGCAACTTTACCGGGAGCTCAACGACATCCAGCAGGCCGGTTCGGTTCAGCTGTTCGCCGATTACGAAAAGTCGGCCGGCAACTACTTGGCCGACGTGGACGGCAACCTGCTGCTCGACGTCTACATGCAGATCTCGTCGATGCCCTTGGGCTACAATCATCCGGCCATGCTGAAGGCGCTCACCGATCCACACAATCAAGTACGCACACAGCCGATTGCAAAATTAATTTCCACATAGCTCCTCGATCGATGCGAGCAATTTCTAACATTTAAGAATCGTAAAAATTTCCTCGACAGAAAATGATCGCTAACAGGCCGGCCCTTGGCGTTTTTCCGAATCGAGACTGGCCTGAGAAACTCAAGAGCATTTTGCTGCGCAAAGGGGTGCGTATAGAAAAATTGCAACACTTGAACTAATTCATATACACTTGTAATTTTATTCTCGTTCCACTTCAAAGGTAGCCCCACCTGGTTTCTCGCATATAACTACCATGATGTGCGGTTCGTGCTCCAACGAGAACAGCTTTAAGAATATCTTTTTGTGGTACGCTGAAAAACAAAGGCACGGCGCACCGTTTTCCAAGCAAGAAATGGAGTCTTGCATGGTGAACCAAGCTCCCGGCTCGCCTCGCTACTCCATCATGTCCTTCGAAGGTACGCACAATGTATCCAGGGCGAGTCCTTGAGCCGCCTCCTCCTCTGACCGCGACGAAGAAAAGCACTGCGGCGATGCTCACACCGCGATACTATTGGCGTTTCAGGTGCTTTTCACGGCAGGACCTTGGGCTCTCTGTCGACCACGCACAGCAAGTACATTCACAAAATCGACGTGCCCGCCTTCGACTGGCCGATCGCTCCGTTTCCGCGCTACAAGTATCCTCTCGAGAGCAACGAGCGAGAAAATCGACAGGAAGACGAGCGATGCTTGGCCAAAGTGCGTTTGCACCACCTATCGTTGAGATCGTAGCTGCGATGCTCGATCGATAACGATCTTGTCTGTTTTTTTTTTTTTGCAGGTCGACGAATTGTTTGTGCGCTACTCGAAAGAGAAAGAAATCCCGGTGGCCGGTGTCATCGTCGAGCCGATCCAAGCCGAAGGTGGCGACAATCACGCGTCGCCTGAATTCTTTCAGAAGCTCCAAAAACTCGTCAAAAAGGTTCGTGCGGCTATACTATATGGACTCGCGTATCGTGTGACTCTTACACTTCTGTCTTTGTGTCGTTAGCACGGGGCTGCCCTGTTGATCGACGAGGTCCAGACTGGTGGAGGCCCGACTGGAAAGATGTGGTGTCACGAGCACTTTGATCTTGAGAAGCCACCGCACGTAGTGACGTTCAGTAAAAAAATGCAACTCGGAGGATATTATCATATCGAAGAATTGAAGTGAGTAACTCGTATTTCCTCTATTCGACCATCAATTTTTCATTGATCTTCGTCTCTCTATTCTATGTCATCCGCGTGAGCAGACCAAAACAGTCTTATCGCGTTTTCAACACTTGGATGGGCGATCCAAGCAAATTGATACTCCTCGAGGCAGTCGTCGAAGTTATTTTACGAGAAAAATTGCTGGACCGAGTGACTCAAGTTGGCGATTACACGCTTGGTCAACTGAAGCAATTGGAAAATGAATTGTCCAGCTCCATTAATTCTTCTCGCGGCAGAGGAACTTTTATCGCTTTCAACTGCGCTAGTTCTGAGCTCAGGGATGCAACTATCAAGAAGTTACTCAAAAAAGGTATCGGTTCTTAACATTTCACAAATTATAACTTGAAAATTTACAAATTAGATGAAAGTTGGATTGTTTTTTTTTTTTTTTCGTCGTCGGTCAATCGAGCATCAAAAAAGTTATTTTTAAATGAGTTTTTGATGTAAAATTTTCTTTTAACTTATAGGTATTCAAGCTGGGGGTTGCGGTGACAAAGCAATTCGGCTACGTCCCGCACTCACTTTTACTCAACAGCACGCAGACATATTTCTTGACAGTTTACGTGCAGTACTCAAAGAATAAATAACTGTCTTTAAATTAAATATACCTATGTACTCTAGAATGTGATGAAAAGTCTTCCAATACAAAATAATATTGATAAATAAGATGAAAAGACTTCTTTGTTATTGTTCATTGGCATAAATAGATTTATAATATATATATTTAAAAATTATACGTATGTGTGTCTTAAACTTCGTTCCATAAATTGAAATAATTTTTTCATTCAAAATAAAAAATATATCAAGGAACACTGTTAAGTAGTACGTTCACTTTTGACAAAATCTGAAAAATGGTAATTTAAATTCTAAACTGAGACTTAAGCGTTCAGCACTGTAACAGTATTAACGATTTTTCTCTCTGTGATTCACTTTTTTCCGAGATCCCTGAAATCTGTAAGTAAATCGTCATGTTTGGGACTCTGAAACTGGACGATAAATCGTTTTGAAAATTGAACTTGACAAAAATCAGACGTATTTTTAAAATATTACGATTTTTTGTTTTTGTTTTTTCGTTCCTTTTCGAGATAAAAAATTGCAAAAGTTTTCAGTTGGAGAGAAAATAATTTTCTAAATGGTCCCTGATGCCCATTGGATCAAACTAAGCGTAGGGTGATTTATTATCTAGTAGAGCAAAAGCCTTTAAAAATTTTTTGCCAAGGATCTATAGCATTTGTAGGTGAAAAAGTCACCTTTTAAATAGATAAATTCATACGATCTGAAAAAATATGTTTTGTTTTGAAGAGCAGCAAACTAAAGTTCACGGTGCAAAAGCGAAAACTCAAAATGAATACTCTTGAATTAAATTATAATTAAAATACATGTTATGAACAAAATAAAATAATATATTTTTTATTTTCTGTTGATAATTTATTATTTAAAATTCGTTACGAGAAATCGTATTAAATATGTACAAAACTTATTAATATAAATTTATTCAATTTTATGAAATAAAAATTTAACACAGTTCTTTGTTAATTTTCATAATTTTTTCGTGAGAATTAATTAAAATCTTCAATTAAAACTTAATGTTACAATTACTGTGATAATTTTTTTATCAATATATTGAAATGGCGATATTGTGGCAATTGACTCATTTTTTTAATGTATTCTAATGTTTTAAACTGCAACAATTCGAAAAAAAATCATGTATAAAAATTTATCATTTCTATTTATTTACGTTATTTCTTGTTACTTTTATTAATAAAATCAAACTTACTTTTATTTTTGAGTCGCAGTTACCAAGTAATTTTGTGGAATCCCATAAATTTATGGCTAAATCTAATAACCATGGCTTCGTTAAATCAGCTCTTAAAATAATGCAAACAAAAATGTCATGCGCCAAAATAGAATGTTTGTCGGTTTGATCAGATGCACTCAAATATCCCAAATGATTCAATAATTCTTCCAAGACCTTTGAACTTATTTTATTTATTTCATTGATAAACTTTTCATCTGATCCATAGAGCTTATCATTGGAATCAACCTATTAAAATTTTTTTCAAATTAATATCTTTGAAGATGAAAAAAATCCGAATTGATTATAAAAAATATTCACTTTATTTATATGATAGGGGTAAACGTCTCTAGTTGAAATTGATAATAAATCTAATACTTTTAAATACAGATGTGATTTATATGTACTATTATCATCAAAATAACGTTGAACTACATTTAGGAGACCTCTTATTAGATATAAAACTCCATTGTCAGGATTATCCTGTAAAAATAAATTGAAATTATTCTATCTTATCGTTTCTTATTTCAAATTAAAAAAAGAAACTTGAAAACTTTTACCGGAATAACAAGCAATGTAGATAAAAAATTCGATATATATGAGTACAAGTATGGCTCCGAATTCATCTTGCAACCTTCAATATCCATGGTTTTCGGCATTTCCGAAATCATATTGATAGCCGCTTTGAAACATGCATCGGCTATTTCATACAATAAAAGTTTTAGTTTTTTGGGTAGCAGTATATTAACTTTATGAAAAACATACCTTGACCATAACATTGATTTAGTATAGCTACTTGACCTGACAATAAATAAAGTTTAAGTTTTGTATAGATTGACGTTACTGAAGGAATGGTAATGTAACAAAATGCAGCACAAGCTTGTACGAAAGAAGACGTTCTTCTTGTATGGTGTCCTTTAACAATTTTTCTAGTATCGATTGATAGTCTATTTGCACACTGAATTAAATGAATATTAAATTATTTATAAAATCGAAAAATCAATAATGATTTATTCAGATAATATTGAATAATTTACTTGAACTAATTGAATATGGACGACATCAAGATTCTGAAAAGCAGCTCTTGCTTCCACATAAAAATTCAATTGTTTTTCAAAATCTCGTCCATGATCTATTTTTTGGATAATATTGCATATCAAAAAACTAATTTGTTTCTTTTCATCTGCTACTGTGAGTGCACTGTGTTTAAATGAGAAATTTAGAGTACAGGTTATTAATATTAATTTATGTATAAATACAAGTTTATAATTGTCATAAATTATACCTGACTGAATCATGAATGATTCTTAGGATAAACATGATGGCATTTATAACTATTGGGTCTGTAATTGGATTACTTTGTTTACTCAGACCCTCAATAATATTTTTGCAGACATCAACTTTGATATTTTCCTTTTGAAAAAGATCTATCAGTGGTAAAAAATTATCCTAGAATAATGTAAACAAAAAAGTTAATTTTAAACTCATGGTTTGATAATGATTACTCACCATTGTAAGTAAAACATCGAAATCTTGAGTCGCATTGACTAACTTTTCTGTTATATTCTGTAATTGTGAATAAAAGTATTCAAAAGATCGATTTGGTCCAAGATGGTTTATAATCTCACCAAGAAACAAATTTATTTCAGTTGCCTATAGTAAAGTAAAAAGTTTCATTTGTCAAAGATTAATTTTAAGAATTAAATTACCAGACGAAAAATGTTTATTATATGCTATTAGTTATATAATATTTTATGATATCGATTACCATAATAAAAATAAACTATTGAAGAGTTATTTGAACTATAGTTACCGAAAAATTAATTGATGCAAATTGTATCCAAATTTCCATGACATGCATAAATCTTGTAGAATCTTTTAAATTTTTCATGTAATTCCAAACAATATTCAAAATATTTTGACTATCCTGTTTGGGAAGAGTTTTTTGTATTAAACATTCTCCCAAACTTCTATATAGATGATATTGAGGATAATCTAATTAACAGTACATAAATATTTAATTTATCTTAACATAAAAATTTAATGAAAGACTAGAAAATTGTATAATATACCATGATCTTGGCTCATTTCTATCAAATTTATGAATTCCATATACCGTGGAACTACATAGTTTGGTTTAAATGATGTTAAAATTGTATTTAACAATAATGCACTAAAATTTAAACAAATATTAGAGACCTATTATTAATAAAAAAAATCAGTATAAAATTTCCTTTACTTATTCTGTTGAGCTTTGCACTTGCTCAAGACTTCGTTTAAAAGATCTTCAGATGCAGTTGCAACCAATACTTGCAAAATCCAATCTAATGCTGGTGTATATAAATTTAAGTATAAATTTAGACAGACATTCTGTTTTGACACTTTACTTTTAATTAATGGCGAAAACAATTTTTTGTACGTAAATAAAAAGTCATAGAAATTTTCTTTTACAAAAGTAAAATCCGAAGTTTGCAATGAGAGACCTACTCTACATAAATAACATCGGGCATATATAGCTACTAATGGATCTCCAATTCCTCTGATCATTTTAGTGATTCGATTCAAAATTGTACTAAATTCGCTGTTCATTGAAACAATTAAATCAAAATTTGTGAAAATTTATTTTACAACTGTCATTTCAATTCAAATTTATTCCTTACCTTGTGGTTAAAAAGTTGTATGATTTCATTATGGCCATTTCTACATAAAGCCGAGGTACAAGTTCCCTGATTGAAGCAATCTTATAAAACCAATTTTGACAAGTTTCTTTAGCATTTTCTGAAACCATTTCAGGGGTGAAAAAAGTTGGTAAAGTTTTACTTTCCTGCCTGAAAATTAAAAATCAATTGTCATTGTTGAATTGGTTTTAATGGTTTTTAAATGAAAATGCTTAGTTTTAATACTTTGCTTTTTCTTTTAGTCTTTCATAAACTAATTTCCCAAATGTGTCTAAAATATCTGTTATCAAAACATATTTACTTGGATAAAATGATATAACTGATGTATCCACTAACAGTTTAGCACACTATAAGAATAATATTTAAAAATTGTTGTAAAAAAATCCATTAACAAGTAAGTATAAATGTACATTGATTTACCTGTATAACTATTTTTAGAGCCTTCACTCTCTGATCTGTATTCCAAGCTTTAACAAGTTCATTATTTAGCTGTTCAATGCGAGCTACATATTCTTGCTGTGTTAAACCATGCATTTGTCGAATGGAACCATCGTCAAAATTATCTAACTGTCCTAATCTGGTCTTAATTTTATCAATTGGTAACCCATTAGGTTGGACTTTCATTACAACTTTTTCTCCTCCTGGTAAAAAACTTGTAACCATAGATAATTTTTCTAATGTGGTATATTTATTCAAAACATTGATTTTACAAGAAGACCATGGTTCAATTAAATCACTTAGTTGATCTTTTATTTTTTTATTAGGTAACGATGAATTTGGTAAATAATCCCACTAAATTGAATACATTTGGAACCATTAATATTACTAATTAAATTGTATTTTTTTTTTGATAATTTTAAAAACTTAATAGCTACCTCATCTGCAGCAATTTTTGAAAGAGGATCCATTTCTTCTCTAACAAATTGAGTAAGAGGATCTAAACCATCAAGTGAAGAATGATTGACAAGAGGATCTCCTACAGAGCTAATATTTGGAGTTATTTGTGTAGGAGTTGGTGTTCTAGTTGAAGAATTTGTACCTGTTGCACTCCATATATTACCACGTTTTGAATTACATTGACCATCTATTGTCTAAAAATTGATGAAAAGAAATCAATAACAATAATTGAAAAAATTGAAAAATTAAAAAGAATAAGTGAAACTTAACATACCATCACAGTGACAGGTTTTAGTGGATGATCATAAACTTCCTCAAATTCAAAATAGTTTTTGACGTTAAAATTAGTTGAACAAGAAAACCTGTAAAAATTTCATAAAAGTAATAAATTAAAAACTGATTTAGCAGACTATTTAGTGTAAAATAGATTATAAAACTTATGAATGCATTTTATTACCACTGAATAGGTTTCATTTTGCAAAGCACAGCCTCTTATTCCACTAGAAATAAATTAAATTCTGTTAAACTATCAATATTGGCCTGTTAATAGGTACTAGTTATATCGAAGATAAATAATTGTTTGACTTCGTTGCAGGGCAAAAACACATATTTTTGACGGGCACAAGCACAACAGAATTTAAACTCGAACATGTCATGTGTACTGCTTGTTGTTGGACAAAACTTGTAGTTATATTTTACAATGAAATTTCACTGTGCACGCAGTAAATGCGCATAACGGTATTTTATGTCAGTATGAAATTAAATATTATTCAGTTAACACATCATAGTCATTTTACCCAATACAGTTGCAAAAATGTATAATAATTTTATTATTTTTTCGAATTATTAAACACGTACGATATGATTATGAATGATAAAGCACCATTTAGTAACTGAGTATCTATGGTATGCACAATCGGCGGAAGTGTGAAGGTATCCTGCAATAAAACTGCAACTATTGTTTGTACATCACTATCGCCCAATTTATTACAAAACCTACAGGAATGTTTAAATAAACTGTTATATATTTGAAAAATTTAAATAATTGATTATTTTGTATAAATAAAAGCACGATTAGTTCGAGTGGATAATTATTTTTCATCAATGTGATATATGATACAATAAATGTAAATACTGCATTTTGATATTATTTGCCTATGTAGACAGCTCTTGGTAGAGTAGCGATGTATGGCAACCATATATTTGTGCCATGTATTATTTGCGCAAATAAATTACAACTCCCCAAAAAATTAACTGTTATTTAGAATATGTACGCAGAAATTTTGCTAGCGAATTAAATGCTTACTGTTGACAGTATAATATTTACATATGATCCACTATCAATTATTTCAAACACTGTAAAAAAATGTTTACATACTTGTTTGATCTATATTTATGTGAAATTGTATCAATCCTTTGAAATTGTTGAAAAATGTTATTAAATAAAAGAATTAATGTTAAGCATTTTTACGTTTTCATAATATGTTTCAGCGAGACATATTAAAATGTCAAATTTTCACGCATTTCGCCAAACTCCGTCAAACTTTTATTCTGCTCTTAATCTCGTCTCCCGCCGTTTTGCAAATTTTCATCATTCACTGCTACAAGACACAAATGCGATATTTAAGTATAGGTAAATGTATCTAATCACTACGGTATTATTGTAAGTGAGGCAATAGACGTGTAACTGAAAGAGTGACTGTCATCGTATATACCAAAGAGCGAATAGCAAGATCTGAAAGTTTGAGACTTGACTTGCTCGTTCAGGGACAAACGAAGACTGTTCAAGCGTGTTGCAGAAAGTGTCGTATCCTAATACTTTTTTACTTGTGTCTTCGGATTCAATTCGAAAAAAAAACATTCTCTAACGACAGGTCGCTTATCATCAAAAAGACTTCTGCAAGTTTAAACAAAGTGAGTTTCATGATGTCATCTGTTGACGATGTCTTTGAAAGTTGGGAAGAAATGGAAGAATCTGGGGTAAGTTTTCCTCAGCGATTCATCTGGTCGCGTAACATACTTAACCTCGCCTTTTATTTCTTCCCAACTTAATTATTTTATTTATTTTTATCTTTTCTTAATCTGTGAGTACGAAATTTTTTTATTTACTGTGGTTACCACTTGAAAATTTAATATTTCTGTTGAATTTCCTTCTATAAATATTATTTCTTCAGGTACTAGATAAAAAACTTCAAGTAATGAATCTAAATCCTGTCAATGGGCTTGAGGATAGAAGGTGAATTTTTATTTAATAATTATTTTTTCTTACTTTAGGATTTTAAATTAAAATGTGTTTTGCAGTAGCCATAATAGTTCGGACTCAAAAATTATCATCTCCGGAAATGATTCTGGGAGAGTTCAGTCTCAGTTCCCTTCAAAGACTATTGTCAAAATACTGAAGAGACCTGAAAGAAATCCACAAGATGATGTCTCACCAATAAATGGTGATAAACCAAAGCAACCAATCAAGTCTTTGAAACAGGTTTTTATATACATTTTTTCTATATGAAATTTTTTATAGTTATTTTTGAAAGCTAATTAAAAACTATTTCAGAGAGAACAAGAATATGCAGAAGCAAGAAAACGAATATTAGGTGAAGAAAAAAGCCCAGAAGAAAATGCTTCAGCAGATATTAATAGGATTCAAGCAAAAGCATTAGTACAGAATAATTATAGTAATCCTAATGTCATGAGAACGCCAACAGGACCAGATGGAACTAAAGGCTTTCATGTGCGCCGGTAGCATGTACCAAGTTTTTCAATTGCAATACACATAAAACTTTTTTCTTAACAATGAAAAATTAAGAAAAAGGATAGCTATGAAGTCCTAAACATTTTTTACTTAGGACACAAGCTTTGGATAATCTAAAGCTTGTCACTTCTTGGTTGAAGTGATATGACAAATGCTTCCCATGGAAAATCTATATGGGGTAGGCATAAAAATGACAATATCTCCACACAGTATAAGAGTTGAAGCTCCCATGACTGTATTGCTGCTATTTGTCAGAATAATTATTGACATTTATTATTACAAATTTTCAGTGTAAAAATGAATTGATTTTTATTTTGATTCATTTTTATATCTGCTTGGTCTATTTAATTACTGTTACATATAATTATTTAATAATGAAGAATAAAGAAAAATAAGAAATTATGAATTGAATACACAAAAATAGAATTTATTACAAAACTTAACAGAATAATTGTTTCTATCCCAATAATCTTACCCAGATAGATGAGTGGATGTGTACATAAAAGTGTAGTCAAATTTCCAAGAGTGTATATGTCTAGTACACAAATCTATTTATGTCTGTATAAATATTTATTTTAATAGTTTACAATAGAACTTTAAAATTGTGCAATATTTACTTATTAGATAACTTTACCTTATAAATTATAAGTTCAAAATAAACAAATTTTATCAACTAAAAATCAGTTAAACTGAATTATGTAAACAATTGTAGTAACTTGAGCTAAACATTAATCTTCATTCAAAATTAAACTCAAAGAGTTGAAACACTTCTGAGGATAAAATAATAATATTTTAATAAGTAAAATCTATTTACCATTGGTTATAGTTATTTAAATAAGTAAAATTTATTATTTATTTTCAATTATTTAATACTACATAATATAAAATATTCAATTTTTACAACATTCATGTAATTTATGCAATTTTAATAACTCTTCTTTAACAAAACTTTTATCACATGCTTCACATACAAATTTTAGGCCAGTTAACGATTTAGCATTTGAAGGTTTTGGAATTTTCCTTCTTTTACACTGGTCAGCATCTTTTTCTTTACGTGAATAGGTATCACATATAACTATAACTTCATCATCTTCTTTCAAATTACTTGAAAACTTGGAACTGCGTAATTTAAGATTATCACTTTTATTGACTACTTTTGAAGACGTTTCCTTTAATTGCGAGCACAACTTTGACTTATCGAGAGATCTTGTTGACTCACAACTATTTTCTATGCTCTCAGATGTTTTTGTTAAATTTTGTTTGTAAGAATTTACTAAATAATCACAATTGTCTAATCTAACGCATATAGTATCTGCAGATGGACTTAACTTAGTTTTTACTTTATCTACAGATTTTACTAATGATGAATTGCTTAGAATAGATCGGTTGTTTTTCAACCTTGATTTCAAATTGAAAGACTTCTTATTTTTTGATATTTTTACATCAGGTGATCTAGTTTTTCTTGGTCTTAAACTAACTCCTGAATTTTCTGATGTGGAACTATTAGTTGAATTGTTTATTTTTGAATTTGAGTCATACTGTTTAGTTTTATTTGTTGGTATTGTAATGCAGTGATTTTCTTTTGAATTATTTTTAGTTAACTTAGATACTTGGGATGGAGTACAAGTACAGCGACAACGAGAACATGATACAATAGGACTTATTTTATGTGAATCTTGTGTTGTAGAGACAGGAAATACCAATTGATCTAATTTAATTCGATTAACTTTTTTTGAAGAATTTTCAGGATCATTATTTTCATGAGATGTAGCTTTAACTTTGAAAGGAACCATTTTTACCATCGTAATGGTTTCTTTTTTAGGGCTAGTCTTCATCCATGACAATTGACTTTTAAAATCTTCATCAGTTTTAGTGCAAAGTTGATAGAAAGCATAAAAATGTTCTAACTTGAGACAACATGGGGGGCATAATTTTTTTGGTAGTACATCACTATTATGCACCTACAAAATTACAATTTGAAATTTAATACTTATTTTGAAGTTTTAACATGCTAAGATAAATTTTAATTGTAATAAAAGGGCCATAGGTATTGTTGAATTTTATTTTGAATCTATAATGACAATTGTATTTATCTTATTAATAATTGCAATTTGTTATTATACTATCAAAATAAAACTCAATAGACAAGGTAAAAATACTTACCCAAATAGGTAAAATAGTATTCATTATGTCCTTATAATTTGTAGATGAATTATAAATATCAATTGGTTCTCCAGGAATTTTTCCACATATTCTACATTTAAGACTGTCTTCCAGAGTCTCCATAACTATACAAATAATCAAAGGACAAAAAACTTTGAATTTAAAATCCAGAACTATTATATTGAATAAATTAAATGACTAGTGTTTACTTCTCTGTTTGAATAATGTGAAGTTCAAAATTTCGAAGTTGTCTAAAGGTAAAAATGAAACAGTAATTCAGCTTTCTATGGGTTTGAAGTTTTTATTTAGTTCTTGACGTAATGTGTATTAAAATTTAATTATTTGTTGCATGTACTCATTTCGTTCTAACTGATTTTGATAAAAAATGAATATGTACTCAAGATTCACTTTAAAATATATACACGTAACTACTTTGAAATCTCCGACTCAAAAGTAATACTTTTTATGGACCGAAAATAGATGTTGCAGGGTTGAAGGTGTTATGGTGTTCGACAGTTCACAATTTACTAAAATAAAAGCAGTCTCGAATTGATGTCAGTTAATTCCGAAGCGTCTAGTGCAACTTTCCAATCCAATCTTAAAACACCTTTCCTCAACAACCGTTAACCTGTCCCTACTCGCTTCCTACCTCCAATTCTCCAAAGCACTCAAGGTGTATAGTCTAGTCTAGCTAGTACCCATACATATAAGAGCACTGGCATTCAATATACGTACTATCACTTCAAAATGAATGAACAGAATGAGAGTACAGAATACAGATGGTTAAAATTTGATATTAATATTAAGACACATGAACAATTCGAGTTTTAACCTAAGCCACCAGGGTGAGCAATTGACATTATTTTGTTTTATTCTCAAAAATAAATGACGTACACCCAAGAAATTGTATAATTAATCTTCCTATAGCCAAAACATAACATGTTCAGATAGATTGAATTAACACGCTAGTTTCTGACCGCCTCGTAATGGTCAGTCACTGAATTAAAAACATCTATCAAGTTTTATAAATGCAAACAGGTTTAATAACTAATGATTTTTATAAATGGTGAGTCATAATTCATAACATAATAACATCGATAAAAATCATTAATGCCCGACAACTAAACTATTAATAATTTTGTATTATATTTCTGTGTTTAAAATTCTAATCAATTTCCCGCGCGGTAAATATACTCATTAAGAATATAAAAAAGTTCTTTACTCAATGGTATAGTTAAATAAAAAAGTTGCGTTCTGTTAGTCGCCTATCCAAAGCAACCAAAGTGTATAATAAACTTTTTTTAAGAGACCGAAAACTAGACGATGTTACCTAATAATGTTATATGGCATATTTAAGAAAATACCTACAAATTTGGATCTTTTGGATACTCTAAAATAGTCAAAAAATCGATCGCTATAAAGTGCCGATTCATGATCTCAATTGAAAAAATAAATGGTAAAAATTAGTGATGAAAAGAAGAATTCATTATTATTAATTATCAAAGGACTATAAATATTATTCAAGATTGCATTTTGTATAGATACATACAAGAATAATATTTGAATTCTGCGAGTTGGTGCTGGTCATCGGTCAATTCTTTTTCAAAATCAAACGTAAATATGAATAACTGTTGAGTCGCTACCCTCATGACCGTTGTACGCGGTAAAGGTCACCCAATGCTATACTGTTTTCAATTTTCTGCCCCATAAGAAGAGGCATAAAAATATATCTAACGTGTACGAATCGCATTGCTCATTGTGTATTGCAAAGCTACTGATACGAATGTCGCACAAGTCTAGGACTCGCGCACGTGATGTAGGAGGGGGAAGCGAAACGGCACGCGGACGCGCCAGTGTATGTTCGCTCGCAACTCGCACAGCACGAGTGGACTTCTGAGCGCGCGCCTCGTTAGTCGCAGCAGTGATTTTTGTATTGACGTGTGCCGAACAAACGCCGGTCGAAGCTCGATCGTTTACTTCAGTCGAGAACCCCAGTGCACTCGCTACAGTCTTCGTCCTGATATAATACTGACTTGTAAGTTCAAACTTTTACTATCATTGCAGTTTATTTTCAACTATCAAAATTCGACACCTAATCGCGCATTTTAAAAATATAAAGTTTAACAAAGGATTTCACGTCTCAAATTCGCTTGACGTAAGAAAAGTTGTCTTTCTTCTCTGCTCGGTACTCGATTCAAAGCAATTCACTTGTTTTTTTAGCAATTATTTCTTTGGTGAACCTATTGTGAATCATTTTTTCTAATCAAACCCATATTCAGAAATGTCGACTTTCAAAATCGTTGCTCAGTTCGTGTGGTCCATTGCTTTACTTTGAGATCGATCTCATTTTTGTGATTACCACTGCAGACATCTTAATATATCCTTTTCAATTACACTCTTTGTTTTAAACTGCTTAGTGTTTTTGCGCGAAACGTTACAAGAAGATTCATTGGAACTAAATATTTTGTGACGATAAGAATCCGTCGATGTTTGCATCTCCATGTAATTAAGGAATTAAGGAATGGTGTTTATAATATATAGATACACAGAGCAACATATTTCCCGATTATTCCGATAGTTGTTCGCCATTTTCCCAAGTATTTTGTATAACTGTGTATTTATGACACGGTCCTCGATAGTGTTTTAAGAGCCGAGAAGAAGCGGTTTCCGGGAATTTCGACTGTCGAATGTTGCTTTGTTATTGAGTTCGCATCGACAAACTTTGCCGTTTTATTCTGCGGGTACTCTTTCAAAATCTTATTGTTCTGATTAATTCAATATCTTTTTAACGATTCAATCGATTTTCTCGTTTTTCAAGTAATATTTTTGTCATATTTCCTAGTAATTTTTTTTTAATTTACTCCTTGTTACAAGACGCAAATTAGCTCGTGATCGTAAGATTTACTTCAAATTTACTTCACAACAAATGCTGAAAAAATACGACATTTTGAAGTATCTGTGTAAGATAAATTAAAAGTGCACTATACCTTAGAGCATGACCCTATAACTTTTTAAACTTGACTAGTTAAATGAAGAAAATTCTATGGTTTAATATTAACAAACATTCCAACCCTATAGTCTAAGATTTGTACAATACATGTTTCTTTTAATTTATTGTTCTGTTATTTAATCTTTATAATGTTGTTCAGGACTAGAGAAAGGTATTGTATCATAACATTTTGAAATAAACAAAGGTATAAATAATTGTTTCCATAAGAAACTCACTATTATCTTTGAAATATATTAAAGCTTTATTAAACTACTTAGTTTTAAAAAAATATTAATTGTCAAAATCTTTTACAGTTGACAAGTTCACAGCTCAAAATGGCTGAAGGAGGAAGAGGACTCGGAAGAGGGAATCTCTTAAACCTTTTAAAGAAAAAAAAATTAGAAGAACAAAAAGCAAAAGAAGAAGAAGCAAAAGAACAGGAAAAATTAGAGGAAGAAAAAAAATCACTACAACAAGGAAGTGAAGAAAGTCCTAAGGTTTTTGTTTCACGAAGTTTAGGCAGAGGTGGATTGCTAGAAAAACTTAAAAAAAGAGCTACAACTTCTGATTCCGATTCATCTCCCGTTGCGTCTACTACAGCCTCGTTAACATCCACCGCAACAATTTCTACATCAACAATTGCTCAAGGCAGAGGCTCTATTGCACTGGGTTTAAAAAAGAAGTTAGATAATCATGATTATTTTTAAATTTTATTGCATTTAATTTAGAACAATCAAGTTAATTTTTAACAAAATATCTCATGCAATTGTAATTATTACTTTTCAGAACTTCTTTAGAAACATCAGGTGAAACAAGTGGCGTTTTAGGAAAACTATCCTCTTTATCTATGGAAGAATCTGCTGCTTCAGAACCAGAAGTAGTTTCTCGCCATGGAGAGTCAGGAAAAAAGTCTGTATTGACTAATATTAAAACATTTGTTTCTTATAAATAAAATTGTTTTTTTTAATTAATTTCAGAATTCCACTTTCGGCAAACTTTATAGATGTCAAAGTCGATAAGAGCAAAGGCATGTTTCAGTATGAAGTGAAGTTTTCTCCAGATATTGACTCACGGAATCTTAGGTTTAAACTTTTAAACCAGCATACCAATGAATTAGGCAATGTGAAAACATTTGATGGAGCCTTACTATATCTACCAGTGAAATTACCAGAAGATGTAAGATTTAATATTCTCACCTTTTTATTTATCTTATTAATAATTTTCATTTTTTTCAGATTACCTTACTTAATTCCATTCATCCTATTGATAATTCTACGGTTGCTTTGAAAATTATATTCAAACAAAAACAAGCTATGAAAGATAATATTTCATTTTTCAACACTTTAATGAATCGGGTAATGGAAGCCTTAACTTTAGTACGGATAGGCAGGAATGTTTTCCATCCTGAAGCAGCTCATCAAGTCCCACAGCATCGTCTTGAAGTTTGGCCTGGATATATCACATCAATTAATGAATTTGAAGGTGGATTAAAACTTAATTTAGATGCTATTCATAGAGTTATGAGATTAGACACTGTAAGAGATTTAATGTTAGTATCCTAATAATTACTCCATTACTCAATACTTTCCTTGTTAGCAATATTTTATTAATGATTGCATTGCAGGACTGACATGTACAAAAGAAATCCCAATGATTTTAAGAAAGCTGTTGCAAATGAAATGATTGGAGCTTCTGTTCTTACTCGTTACAACAACAGAACTTATAAAATTGATGATATCGATTGGAGCAGTAATCCTACTTTGAAGTTTCAAAAAGGAGAACAAGAAATGTCTTTAGTAGATTATTATAAACAACATTACAATATTGAAATTAAAGACTTGAAACAACCACTGTTAGTTCACAGAGCTAAAGAAAAAGCTCAAAATGGGGAGGTGAGAACAGCTTTTGTTGTTGATTTTCATTTATACTGTAATGAGATTTTAATTTGATTCTGTTATTTTACTTTCAGACTGTTGAGAGGATTTGTTTATTAATTCCAGAACTTTGCTTTTTGGCTGGGATGACTGACAGCATAAGAAATGATTTTACTATTACAAAAGATTTATCGAATATAACTAAAGTGTCTCCTGATCACAGAAGACAGATTATAAAAAAATTTATTGAACAGGTGAATGGAAATGAAAATGTAAAGAAAATATTATCTAATTGGGGACTGGAATTAGAGAGTAACATAATAGACTTTCAAGGAAGAGTGTTAGAGTCGGAGGAAATAATGTTTGGAAATAATTATTCAACAAGATCTGATAATGCTGATTGGGGCAAAGCAGCCACTAGTAGTAAAGTTTTGAGAACAGTAGGTTTTTAATTAATTTCAATTTTATTGCATTTTTAATGTATATTTTTCTTTACTACTTATTACATTTTCAGCCTAACATGCAAAAATGGGCCATTATATGTACCCAACGAAACAAAAGAAACTGTGATGATTTTGTTGAAACTCTAAAAGGAATTTGTCAAAAAATAAATATCAGAATAGGAGAGCCTATTACAAATTTCCTTCGAGATGATAATTTAGAAACTTATGTTTCTAAACTTCGTGAAATACTTAGCAAAAATACTCTTGAGATGGTTGTTATCATTTTTCCTACTATGCGTCAAGACAAATACTCCGCAGTCAAAAAGTATAGTATACATTTTATTCATTCTATCTAAACTTGTTTCTGCAGTTGTAAAGTGTACTTTTTTAAAGGATATGTTGTGTTGAACTACCTGTGCCATCGCAAGTCATCATATCTAGAACCATTTCAAAACCTGATAAGTTGAGAAGTGTTGTAGCAAAAATTGCCCTACAAATGAACTGTAAACTAGGTGGAGCTTTATGGGCCTTGAAGAACCCATTTGTAAGTAACATTAATTTTGTATTTATTTTGTAAACATTTTTCATAATTTACATATTGTTTTTAGGCAAATGCTATGATTTGTGGAATTGATGTACATCATGCAGGAATTGGTCATGGTTCCAGAGGTAGTGTTGCTGCTTTTGTAGCAAGTTTAGATCGTTTGTTAACCACTTGGCATAGCAGAGTCTGCATGCAAGGACAAAATCAAGAACTTATTGATTTACTGAAGCAATGTTTACTATCATCAATAAAAGTATACAAAGAAGTAAGTTTTTATTGTTTTATTTTACTTGTTATTTGTTATACTATTTTGGTAAAAATTGGTAATTATAAAACTCTAAACCTCAAAGGGGATCAAAATTTATTGCTAGTGTTGCTACACTGGTTTTTTTAATTGTTCAAAAACAAAGATGAAATTTTAGACCACATGTTGGATATTATTGCAGATAACAAGCTTCTTTACTTTTTATTTTTATTATCATTTTTTTACTGAGTCTTAGCATATATTTTAACACAATGAAATATTGTATTTTCAAAGCGTAATGGGCAGTTTCCTGATAAAATATTTATTTATCGTGATGGAGTTGGAGATGGTCAATTAGACATGGTTATGAGATATGAAGTGAAACAGTTTTTGCAAACTTGTTCCATGATTGATCCAGCCTATAAGCCAAAGTTAAGTGTCATCATTGTGCAAAAAAGAGTTAACACTCGTATATTTGAGAAGGTTGGTACATAAATTTTCTTTTCTTTAAAACTATATTTCCTTTTTAAATATAAAAACTATCTTATGTGCTATAGAAAAGAGGAGGAAATCTTGAAAATCCACCACCAGGAACCATGGTTGACACCAACATCACTCGACGCCACTTGTACGATTTTTATTTAGTACCACAGGTCGTTCGGCAAGGTACAGTGACACCAACACATTATATTGTTTTGCATGATGGAGCCGAAGTAAAAACTGACCATATGCAGCGATTTACTTTTAAACTATGTCATTTATACTATAATTGGCCAGGCACAATTAGAGTACCTGCACCTTGTCAGTATGCTCATAAGCTTGCATATTTAGTAGGTCAAAGTGTGAAATTAGAGCCACATGCTGATTTAAATAACTTGTTGTATTATTTGTAATGTCAATTTTTTTTTCATAAGTACTTGACTTAACAACATTTCATAAGTACTTGATGCATAAAAATTTCTTTTAAGTTAATTACGTCGTTTAATATTTTTCTCGTGGAGTGATTAATTTCCAAAACACGAAAGTTATATTTAAAAGTAAAAGACTAGATACTTTGTTTGTAAAACTAAGATTTACAAATTTGTTAATTGAAGAATTATAATGATATGTTTTATAACATATGGAATACTGCGTTTATTTCAAATAGATTAATTTGCAAAGAGACAAAGAGAAATATTCTGAATTTGAATAATTCTAAAAATAATTTCTCAAAAAAAGAAAAGAAAAAAAATTATCTGAAACAGTACTTTTTTGAGTTATTTTCCTGTCTAGTATAAGTTATAGTCAAGTTGAAAAATATTATTTTAGATATATTTTTTTATGTAATACATTGTATGTCATTTGTGTTTAATTGAATAAACTTACTAAAAAAAGTAAATCTTGGTGAATTATGATTTTTATTAAACCATTTTACTGCTGAGATAAGTTCAACGAATTTTCGGTAATTTCAGTTACACCTTTTATCTGGTTCAATGAAAACAGTTAGTTTGAACTATCATGGATAAAATGAAAAGCGCAGAAAAAAAAATAAAACTAATTGTCTTTTCACACAATACATGGACTTGTTTACTATTTATTGAATATAATCAGTAATACCGATAACGCGTTTAGAGCGCAATCTTCTGCATTTCAATAATTATGGTGTCCTGATAGTAAGCTCCGAGCGATCATGAAATTTAATAAAATCGACTCGATCAATATTGACACATACTTGCAAGATAAGGAAAGTGGCAAGAAAGTCGGATCCGAGACTCGTGCTTAAAAAGTAATGGCAAGCAACGGAGTCTCGGTAGTCGGCACAGTGCAGAGAGAGGGTATACAGAGATGCGGTGTTGTTGTCGCCGCGGCTTTTGCAAAACCTCTTACGCATACACGCCCATGTTGTACGCGAATCGAGGTATGAATAAAAGTATCCCCATTCACGAGACTAGAGCGTGCTCGCGCTCCTCGCTCTCTGCAGCTTTCGAGCGCACTAGCGACTGCTGCGAATGCGACGACTACCTACTTGATCTATACGTATTTAGCTCGCAAAAACATCTGTGCGCGCTTGTGCGAGTCGGTGCGCTTTAAAGAAGAGACGCAGTATTAGTAAAAGCTGCGTACGACTCGGTTGCACTTGCGACCGAGAGTGCAGTGTGACAGTTGAGCTCCAAAGCCAAAGACGCGGCTGGGGGCCTCGAAAGCTGGGCCACTGTAACAGTCTCGTCGCAAACATCGCTACGTATTTACGTGCAGTTCGAGCTGACCGCGGCCGAGCACTGAGCTTCGCAGTCCGCATCGTCGGACAAAACAACCCAGCACGGCGCATTACCGCTACTCCGATTTATCGTGTAGTCTGGACTCGGGGGTCGGGCCTTGGCTCGACTAACTCGCCTACAAAACAACTACGTATATATAGTGCTACACATATATATACATTCGTACATGCCTATTCTAGCCGTGAGCGTCGTCTCTAGTCAGTTTGTCATTGTGTTGAGTGCGCAAACTGTGTGTCGGTATACGTACTCGAACATAAATACACACGCATACAGGCATACAAGCTGAGATTCGACGCCTGCGCAAAGGTTGTTTACAACTGCGAAGCTGCTTTTTCAGCGTAGGTATAATAGCAGCGTACATACACACGTATATATGCACTCTCTGCTCTCTGTGTACTGTGTACTGAGTACCTAGTGTGCATCGTAGTCAGCGTTGTACACACGACCTTTCCAAGATGGACACACAAAAACGTAATATAGGCGCCTTTCCGTGACCCGACCAGAGATATCGTCAGCTCGTCAGTGTTCCGCATGTGATCTCGACTGCGAGCGCGGGGACTCGAGACATTATTTGTGGCGACGCGTCGGAGCAGCCTCCAGGGCTGCGGCCAGCTGTGAACGGCAGATCAGCAACAACAACACCAGCAGCTCCTGGAACAGAGCCAACGGCTCTCGACCCAGCCCAACGACGCTACTGCTCCGTTGTCCGTGATCCGTATAAGCGACGGCCCTCGCTGATTAGTGAGTCTGTTACGCGCCTATCGCTATTCTTTCACTGTTACGCTGCTACGAGAACAAAATTACAACGTATTTTCGACGTATCTATTTCCGATAAGTATCTTCGAATAGAGTCGCGAGACCATTCTAAGACCCGGAGCTTCGCGCTTGCTTTTGGCTGACGTCGGCACCGGCTGGAGTCGGCTCTACGGGCCCGTTTGTCGTCGTTAAAACTCGAATTTGCAGCGTGTGCATTCACCAAACTGACAACTGCAACCAAGTGACAGCGCAAGCTGCTGTAAACTCGCTACGTGTTGCATCTGAGGACCACCACTACACGCAACCAACGACGCATCGCAAATTTTGCCACCGTTGACGTGGCCCTTATCTGCAAGACATGCGAGTCAGACCTCTTATTGGCTCTTGAAGCCACTCTCTCGTCCTCATGCATGTTCTTAAAGCAGCAGTTACAAGGTCATTTAAAGCTACTTCATCGCAAACTTCCACTTTTCCAAAATTGCTGGCTTATACAGTTCAATTAGGACGAACGCACCAATCGTGCTCGTTCGTCCTCATGTTCAAAGTAATCTAAACGCAACACCTTCCATCATGTTTTCTACCAGTCCCATGTGCCAGTCTTCTGGTGATATCGTTCTTGAGGGACACCTTAAAAAATTAAAAACTCTTAAAAAGAAATATTTTGTTCTTCGAAATGAATCTGTTGGGCACCCAGCCTGCCTTGAGTACTATGATAGCAAAAAGAAATTTGAAACTAAGTGCCCTCCCAAGCGCAGCATCACTGTAAAAAGCTGCTTCAATATCAATAAGCGCTGGGATACCAAACACAAGTTTGTCATTGCATTGTATACCAAAGATGATTGCTTTTGTCTTGTTCTCGAAAGTCAGAAAGAACTTGATTTATGGTTGTATCAACTACTCAGAATACAAAATGGTAATGTTGTAGATGGAGAACCACCTAAACCAATATTTGGTACATTTATTTGTATTTTCATAAACTTTGTAAACATACATTTATAAATTATAACTTTCTTCTTTGCTTTAGCTCATGTTTGGACAGTTCATTTACAAAATAAAGGTCTTGGTGATAAATTAGGTGGAGCTGGATACTTTAGACTTTGTCTCACTAAAGAAGCTGTTATTTTAAAAGAAGTTAAGAAGGAAAATACCCTGGAATTTCCTGTAAGTACTCTATTCTATGTAAGTATTCAATATTTTTTTTGTAATTTTGGGCATTAGATAACTGTGTATCAAAAATATAACAATTTTCTTATATTTGCACTAGTTAAAACAAATAAGAAGATGTGGTTGCATGGGTAAAGTATTCTACTTAGAAGTTGGACGTTCTGCTGTTACTGGCGGTGGAGAAATTTGGATGGAAACTGAAGACTTTAATATATGTAAAGCTATGCATTCTACTGTTAGCGCTATGATGTATGAACAAATAGAATCGGAAGAAGGTCCTAAACAAAGAATGAGAAGTTCATCTGCTAATGAAGCAAGCAAACCAATATCAGTACTTCAAAGAAGACATACCACACAGAAACTGCAAAACTCATCACCTGTGGGTAAGTTTTCATATCCTCATATATATCTACATTTTACATATTATAAATTTATTTATATAATGCATAATAACCAGCAACTAGCAATCATTTTTACATTGTATTACAATATTATTATTACTCACCATTTTCATGGAACAATTTTTGATCATCATTTTATAATATTTTGCTGACACATTTTCATCATTGTAATAGAAAATAAATTGTGAAAGCACATCATTATAATTTGGAAAAGTTGTTTTATTTTATGTATAGCTCTTGCATATTTTCAATGTTAAATACTTAGTCTTGATGATCTATTTTATTAGTTCAAAAATTCCTCTGTATTATTACCATACATTACTCTTCATAAAAGAAACACATTCTTATTCTTTATTCATTAATAAAGTTGCTTTTAGTAAGTTATGAACGTAATAATGAAACTAAAACGAGCAAAAAATAATGAAAAATGTGCAATCAAAACTAAAAGTAAACTTACCAGTTACTAAAAAAGAGTTACGGACATTACAGAAGAAAAGAAGGAATACAAGGATCAAGTGGAAATTGTCCAAGACCAGATCATTACTGCATTTGCCTCTTCTGAGTGCAGTCCATCTCAAACCACTTCTTCTCCCAATACATATATGGGTCTGTTTTGTCTCATCAGCTATATGCTTTTATTTTCCATTCTTTCATTTCAATGTTCATTTAATTTTCTAAACTCTGTATGGACATCAAAAATGCCAATCTATTATTTTATGCTTATAAATCTTCAATCTTAAATTTTATATAGTTACCAAAGAAAGATTTGTTTATTTAGAAATGAAGTAAAAAAAGAAATTAATAAATGAGAATTTTGGAAATTTAAAAGTAACAAGTTTTTAACAACTTAATAGTTTTTATATCAAGCTAATCCTATTACATAATCTTTTCAAAATCAAGCATTTTTTAAATGTAGCAATGAAAATGATAAAATAAAAAAGAACAAAATTCACATGCAATCTTAAGATAAATATTTTACTTGAATCATTGAAAAGGATCCAGATACACTCTTTTAAGAGTTCTGAAATCATCTGTAAATTTGAAATCATAGATTCCTACATCTTTAATAATCTACTTATAATAATACCACATAAAATTACGACATTCATTAAGAGTATGTTGATAAATATATTAAGAGACTTATAAATCAAAAAATGGCCATGTATAAATATTTTTTACATATATTTGATTCTAATACTAGTTTACTATTAGTACTAGTTTTATAGCCATTCATTTCATGTGTTACTATATGATTGTTTGTGCGCTTTTTCTATAAATGTTGCAGATGCCATGATTAATGCTACTGCTACTGCTAATTCTAGCATTAATGTTTATAGTTTTAGTTGTATCAAAAGCATTAGCAATTTCCTGAATAGACCATGATTTACGCTTTTCAATATGATATAATGGTTATTTTTTTCAATTTGTTTAAATGACACTGAACTTTGTCATAACTCCCATATGTTGCTGCTTTCCATGAGATGTAATTATGTGAAAGATCTGTGTTAAAGGCTTCAAGCTTTTCATTCGATTATTCAATCTTCAACACTCACTTTTCATTTTTCTCATTTCTGTAAAACTCTATGATTTATCATATTTATTTTTGAAGTATCTCTTGCTTTTTCTCGCATGTTTAATAGGTATAAAACTGCTACGTTTTTTCAATTAGTATTTAAACCTTTAAAATAATTGTAATGTAGTAAAAATTAACCTGAAATAGATTAAAAATTAAATGCCTAGATAAATTATGAATCATTAAATGAATGTTGAGGGGGAGGAAGCACGACAGGGGGGATGCTAGTAAAAATGAACACTTTTCACGGCGTCTTCTGAGATTTACTGTGTACAACATATTTTACGAACAATCTTATGTGTTGATCAGTAGAAAAATAAAATTATAGTCCAAATGGAATCTAGTAAAAAGAAGATACAATAGAAATTTCAGATAATTCTTGAAAAAATTGTCCATATCTTTTGAATATCGGTTTCTTTAATTGAATAGAAAAAAACTGGACATGTATTTGACGAAGAAAAAACGTTTTTAATTGTTTCTCTCGAAAAACTTTTTTTTATACTCAATAATAAATCATCGTTCATATATGAGTACACGATAACCCGAATAAAAATGATTCCTTATTAGGATAATTCAAATGCAAATCTAGCTTGATGTTTTATCGATCAATGTGCTAAATTATCACAAAAATACGACATAAACATCAAAGATATTTGCTGAATTGAATTTAAGTTGAAATAAATATTGTACATAATTGTCCAAATCGATAACTTATAAAGAATCATTTCGTATACTACTACATAATGGTACACAGTGTAGCTAATCTGTAAATTGAAATTTGAATCGGCTTAAGCTTTGTCATATGAATATTCTCCATGTGCATGATACGTGGTAATTTTTAACGAGAGAAGTCTCGGTAATAATCGCGTAACATGGTTCTAAATGCTTACGGTAGATGCAATAAAATTAATTCGATTATGCCACTCTCAAGTAACCCGAGCGATATTCTCAAGCTAATCTCTATCCGCTAGCTATGGTGAGCAGCGTCAACTATGGCTTTACGGGCTGCTCGATGTACGCGTGGTCGGTGGCTGCAACTGAATATATACTCGAAAAAAGTGCATCCTCGCGCAATAAAAAGAACACTAGTATTTTTAGGAAAAGTTTGCTCTGTATTTGAAAGGTGTTTTCTTGGGATTTCAGGTGAGCCAGTGGCGCGCGACAGGTGCGACAGCTTGCCCTCGAGAGGTCACGGGACGACGAGCGGCGAGGGCCAAAGCGCCGACAGTACGACCAACAAGAGCGGCAACTTCATCACGACGGTGATAGCCGGACACGAGCGCAGCAACAGCACCATCTCTACGCTGGTGGGCGGCAGCTCGGGCGCGGGCTCCTCGACGGCGACGACGACGGCTAGCAGCAGGCCGCTTTCCACGCACACGAAGCTCATGTCCGGCTCGCCGCCCGTCGTCGGCTCCCTACCTCTGAGCACCGTGTCGGCCGCTTGCTCGACCGACTCCACTGGCTCGTCGCTCTCGATGGACGAGGCCTCCTGCGAGCAGGCCATGGACGTCGTCGGTGCTCATCATCCCAGCAAGTACGGTCACTCCTTGACACCCGACGAGCCGGCCATACTCGAGGAAATGGGCGACGACTACGTGCCCTGGTCACAAGCCAGTAGCCAGCCGCACAAATATTCTTCTAGTTTCAAATCTTGCTCGCCATCGCAAGTCAGTTGACATTTTTAACTCGCCAACTTTTTCATTGTCCCTTTCTCCACGGTCCGACTTGAACGTGAATTCGATCCTCTCTCTCTCTCTCTCCACAGCAAAGTTCCTACGTCGAGATGTTCAGCCCGAGCGGCTCGAGTCCCGGCCAGAGCGTGTACATGCCCATGAGCCCGGCGACGGGTGGACACTCGCACTCGCGAACCTCTTCCTTGGTCGACGACTCGCACGAAGGATACGTACCGATGGCACCTCTCGGCGACACGAGTTACGTCGACATGGATCCCATCGGTGCTCATCACCGTGCGAACGGCCACTTCTCAGACGACGGCAGCAGTGGCTCCGTGACCTCGGGAACGCCCAGCACCGACTTGCGCTTCGCCGAGTATCACCTGGAAAAGGTGCCGAGCTTTCTATCGCCTATCGACGACACGCAGGAGGAGTCTAGGCCGACGAGAGCTTACTCCGTTGGATCGAGGCCGGAGCCTGCCAATCGGCATCGCAAGAACAGGTTTGTTTGCTCCAACGAGCTATTTGACCAGGTCGCTCACCTTCGCGTGTAAACTTTTGAAAGCCCGATCGAGCAACTGGCAGACTTTTTGCAATAATTAAACGAAAGTTTTCCGCAAAACAGATTCGAGATAGCCCAGCAAGAGTCGATGAGGGTGCGCGCCTTTTCGGTAGGAAGTCGCGCCAGAAAACCAGAAATTGCTCGCTTGAATGTTGTCACGGCCCCGCTTATGCCTGGAATTGAGAACACTCAGAACATTACGAGCAAATCCAACTCTGCTCCACTTTTATCCAATTCTTGGGGACATAGCGCGGTCTACCCAGCCTCTGCCGACCGCATGGAGGACCTCATGGAGATGGACTTTAGTCGACCGAAGGGTGGACCAATGCATCCACCGACTCTGTCTTCGTCTTTTTCACAGTCGCACTCGCAAGCGTACCCAACTGCCACTAGTGCCGGTTCCTACATCGACATGTCTCCTGGACAACCACCAAAATCAATCACTGCCTCGTATGTCAGTATGAACGGCGCATCTAAGGTTTGGCATTTGGCTCACTTATATTTTTATTAATATTATTATTATTTGGGTATAATTCAAGCCAGTAAATTAAAGTTAAACATTCACGATTGAAAATTTCCCAAATTCTTGACAATTAATAATATAAAGTATTTTCTTTTCGTATCTTTAACCGGGTTTCTACCATTAATATATTCATGAGCATTTAGTTAGTTTATTAATTTAATTGATGAATATTGTTGACATTCCATTTTCATTTGCAAATGTTTTTATTAAATCAATTTATTCGATCATATAGATGAATCGGACAAACAATAATAACATGAGCGTCAGCAAAAACAATAATGTCAACAACAACAACAATTTTGCCACTGCCAACCATAATCAAAACCAGAGTCATTCAATGGGCATAGTTACAAATCACAAGCCATTGATAACACAGGCATCAACAGTTTTAAAGCCTGTTAAGGAATCAGAGTCACCGAATATGCAAATGGAAAGTGCTCCTGAAAGCTGGTCTCAGTCCAAACCGAGTCCTGATCAAATATCATCATTTAGTCAGTACGATTATATGGATATGAATGGACCACCTGGTGGTATGAGAACGGCCCCAGTAGACTTACCGCAACCTCGACGAGCACCCGATGGTTACGTTGAAATGAATTTCAAAGGAAAGTCGGACAAAGATCAAGATTACATGAACATGAGTGCAAACAAAAATAAGCATAACCAGAATCAATATGGAAACCGCAAGAAAAAATGTTCTTTGCCAATTGCCATTAAATCAGCTGGCAAATCGATGAGCACAGCCAATTTTCATCTGCCCTTGTCAAATAGCAGTCCAATTGAGACAATGTCTACCCTCACACCTGTTTCGACTCCCGAAATTACACCTACTAGCTCATCTGCCACGATATCTCCTCTCATTCCTAACAGTTCTTTGATTCCTGAGGATAAACTTGAAAATGTAACGAAACAGAGAAATACGTCCAGTAGCAATACCAATGCTACTTCAGACACTGTTGTTGTTATTCCTTCTTCACAAAGCAGAAAAATTTCGGCACCAAGCCCGTTACCGGGTGTCGATGGTTGCCCAATATCGAAAAAAATGCACGATGACTTTTGCACCACAACCACGTCATTCACAAGGTAAATCAATTACATACATTAATAATGGCTGATCTGATTATCAAAATGAACGATGCCTGAAATAAAATTTATTTTTGTCACAGGCCAATTGTCGTTACTCGAAAGCTCGAGTATCAAGCTACTCTGCCAGCTTGTAGCACTTCAAATAAACCCGTCAGCCCAGTTGCTAAAGAGCCTCTGCGAACAACTGCGAATCAATCGATTACGTCAAAAGAGCTTACTACTTTTACATTGAACCCGATTACAAAAAGATTGTCAGACTTGACTGTATCGAAGCCACATTTAGTTACAGCCTCGATGACCCCAACAGCTTCAGGATTCAAACCTGTACAACCTGTAAAACCCACTTCACCTAAAATTGTTGAAGATTCATCCAAGATCAATCCGACCCCAGTTACGACTCCAACACCTTGTCCTGTGGACAATGAAGGCTACGAAAAATTGCAACCAGGTGCAATATTATTGCATTATGCCAAGCTTGATTTGCCAGAGGTATCTAGTGCACCTCCAGTTTCGCCTTCTCCTGCTCAAGAAGGATTCACCTATGCAGAAATTGATTTTGCTAAACTCAAACCACTTTAGACTAATTCATTACATGTTTTATGCCAACGCATCTTCATACGCTGCAGTCATATGAAAGACATTTAATTTGTAAAGAGATACCGCCAAAAAATTGATACATTATGGTGTTGAAATCTTTCCGATAATTTTGTTGCAGTAAACAATTTATCAGAAATGATTGCTACACCTTGTAAATAGGAAAATGATGTATGTAATTTCAAAAATTCAAATAATCATGTATACATACAAAAACGATTAATTGTAGGAAAATATACTTGAAAATATGTCATATGTATAAATATATATATATATAATAATATATATATATAATGTTTACGATCATTAAATAAACATGTAGTTGTCATTTATTTTCAATTGAATATCATTTTTTGGACAATATACCCTTTGAAATAATTAAAAAATTTTCAATTGATCAATTGATTCAATTGATTGTTTATAGTGTAGTCCAGAAGATTCTTCAGAAAAATATTGTTATTATTTCATCACTAGACTCTAATGAGATAGCTTTTAACTGGATAAAGAAATCGAAAATTTCCAATAAATCAAGTCTTGTTTATTTTTATCAGAATACATTATGAAACAATTTTTTCAAAAATAATATAATAATTACAATAATTCACATTAAAAAATCATAGTTTCAGGTAATAGGTATTTACTAATGTTAAGTAAACAAATTCATTAGATTCACATTTCCATTCATTTGATTATATATACTTAAATCATTCTTAACATAGCACATTAAAAATTATGTTAATCATTTCATTTTTAGGAAGAACTTATTGATAGTAGAAAGAATCTAGATAATTTTTGAGCACACAAATAATCAACTTAAAATGACCAATAAATTGATTAATTAAAAAATTGATCGATAGCAGGTTTCAACAATTATAAGTTGAACCAAATGCATTAAAAATATACAAATTAATATTTTTACAATTCTAGCTTTACTTTAGGCACATTCAGTTTTATGTAATGTTTAAATAACTTTTGCTAGTTCAGTGACTAATGATTATTTATCAACTTTGTACGGGGCACGATATTTGAATTTTTCTTCAGATGACATTTGGTCCCAAGAGTTTTTCAAATATTTTTTAATATCTGCTTCTGTTGCTTCACTATTCTGTTGTTTAATTATAAAATAATTCCTATCATAATAAACTTCAAAATCTGGGGGCTGCAATTTATTGATCATTTTTGCGATTCGTTTTTGTTTTTTCATATTTTCTGAACGAGCATCATCACTTAATGGAGATTTAGGTTCTAGACTCAAACTTTCATCGTCATCATTTTGATTGGTTTCTGAATCTACTTGGTCTAAGGTATCACAAGATGACAAACTAACTTTTACCTGCAAATATGAGCTTGTTCAAACTATTTGTGAACTTGTAAAAATATTTTTGACTTATTTTTTACCTATCTACTATATCTACCTTCTTAACACTTTTAATACTTTCATCTTTTCGTTTTCTTTTATTGCTTGTTTTCTCATCACTTTTGGAAACCTTATTAGTCATGTCTTTTAATTTTGCTTTAAATATTTCAGTAGATGACAAATCAAGTTCATATAAAACATCCATAGCTTCAGCCACTGCTTTTTGCCATGTAGGAAATATATTTGGTTTAATAGTTAATGCTGATGCAAATTTCGGTTCTTTTTTGCGTACGTCATTGGTAATTTGGTTAGCTTTGTTACGGAAGTCTTCTATACCCAAAAAAGGAATCATGTGATGTGATGGGATCCAACTATGTCTACCATGATCATTAAAAAAGTGAACATGTATCATAAGACTTTTCATTTTTCCAACAGCTTGTAAAAATAATGATAAAAATTATTATTAGATCATTGTGTGATTTGAAAAAAAAAATTTTAATTTTCTTACTTGAAACTTTCTTGTAAGTCAGTAACGAGTTTGGGTCATGCGTTACCATGCATGGCCAAAATGGGTAAATGCTCATTCGAGCCCATGCTAACTGATTTAGCTCCCATTTACATGTGTTGATGAGCTCTTCCGATGTTAAAGGTTCATCATTTCTCACCATCGATTGATTTGGAGTTGATTGATTGAGAGACTCCTCGCACTCCTCTTCTGAAGTACTGACTTCTTCAGAAGGAACTTCAGCATTATCCTACGATAAATTGAAAAATTAATTTAAAAAGTTTATAAAAAATTGTATTATGCATTCAGAAATTTTGACAAAAATATTGTTTATGATACAAAAGTAATAGTTATTAGAGGAAAAAATTTGAATGAAGATTTGTTAGGTTATTAGAACAGCTTACTTGTGATGTATTTTCATTTTCTTTATCGTGTTTACTATATTGCACATTTTCTTCGCTATCCACATCCATAATTGAGAAAATACAAAAATTAACGATAACAGGACAAAAAATTATGGCAAAATGTTGTTTTTCAAGTCAAGATTGTTTGTTCTGAAGTGAAAAACATTTATAAACAAGACCGCATCACAACTATGATATAACTATACAAGCCTATGGTATAGGTATCGACTCCGTATTCAGCTTACTGCTACATTACATGTTTAAAGCGCACACACGCGAGCTCCGAGACGCCATTCCGCATTCACTGTTATAGTAACTCGACAGTCGACGTATAAGGTTAAAGGTACATTACTATATCTATATATACTCATGCATGCATAAAGTATACAATCCAGCAGACTGTTGCTCTCGCAGTGTACAGTGTACACACTGCTCCGAATTCCGAAATCGAAACGATACAATTCTGCGTCCTATTATAGGTTATGTTTGGTAAAAGTTGTTTCACGCATTTAAATTTGACTCCAAATTCTGAAATTGCTTAAATGATTCTGCACGGACTGTTTCTTGACGACTAATGGTCGTATTTACAAAATTCGCACTTAAACTTAAAAAGTTTTTACGTAATTAATGTATCACAAAATGTTATTAAAAATTATACATAAATCAAAATATCTCTGCATGATAAAAAAATTAACCGACTGATGTTCAATTAATGGACTTTAATTCTGTCGAGTGGAATGCTGGAGTTCCCTATACTTATACACGTTTCAGTGTACCCGACGGAATTAATGTCCACTTAGTGTTCAAACCGGCCTGTATACGTAGCCCTCTGCAGATATTATCGCATGGAAAAATTATATTTAACGCTTTAACGCCTGAAGTGACCATTTCTGGACAACATTTATAGCGACGAATAACATCGATTAAAAATTGTTTAAAAAACTTTTCAGATATCATTTCTAACGTAAAATTTAATGTACTTTTCGAATCTGGGGTCAGAATTTTCAAAAATTTATTTTTAATAAAAAGTTATAAACAGTTCTCTCGTGCGTCTCACGCAAATAGATTTGGTCAATGGCATGTATACTTTACTGTAAAATAGTTATAATTATGAAATTCAATATGGCGATCATAAATATGACTCCCGAAGACTTGTATGTGACAATTTTTTACTCGATTACCATCGACTGTACGAGAAAAAGTTATAGAACAAAAAGTGTTTGGAATTGATCAAAGAACACGCCTGATTTTTTTCAGAATTTTTGGAACGATTTTACAATAAAGTATACATGCCATTGACCAAATCTATATGCGTGAGACGCACGAGCGAACCTTCTTTAAGTGTTGAAATTTGAGTTAAACGAGATTATTTTCTTGAAATGTCATGTTTTATTTTACAAAATTGTTTATAACTTTTTATTAAATAAATTTTTGAAAATTCTGACCCCAGGTTCGAAAATTACATTAAATTTTACGTAAGAAATGATATCTGAAAAGTTTTTAAAACAATTTTTAGTCGGTGTAATTCATCGCTATAAATGTTGTCCAAAAATGGTCATTTCAGGTGTTAAAGGGTTAAGGAGTAATAATTTGGTCTTTGATATTTTTAATACAATTTAAGCTAGGATCGATCAGAAAAATAAATTTACCAATTCTTAGAAATTAAAAAAATGACAATTATCTTTTACACCAAGTGGACTTTAATTCTGCCGGATAGATCGCCAGAATTTCCTACACTTAATGCTTATACGCCCTCCATCACTCTGAGACAAAATTAATGTTCACTCAGTGATCTGCATAGCTTGTGACGCTCTCAATTTTGGATTAATTCCATGCTATTTCTTATGAGTAAATTGAAATTCAATCGTGTCATAAGAAAAATACAATAAATAAATTTAATTTTTATAATTAGCTGCAGAGAATCTTGGAGGATTTTGCAAATCGTTGCTCATGAGAGTCGAAATGACAATTAAAAGATCTAAGCGACGCAAAGACCAACTGGATCAAGGGCGATTATCCTAGCTTTATCTCGTTCTTGATATATTGATTATCTCCTTTCTACCAACCCTATGGATCCAAAGGTTTTCATACAAGTCTCTGTATTCTAGGCGCTCTTGGGCTGCAGTTTCAATACATTTACAGAAGTTAGCACGAGTTCCAAAGATACATTTCTCTGCAGTGAGTCAAGGGACCCATCGATGGATTTGGATATTTGGTTTCACATCATTTGAATTCGTCTAGAGTTATTGACTTCATTTTAAAACATTATAATTTTTCAATTAAAACGATTCGATTGATGTTCTAGGAAGTTTGTACGATGTACGAAAATGTGAAATTCAGGTGTGAACAGTAGTTGGAGGAAGAGAAAGCGCAGCAATAAAAAACGTCCTCAATTGCCGTGATTTATGAAAATATTGGCAAAAGCTGTAAATAGACATAGATGAAAAGCAAGTGAAAACAAGTGTTGAACTGAATGTCAACCTAGAGCTGAATAAAGTATCACGTATTTCTAATATATACGGCAAAATTAGCATTTATGTAATAAAATTCTATATACGATCAAACTGTTGGATTTGAACTATACATGAATATCTTCAAACATTTCGTGCATTCTTGTATGTGAATTAGCTCAAGTGCTAAAAAAAACTTGGTATAAAAGGCACAACTCTCATGACTTTGAATTAGAAAATGCTTCTATCATTTCTATTATGAATATCGGTTAACTCGTGCATGCGTAACTAGCCTTTTTCCACTTACATAAATAAATAGTCAATTCTTGAGCTGTAAATAATTAAAAATTTGGATTAACCTGGGCATCGGAAAAAGCAAAGAATACCAATAAAGTCAAGAGACTAGCAAAATGGTATGCAAATTGAACGGGAAAAGATTAGGTAATTTGCACTGAAATTCGAGAAAAGAAGAGCCACGCGACGCCGGCGTATGAGACTTCTTATGTTTTCACGCGTACACACGCTAATTAAAATTTTTATTAGATCGAAGGCCACACCCACTTTTTCACATGCTATTCATCGTGAAGCATACAAGAAATCATTGTCATTGGGAAATACAAACATTTCCGAGGATTAAGAGTATGACAAATGATCAAGACCGGGAGCTCAAGATCATTAACGCCTACAAACATATATATACCTGTTTCTTTGGTTAGCGAGGAAGCATGTCGATGCAATGATAGAAAGAAGTAATAGGACTCGACATTTCTCGATCTCCACATGTAATCCACACGGTAGCAAGTGCTACATTCTTAGAGAGAAAATAGTCACGAGGTCCGATGCTTTGTCAATCTTGTGGTTTGTTTAATTAAGCAATTGTCTAGAGTCTACCTTGTCTGTCCGGTAGCACCGCCTGGATTTTATTAGAATATCATAAGTCACATAGAATTACTTATTTCTCCACGACGTGCTCATTCTCAGTGTCGTTCGCTCCTTACAGGAATTTTCATCTGATATAAAAAAAACCCGTCTACTCCAGCTATTTTTTTCTTTTTAACATTATAGTTCAATTTACGTTGGATTTTGTGAATCTATAATACATGAATCTCACAACAAAGAAAAGTTATGTCTACAAAAACGAGAAAGAAACTGTGGCTATTTTTTATTAAATATATATGCTAATTAAACAACGCTTCGCTCATACTGAATAAATTGACGACATAGAAATGTAATTGAATAAATTTGATTAAAACATAATTTATAGCATTTCAACACGATTTTCTTTGTAATCATTAGGGCGTAAGAACTCGTTAAAAAAAATTTCTCATCCGAAAAAATGTATTCTTGTGTCACGGATATTCAGTATCCATTCAGAAACGCATATCTCAAAATTGCACAAACGTTTTTTTTTCAGCCTTTTTGCTGTTTTTTTAAGCCAAATAAAAAAAGTATTATAATGTAAGGAAATTGAAGCGATTCTTTACTTAACAAAAAATGACCGGAACTACTCGACTTTTGGTCGATATGCATACAACTTTCGCGTAACACAAGCTCGAGAATCATTCCATTTTCAGAACTTTTATTTAAACTTCTTTATACTTTTGTTAAATTTCGTTTTATTTGCTTGGAATAAATATTTTCATTCGACACGCTTGTATGTCGGTACTTGAAAGGTTGATGCAGCTTCGAAAATGAAACGTCTATATCTGCATTGTGAACGATACTTACCTAGGGCTCGTGAATCACTTTTATTATTCCCTTTCTAGTCGACATAATACTACTACTACTTCTTCTATATAATTTTTATTCGAAGATTCATCAAATTGGATTAATTTAACTTTCCTTTATACGATTTAGCGATCATAAAAATTAGCCCTCGCGTAAACTAGGCCTGACTTTTTCCGAAAATTTTTATGAATTTAAAGGATCAAATACTGCGTGTTCAGGCTTTTCGATCGAACCAACCAATTTAATCGATACGAGCGACACGCGAGCTATCGATAATATTACTATATGGTATAACAGCCTTATGCAATGGATTCGAGGATAATTTAGTCGAGCCTCGATCGTCTCAACTCTGAGTTATACACGCGTCTGACGCACCGGAAACTAAGAACAAGATAGCGATGACGTATGTGTAGGTATACCTTGGTGTTTATACCTTAGTGTAGACTCGAGAAGTGCTCGCGCGATTGTTGGTCGGCTCGTTGATTGAAATTTGCCGGCTGCTCAGGCAGCAGCAGCAGCAGTCTCGCGTACTCTACGATATCTTATCTCAATCGGGATATGTTTATTATGATTTACCGACGCACACGTCGACACGCGCACGAACACCTACTCAAGTAGCACAGTTCTTTGATAGAAGACTACTCGTTACTACATCAAAAAAATTGATCCTATTTCTTCCCAAGATTCAGTCATCTTTATTCATTTTTAATGTAATATAGTATAATAACTAATGCATACGGAATACTGTTATTTCACCTTATATTAGCTTATTTTATGTGACACTTGCAACGCCTTTGATTGATGAGCTACAAAATATTAGGAGCTTAAGAGGTGTGAAGACGCTCGCCGGAATTCTAGTAGGTATTAAAACGCTAAGTAGACACGTAGAACAATACAAAGAAAGTTTGAGTGATGTATGAGGAAAAATGTGACGACGGCTCGCCGCACGAGGCTTACAACAGCAGTAGTCAACAGCAGCGCTGATATTATTCAAACAAGCACGTATTTCTGTCGGAACTCGACTATATACACTCGGAAGAAAGAGA